CAAAACCAGCACGTTGTTAAACTAGCATACCTTCAGCTTGGCTTGATCTTTGAACAAATTACTCTTTGATTTAGCCTGGCCATGCTGCTTCTCAATGCCTGCAGAATGATCCAACGGCATATCCAAGCAGGTATCCTTCGCAGAGGATGAATCTTGTTGCGTATCGCCCACCTCCAAGTTATAGATGAAGTGCAATAGAGTCTTGTTTGGTAAGGTGGCATCAAAGGACACTGCAGAATACTGCCAAAGGTAGTACCGTAAGAACCTTTAAAGAAAAACAAGAAATTTGAAACAATATCTGTTTTGATAAAGAGAATCATTTGGTTAAGAGCCCTAGCATTGTTTCGCAGACACGCTGTTACAGGTTGCTAGCCGAAATAATGTTTGTTTGTCATAATATACGTTCTGCGGAGTTTTCCTATTATTTTTTAACATGAATATGCAAATTAAAGATTTTGTTTACATGCGAATCTATCATTCTCAATTTCATATTTGGATATTGACTGTTTGACATTGATTCATATCAAGTAACAAAATTGACACAACGATTTTAGAGGTAGCAAATTTCAAATAAGAAAATAATTGTACTGTGGTATTTGAGTGATTGGTGAATATCAATAAGTCAAGACTGGGCAAATCCTCTTTAAAACTTCTCATCAAATATCATAATGGTGTCATTTGGTAACACGGTCTAATAACAAATACATTCATTCTACAGTTAAGTCAGTACATTCTACAGACGAAAATTTACATGCAATCCAGACTTGACAACTTAAGGCTTTATGTCTGCAGATACTGATATTTCCTAAAGGTTGAGGCTTTGTTGTCAGTTGTCACAAACAAATCTAGATTTTCCTTACCTCCAGAAATATACTGTGAAGATGACCAATGTTGTCAGCAATGTTACAATAGCGAGGGGTGGAAGCACCAGCAAAAACACTCTTCTCTTGCCAAAGAAAGGTTTTTTCTCTAAGTTACTTCTTTTGCTGACAGCTAAGAAATATAAAATAAGATGTAATTCATACACATTTGAATAAATAGGTTTGATCGCCATAATGATGCATAACATTTAACCCAACTCTGTCAATGTTGAAATAATAGCAAAGAAAAGTTGAAAAGCTTGGCAGTATAGGGTCTTTGATACAGGGTATACTTACCCTATGTGAAGGTTGCAAACAGGGTTCTCCATTATCTTCCTAAGAACAGCAGCTTGGCAGATGTGGCAAGGGGAAGGGACGACAAGTGGAGCAGGCTTAGCTGGTGGGGTCAAGGGGGCTTTCAGAGGGGAAGCTCTTTCATAGCAACATTTTGAATCCTAGAAACAATCCTTTTTCAAACAAGCTATGCCATTGGTTTTGTGTTAACTTATTGCTGATTTTAGTCTTTCTCAAACACCATCTTTTTTACTATTGAGGGTGGGGTGCAAATCTTTGCTCCTAACGCATTATACTAACTTGTGTCTGAGAGAAATATTCCTACTGAAATACACATCAGCATATACAAACTTTCACTACAGCAGCATGATTGTAAAAATGTATGCATACAAGATGCATGATTCTCAAATCTGTTACAGAGATGAAATGCATTTTGGCAACCAGAAGGGCAAAGAGCTGTATAATGTTACCAGGCAAGTTCCCACCTGGTCCTTTTACACTTCTTTAGGGCCATTATGGTTTGGAATTGGAAACTTGAATTTAGCTGTGAAATCTTTGTGAATTTTATCAAAATCTCAGTTTGCCACAACAACAACTCCAGACATTTTCCTCTATGTTCTAGTGTTATTCATGCAAATTCAACAAGAGATAGCTTTTTAGGCACACAAAGGTTTTTCTGGGAGCTTAAAGCTGTAATGCTGGGTTAACCTTCTGTGTTTAACTAATTTTATTGCTACATGCATGCAAATAAAGTACAGAAGGACAGTAACTGCAAAGAGAGGTAGAAAATATAGTGGAAAGTACTTTGAGATATATCTGATAAACTAGCAAATTTATTGAGCTATTTAGTGTCTCATAATGACTGGACACTCTTCTCTTTGTTCCAATTAATTGTATGGACACACCAATGTGAGTCTAATCTTGGAACCTCATGTCAAACTTTGAAAAAGAAATTAATAGTGGCTTTCTTATACAATATTCAAGGAAAATCTTAAAAAGCTTACCCTTAAAAGGTGTCTTGCAAGACCGCGTTAGAGAGAATTCAGAGCAGCCAAACAAACCACAGGCTCTGACTTTAAATTTATATTCTGTCGCAGGCTTGAGACGCTTTGCAACATAAGCTAAATCATACCCAACATATTCTAAATCATCACCACTGTAAAGCTCATATTGTATGGCTTGCTTGTTAGATACAAGGACAGGCAACCATGAAACTTGGATTTCTGATTCACCAATAACTTGAACATGTGGTGCAAAGGGCCTGTGTGGAATTTGTGGTAGATCTAATCCATCTAGAAAAAATTTAAAACACCAACTTAAAAAGTGATTAAATGGAATATTTCTGTGACAAGTTAATAGCAAATGCAATGTCTACAGCAAAAATCTGTGTCAGATCAAAATTCAGATCTTGGGTCTATATGTCTGATTTTTACTGAGTTTTATTTCCAGTTAGTTTAATAAATAACTCCTTGTATCACAGGACATTTCAGTATCAGAGAGATTATTGAATTATCCATCCAATTGTGTCTTTAACAGTCACAAAATCTACACACTGTCCCAACTTCAACTGCAATGGAACTTGGGCTCAATACTGACAACAAAATAATGAAACTACTCCTATGCTCCTACTTTGATCTACTTTGATCAGAATATAAAATATAATCTTTGCAACTTGATATCAAGTGAAAATCTATTTTCAGGTTTAAATCTTGACAAATCACAGCCTCTACAAGTTGAACAAATTTCTGTTCCCTTTTATTATTATGAAGGTTCAATATAAAATAAAAATAATTTCTGTGAAAGTTAAACTAATGCTTTTGTTGGGCAGCTTTTCAACATAAACAAATAATGAATTCTCATAGATGAATAAGAAAGGTTCAAATGATGAGGTAGAGCACATAGAGCAACGGGTATTGTAATGAAAAATACTACATAACTACACAAATGTCACTGCATTACTCACAAAGCCTAGTACCTGTCAGTTGTCATGCTAATTTGTGGTTGTCAGTGCAATTAACTCTCAATTGACTCTGGTCACAGAAATGTTAAAACAATGAATGCAATTGCACAACCAGCTGGCATCTCATCATTGAGATCAAATTCAAACTTCACTGTACATTAATAGATAATGGAGCATATCCAAAAACCAAGCACACTAATGTAGATGTGCTTTACTGTACAAGTCATTTTCAATATCTTTCTATTTACTTTCTAAAAGCCCGTGTCATTTTGCCACAATTTCAAATAAAAGTGGTAACATACATTGAGTTTTTAAGCCCCCGATTTCAAATACATAAGTTCTGGATGTAAATGGAACCAATGATATTTATCAAAAAATAAACATCTTGAAAGATTATTTTCCTTGGCTGGGCCTATTTAATTTTAACCAGATTTAAAATGACTAGGAGAAAACAGCATAGAAACGAACTCATATGGAGGCGAGTTTCAAACTTTCGACCCTATGCAAAACCTTGCCCTTTACTGAAAATGTAAACGAATGAAAAATAAAACAATCTGTTTTCTGCCTGTCTGCCTTCTTCTTTATACGCTTAAGCAACTTGGATTGACAAAATTAAAGGGCATGAAAGTATTTTCGTAACAAGCGTGCGCCATGCGATGGTGAAAATAATAAACAAATATTGCGAAAGTAACAAAAAGCTCGCTAAAGTGACAACAATGAGTTGTAAGCAAATTTTAAGTGCAGTGTGACAAACATGGAATTAATAAAATGCAATATAATAAGAAAGCGTATCCATAAGTCTCGTTGGTCTTTCAAACATATGGCCTACTTCTTACCTTGAGTCAACAACTGTCTGACGATTTTTTCCCGTCCCACCTTCAGATCCACAGCGTTCAAAATTGCGGCACACCAAAGCCAAGTAAATAAAGCAGTTCTTCGATAGAACTTTTTCTGAAATTTCTGTGAATTTTCTCGATCTAAATTCATCTTCAGTTACTTTCCATTCCTTCCTTACTCCACTGAATTCTTACTCGCACAACAACACTGCTGTCATCATGTGTAGCAACTACAACTACAATCGTGCTGGTTATTTATAAAAGCGAGCCATCTCATATCAAAGGTCACTCATGAACAATTTCCGTTGGAAAGTCCAAATTCCATGTTCCACCTCATCGTCACAGCGTGCTGGCTAGGGTATTCAAGCATTTAGATCTTTTTTCCTCAAAGTCGTATTTGTCTTGCTAATGTCTGTTTTCTCTTCCCATGTTCATTGTTTTAGTATCTAGTTGTAGTATTTGGCATCTTTTCACGTGACGTTAACTTATATTTCAAAGCAAACCAAACATATTTTTTAATTCTTTTCATTTTATCAAAGATGCCCCTAGAATAACGTATTTCTCATATAAGCGACTAGCTTTAAACCCGGGAGGGACTCGCTTTGGAGAAAATGACGGCTATGTGCCTGCAAGAAAAGATTTTATGACCCTATCCTTCTAAACGCTGAAATTTCATTCATAGTTTATCGTCAATGTTTAAAACGCCAAATACGAAGGGTCATGTTGATACTGAAGAGTTCGTGAACGCGCCAAGGGTGATACTTCATATTCCTTACAAAGATTTAGTCCTACTTTATGCAGGGATACCGGGACAAATGGGCAGAGAGAGCTGAAGGAAACAAAACTTCACCCTTGGCACATGCAACTAAATTGCATAAAATTGACAATATGGGAACAAAATGGGGTATTCTAAATAATCCTTCTCGGGCCCATTTTTTCATGCCAAAATGCTCTCTTCATCTAGACCCCTAACCTGAAGGTTTTCCTCATGTCGGGGGTCTCTTTCCTCATGTCAGGTCTGAAGCACAGGCTACCTTCTCCTGAATCATTGTAATCGATTTATTTGGTGGAGAACCGAAAAATAGCAAAGGCCTACACCTCTTGCTTTTTACGTTCCCCTACAACTTTCAATATATGGTATTTATGAGTTTTTTTCCTGTTATGTTACATACATAGCAATTTAAAGTTGTACTTTCAGCTTCTTCTAGATTTGACGGAAAAGTGTAGCCTCTCCTGAAGAGTGAGAATCAGGCACCGCGCAGCCATTGGGCTAGCAGGTGTTATAGCCCACCCCCCTCCCCCCTCCCACTTTTTTGCAATACACTCTTTTTATAAGAACCAGTAAATTTAAGTTCAGGCTGACTGTTCTCAATATTTTCGAAAATCTGAGGCTGGATTGTTCTTAATTTGTTCTTAATTTAATAGGGTGTAAGCAGTGCGAGTGCTAGCTTTTTCTAGCATTTGCCAAAAAAGTGAGCGAGACAACCTTCATTTGACAACATGTTTAAATATTAGCCGTAAAAGCACCCACAAGTGGCTAAAAATCCTCGATTTTGAGAAAAACTTTGTTCAAAATTGCATTTTGCAGAAGCTCAGCCTCAGCTTTTTTCTTAATTTGTTCTTTACTTTTGACCAATTTCGAGGCTCGTGTTCTTATAAAATTGTTCTTATAAATAAAAGAGTGTAATAGGTATAACATTTTTTTGAAAGTTTACTCAAATGCAACTTTGGATAGTTCCTTCAGTGTTTTGGGCCCCCTATACTTAGCTAAATTTGAGTCAAGTTTTAGAGCCACACTCTTTGGGGTTTTCCCTGAAGTGTTTATTATAATAATTAGCAGTAAAATATGCAGAGAAAGATCCATCTTTCTTTATGTGCTCGAAAAAGGCATGCTGTAAAATCAATTTTTTAAGATTAGCATCATAAACATCTTCACAGAAATGACCACGATCAGTTGGATAAGACTTTGAAAGATCAAGCTGGCATGATTTGACTTGCGTTTTAGCCTGACTCGCACCTTTGTTGTTCTTTTCAGGAGTTTCAGAAGATTCATCAAAGGCCGGGCCACTGGTGCATCGGCACAAGTTGCTCCACCTAACCCAAATATAACCCTAAACCTTAGATATAGCTTGATTAACTCAAGTGCAAGCAGTTTAAAGTTCTGGGCAGGGAATGGACAAGAAAAGATCACTTTTCCCCACCAGGGAGCCGATTCACCAGTCCTACCTTAGATTCCTAAGGTATGAGAGGAAAAGACAAAATATGACAGAATAAAAAGCCGGACCCATCCTAAACTAAAAAACAACAGAACCTTTTGAAGAATACTGTGATTTAGGTAAGCTCTAATTCCAAAAAGAACAAAATATTTTAAAAGACTTGAAAAAAGTAAACACACTTTGCAAGATACCAAAAAGGGAGGGGTGGTATGGGAAAAGAGAAGAGCGTTGAAAAGTCTACCAACAATCACGATAAGCCCCACCCAAACGCTTAAATACCCTCATCAGAGCCAAGGGACCGACAACTCAGTGTAGAGACCCAAAATACAGAACTCCTGCTGCTCTATATCCCAAATGCATCGAAAAGAGCACATAAGGACCAACTACCAGAATGAAAGCATGATAAATGACACCCAAATGGTAAAAGACAATTCGGATAAAAGTAAAACCCCTAGTAAATCAAATTCTACAACATCCATCTACAAATCAAATCTGATAAAATTTCATTTTATCCGCATTATGGTTATTGATATGTTCTCTGAATCAGACTGTTTATAAAAATTGAGTAGCAATAAGCAAGTATTTTCTAAAAGGGGCCTTTTCATGCGTTCTAGGGGGCGTGGCCTCAAAAAATTTTTCGGACACACCACTTTTAAACTGGCGCGCGGTCCCTGGTGAGAATATGATATTTAGTTTCCTTTGGACTTACCCTATCCTGTTTATTAGAATGACCTGCTCTTTGTTTGATTGTCTAGTTTTTTAAAAAGCAACGCCTCTCTCTATTAAATGCCCTCAGTGGCGGAGCAAGGAGGTGGTAAAGGGGTTAATGCCCCCATCCATTTTTTCGGGCTGGTGGGTTACACCTTCCTTGAGTTGATCGAGTATTCGTCAAATCTACAGCAGGTTGAGCAAAACCGTCATGCACAGTGCCGTGGCGAGGGGGCAAGGGGGAGCCGCCCCCCAGTGCTCAGAAAGTTGGTGTCTGAGAAAAGTGCAAATCTGCAATGAAATTAGTACCTCAGGAGGTCGATAGATAAAACAAAATTAAAACGTTTCAAAAGACTGTAAGAAATATTCTGAAATATATTTTAAGCTAATCTAAAGAGCGTGGTCGCAAATATTTCTGCTCGCTTTGCTTGCAGGGGACCTTCGTCTGTACCTTTACAGAATGTTTTACAATTTCCTCTCGTCTTAGGTTATAGAATGGGGTCAGCCAGAAAAAGCTACATATGACGATTGTTGTGTTTGATTAGCCAACCATTGCCACGTAAAAAAGCCACGGCTTTCCCAATGTATTTACAAAAATTGGACGAGGATCTAGATGGTTAGGCTGTGAGTGGATACGGTTGAGCTATAGAAACGGAGGATAGTATGGGCAGACTTGCTTGACTTCACAAAGGTGACATAATGGAAAATTAACGATTCGATTTTGATACTGAAAAAAATTTTGAGATTTGATTTTGCAAACAAGTGCCCCAACTTTCCATTTCATTTTCAATTATTCAAGCATTGTAGCCTATTCAGCAATGCTGATTTAAAAGGGTCATGCATCCAAAATAATAGAAAAACTCAAAAAACATAAGTTTAAATGAATAGTTGCGATAGATCCAAAATTATTACACTACTTAACCCTGAAAAAAGTTTTAGAGGAAAGTTTTGAATTTTATCAGAGATGTTGCCCGCTTAGCTTCGGTATCTAGGCTATTCTAAATTTTTCAGCACACCTAAACGAGAATGACTTTGGCACATTGCAAAGCTTCTTAACCTATCTTGATGCTTATGTTTCACGGTTATTCCGTGTTCAATTTCTTACGTTAAAAAATGTCCATCTTTCTGTCAAAATCAAACCAGATGAAACTATGAAGTATAACCATAATAAGATGTTTGCCCTCTGTGCCTTGAATCCTTGGTTCTAAGTAAATGGTGTGAATATTTCAGACCATCTTCCAGTTGTCCCTTGAACTTCATAGTTGCAATAATTTTTGCCGCCGGCCAAGGTTGCTGTCTTTACCTTACCGTTTTCCATAATGATACCCTTCTAAATTTTGGGCCCTTTAAGTTCGATCTCCCCGTAAGGAAAGAACATCCCAATCCACATCTGGTAGCTCGAGTCATTATAATGGATTAGCAAACAGAAAGCCTCGTACTTCTACATGTTTATGGGAACATGTTTCTCACAATAGATGAAGTTTTAGAGCGTTTCGCCAAGATAGAAGATGGATGTTCAGCCATTAAATTTACCGATATAATAACCTTTAATATTTACACAGTCTAGTTTGTTCAGTAATTCAGATTGCTGTTATCAATCAAAGACCTTTATTTTACATGATAAAAACTAATGTAAACAAGAAAAAAGTTTGATATTTAGGTAAGAAACTTTAGTTAGAGACCTTACTTTTCTAGAACGTGAATAGAGGAGTTAGGGTCTGGAATCGTTGTATTGGAACTTTTGAATTAACAGAACAATGCGTGAAACCTCGTTTTCAGGTTGTATTGTTTTATTGTTGCGTTTTACGGGATGTTTGTTTGTTGTTTTTAATAAATTGGAGAAGAAGGAGTCGAAGGAGACGCTTTACAAGAATCTTACGAGATCACAACTTCTATAAAATGAAAAAAAACTCTAAACTCTCAAGTGTGAGCTAATCTGTGTTTATTTCTTTACTTTCTTTATCTAATATGAATTACATTCTTCTTTGATAACTTCGTGTTCATTCTACCGCATTCTACATTTGTCTAAGAGAATTTTCTTACCATTGAATTTAGACACAGTCCTCTGAAACTCTCTAAATCTAAAGGTTTTAAAAGGATCTTTTATTTGTTTTGTATCATATATTCTGCCCTATGTAAGAAACAGAATTGGAATCATGTAGAGTAAACTTTCTAACACGTTGTATTTAGGGTACCCTCGTCACCAAATTCTGAACATTTTTCAGCGCCCCCAATATCAATGGTGCTGTCTTCAAATTTGGTTTGGATCTGTCCCTGGCCATGCTAAGGCATGAGTTTGGCAAAAACAATAGACCATGTTTCCAAAATTTTTGCACCTGTATATTTGTTGCACAAATCATTTGTGGCAAAAAGGAAAAATTGGTATTGACTGTAGAATGTTCTCTTATTATCAAAGTTTTGCTTTAGAGTGCAGCTTGAAACGGTTGAAGCATAACTACCATGCAAGACTTCTTTTGCCATGGTACAATTTTCTCAACGTACAAAGCAGGTAGGCTGAATCAATCGGGACAAAGCTGTGCCAAACCATTTTCGTTTTTCTCTTGCTTACAACCATATGACAAAAAAATGAGCAAAATAATTTAAGATGCAACGATGCAACCATTTTCTATTCGAATTGTCTTTAATAAGTGGAAAAGGGAAACGGGTAAAAAGCAAACACAATGAATCAAAATTTTTTGAATCAAAACTGTGGGTTTGCCCATGGTTAATTTTTATGCCAAAAAAACTTCAATACACGAAGGCGTAGGAGACATAGGGGTTTGGAGGGCTGCAGCCCCACTTATCAGGCAATATTATTGCGTTTTTAACACCATTTAGGCAGCACTACCTTAGTAATTCAATAGTGTAAGTCGGGCAAGACCCATTCTAAGCCACCTTAGACGTTTGGCATTCGCTACGCCCATGAGTGCACCGAGTGCAAATAGCTACGTTGAAAAGTTTTCAGATAAGATACCGTTCTTTATTGATGGGTGAGAGAATTACACATTTTGATGAGTGAGTTCTGAAATTGCTAAAGAGGGTTCCATGGAAAGATTTACAGAAAAAGCAGATTTAAGTTGATTTGTTATAATTCAGATAGAAGAGGGGAGTATTTGCTGCGTTTTCTTGCTACTTTTGTATCAAGATTGGATTCGAAACAGGAAATATTGAAGATCTATCAGAAAAATAAATACTTTTAATAAGAGTTCAGATACTTTATCATTATAAAATCAAATTAGAAAATATATATCAAGATGGAAAACATAAGTCAATGAGTCCAATCAAAAGAAAAACTGATGTCATTTGGCTATATAGATTTTCTGAAAAAGCGCTAAAAAAATTTTCGAAAGAAGTTCGTAATTGTATTATCATGAATATTTTTGCGCAAATCATGAATATTTTTGCTTGCCAAATAATTTGCGATCAAATTCAGTCTTCATTCAGGTATCTTTCTGGAGTTCTTCTATCAAAGAATACCTAAGACAAATAATTGTGAAGCTAAATCACAAAAAGGCACACGGGCACGACATGATAAATGCAAAATTCCTAAACAGATGATAAATACAACCCTTGTTGAGCATCATGAAAAAATGCATTATTCAAGGAACTTTTCAAAACTTCTTAAAAAAGGCTATAGTCTCACCTATCTATTAAAAAAAGATTCTTTTAATAAGGAAAATTTTAGACCAATAAGTCTACTAACGACACTATCTAAGGTACTTGAAAAACCAATAGAACTTTCAACTTTCTCCTTGAAGCAAAATTTTCGAAATTCCTATGCGCATATGGAAAACACTTTTTAGACTTATTGAAGCACGCCCTTCCCAGCACGCTCTTTTTAGACTTATTGAAGACTGGAAAACAGAACTGGAAAGGAACAAATATATTAGTGCTGTCCTTATGGATTTGTCAAAGCCTTTGACTGTCTACCATGAAACCTACTTTTAGCAAACTACATGCTTATGGTGTTGATAGAAATTCTCTTTTACTTATGCAAAACTACCTGTCTAATAGAAAGCAAAGAGTCAAAGTGAAAGGTCATAACAGCTTCTGGGGTAAACTTGGAGAAGTAGTGCCACAGGGATCAATACTTGGACCTCTACTTTTCAATATTTTCCTAAACGATATTTTTCACAGCCTTAATGAAAGGTTTTTATGTAATTTTGCTGATCACAACACGATATCTGTCACTGCAACAAATACTGATGATGAAATGTCTTGATTGGTTTAAATCTAATGAAATGATTGTAAATCCCTCTTAATTTCAAGCTATCACAATCGGCAGCAAAGATAAATGCATAAATGAGTTTGAAATTGACCAAGAATTTGCAATCAAAATAGAGAAGAACGTTACTTTGCTTGGTGTTCAGATCGATGAAAATTTAAAGTTTGATACTCATACCGATTAGATCTGTAAAAAGGCAGCTAAACAGTTAAATTCTTTAGAAAGATTGACAAGATTTATGGGCGACAGAGAAAAAAGATTATTATGAATTCATTTATTCTATGTCATTTCAATTATTGTCCATTGATATGGATGCTATGTGGTAAAGGATGAGACTAGCCTATTCGGACTATTCATCTTCGTACAAAGATTTACTTGCTAACTCAAATGAAACTACCACACATGTCGAATCAGTTAGAATTTTAGCGCTCGAAGCTTATAAAAAAATTAAAAAACTTTATCCTGTTTTCATGAAAGACTATTTTGTAACCGTCATAACCGGTCATAACCTTCGACTCAAAAACCCCCTTGACATTCCAAAAGCCAGAACTACCAATAATGGTATCAGATCATTAAGTTTTCAAGGGCATAAAATCTGGAATTCACTCCCAGAATCAATAAAGACAGCACAAAATACTAGAAAATTCAAGAATTTGATCAAAACTTGGTTCCTCGAAAACAAGGGCGCATGCTTGTTTCGCAGTAAACAATCTGTCTTATGCAGTCCTTAAAATTGCTTCATGTTAGTCTTAAATAGTGTATATTCACTATTTTAAAAACTAACCTTTTATTGCTGTCTTGTATGGTATACACAAAGCTACAGGCTTTTTCTTCACTTCTGCTGGAGGCTAGGTACACACAAACTGACAAATGCAGCCTGGGTCTATAATAATTCAGGCTTCTATGCTCAAAAAATTCAATTTTTCATTAACAACGAAGAACATTTAAAAAGCGGACCGCATAATCAGAAAATGTATTATCATTGTGTCCGTAAAGCTTATACGTAAAGGAAGTGGAACTATATTTTCATAAAACCATAGAGGAAAAAGTGTGATGAAAATGAAATAAGAATATGGCATTTATCGAACGAAAGTAAGGGGAAGAGCAATTATTTTGAATACTACTTAACAATAAATCAAGTTTGATCATCACATAACGTAATATAGTTAATCAATCATCGCAATTTATTTGAATAAAGGGATAAAGGGAAATATTAATTTTGACGTTTATTACTACCTTGTTTAATACTGCTCAATTGTCTGAAAGTTTTGAAGCCGAGAAATAAGCAAATGAATAAATGCTGTTCACAAAAGAGTAGTAAGAAAAGTCAATGGACACAATAATTCATCCAAGTAGCTTTGGCCTTCCAGGCATTGGCCTTGTTATGAATTTAGTCGAAGAGAATTGCCAAGTTTTATGCTTGATCAAGATACGTTTCATGATATTTTTCATTTAAGATCTTGTTTTCGATTTCAAGAGTCTCTGCAATCGATATCCTACTTATTTCGGTTTTCCTCTTCTTTTTCTATTTTATTTTACTTTTTTATTTTTTTTTTCTATTTTTTTATTTCTCTGTTTAAGTTAGTCGTTTTGCTTTACCAAAAACCTTGAACTCTGCCCTGTTCATTTCAGAATTTCTGTTGCACAACGTATTAAATAAATTCCGAAAAAATCAAGATTTGTCATACATTCCGAAAAATGCAAAATTTTGTCTACTGAAAGCACAGTACAAATTCTGCAAGAAGGCACTGCAGACTTTCCTATGCTATGAAGAAGCTAAAAATCTTGCAAAATGAAGACGCGAAACATTTGCTGCAATAACCATGTCCAAACTTTGAATGCCTTGAATAACACAACAGCGCGACAAAGAAATCAAAGAATCTAGCTTAACATAATGATAATAATTACTGGAGAATACAAATCCAAAAACGTTACACTTTTGATTGAAACAAAGTTTATCATCCCATTGGTCATTTACCTTTAAAGCAAACTGAGCTGCAGCAAAGGACTATGGTGTGAAGAATCCCTCACAAACTGGAAGTTATGCTTCTTAAGCATGGGGAAGGTTGGTTAGTTTTCCAAATCGCAATATTGTCAAAATGTTATGAACTAAGCGATCTTCTTCTGCAATTTCAAAATGGTGAAGGGCATGGGTGTTGTGGTACAGGCACCACAAAGCGTTGAGAAAAGTGAGGGGTCTAAAAAAGGTGACATTTACATAGGTTAATCAGCAACCTCAATATTGAGGGCTCCGCTGATGAAATACGATTGGCCATTGCATGTACAGCCGTTTGACAAAAATTGGTTGGGTTGAAATACAAGGGAAAAAGTAAAGGGTTGGTGGCTACTGAGCTCACATGCAGGGGGCGCCTAAAGTATTTGCAGGGTGAGAGGGGTTAAATAAAATAAAATGTGGTTTGACTGGTGATTCGTTGGTAAATTTTTGCATTGTTGCCAAAATTTTGGGGCTATAGCCCCCCAGCCCCTTACCGCGGTGCCTGTGAACACGCCCTGATTTTGGCTTAGATAGTCATGAAAAAGTTTTGGAGAATAAAAACGAGGATTATATACTTTGCTTTTGAAAAGAACTTTTATTTTGTGTGTTGATTTTCTGTAACTATAATTGATTCATGCACTGCCCCCGGTGTAGACATATTTCCGCTTTAATCAATTGTTTGGGAACCAAGCCCATTATGTGGTGCGGTTTGATTCATTCCTCGATTCCCTGTGACGAGTAATTCTGACTGTTCACAACTTCCTTGAGTGGCCTTTACTGCGACTAAACTCCGAAGATCTTTTCTCCTACTGCATGAAATCACAGACCGACTGATTTAGCAAGTTTTTTCGCTGAATATGGAGGTTGGTTAGTGGCAGTTACAAGATTTTGTACATTGAATTGTTTGCCTTATTACTCCTGAGAAACTTGAAGGCCCTGGAAGAATCATTATTAAATGAAAAGTACCTTCAGCATTTGAGGCAAAATGAGTGCTGCACATTCTAGAGCAAACATTCTTCATAGGAATCCTGAGAATGACTTTGAGCTCATTCAAAAGATTGGTAGTGGTACTTATGGAGAAGTGTACAAGGTATCGTATGTTCTTTTTGTTTGTTAGAAACATGAAATGAAATGAAAGAGAACCCCAGAAGGAACACACCGAAGGTACACCAAAAACTGTTTTTCACACAGTAACCTCAAGCTAAGAATACCTTTTTCTCAGTATTACTGACAAGCAGCACCTTTTGGCATGGTTTTACCTACTTTTATAAAGGGACAATTGGCCGAAATCTAAAAATAGATGATGTAAAATATAGTTGCTAAGTGGAGTTAAATTGATTAAATATATAAAAAAATAGCTCATATAATTTATACATGGCATTAAAGCAGGAACGGTATGTCCTCACTGAAACATTCTCATAACCAAAAAAACTTTAGAAGCAACTAGTTTTTTGTAGGTTTTTTACATAGATTTATAGCAGAAGAAACATTCAAAAAATATTGATGTCACTTTCATCTCAAATTTTTAATAATCTGTCCTCTTCACTAAGATGTTTTAGACCCCTCTGGAACCTTCAGAATTAATAAGCCCCTAGCATAAATAGCGCTTTTACAGTAATTATATTGTTTTCTATCATGTACTCAAATGTTTGCTTTGGTGTTAAATTCAGTATTGAGATTAAATGAACTCATTCTGGTACAAGTTTTTCTTCTTGTCTCATGTAATGGTGGTCTAAAAGTTCCCTGTTTGGTTAAACAATAGTTTAATGTTAGAAGTCATAATTTCAATTTGATTCTACAGCAAAACATTGAGATGCATTTTTGGTTGAGTGAACATTTTATTGGAAAATTTGTTTATTGTGAGGGTCAAATTTATCTTATGACAGTTTTAATTCCAATTTTTTTAATTGAGGCAAGAGTGAAAGCCACCGGCTCCATGGCAGCTGTAAAAATTGTTCACATTGATGCAGGTAGGTGTATTCCAAGAATGCTCATTTTACCATGTTTCATTCTGAGAATAAAGCCCATTCCAGTACAAATGCAAACTCTTACGAATAGCTTACATATATTTGTCTATTGCCTTATAATTACATGAATTAATTTTACAACATGCTATTTTATATGTGTATCCATTTCCATTTTGTTGCATCATTATTTCCTTCTGCAGCTTATTCACACCACAGAGATTGACACTTTAGGCAAAATGGAACAGAAAACCATTTTCCTTGCTTCAGTCATTGATCTCAATATTGAGCTTCCTAGGTCCTCATTCACAACTTTTTCACCACAACATTCAACCATGTCAAAGCCAATTTTGTCGGGGGCATCATCAACAGTTAGATCACTAACCAAATTCATTTTCTCACTCTTTTGTATCTGTGGCAAAAGTTGTCTCCCAAAATTGGTGTGACCCTTACTTTCCTTTTTTGATAATCCACAATGGATCATCTTCTAGCACTGCCTCAGCTAAGGCAAACTTCTTTGTATGGATCAGTGTCAAATTTGAATCTTCATGATCAAGGATAACAACTTTCTAATTATCCCCATACGACTGTATCAATGTCAACAATCGAATCCTCAACCTGCAAAATCCTCAAGAGCTTCTCCTATTAATTTTTTTAAATCAAAGAGTTCTGTAAGTATACCATGGATAGTTATCAAGTACTGCCCCTTATTCCTTACCTGAACTCTTTATGCTCCCTTTATTTACAAAACAATTTTTATGAAAATTCATTTGTAAAGAAATGTCTCAGCCTCACTTCTGACTGATTATCTGATAATCATTGAATAGTGGGGTAGAGACCAGAACTGCACTGCCCACTGGGCCCTGGGAGCCCACAAACAAATAGGGCCCCAAGAATATTTCAGAAGTTTAATACGGTATTATAGGGTTTCTCTTGCATAAGTTTCTTATCAGTGTGCAAATGCAAGACCTTAAGGTATGCAAGCTTCAAGAATTGATATGGATGATTCCATCTTGTAAGAAGATACGTGGCACCCTAACTTCACAAAAGGAAAAAAGGATGCTCTTGACAATCTTATACATCTATCAAGCTATGTGAAATTATCAAATGTCTTTGCCAAAAACTATATACAATATACAACCTCTTACATTACCACTTATTTTATGAATGGAAATGAAAGAGCAGAGTTTTTGCAATCATGCTTTCCTTGAAGATCATTCTAGACTTAAAATAAATAAACATAGTTTATACAAGGCTTCAAATACTAAAAAACAACACATAAGAAAACATCAGAAAGGTGAACGTTATTGGAGACCTTTTTAATTATATAGCAAAAATCGCCAAAATTTCATAGAAAAGGGCAAATAGAAAGAAAATATTTAAAATCTTTGGACCAGTTAGAGAGGATGGAATGGTCCAATCTGCTGACAGATAAAGCAAAAAATGGATGATAACCATGATATGTTCGACAAAAACATTGAAACAGATTTTGAAATGTTCACCCAGAAAGCACAAAACGCTGAAGCACAAGAAACTACTGTACTTTACCTCCCTTACGGTTTTCGCTAGAAGCAATTTCAGCATTAATGTCAATGTACCTTGCCCAAAACGTGATGAAAATTCAGTTATTGGACTTCTTTTTCATTCACAACTCCAAGCCGTCCCAATAACTCTCCATGTCAGGACTTTGTCCCAATAACAGGATGTGAGAGATTTTGTCCCAATCTTAAGAAAACCCATCCAGTCATGTTGCATAGGCGAAATTGCTTCAAAGAGTGCATTTTCCAGCGAACTGGAATCACTCATATTTGAAAAATTTTTGCCACCTCGGGTAGTTCGAAATCGAGATGTTTTGTTACAAGGAACCTTCTCTTTTCATGAATTACACTGACTTTTATGGCTTTATTTCCCTTCTACAACTAGACCTTTCTATAGCATCCAATTCAAGCTATTGAAGTCATATTTCTGCTATAGCTAAACCTACATCTACATCTCTTAGATTGCAGCAAATCTATGTGCTTCACCCGACAGCAATTTCCAAGTGACATAAATGAATATATTTTATTTTTTTTCTACAATTTCACCAGAATGATTTATGTCTTGTGCAACAGCCACCTCCAGATCTTCAGCCAGTTGAGAAAGCACCTGCCCAATTTTTGGTCAAGCTCTCATAAAAAATCCTCCACATAGCAGCCACCTCCAATGAATGGCCAAACGACCACTTGGGAGTGCCCAGTGCCTTTTTTACCTCCATTAACAGCCAAGCAGGTTACCTTTTGCAAAGAAATGAAAGAAAAATTCAATAAAATTTGTTTCTATTTAAAAATTATTTATGTTTTTTTAAAAAATCATTAGCTTTTTCCAGCTTTCTCATGTCCCCTTGTTTGCCACATCACAGATATTTCAAGTCCTAATCCACCCCTACAATTTATTTCTATAATATCCTAAATCATGACTTTGTACTACATGTAAGTAAAACAAGTGTATACATGCCATCCCCCTCTTCTGAATAGATTTTTTGCTAAAAAGAATATATATATAAAAAAACCTAAAGCCGTCACCTCCAAAACAACAGCCACTAAGCTTGGTCCCTAAAAGTGTCCACTATAAGACGTTCCACTGTACTTCCATATCGCTTGGATTAGTTTTGCATGCATCAATGTTTTCTTGATTTTTTTGCTTAAGGGGAATAATAACGAAATCCAATGTGACAAAATCCATGCAGTTTTCCTTTATTTTTGCCACTGTGCTTGTGAATGCTTAATATATACAATTGGTTTTTTAGGGGATGATTTTGACATCATTCAGCAAGAAATTGTTCTGATGCAAGATTGCAAACATCACAACATTGTGCAATATCTTGGAAGTTACTTAAGGTATGTTCATTTTCCTGATGATGCAAATCGATGCTAAAAATGGAGGTTGGTCTTGATGGAACATTTTATTGAAGAGCAACAGAAAGACCCTAGCCTTTAACACCACATATCATGTTATATTGTGTTTATGTTTTTAAATGAAGCAATAACCATTTTAGCAATAATATACCAAAAATCCTCAAATCTCTCGCCCCTTGAATAAGCCCACCCTCGAATAGGCCCCCACCCTACAACTACAAATTGTCAATTTTATAAGCCCCCCCCCCTCGAATAAGCCTCCACTGCTACCCTAAATCCTTCAATTGGCCCCCTGGATTTGTTGATTGTTGCCATCTGAAGTTTCCTTTGGTGTTTTATTGAATTAACAAAAATCTTCATACTTTTGGTAACAATTAATGAAATGTTAATGAAGGAAGTCAAACTAAAATGTACAAAGTCTTTTAATAATGTTATCTTGATGTCTACTATAATTTTATAAGCCCCCCCCTTGTATAAGCCCCCCTTGAATAACTTAAGAGTTTTCCCACAAGAGAAATAATTTTGCTGATTTCGCAAACTTCATTTACCTTTATTTCTCTAATTTTGTACCTTTCAGGCGAGACAAGTTATGGATTGCAATGGAGTTCTGTGGTGGTGGCTCTTTGCAAGATATTTACCATGGTGAATTTTCCTTTTAATAAAGATAATTTATATGAAATTTATAAACATGTTTGAGTGTTATTTATGCATAATGTCGTCTTTACATTTTAAATAAATGTTTTAATCTTTGCAGTCACTGGCCCCCTTGCTGAAAAACAGATTGCATTTACATGTACAGAAATGCTAAAGGTAAACTAACCTTGCATGTTGTTATGTTAATTTGATTCTTGTGTCTCAATAATGGGTAGATAAAGTATATTCAAGAGTTATTTATTGATAATGTATGACAGAATTGGATATAGGGAGCATGTTACAGAATATATTCATCATTGATAGATAGACAGTACATTATACAATGTCCAGAACATATTGCCCCTTTTGTGTATAGTAAAAAGCTGAGATCTTCAATTATATCACTTGGATTTTGTCACTATGAGTTAAAAGTTTCCAGAAATTTAGAAAAGAGTACTAACTATCACACTATTATTAAGAGAACATGTTGTCAAGTTATCATTTGCAGTTATCATTTGCTTTTCTTAATCATAATTTCCTGGAGAGTTCTAAAGATTATTCTAGATCTAGCATCATTGATAAAATTTGTAACTTTTAATCTTCTAGGGTTTATCATATTTACATGGAAGTGGTAAAATTCATAGAGATATCAAAGGGGCCAATATATTGGTCACAGATGATGGCAACATCAAACTAGGTTGGTATTCTTGACCCTTTGCTACAGCTTTGAGAAATACTATTTAAAATAACGATCTTTGTTAGGACTAAGACGTTGTACAAGGAGTTTTTTCTCTATATACTGTGACTCTCCTTTATAGAGATCTTTCTGAACATATATCATTAACTTTTTGGTGCATCCTTTTAGCTGATTTTGGAGTCTCAGCACAGATCACTGCTACCCTCAATAAACGAAACTCGTTTATAGGAACCCCATACTGGTATGTTGCTTATTATATAATGGAACTTATTACTGTTTATATCTGAGATCTTCTAATTGTCTCAAGAAATGGCAAGTGAGATTCCGTTTCAGGAGAATAAAGAATAGTTTGAAGAAACATGCACACAAACTTTTCGTGGTACAAAATTGAAAATGGCTTTGAAAAAAGTATACAGTCAGACTTACTTAAGCTTTCTTCCTGGCACTCTTCAGAATATAAAACGTCAGAACATAGATCAAATCAATAAGCTAGGAAATATATATAGCCAGTTGTGGATCGAAAAAGGCCCATCAGAAACGTGAGCACATTACTATTGAGGTTGCCCAATCAGTGCCATTTGCCTTTTGAAAATGCTACCAATGGAGTCCTATGGTGAAAACGAATTCTTTCTGTTTACACAATAGCAGTTTTTTCATGCTCATGTAGATAAATTCCAAAACTTGTTTACGGTACCAAAAAGGCCCTTCCATCCATTCAAAAGGATTGTGTGTCTATCCTATAACCCAAAAGAGTTCCGTTATCTCTGAGTTTACGTGCCAGTGTGATTCTGGCTACGTAGGACGCACAACCCAAAGATTGGGGGATAGAATAAAACAGCTTTTCCTTTGTAGCATTAGTACCAAACTCTCCTCAAAAGAAAACAGCCACTTCAGTGTTGCTGATCTATAACTACAACTAAAGCATGCGATTCTGCTATCGGGCAGCATTTACTGGAAAACCCAGATTGTGCAAAAAACTATAATGGTGACATATTTCGGATTATTGGCAAAGCCCATCTAACAATTTTTGAATTACATGTTCTTCAGAAACATGTGCATGATACTGACCCATTAACTGAAATTGAAAGTCTCTGTAAGATGGTAAGTGTAATGAGATTTAAGATATCTTTCTAATGAACTTTGTCGCTTTTTAATTACTGTATTTAGTGAAGGTTACTTTTATGCTGTTTTATTACAAATTTCAGGATGGCACCCGAGGTTGCTGCTGTTGAAAGAACTGGAGGATATGATCACCAGGTAACTTTTTACTTACCGTAATGCCTCGTTTAAGCGCCTCCCCTCAAATAAGCGCCCCCCTCGAATGAGCGCCCACCCTAGAGGTGAAATTATTGAATAAGCGACCCCTGCAATTCACCGCGATCGAATTTTCGATGACAACATAATTGGAAGGCAATTCACCAAGAAAGATTAAATGACCAACACAGTTTGATGTAGTTTTCATTTTCATTGTTTGCCTTTCCATCATAATAACATGCTTCAATTGAGAACACATTCATTTTTTAGTCTCTTCCAAATCTATTTTTAAAATAAGCGCCCCCCCCGAATAAGCGCCCACCCTGGAGCCTCAAAAATTAAATAAGCGTTCGGGCGCTTATTCGAGGCATAACGGTATTGCATATTTCAGCAAATATATTGTAAAATAAACTTTGAAAATGGCATTAATTATTGAATATTGCAACAATTTCATTTCTGTTTTAGTGCGACATTTGGGCAGTGGGAATAACAGCTATCGAGTTAGCGGAGCTTCAGCCACCTCTGTTTGATCTGCATCCAATGAGGTTGTTGTCATTACTAAATAACAAATCTTGTAGGGGGGCATAAGTTCAGTGGGTATAGCTTAACAGCCAAGTCTTTTGGGGTATTCAAAAACACATTCCTCATTATATTTTCACTTGAACTTTGTCAGCATATGTCAGCAATACATGTAAATTGAAATTATTTCTGCATGAGGTTTTTGTACTATTATTAATTTTACTAATTGTTAGTGCATTTCTAATCGTTATTGGCATAAGATTAATGTTGACAAATAAATTAGTCCAAATTAGACAAATAAATAGCATAAAAGTGACAAATAGTTCTTTCATAACATTAGTAGCTGAAATATAGGCTTTAAGTGGAGACATAGCAAGTCTGACATTTCAAAATAGATCGTGATTCAAGCAACAATGTTATAAATTGTTTGTGGAACTTTTGCTTCATACCCCCGTTTATTATGGCATCTGTTTCACATCATCTTACATGTGGCACCAGTAATAATTTATTTGTTGTAGAGCTCTTTATTTGATATCAAAACGAAACTATACACCACCCAATGTCAAAGAGAAGAATAAATGGTTAGTCCATTTTCATAACAATTTCATCCTTAATTTAATCTTGACTCGTATTGGAAGGCTCAACCCTCATAAACAAAGTTTTTGTTAACGTTGTGAATACGAGGATTAGCATTATATGACGAATCGACGGTCTTTCATTGCTGACGAAAGCTCCTTTTCAGTATAGCTTTTTTGAAGAAAAATTTTTATTAGAACATTTTCCTTTCGCTTGCATTTTGTTCAATACTTAGTTTCCCAGGCGTGCAAATATATCAGCTCAAATGACATTATTGAGTTGCCGAATAACACAAAGGTAAAAAAACTTCAAAATCGAGGTAAAGCAACCTAAATTATGACCATGAGCCTTTGAATTCCACGTGCTTGAAAACTGGAGAACCGCCATTTTGATGACGTCATGCACAATTTGGACAATAACTCGTTATTTGCAGTTCTGATAGAGTTTATTCTTAAGAACTTTTTGCTCCTATTACAATGCCAAACAAGATGGTTGGAGCGATTTTTCAAAAAAGAGAATTAAAAATTATGATGACCGGGGAAAATGACGTCATCGATCACGTGATTTCTATTGTGTTACAAAAATGTATCCAAGGCTTGAAATATTCAGCAAGGCTGAAAGTACCCAAATCAAGAGCAAAAACTAAGGTTAGGCACTTTGCTCGATTGTTGTTAAAAATTCCCTGTCTATTAACGGTGGGCTGAAAATGAGCAAGCCATTCACCTTCTAGGTTTAGAGGGAGCCTTCAATCCTTTTCCAATCATCTTTAGTGGAAAATCCCTGTCAAGTGTTTGTTGGCGTGACATCAATGATTACATTTCATATTTAGTCTGCTTTTTGCCATTGTTTTTCTAATCTGAGCAACTATATCATGATCCCAAGGCTGAGAAACTCCATTATAGGTAGTGTGTTTTTCTTTACAAAGCGCAATTTCCATTCCACCCCTTCAGAGAAATAGCATTTCTGGGCTACTTGTATATTTTCTAGGGCCATAACCCTTTCTGGACATAAGACATATATTACCATGTAAATCTGAATTGTCGCTTTGCATCGCTGTGACTTCATTTTTTTAGGTCCTCTGATATGAGGGACTTCATTAAGCAATCACTGACAAAGAACCCAAAGAAGAGACCACCAGCTGATAAACTATTGCAGGTATTTTGCAAAAATCGTTCTTTTTTCCATTTCAGTTATTCTCCCCTTTTGAGAATTAAAAAATCTTGGTTTATATATAAGTTGTGCAAAATGCCTGGCAAAAACGTATTTTAAAGGAAAAGAATAAGATTGAAGCTGCTAGAATAGAGCCTTGATCTGATATTTAGGTCGCATCGAAGTCAATGATGCATTTATCGAGTTGTCTCTGGTAGAGACTATTAAAAAACTCAACATTTGAAAGCGAAATTGCTGATTCTAGTGTTAAAACTTCTGTTTGTTGTTAACAATAAGGGAAATCTCTGAACTTCCTTTGCGTAGTTTTTTGTATTTTTTTCTTGCTTTCCAGCATAACTTCTGCAGTTTGGGTGCTGGCGGGAGAAAATTTGTCGTTGAGTTATTATCGAGGCATGCGCAGCTAAAAGAGAAAAAGCAGTTTAGATACAGTGGTGAACCAGAACCTGAGTCTGTTGAGCAAAAGGAACAAGAAAAGGTACTTGTGGTCTAGCAGCGAGTTTTAACTAAAAGTGTCTATGATGCACCTGTTTGACCAGTTCTTAAATGATTTTAGCCGGAAAACAATCGAGGAGCTGGTTGACATGGAAGCAAAAACATTGGTTTTTTGGGCTTCATTTAGTCGGCACCTTATTATCTTGCCGACCACCCATCCAGCGCTTTTTCTGATACCAGTGATGATTTACATTTGCCTTTGAAAATTGGGAAAATGGTTTCTTGCATTTTGCGGAGGGCCCCTTTGCTGAAGGATCAGGACCCATTTATTAGAAAACAATAAAGAATTACCTGAGAATAAAAAAGAAAAATGAGTAATTTTCCCGTATATTGCTCAAGTTGATTAACACGGAAGAAAGTTTATTTGAAGATGAATTAAATTTCGACTTTTTAAGATATGGTCGAATGCAGGTGTAGCTGAAATTTTTCAAAATTTGATGTTGTTTTCTCTCAATGGTTCATTGTCTTGTTCCATAGTTTGATGTCTGTTTGAATCTTTTAAACATCTTTCTATCTATCTAGTCGGAAAAAACAGTGAAGAGAATTAAGTCAAAGAAAAATAAAAAAATGAAAGATAGGGCTGAAGCTGCAAACGTTGACAGTGAGTCGTGTTTTACTATCTATTGGAATTTTTGTTTTGTTGAATCCATTATCGATATAAGTGAACTTCTAATTGCTAAAATTATATAATATTTTTATAGTGTAATGCAATAGCAATCATGTCATTCCTTTGCTTATTTTTACATTTTTCTAGATCTCAATTTAAGATTTCATGTTCGTTTGTTTTGAGCTATTAACCGTTTTATTTTAGTGCCAGAAAACCCATCACCAATTAAAAAGGAAGTTGATCCTAGAGAAGACGTAAGTTATCAGTCCTAACTCTTTTCCAAACCTCTTATATTATTGCTTATTTTCTATTCCGCAATGCCCAGTGTAATACTTCATGTAAGAACCTTTCTTTTAATTATTTTTCTCCATATCATATTTCAGCATTTCTCTCTTTCCATCAGCCACGTGAATGTTTTTGCAGACTTCTTTGCATTTAGCTTCGTAGCACAAAATTGTTATTGGCTAAAACTTAGCATTTTAATATTTTTGTTTTCTTTTAGGGAACATTCAGACGGCAATCTAAGATGTAAGTGCATGGCCTTTCTATTTCTCTATTTCTGTACAAACTTATTTTTATTCATCAAAAGCTATCATTTTAATCGTGGACCATGATCTAGTTATTTTCTCCTTTCAGTGACGATGCAGGAACATTAGTGGTGAAACATCCAAGCCAAAAGTAAGTAACTGGAAACTATAGATTCCTCGATTAATCCAAAATTCTATTAAAGTTTCATAGACCAACATCCCATAAAAGCTGTTATTAAACTATTTCTATCTAAATACCTTTCTGTCTACCCAAAATGAAATTTTATACAGGACCATTTGACAAGTAAAAGGTATCTCTTGACGTTTATTCTGATCAAGTCTTCGAGACTGTCTTTTGTGATCTTACCCAATGCATTTGCAAATTTTCAGCGATAATTCTCAAGAAGGCAGCACAATCAAAGCAGCTTTGAGACCAATGCAACCATTGCCTAATGATGCCGCACCTCCAATACCGCCAAAAGTACGCCCCAAAAATATCCTTTTTTACTCAATTTTAGAAAATATTTCTTTTCATTCTAATCTTGGTAACTATATTAAGATCATCATGTAAAATGAAGTCTATTGTGTTTTAGCAATTTCCATGACACTCTTGATATCATGATTTCCATGAAAGCAAAACAGAAAGTTTTGTGTTATTTAACATCTATTTAACGTTTATTGTAGACCATTACACGAGATAGAGGTAGCCCTGAATTTCACGCTCCCCCCGTCCCTCCAAGACCACGTGGTGAAGACAGTGAAGAAGACCCACCTCCACTTCCGCCAAGAAAGCCCTCCGCAAGGGTATGTACCTTCGAAGCTACTTCGCAGTGGCCACCATTTCTATTTCCCATATAATTTCTTTTTTTTCACCAGATGGTCGACTTCTTGCGGCTTTTGCGATAGCCCTTATCTCTGTAATGCTAATCTGTATCGAGTTTATCTGCAATTTCGAACGTGCGAAGAAGCAAATTCTAAATGATTTACTGAATTTCTTCGACGAGCTTTGTTCTTGTATCATAAACTAAATTGTTTATTCTATCTTTTAGCCTGGCTCACAAGCCTTTATCAATAACACTCCAGTAAGTATCCTTTGCAACTTTTATCGTGCAGTTTGGAAACTTTGACATGGATTAGCTTTTATTTCCATGGAATCGACCTAAGTTAAATTGTTATAAGAATTCTTTGTTTTGTTTGTAGAGTTGCCGGGTGTAAACAATAAAGGGCTGATAAACCCCTCCATTGACACAAGAAGGGTTTTTTTCAGAGCTCGTTCCAAATTTAATATATATTTACATTTAAAGGAAACAATCATTTGTATTTATTGTTTAATTTTTTTAATATTTTAGCGAAACTGCTTTACGAAGGTGTTTAATGAGTGCCCGTTGACCATTCACTGTGCTAGTAGCTGGACACATCCAGAAAATCGAAGTATGTATGACTGTCTAGTGGATTTCTTCTCAACAAGTTACATCTGCACATTGCTTTCCTTCCCACTTTATTCAGGAAACTGATGGCAGAAATGATTGCATCACCAATTATTTCGTCCTATTCTTTAGATAATTTGCAGATTCGCTTTTATTTCAATGTCTATTTTTGTTGTGATCATTGAATATCTACCCTGCAGATCACTTCCTTCTCTTTGCATCCAGCGAGGGAATATACAGCCTTAATCTTGATGATACATCAAACGTCGAAATGGTTCAAGTGAGTAGTGACGCTAACTTTCTTTTCATACTAATACATGTGCTTTTGTCTGATCACACTGCATGAATTGTTCCGTAATCTGAATCCGATTAAACAGCATCCTCCTATCGACATGCCGCTACCATCTTTGTCAGGCAAATGTCCTTATTGATTTTTGTTTTTACCCTCTTCGACAGCAAGATTTTCCCTCTTACCCTCTTCATAACGAATTATGATAGCAAAATTGGGGTTAATATTGACTCCCCCCCATTGGAAATGCAAAACCAAATGCGGAAAACCTACACAAGCATGCTTGAACGTCATCCTAGTATTCTGAATAAGTTAATGCCATAAATCTTTCCTTTTAAGGTTTATTTGCAGCCATGCACCTGGTTGTACGTCATTAAGAATATCTTGGTCTCTATATCAGGTTTGTTGTAAATAGTTCACACTGTTCAAGGAGAGATAGATTTTAATAAATTCTTTTTGATATAAAGTTTATGTAAACTTTAATAGGAACAAGCAAATGATATTCATCTTTTAGAATTAGATAATGCTGTGATGCTACTGGTTGTCGTTACGTATTCGCAAAAGTATTTGTCTGAGAAGGGCTTCTGCTCTAGTATTTACCCAGTAAACTCACTAAGGAAATTTTACCCACACAATACGAGCTATTTCTCTATTTCAAAGAAAAGTTTGAATATCGCATTGTCTACATGTGTCTAATAAATTTATTTATTTGTTTATATAACCAAAGGTTCAGAGAAAAACTAAATATGTTTCTTTTCATCATCTCCAAAATAATTCCATCCGCTCGGTTCAAGAGCAACATTTCAGAAGGCGCCTTTCTTTCTCTCTTTGGATCCAAGGATATACCACCGATTTCCGATTTTACCAGTGCGACTTCTATGAAGAAGTGTTGCAACTAAGACCCCGTTTACACTGTGCCGGATAAATTTTACCCTCATCAAAATTAGTTCAGATAGGCGTCGCGTTTACACTAGACCCACACTGTCCGCACAAATTTGAGAGCGGCTATTCGAACAAAATTAGTTCACCTAGGAAAATGGATTAAATCAGTTCGGATAGTGTAAGCGCTTTTATCCGTAAACGGGGTCTGATTGTCATTAAGCCCTTAAATGAGAATATTAATCGACGACTAGAAAGATACCAATGTCGTGTATCAGTGACGTAGGTATGTCATGTGCCTTGTCAAAATCGTTGTCCCCGAAAAGAGTCTCCTGTTGCTTATCTGTACTCTCTTAGCTCTAAGATTCACATTGAAACACAGGATTTTCATTTGTCCTTATTTTTCATCCTACAGGTTCGCCTCCAAGCATTTATATGCATAATTTGATGGCTCTTTTTGCTGCATCTTCAGGGGAACAATATGTACCGCAGCCAAGGTAAGTAACATGTAAGAGAACGCAAGCCATTACCTCCTTTGCTTTTCACCATTAGAGTTGCCAATGAGCTGGAAGTTTTCAGAATCAATTTATTATTGATATAGCCTTACATTTAACCAAGACAATAAATTTTTTTTGATGATCTAGTGTTAACCTTTCTACCTTTAAAAGCTAATTTTCACCTTAGCACAAACTGCAACTCTTTCGTTGCCCAAGTCGATAGCGACACAACAATCTCTTTTATGTCTCTCGATTGGCAGTATAGAAATCGTAACTGTATTCACTTTTCAAGATGCTTTGTTATTTCTTCAGGGAAATCCCAATGACAAGCAAAGTTACTGGAACTCAAGGTGTACGCAAATGCTGCGTTGGTACGAATTACCCTCCTTTCTAGTTTGTTTACTTTCTTTGACAAATCGAATGATAGAACAATCCCATTAAGTGCGTGAAAGAAGGTAGATTGCTTTGGGTACTAAACGATTCTTATAAATGAGACTAGTCAAGCGGGACGCGAGAATGGAATTAGACAAAGCGGTGTTGCAATGGTGTGGTTTAAATATGGACTAGAAGAAAGAAACTACTGATATCGAAATTAAAACTCCACTTGCCATGTTGACGGATTTTTACCTCTATACATTTTTAGAGACGCATCTTTTGTCTGTTTCCAATTTTAGTTCACAACCCATACAACAACCAGATTTACATGTGTGCTGCGCTCGTCAACAGTGTGTTGCTGTTGCAGTGGTACGAGCCTTTGCAGAAATTTATGACTGTTAAGGTTCGTCTGCTACCATGTATAAGTATAACCTGATTTTATTTGTCATTTTTGTTCGAACCCTCATTGCGTCAATACAAATATGATTAGTTTGATTTCAATTTTTAAGTTATTGAAGTAGGTGAATTTCTTCTTCGTTTTAAAAAATGTCAATTTTTGTGGGACGTAATTGTCTGAAAGATACAGAATGCGTAGATTTACAGCATAAAACTGTTACACTAGATTTGTTATCTCCTACTTGTCCATAAATAGACCATATATTGTTGTGTTTGGTTACACACATAGCAATTTAATTTTAGTTGTATTCATTAAGAGTTAGGAATAAACATTACTTCAAATAACTCAATTTCTTCTGTTTTCCAGAATTTTCCATGCAATCTCCCAGACAGTCTGAATTTGTTTGAAGCAATCGTGATCAAGGGATCTGAATACCCCCTTGTTTGTCTAGGAGTTTATTTGAGGTAATCCCTATTTTGTATACCTACTGACAGTTTGTCTTCACCCGCCTCTTTCTCTTTCGTTGACCTTGTACACTGGCTTGCGTTCTGTAGCCCTCCTTATATGAGGGTGATGTTGAAACAGCATTGCAGAGGTTGCATTTCGATTCTTTTTAGAGTTGTTGAAGTTATTTCTAATGTACTGAACCGTAATTTTGTACAAATTTATAGCATCATCAAACACATTCAGTCGTCAGTTTGCTGTGGTCTCGTATAATTTTTTCAGAAGATCCGATTTATTAACTTCATTGTTAGGATGAACCTTTCATTTGCGCAATTGTGTATTTTTACTTTTTAGATTTAAAAGTTGTGGATATGTTTTCCTGATTATTCATGTAAATGATTTTGCATTTTTGTAACTGCTCTTAACAGGCTAACTTTTTATATTTTGCAGGAAAGATGGCTCATTTTTCTTTGATAAAGTAGATTTGAAGGCTGCTTCGAATTGGTTTCTTCATGAAGGTAAGTGCATCGGATTATTGTCAGTGAAGTGGAAGTGATAATTTTCGTTATAGCTGCTTTTAAATGCAGCCTTTCGTTTATGTGTTTTTTGCAATTATGTTTTTGTCTTTTGTGACACGTTTTACTTTATTTATGCAGACTCTAAGCCTCTAGATGTAACCACATTCTCGCAGCTGGAAAGAGATGTAATTTTGATATCGTATGGAAGTAAGTTCTATCATGTTTTGTAATAAAACTTCTATTTGCAATCATTACTCTTTGCTATATTATGTAAAATCCCCTTTTGTTCGTTTTTTAAAAATATTCAAACGCCATGTTCTTATCCCAAGACCCCAACCCCGCCTTTCTTGAAATAAACATGAAGGCAACTTTGAGGTTGAGTTTTATATTTTCTGTACATGGACTACATATTTGAAAGCTCACACAAAGCTTTCCGTGTTGTTTCTATTTGAGCATGACACATTTTTCTTAATAGTCCCTTGATTTCTAAAGGAACTGTTGTATTCGTCAATGTTGATGGTCAGAAGAAACTGATAAGGGGTCACGTGACACAGTTAGAATTTGACAATGATGTTGAGAGCACAGGTGAGTGTTATAACTATGGGTATTAAGGGCTTCAAGAAATATCAGGAGATTTTGTTTGTTGCAAATGATCGGTTGTCAGCGATTGACCTAGGAGATTAAAGTGTTTATTAGCAAGGTGGATTTGCAAGAAAAGCGATAGATGACTTAGGTCGGTCTTGCTTCTTGCGAGGTTTTGAGCTCGCCTCATACTAGTAGACTTGCACCCCTCGACTCAGTCACCTGATCTGTACGAAGACATTCGCTTCATGATTGTGAATATGGACTCCAATCAATGTAGCACCTCTGGTTGTGCTTATTCTGCTACCTTTTGTTTTTTATAAAAACTCATTAGACTTGGGCCTCCGATTCCTCATCTTTAATCATTTCCCCTGGTTATTTCTTATTTGTTAACAGGGATTCAACAGATTTTCAAAAATATATTTTCTCATTACAATCGCTTTTGGTAAGCTGGTAAACAGTAATTTTTATTAAAATGCTTGGAACGTTCATTTTTGATCCTTCTCTGCCAACCTGAAGATACAATTCATCTTTTATTTGCTTTGATTTAGTCTGCCTTCCCGGAGGTGTGCTTACTTTTCACAAATATGGAATCCAAGGGAAAAGTCTTTTAGATGGTCGTGTAAGTATATAATTTCTGAAACTGTATTTTTCGTTGTTACGAGTAGTTTCAATTTATTCCTGAAGACTATATTGTTTCAATTTCCTGAAGAAATAATGGGAAAGAAATAATCAGGAAAGAAAATACAATATTGGTTTTTACATTATGTTTTAAGAACAATGATTTGATCCACTTTTCAAATTTCATTCTCTTGTATGCATTAATCGCTTATATTTAGCTCGTACATTAAATCGCAAAAACTCACTTCCTATTTTGAAATCTTTCAGCCAACTGGCCAGTTCAACGACACTACCAGACTTTATCGTCTTCTTGGCTCTGATAGGTAAGCCATGAAAATTATACAACCCAGCCAAGATAGTTGCATATAATCCACTATCCTTGTTTTCTTTTTGAAGGGAACTGAACGGAGGGGAATTTTCTAACAATTAGTTACATTCATTGAAAACGGTTTTTTGGCTCCTCTAATTGAGTTAATTAGTCCCTATGTCGCCTTGAACCTGTTGAATTACTGTTTTGCCTTCTAGGATTGTTGTCATGGAGAGTCGAATTCCTGAGGAATTGTCATCAAATTTGTTCATTCTGGCCAGCGGATAGTTCACATGAGACTCGAACCAATTACAAGCCTTGATCATGTGATCCTCGTGAAACAGAATTATTGAAGTACAGTCTATAATTATAGCAAAAAGCAAATGGCAAGGCATATCTATTTCCCGAATCCGATTGTGATTTCCACATGCATTGCTTTTGGCACAACCGCAGCGAAGTCTATGCCTTGTTCAGGTCAAAGGTGCAGAAAATAGCTCGACATTGATATATGGCGTAAAGCCATATCTGTGATTTTTATATTTGTAAATTAATGATAATGTTTATCTTTTGAAGAAATTAGCACATTTTGTTACTGTAAGTTTGTTCAGTAAACTCAAGATAATTTTTGTATCTATTTTTCTCTTGAGGGAAGATATAAGTGAAAGAGGCTAGCTATTTAGAATTGTATTGATTGATTGACGATCGACAGGTTGAAGACGTGTAAGAAAAAGGAAAAAAAGGCCTAAACTTATCACTAGCTTCAGTGGGTATTAAAAGCAAAGCTGCTGCAGAACTGAAGCAAGAATAACGACTTGTTACAGCGCTTTGGTCGCTTTGAAATGCAATTTTTTCAAATAATTGCTCGGTGTTGATCATCTTTTGATAAGCATGCTCCATGATATGTCATTGTTTTTGACAGAACATAAAATCGTCATTTTGCACCCTGTAGTAGAGAATTTGTATGTTATTCGGCTTTAAAGTGGTAATTCGGAGATTTTTTAAAAATAAATTGGCTTTTTGCATTTTTTGCCCCCATTCTTGCAGCTACGTCATTTGATAGCACCTGTTTTTGGACATTGAAAATTTGATTTTAGAGTACAAAATTTTGACAAAGAAAATCTTAATCTGGCATCAGTAAGTATTTATACCTTTCACGCGTACCCGTCTCCTAGTCCAAGCCTACTTAGCCCTGTATATTTTACAAATGAAGTTTGATTTGGCTGAACAGCCCCGTGCTAACAGGCCAGTCGTTTACCCAACGATAACAGTTTCAATGTCAGCTCAACTAGGATGAATGGAGAGGAGCTGCTAACTGTCTGTTATACCATAACAAAAAAGTGAGTCGGGCACTACTCAAGGACTACTTTAAGCCACCGCCGAACCCCCTCCCAACCATTTCGAAGAGTAACTTTTTCAACTATTCATTTGGCAGAATTTGCTCTCGGCTTTTAGCACTTGTCTGTCGGGTTTTCTAAATAGACAGCGTTTCATAGCAATACCTTGTACCATTCGTATTAATTTTGACACAATCAAAAAAGGAAACATCCCAGTCGTCTTTGATAGTCGAGTGATTTTGCAGTGCTCCTTTGTTTACTTTTTTATTGCTTGAAAAATATTTGAACATTTGATTAAGATTCGGTGAAAATTGTCTAACCTTATTTTAATGTAAAGCTTCTAGAACTTCAATCGGCATAATTTTTTCAACTGGAAACGTTAGTTCATTGCAATCTAACTATTTATTACATTGTATTTTACAAGCTAGCATTTGTGCTTAAATAATCCAACAGCTTTCCGGGCCTTTTGGTACCCAGGGTACCAAGAAAGATTCTAGACCTTTTCTCTCTTTTTCGTGGCTTCTTAGAACAGCAATGTAAAAATGAATTTTTCTTATCAACAACTTACTACTCTTTTGACTGATTCTGTGTGACACTCACGCTGCTCTAGCGTAACAAAATGAAACCTTTCCCTTGATCCAAATAGCCTAACTCGTGCAATTAAACTATGGGGCGCATAAATTCGAGCGCGGAAATAGAAGATAAGAGTGGAGAAGTGGAGGAACTCTCAGATATAAGCTCTTTTGCTTCTTTGCTCTTATCCTCTATCTGGAAACGAGATAGGAGGCCCTCTTCTTTTACTTTGCTGAAGGGCTACCAAATCCTCTAGCGTTGCCCTGATCACGAATTCACCCATCTTGCTTCAAAGCAGAACGATGGAACTTTTGAGGGATTAGCCCAAAGTCGAAAAATCTTGCAAGACTGAATTTTGCTGGGCACTTAAATTCAGCATGGTTTGTGCAGATAATACTTCCAGATGTGCTAAAGCTTGCCATCTATTATAACTATCTATTATAATTAGACCCTAGTAGAGAAGCTTAAGCAGAAAGATCATTATCTGTCCAAAGAAGAATGAATTCATATCTCAGGAACGTGATAATAAACCTTTTAATTTACTGTAAAGTTATGCTCCTAATATTATGCATCTGTTCAGTCTGTATTTTACTTTCATTGTTCAAGAAAGTTTTCATATCCTTAGGTGTTGCTCTTATAATGAAGGGTGTGGTTAAAGGGCCCCTATACCCATGTGCCCCCACCTTCCAAATGCTTCCTACGCCCCTGTCTGGTACTCAGGGTACTTTCTTGATGATCTTTCACAAAAGTGATGCATTGTGATTTGCAGCCATTGCTAAACTGTTGCAATTTTCCCCATTGCCCACCAGTGCTTGAGAGTGTCGATTTTTCAATTTGTCTAGATCATAGGAGATAGATTTGGAGAAGGTCGCGCACTTATTGTGATGCATTATAAATTGCGAGGATTGACATTGAGGACTTTAAGATATTTCTTTATGATAATGCAAAAATCAGGACTCTGTTTCTGAAGAAATTCTATAAAAACATTTGGGGTATTAGATGCAATTTTTCGTGCTGAGAAAGTGTTTTATCTCTATAAGAAACTGTTACAGAAGGAAAGTTGATGTTGAAGCTGTATGTGGAATTTGAAAGCTATAAGAATTTCTATTGTTTGTCTCTCATCTCATGCCAACCAGCCAGTCACTTTTAGAAAATCACGAAATTTTTGGACCCTGCTCGTTTCAAAGATCAAATTGCTTCTGTTTTGCTTCGAGTGCCAAAGTATCTTGATTCTCTGAATGTCTTGTACTCGTTTCTTACACTTGGTACTTTGATTCTTTGATTTTGAAGCTGTCACCAGCCCACCACGTAACCAAAAGTTACTCTTAGGAGTTCCCTTTTAGTAATATGAGCATTTTTCTATCGGTAAAATAAATTTTTTGACAGGAAAGGGGTGTATCTACTAATCACTGGTCATGTTTTTGAATCTTGAAGAAATAGAGTTTTTGGCAATGATATCATTGTTTTTTTGATACTTTGTCCGAAGGGAGACGCAGTTCGAGGGGCGGAATCGAGGCCAGCCTTTTCGCGGCCAGATCAGTGAAGCCCGCGAATATTGTTTTGTCGCCAAACGAAAATGGCGTTCGCAAGTACCGGGCAGAATACAAGCCGGATAATAGCTCTTGTTGACATGGATTGCTTCTACGTGCAGGTAGAGCAAAGAAGAAATCCCGAACTCAAAGGCAAACCATGTGTGGTTGTTCAGTATAAGAAATGGAGAGGTGGTGGGTAAGTCGATTACATAATATATGCGGTAGGCCTTTACACTTCAAAACCTAGAGATCTAAATTTTTTCTTATGAAAAGCAGGGAGACTTGACAAAAAGCAGAAAAAATGCCGGAATTTGTTGAAATATTTAATCACACCTGTAAAACGTCGTTGTGCGTATGGAAACAGTTATCGAAAAATTACGAGAAACCTTTTCATAGTGATTTTAATTTTTTTATTGTTTTTAAGTGTTTTAAGTAATTTTAAGTGTTAAGTAAGTTTAAATTCGTAAGCACCAACAGCAAAAGTTTGTTATGGAGAAAATCAGTTCATTGTCATAATTTTTTGCATATATATTGGACCTGGAGACTGCCGAGCATGGTAATTCTCGACAAGATCTTGTGTGGCAGGCATTTCTAGGCATTTATCTGGTCAGTTTCTCTGAACCCAGTAACTTATTTGTCCCTCAAGAGCCAATCACTACTTACTTGACCTATGCAAACATCTTGTAAGCCATTCAGAGTGTGCTTCGCCTCTGCAATATTTGCTGGGAGCATAGATGTGACTTGATTTATGGCTTTACATTCAGAAATTAATGTGTGCAACCAAAAGCTTGTGTGATTAGAGTGGAGCGTGCAAATCAAATTTTTTGATAACACAAAGTGACAAAGTGTTGCTATCGAAACAATAAAGTTAACAAACCCTTAAAAAATTAACTAAATGCTACACTGTAAAGTTATGTTCAGGTTCCCCTAAATAAGGCCAAGTTTTTAGAATTTATCATCACCGTCTGACTCTGACAAATTGGCTGTAGATGGAAATGCTCCTTTTCAATTTGAGGTATTTATCCCTAGCCCTATCAATGATATCTTCCCATTCAACTTTATTCAATAGATGGTGATTTCCAGAAACGATTAAATTATCGTTAAGGGTGTTGTGAAACAAAGGGGCGTTTCAGTGACTTGAGAAACATGACAAAGTTTTAATTCTGTTCAGTAAAGTTGAAGAAAAACAGACAAAAATAGCTTTTGCAAATGAAAATAAACAGCAGCCGCCGTTTGACCAACAAATAGCAAAGGACAATTCTTGATATGTTAGTCCAATGAAAATCAGGCCCTGTTCCTATAAATCCGTTTTCATACAAAAACAGGGCTGAATGAGTTTGTTTTTGATTTTTTGTTCCAATGAATCATTTTAATGGGAACAGCAAAAACAAAGTCATTCAAGGGTAAAGGTCATTTAAGAACGAATTTATTCATTTTCAGTTTCAAAATCAATGAGAACAGCTCCAGAAATCAGGTGCATGCCTGCACGCTCACACCCTATCATGCGGGCCAGACTGACCTTTACAATTGTGTACAGTGGAACTATGCAACTGTTGTTTCAAAAACTTTGCAAAAAAATGCAATAAGACATTATGAACCTTTACAACACACAATCTTTTTTGGAGTTGTGGAGCATGTCTAAAACGCAAATGAGCTGTCTTTTATAAGGATTACAGAACTTGTATTATAAATTTAAAATATGATAATTATCATGAATTGGCTGAATATTATCATAGGTTGATTTTGGTCTAGACCTAGATAGGACTTCAAATAAGTGTTTTGGATCAGGATATCTGATAAATTTAAGCATGTATAATACATCTTTCTTAAATTCATGCAAAGTTCAATAAAGAAATGCCATTTTTATAAAGAATGCTTTGAAGTTCATTAACTTAACTCTGATAACAATGCAAATTATTGTGCAAAAATCGATTGAGATGTCAGAAATTTCCGTAAAAAAACCACTGAGATCTTTTGATTCCTGCTCGGCTTCTTTTAATCTGGGATAAAATTACAAAAAAACTGAAAGGCTGATAAAAGGCAAGCAAGACCTGTTGTCTCATGGCAATCCTAAGAAAGTTGTCAGTTCTGAGTACACTGGGGCTCGATTTGCTGCAATAAGTTCAGAACAGTGCAAGAACATGTCCAGCCTAAATGGAAAATGTCCAGATAAAAAATGGAAAAAATACTCTTCCTGATGCTCTGCACCAAAGATTTTCCAAAAATAGAGACTCAGATTCATCCTGGTTACAATGCTCTTCCTGGTTCTTCTTTGTTTTCAAACAGTTGCATCACTTGTTTTCCACTGTCATTGTTAAAAATCAAATCAGAAGGAGACATTATTCACCCAAAATATTGGTCAGCTACAAGATTTTTGAGTACAGTAGATAAAGATAATAACCACATATGTTGATCAAAACAATACAAATAATTATTTCTTTTATTCTCCAAAAAAGACCCAATTGCTATTTTCCCCTTCCAGCTGTTAGTTGTTTTATGATGTATTGTAAGTTAAGTAGAGTTCCAGTGTTTATTTGAATGGATCCAGAAGTTGCAAAGTTGTGAGACACTGGTTTATTTTTACCATTCTTTTGAGCAGGATCATTGCTGTTGGTTATGAGGCAAGGAAATTTGGTGTGACACGTCAAATGAGAGGAGACGATGCAAAGGAAAAATGCCCTGATGTCAACATTGTCTATGTGAAAGAAACTAGAGGCAAAGCTGATCTGGCTGTTTATAGAGAAGCTGGTGCCGAAGTTATTAAAGTTCTTTCAACATTTTCTGAGTCCCTGGAGAGAGCAAGCATTGATGAAGCTTATATCGATCTTAGCGATGCTGTCAGGAGGTAATACTGCATCATTACAATGCAATTTGGTTTCTGATAAGGTAGCCACAAGATTTCAAAATCATTTCAACAATTTGAATGCCTAAAGAGTATTTATGTGTCATTTAACATTATTTAATTTACGATCCCTAACATGTCTTTACACAAGCTGTTGTCTTATTTACAATTCAATCTGTCATATTTCTTAGGCATCATCAACAAGTAGTCCTTTATTCCAGTTAATAAAGTTAGATTGTTAATGTCTGTATCCCCTTCAGCCCATTAGCACATGCCCACTAAGCAAATAATCTATCTTCGCCTTTCACTAGGCCACTATACAAAAGGATAATTTATGTGTCTAAATTTCCCAAACAGCTGCATACCAAGAAGCTGCGATATTTGTAAAAAGTTTGTTGAAAAGATATTTGTGACTTGCATCAGTACTTAACCGGTGCCACAAGTCACTTTTCGATTATATCTAAATAAACAAATATAATCAATTTTTTCAATTTTTGCCCTAAATGCCCAATTTTTAACAGATTACAGTTGAATCTCTCCCCACCTCCGCCCCCCCCCTCCCTTCACGGATCCATTCCGTTATCGGTGATCCCTTGGTTTATCTTGCTAGAAGCAGACCAGACTCTGCTGATTAAACTGGCACATCTGACTTCTTTTTCTGTGTTGCTGCTGAACTAAATCCATAGACAGTGCTGAGAGGCAAGCCCTTCCTAGCTGATCAAACATTGATTTACCATTCATAAACCCATGCGTATGAATTAACAATTGTTGGCCTAATATGCTTTCTGTTCGTTTCGTTGAATTTCGCCATTCCTTCATAGTCGACGTCATTTACACACGCTTTCCGACCGTACTTACGTGTGCAGGACTTCTGATGAATTTTAAAGCACTCATTATCTGCAAGCTCGCCACAACGCCATATCAACTCGAATCGTTTGTTAAAAATAACTGGATCGTCTTCGAAGAATTTATATGCACTGACCCTACCAGGAATTTTTTTGTAAGAAAGGCCTGCATGGTCGTTGTGGAATGTACCACCATTGTAGTAATACGCGGATAGAAACAAATCTTCTGTTCCCGATGACAAGTATTGCGTTTTGTTGTTTTCATCAGTAATAACTCGAAAGCATCCCTCCTGGTGATAAAAATTGCTACTTTCCGTGGTCAACTCAACCAAATAGAGTAAACCCGACTTTCCAGTGGAGCTTGCGAGGGAAATGTAGTCAAATGGTGCCACTTTCACGTCTTCTTTCTTATGAACTTTTAATTTTGCTTCGCGAGGCAGCTCCAGGTCGCCAATAATGACAGGATAATTCCTGACACCGCGAATGTTATACCAGTAATGGCCGTGCTGTTTGGATATAAAAGTTATGTATATCGATTTTTGAAATGGGATTCGAAAAGTGTTGTAAATTCCTCCGTTGTTAGCGATATGGCCAATACGCCTTGTCCCCCAAGGAATTTCTGAGTCACTCTCACCTTCGTCCGGCTCAGTTCGTTTGCTGGTATTGTTCTCATCATTGGGCTCAAGACCTTCCTCATCTTCCTCCATATGTACATGCCCGTCATTTGGCAAAAAGCCTCTTTTGCTTGCTAGCTGCTCATGATGCATCGTCTCTTCCACCAAATCGCTAGTTTTGTTCATCATTGTCGCTTTTACACCTTCCAAAATCTTAGAGGTAGGATAATTTCGTTTGTTGTTTTTCTCACTCGTTTCAGCTTTGTTTTTGTTGCTTTGCGCCTTACTTGTTGAAGCTGCTGCAAAGTCCTTGCCGGAAAATCTATTTTCATCTGGATATCCTATTCCATGTGCTAGATATAAGTTCACTTCAATACTTGGCTTTGAATCTCCATCGATGTAGTAGCGTATTATTGTATCTTGGTTGATGCATCCCTTTCCTGTGAACCACTGCTCTGTGATTACCCCAGGTCCTTTGGTAGACTCATAAAGCGAAACCTCGAGGCCTCCTTCGCACCCACCTTGCTTTACTGAATGAGTGAAACTTTCCATTCCTGGACGCCATTTTACTGAAGCTTTTATTTGTTTTTGACTCAATAAGACAGTGAAAAGAATAAACAGAAGTTTTGCCATTTTCAGTTTAGAATCGTTGATGCTGTCAACGAGATTCTTTTCCTTTTTTTCGGATCGCTGATTACAGAAAGTTTATAAATTTTGTTTGTCGTCTTATATTGTCTGACAGTCACTGTCACTGGTTCCTTAACGCTTCGTTGGATGCATTTTGCTTGTTTCTTCGTTTTAAGCACTCCATATCAAATGAATACCTGTTGAAATCGGTATACCGGTTGGTTTACGCAGCTTGATAAAGAAAAGTAGAGTCCATGAAATGGCTGAAAACCGACCTTTAAAAGTTTTTTGAAATACTATGCCTGTCCTGTATTAGAAACAACTTTTCGATGCTAACCAGTATTTGGAAATTGAGAAGGTTTAAACTGACGCGAAGGTTTTGTATCCGTTAGTGGAAAGTATCTCAGAGCTTCATCAAAACATTTTGAATAACTTGAACGAATCCAACAGAGCTGCTGCTACTATATGTCTATCTCTGCTTGCAATTCAATCCAATTGCCGAATCCCAAAGAGTTGTAACTAAAAGACTTCACAAAATGTTATATTGTTATATAGTTAATACAAGGGGATTGCAAGTTTGACTTTATTTGATAAATAACTTGCGGTTGTCTTGTCTTTATCCAAGAAAATAGCATGTTTGAAGGGTTTGGTGGAGTTTGGTTGGAAATGAAGACCTATCATAGCCTTTGATGAAAATTTTAGGCCCTATAAATATTTGTCCCTGTTTGTTTTGTGCAAAAGGTTTTTTTACTTTCAGTATGGATCCTTTGTAACTCAAAGGCTGGATTAAGCTTTAGGCGGGATTGATAATGCAGCTCAAAGCGTCTATGTTTTACATTGTTTCAAGTTAAAGTACAAAACAGTTATCTGCATTTTCTTTTGCAGAAGTTTTCATCGTTTACTTACTTTGATTAGCAAAGAAAATGCTCTGATATAAATCATTCAGGTTTGCTCTGATCGCTAAAATGTTTTTCAAATGAAAACTTTGAAAATATGTAGTTCATTTTCTCATTCTTTTTTGCAATCTAAGTTGGTTGACAGTGCGAGTGAATTTTGCAATCTTTTTAATGAGATGGGGAGAAAAACGGAAGTCATTTCCGGATTTTTCGAAATTAGGTGATGCCAGATAAAATTTTTCGTTGCGAATGATGTCTAAAATGGATCATGTACCACATTTATTTTTTGCCTGTTTCCTTAAATGAATTTTACTTTTTACATGAAAACCCCGATTCATAGCTCATCTGATGAGTCTCTTTATGTTGCCTTTTTGTGAACGAAATTGTGCATTTTGTTGTTGATTTTGAAGGTACAAAATGAAGTACACACTCGATGAAATTGCCGCAAAACTTCTTGAAACTACGCATATCATTGGTATTTCGACGCAGGAGGACAGAAACAAGGACACTGCGCAGTCAGACGCGCTTGATGTGTTGAAGCAAAAGCTGACTATTGATTCAAATTTGAATCTTGGTGTTGGGGCGATCGTGGCTAATGAAATGAGGGATGCAGTTTTGGAAAGGACCAAATTCACCTGTTCAGCGGGCATTGCCCATAATAAGGTGCAAGTCTTTTTGTCATTTTTTTCAAGGGCAATCAATTTGCTGGTACATGCAAGCATTTATATTTCCCCATTTGCTATAGCGTCAAATTCAGGATGAAATTCTTTGAATACAAATCTGTTTCCTTTTTTCGATATTGTTTGTTTTCTTCTACAAAACATAACCTGCAAACTCGATACTGAAATGAAAATTCCTAGTCTCACCTTTCCTTAACCTACCTTACCTTTTGTTCCCATTACCTCACCTTATCTTACTAATACCTTACCTCACCTTATCTTACCAGTCCCCTTTACCTTACCAATACCGTAAACTTATCTTATCTTGCCTTACCTTACCAATACCTTATCTTACTAATACCTTACCTCACCTTATCTTACCAGTCCTCTTTACCTTACCAATACCTTAAATTTATCTTATCTTGCCTTACCTTACCAATACCTTATCTTACAAATGCCTTACTTTACCTCATCTTACCTTGTCAATACCTTAGCCCCAAACCATATTTTTCTTGTTCAGATCCTTTATTTATTGATCTTTGATAAACGATTTGACAATTCTGGATTTAGAGAAAAGGTTTTTTCAGGCTATACATTGTCCAACAGTACGAAACCTTACTTATTACATCAAATTGTCACCCACCAGCTATGAATTAGATTGGTAATGGAGAATGCAAAATGGGCGTAGATTGGGCATAGAGCAGTTTTGCCTTTTAGAATTTTGTTGGATATTTAGCAAGGGCTATTGGAAGACGTCTTTGCATTATTTTGCACTCAAATACCTCTCTCATCTCATGCCTTGATTAACTCATTCAATAGTTTCTTTTGCGGAATCCCTTCGTTTTACTTTGTTAAAGAAAAGCATTTGAGATGTTTTGCTGACTGTCCCACTTTTTGTCATTTCACTTTGCAGCATTTCAATTCAAATTTTCAACTGACTTTCAGACTCGCTGTAACAAATTTTGCAGTATAGCAAGTTATCTTTAGCTGACCCAAGCTAACCTACCCATAATCTTGTTAATTCAATTTTTGTCCCTAGATGCTTGCCAAATTGGTAGCTGGGATGCATAAGCCTCAACAGCAAACAGTTGTTTTCTTTGATGATGTACCCAAGCTCTACAAAACAATGAAAATCGGAAAAGTGTATGTATTGCACGATCCTTGTCTTTGTTTGTGCCACTCGCATTTCATAAGAAACATTTCTTACCTTTCACAAGAAGCATTCCAGACCTATCTGACGATTATAGATCTTCTGGGGATGGAATCATATTTTTCATGTAACCAATTTGACACAAATCACAATAAAATCCATTGTCACCTTACTGAATTTTTACCGCCCTAAAATCTTAAAAATTATTGCTGTTGCTTATTTATGATCTTGATTTCAGGCGGCATCTTGGTGGCAAACTTGGCCAACAGATTCAAGAGACATTTCAAATCGAAACGATGTCACAGTTATCTGAAATTGATATTAGTACGCTGAAGCAACACTTTGGTGATAAAAATGGGTATTTACATAACTTCGTTCTCACTTATATCATTTATTTTGACAGGTTACGCCTTACTTCTCATTTTGCCCACTTTTGTTGCCTGTACATTATGGCATTGTGAGGAGGCATCGTGTATTTCCTTTTATCAACTCAGGTTTTCGTTTTACAGGTCATGCAAGTAGAAACTTGTTTTTTATTTCAATGGCTGCATTAGCCATAACCTTCGCATTGTTTTAGCACAAAATGGTTCATCCCTTTTTATCTTTGCTATTACTTTTTTATTACTATTGCTAATGTTATCATTGCAACATGTCGCAGTTTTATCTGGCTCTTTCATTTTCATTGTCGTCGTTTTTCACTCAATCTTGGGTTATTTTTATTCGATCTCCAGCGATTGGATTTTTTGGTTGGCAAAGGGCATTGATTCTGAGCCAATTCGAAATCGTACCCTTCCACAGTCAGTTGGCTGTTGTAAGAACTTCAGAGGACCAGACATTCTTAACAAAACTTCCAAGGTAATTTGCTTATCCTTTGCCTGGTTATCTCTTGTTTGTTTTTGTTAGTTGCTTCTTGTAAGGTCAATTTTGGCAACTGTGGCTTTGATAAAAGACTTTGATAAAAACGGCATTGTAGAAAAGTTTTAAGCATCGTGGCTTCTTTTCAAGGTATCATTCTGGCTCCACCAGTTGTCGTCAGAGGTCTGCGAAAGGCTTGACCAGGAAATCGAAGTAGTGAGTCATTTAATCAAATATTCAGCCGCTTTTTCTGAATTTTTTTTATGATAGCGCCTTGCTGTAGCCCCTTCATTTACTTAAAATCATTAGGGAATTTTAAAAGTCATTATATATTTTTAAGAATTCAAAATGCAAAAGTTTTATTGCATTTTATACTCAAGTTCAATTCACTTGTCGTTGGCTGCTATAATATTCAAAATACCTAGGTTCTCGGCACCCTAACCAAGATAATAGATCCTATTTCCTTTAAGTTTGAAATGTATCTACATCAAACATGTATTTGATACAGAAATGAAGGGTTTGATTTGATTTGTTTCCCTTGTTTCGCCGTTTCAGAACAACAGGGTTGCAACACACATGATTGTCAACTTCAAGAACCCTGGGAAAGCGTCAATGTCAAGGTCGTGCAAAATCAACAAAGTCGATGCAGAGCAAATCAAAACTGACGCCCTGCGCATGATACGAGAATTTAACAGAAGTGACAGCTCTGACAAATGGTCAGTGAATTCAACCTATAAAACGATTTCGCCTTGCAAAGCGGGGCAGTGTTTTCTAATTTTAATGAGAGATAATTTTATATTATGGTTTTGAAATTTTTTAGGGATCCTCCTATTGTTCTTCTTGGAATTTCAACAAGCAAATTTGAAGAATACGAGAGCAGTGGCAGTAAGTCAATGAAGGACTTTCTTGTAAAGAATTCGGTAAAGTCCAGTTCTCTTGCAACATCCCTTGATTCTCTTCAAAATTCTAGCTCCCTGTTTAGGGACACGAAATTGAATACTAACAGAACTGAAAACAAACCTCTTGGTTTAAAGCGGTTTTTTGTCAGCTCAAAAAACAATAAACTGAATGAATCGTCGAGTTGCAAGGACATTCAACAAATGGAACTTGGGAAAGAAGAAGACTTGACAACTAGTTCTTTAAAAGGGAAGGAAGAAACAGACAATAATTTTGAAAGTCACGAAGCTGTTAGGACTCACAAAAATTCATCTTCTTGTAGCATTGAAAATGCTTCGTTATTAGTGGGATGCAACGAAGACAGAGTTTTTTCTAAGCATACCACTTCTTGTGATGACACAAGTTTTGGTGTCGACAGCATTCAACGAGAAGCGAACCATGAGGAACCGCCTGTGGATAGGAATGCTGCCTCACAGAGTGTTTCAACTTCGCCATCTTTTGCGAAAACGAGTTGTGGGCTCAAAGCTGACGATTTTGCAATTTGTAGTAAGTGTGGCAAACGAGTGTTGCACTGGGAACTGCCCGAACATAACGACTTCCATTTTGCACAAGATTTGCAACATGATATAAACAAAACCGTTAATTCATCTCAAAGATCAGACTCAAAGTCTTCGCCTCCAAGGAAAAAAGTTAAACCTAATTCTTCTTTGATCAATCATTTCTTTAAACCCAAATGATTGTAAAGCAATTAGTTTGAACGATTAGTTTTCTGATATCTTAATAACGTCAATCATGCTCATTTGGGCTGTATTTTGCGAATATTGATATTCGTCATTACTTTGAAAATACATTAATTCAAAATCTCGAGCAGCCTGTCCAAACTTTTCAAAAGTAATATATATTTTGTATTTTGTCTTGATTTAACTTGTAGACATTTCCCACCGAGAGCACAGCTTTACGCAATCAATAGCAGAGAACTTGATTTTAACGCTTGCAGAACAGCATGTTCCTGCCCTGCAGATTACGTATCAAGGCTCAGAAGTTTCAGCTCAACTGAACATAATTAAGAAAACTCTAGGTTCGTATGTGCAGATATCCGTATATACTCGTACACGCACGCAATCGGTCGTTGGTGATTGCAAATTAGCACACTGAGTTGCAATGCCCACTTTCAACGTTAGAACCGTTCTCTCCTCATTCGTTAAGACACACCAAAAGTTCAATGCCAACATGAAATGTTAGAGCCGTTCTTTCCTTATTCGATAAGACACACCAAAAGTTGGAAGGTCGTCATGAAACGTTTGTGCAATTACACTTCCTCTCTGAAAGCAATCATTTCTTAAGAAACTTAGAAACCCGATATTTTTAGAACACGGATCGATCGAAAAGCGACTGTTTCAACCTGCTCCATTTGTAAATAACTATTTGACTAGAATGATAATGATGATGATATAATCAACGCATTTATTGTAGACGTAGTAACCACTCTTAGCTAGCGGCTTATTCAAGCCTACTTTAAAGAGAAATTTAGCTAAATTGCAATTACAATTGTAACCTTACCATAAAACTAAAAATCTTTAAATTCAAAATTGGATGCAACTTCAAGTATTTTTTTTATTATTGTATAAACCCAAGTTGTTCAATATAAGATTTACGCTAGTAACAGATTCAATCACAAACGCGTTGTCTGAGATTTTTGTATCTTGTTGGTATTTCCTTGCTCATATAATTTGTCCAGTCCGATTCAATGAGTGCTTCTCTCCCAAATATGGGATTTCTACCGAACCTGCTGTTGTATATTAAATATGTACATTGCGTTAAACTATTCACAAAGTTTCTCGTGCTGGTGGATTTTTGAAGTATTTGATAAATTTTTCCTCAAAGTGTGTTTAGTGAAATGTATATGGACATTCCCGAGCCCCACCTATAGTACCGCTGTTTTTGTGGGGATGCTGTTGGTTGACCAAGCTGTAGACCCTACAAACACTGTAAACTCGAGCGGCTAGAATCGTAGCGTTTTTCCTTTACTTTCCCATTCTCCTTCGCAATTCCTTTTCCCCGGCCTTCATACTTTAACTCTCTGAGGCTCTGATACCAAGGGTACTAGAATTACAATAAATAGTAAGTTTATATTGGCCTACTGTTAGAGAAACTACTACTACCATGTATAAATCATTAAATGGTCTCCTGCCTGTCCATTTTTTAATTTGTTTCTCAAAATATTTGACTTGGATTAAAAGAAAACAGAGAAATTCTGAAAATGATCTTTCGCTGCCTATTTAGTGGGCACTGCTCACTAATTTTCCAAAGGGCAATATTTTGACCCCAGCATCTATTTTCTACATGTAAATTAGCAATCTTAATTGAAATGTCAGTTAACATAATAGTTTGCTAAACCCATTGAAAGTGTTCCAGTCTCAGGACTCATACCATGTCGTTACTGGCGTTATGAAAGTCTCGTTTATTTCAGACAGCATTTTCAGTGTTGCAACATGTACTATAAAGTAAATTTTTTCTTGCAGTCATCATCTTTTTCCAAAGGGTGTCTTCAAGCATTTAGAAGGGTGTCCTCCATTTCCCATCGTTTTGAACGACAGGAAGCCTCTGCGTGGGAGTTTGCCTCCAATCGTTTTTCTCCGATTAACAACAACAGGGTGAAAGGCCAAAAGAGCGAAAGGCAAAGGCCGACTTTGTCTTGCGACCAGGATACTCGAATGTTTACCAAGAAAGCACCAAAAAACGTTGTTTGTGAAACGATCTTGGAAATAAACGATAACACTGGGTACGTTATAACCCTAACACATTCAAATAATGGTTTTATGTGATGTTTGATTTTTTTGCTCGGCCTACACGAAGTATAGATAGCTAAATCATGTTCATGGTCATAGAACAGCATTTTAATACAGTAGCACTTTAAAAGAAAACATATAGACGAACTGAAAGAAGAGAACTAAAAAAGTTTTCACCAAAAAAAGGTTACAGTTAATGACCACCTTGAAATTTCCAATCTTTGATGTTACTAATCTTTTAAGCATAAAGGAATCTGCCTATGGTAGCACGGCGAGAATATTCCGTTTGCTTCATCTTGAGTGTAGCGATTCATTATATTTGGATTGCAAAAAAGTAGCTGCTTTTTAGTGCATAGTTATGTTATATGTTTGTAAGTTAATTGGTTTGTAAAAAAGGTATTAACTAAAGAAATGCAAACCTTGGAAGATGTGACCTTACCATACGATCATAAGGAAAAGGCAACAACTATTTCATTTGGTCTTTTGTCAGATTTTATCCCATACACAAATCACTTTTGTGTACAAAAATTGGGAGCCAGAAAAGGCTGTCTTTTTTAGACTAGTGAATTTCTTAAAAGATTCTAATCTTGATCAAGATTATTGTTTTCCATTGTAAATTGGAGAAGGCATTTGTTGAATTCAAAAGAATTTAAGGGAGGTATGTTTCAAGGGAACTTTTGCAAGAGACCTTTAACAAGTATGGAGAAGATTGATGAATTTTTTTTCTTTAGTTTTTTCAGCAAATAGGTAGGATGCAGAGATATATTTGCAGTGGATCATCTTTTTTGTTATTGCTGCATATCTGCATTAGTGCTAGAAAAGGGGTCAAGGGGTTCAAGCCCCCTCTGCTGATGTTCTGTTTATTTCTACTAAACTCTTTGTTTTTTTACTAGGGAAAGTAGATAAAGTTAAAACATGTAAGACCTTGCAATTTTTGGTCATCATTTTGTTTTATGGGATACATTCTTTATTGATGTCTCTGGTTCTGGCCAGTGCAGAAAACAGGGTTGCAGTTACACTGCATCAACAACATCATCAAGATATCTCACTGTTTGTTTGTTTGTTTGTTTGTTTGTTTGTTTGTTTGTTTGTTTGTTTGTTTGTTTGTTTGTTTGTTTCTTTGTTTGTTTGTTTGTTTGTTTCTCTGTTTGTTTGTCCAAGTGAATGGTAATTTTTTACCCTGCTTGGTGGGAAGGTGCTGTCGGCTTTCAAAAAAACAACATATTTTCAGACACCACAAAAGAAGGTCAAGGGTCATTTTTCTAGTTAAGAAAAATAAGAGGCTCAAAGCATGAGCCTTGTGGGAACCAAATGTCACTTTATTTGCATGTCTGCACTTTATCCTGATTGCATTTCTTCCTGTTTATAAGGTATGATATTAGAGAATGATAAATCTTTTCATAAAAGTTTGCTTTAATTTTTCGCAAAGTCTTTTGTAGTTTGCAGTATCAAAAGGATTCTTTTAGTTTATTAAAGTTAGTCCTTCTTAGTCCCCAATAGTCAACCTACTCTACCAGGCATCACTGCTTTTTTATGCAAGCAGAAATAGTGCAGAGTGATTTTTTCTTTCTGTAAACTTTTTGCAAATTAATACCCAAGTACTGGTCCAGCTGATAGAAAACAATATTTTCAACAATACTAGATATTGAGGGCGAAAAGATATTGGGCAAATATTTGATTTTCCTGTTTTTTCTCTGCCCTTGAGAATTGAAACAAATCTGGAAGTTATCTAGCTATCAGATAACACATTGGCCTGATGCATTAAAAAACAAAACCAAATACTTGTCTATGAATTTTTACATTATAGATCTATCAAAGCTCTTTTCTACTTTGCGATTTGTTAACTATATCTCTTTACTCTATTTCTACATCCAGAAAACAGATGGCTCCACGCCTAGATTTCTTCTAATCTGGATTCAGCTTTTACCCCTCAGCAAGCATAGGACTGGAAGTATCAAGTATCTTATCTGCTGTCAGAAGGATTTATTCTAAGAAAATGTCAACTTGTGAGCATGAAATGTCGCTTCCTCGTCTTCCTGTGCCCCCACTGAGACAGACCATCAATAAATATTTGTTATCAGTGCAGCCACTTTTGAACCAACGCGAATTCCAGGCAACGCAAAATGCAGCTGAGAAGTTTTTGCAACCTGGAGGCATTGGAAAATCTCTGCAAAAGGGTTTGGTAAGAAGATCAAAGCAAGTTGAAAACTGGCTGAAGGAATGGCATGATGATGAGTCATACTTTAGACCAGATACTCCTGTTATTTTCAATGCAAGTCCCGGTATTGCCTTTCCTAAACAAACCTTCAGTTCAAATCTTGACTATTTAAGGTGAGTTTTCAGTAATGAAAAATATTTGTTTTACACCTACTGTAATTTATCTGGCACCCTCTGTACACCAGTGATAGGCAACCTACAGCCTGTGGGCGAAGTCCGGTACGTAAGCAAATTTCTCGTTCCCCTTGTTCCTTCAAAATCGCAAATTGAAGGGGTAAAAAAATTCTTACAGAAATTGTCTCTTGTTGAAAATATTTATTTCTTTGCCATCGAAAATGTTGACACCTCCAGAAACATCTCCAGAAGCTCCTCCAGAAAAATTTCCAATAGTTTTTTAGAAGATGAATTTCATCGACCATAGGGTTGGCACAACAATGGGCGTATAGAGACAGTGCTGTAGGGCTTTTCTAGTAACTTTAAGCCTGTTTTTTGCAAGCATACTAGTAAGGCACAGTGCAAGCTGTTAAGTTTTTTTAATTGAATTTTTCAAGGTTCTTTTCTTTGAGACAGTTACCAAGGGAGGTTTCTTTCTTCAATGTTCTATGATGGATATGGAAGTCAAAGAAATATAGACACGACGATCGACTATCGTCCTGAGTTGATATGCAGTGATAGTTTGACGCAGAAACAACCCCTTTCTAGCCCGACCAACTCTTCCTGGGTGAACAAATTTTGCCTCTAATTAAAAAAGGTTACCCGACTCTGCTCTTCACTATCAAATGTCACTGGTACATAATTTCCGCACCCTATTGTTGAATCGAAATTCCCTAGTGAGAGCAGTTTTTCCAACCAATCTTGCCACACTTTATGGATCTCTCTATCTTTTGCCAAATCTTAAAGCATACTGAGAGCTTTAAAGTAAATTGTATGTCTAACAATCTTGTTTTACTTGAAATTGTTCAAAATCTTGGAATTTTTTTTTATAGTACAAAAGCTTTATTCGTTGTGAATCAATCTTTGTACCGCTTTTTCGACTGCTACGCTAAAGGTTGCAAATAGCGAATTACAGGTTGCTTTCATTCACCGATTGTTGTCTGTAAAATGAACTCAATATACAACATATGTAGACCAATTACCATAAAGTCAATGATAATACATTACTTCCATCAATGAAGTCAAACATTACTCTGGCAGTTCAAAGTTTTGTTGCAGTTTTATTTCTCATTTGCCTTAATGATTCGCTTTACAAAACAGCAATAGAGAAGTTTCAAGTAACCATTTTCTGCTTCACAACAGGTATGCCGCTACAGCAGTAAAAGCTGTTCTTGAATTCAAATCGTTAATCGACTAGTAAGTACAATTTTCACAGTCTTGCATTCACGTCTCGATATGTATCTGTTTGATTTGCGCGATAACCATAATGATACCAAAAGAAACAATTATTTCTCCAATACAAACTCCTTGTTCTAACCTCAGCTAAAACGACTTGTCGACAACTGAAACTTCCTATCTTCCTTTGTTCTAACTCACTCACTATTGCTCTCCCCTTACTCTTGTAGCGCTCCTCCACATACCTATACAATTATTCTACAAAAACAAATAGTGGTGTTATCTGACCCCCATCCTATTTTCTCTGTCGTTACCTTGTTCACACCAGCCATAACTTAACATCGACTATATAAACACCAGCCTTAATTGCAACAGCTGTCAAAATTGCATTTGTTTCAGGACTGTTGCACCTTGTCATTTTTTTAAAGAATTTGTCGCAATGCTCTTGTTTTCTATTTAAGCGAAGGTCTCCAAACTGATATTTCACGCTCCCGGCCGACAGCAATGGATCAATACGGCAAGATATTGTCCAGCTGCCGAGTTCCACACCCAAGGAAAGACTACCTCGTTACGAGTCGAGGGATGAATTCGAGACATATCATTGTAATGTGCAATGAACAGGTTATTCCTTTTTACACTTTAGAATCAGTTTCAATACAGTTAAATATTATTGATACAAATCAGTAAAACTTTGTGCAAGTGTATTGCTATTGTTTAATCCCCATATTTGATAGGAATACTTACAATAGAAGCTCTGGTATGTTCCTTTGAAATTTTTTAATTCCAAACTTTGAGCGGGATGTTGCTAGAATTTAGTGTTTTTTTGTTGCAAATGAAAGAAATTTAGCATCTGTTTAACGAAACTTGAAGCCTACCACTTGAAATGATATATTTTGCACCCAGTTGAAAAGAACCATTTCACCCAGATTTCCTAACATAGATCATGAGTTATCCTATGATGAGAATATTAAATACTGAAGGTACCTCATTGCATAAATAATCTAACAGACTTGGTTCCAAAGCTTATGTTCTTATGTTAACATTTTTCCTGTTTCACTGAACGGTTCTCTAGTAAATGCTTACAAAAAAGGAGATCATGATTTCTCTTGTAGGCCTTTGAAATAGATGCTTATAGAAAAGGTGAAATTATAAGTGTATCGGAAATATTGAAGCAGCTAAGAGAAGTGGTCGCGATGAAAGAGGCCGAAGCAAAGCCACATTGCATCGGTGCACTTACGACCACATGCAGACGACTTTGGGGGCAAACGTTTAACAAGCTCCAGCAAGGTTATTAAAGTCCTTCTCCACGAATAGACCTTGAATCATTTATCAACACAAAAATTGTTTTATCATAAAAGCAGGAAATTTCGTAATGAGTAATCTTATTAGATATTCTTACATGTCCTGTCGTATTTATTAATCTATGAATGGCAGTAGACGATTGACCTTGCTCGAGTGCGGCTTATCTTGCAGAAATGACATGGCATCTATTTATACTTTGAGCGAATAAAGTTGTTCTTTATCATTGTTTGTGTTCCTATATGCTCCTCCTAATCAAATAATCTGTTAAAACCTTTTCAAGTGACAGTTTTATGAAACTGTCTATATGTTATGCAATCCAATGTTCTTAACTCTTAGATCCTGTCAACCGAAAAAGTTTGGAAAGGATAATTCAGTCAGTGTTTGTATTGTGTCTTGACAAGCCGAATCGGATTGTACAACGTGAAATATCTGAAGGTGAAGATATTGTCAGGTCAGTTTCGATAAACCAGATGCTTCATGGGTGTGGAACCGAGAACAACTCGTGTAACAGATGGTTCGATAAGGTTTTCCAGGTAGAACCCTTTTCTCTGTGTCTACTTTAATTGGCCCTCGGGGATCAGTGATTTTTTTTTCTTCCAATTGAAAGCTCTTAACATCTCCTCTAAAAACCAATCGAAACACTGTATTTGTGGGCGCGGCATTTCAAATTCTTTTAACGTTATAAGCAACAGTTGCTCTGACTGGCTGACCGTGTTGTGTAAAAACTTTTTAAAGGCTAAGTTAGGTAAAGTAAAATAACTTTTTTGTTTTAACGTTGGATCAATGAGACGAAATTAAGGAAATTAATTGCGTCTCCCTAAGCGCTTCAAAAGACGATGCCTGTTTGTTATTTAAATTCGGGAGGTTCCAAACTTCAAGAACACACCATAGCACTAATGTGTCTCGGCGGATTACAGTTAATATACAATAAGATAATATTTTCTTAATGACCTTTAAATAATAATGATTCTGTCAAATTTTTCAATTCAAAATACTTTGACGTATTCGAGTGCTATATTTCTACTTAATTCCAAAATCTTCTATACCATCAGCTGATAATTTCTGAAGATGGTCACGTTGGCTGCTGCTATGAGCATTCCGCCGCAGAGGCACCTCCTGTCCAGCGTCTGTGTGATTACATCATCAAGAAGTGGTATGTCTCAGGTGCTTTGTGAATCATCGTGAGAATTTCAAATTAATGATCAAGTTAATCATTTTACTGGATAGAACATTACGAAATGCCCCCAACTGTGCAAAATCAGTTAAATTGCTACACATCGACTGATACAGGGCTGTAGCTACTGTTGTACTTTGAGAGGAAGGTAGCTACTATTGCAAATTTGCCTGCCTGTTTAAAACCTCAATCATTGCTCAAACCAACATGCGGAGATTGAAATGAGCCAATAATGAAAACGTGATTGATCTCAGAACCCTTATCAATTTGTCAAAACGGAGCCAATTAAGCACGCCATTTTACTACGAGCATAAGACGATCACAATATTTCTGATCGAGTACATAACTTGTTGATACTTTGGTCGATTACTTAGCGCTTCATTCACTGATGAACATTGCAAGAATAGGCATTAGTTAGCTTTAGCTGCCATTAGTTAATAAGTAGAAGAAGTCTTCCCCTTTCTCATTGCTGTCCTCTTCTTGTATTATTCAAATAAATCGTTGGATGTGAAAGTATGTTAGCGACAATACTCTATTCTATTAACTCGCATAGCAACGAAAAGTAACAAAAATCTAACATAGAAACATAAATTTCATATACATAGGAAGTGGTAGTACGAGTTAAGATGCCTGTTTGTCGTTGCATCGATTTGTGTAATTGCTTTTCTTCATTGGAAGCAATCAGATGTCTTAATTGGCTGTCCATTTGACCTTTCAGCGCTGTCCAAAATGCTTCTGACCTCGTTCAAGCCATGCAGGCTCCACACCAAAAGTCTGCGATACAACTGCAATGGCGGTTAAGCGATGAAATGAAAGAGAAGATTGCGTTTGCAAAACAAAGCTTGGATCGGTTTGTGAATTGTTTCATCAGATTTGATAATTTTTCTTACTATGATATTCTACTCCAAGTTGATAAGAATAAAATGCTCTTCAGGCAAGTTCCAATTCCAGTAGGAATTACGCAGCAATATACTGCAATAACGGGAGCTTTTGCAACTATTCTTTTAGAAACTGTTTGCTATAACAACACAATTTCAGTTGTGACGTAAGCCCAGCCGAGATCTTTGCGACCTTGAAACACAGACAGATAGGCAATCAGCCACACACGGAAACTTCTTTTAAGCCTAAATGCTTGCCTTAACTTATGATATCAGCTGCAAATGTCAAATTTCAGGCTGGTTGCAGATGCTGACATGCAATTCATACGATACAATGGCTTTGGCAAGAACATCCCAAAGGCCAACAAACTAAGCCCAGACGCCTGCATTCAGTTGGGGCTTCAGCTTGCATTCTTCAGGTATGTATTATCTTTCGGTTGTATTACACAGATATATCATGCAATTCGACACTGAGAATCTGTGATGGAATAATCTACAATGCCCGCAAAACTCATCCTTTACTTCAAAGAATGTCAATCAAAACGGTTTCAGAGATGCAGGCTCAACAGGTTTTATCCAACCAGCTGGTTACGATACTTATTCAACTAACGTTCTACCGGTGGAGGGATGCTTTTTACCGAAACTAAAAGTCAGGTCGACTGAGTACTAGTGGTAGTTATGTTCGTCACGGACATGGAGTTTTAACTATTCAAGGCATCGTTGCACAAATGTTTTGCATTTTACTGGAAACTGATATTTTGCAAAACGAAATTTATTTGGATGCTGTTTCAAGGACTTTAGAAATGGCTACTAGCTTATCAAGGTTAGCAAATATAATTGACAATTTGACTATTTTTATTACAGATTACACGGACATATCCCACCGACCTACGAAACTGCCTCCACAAAGTGGTTTAGGCTTGGTAGAACAGAGACAATACGAACAGCCTCGATCGCTTCAAAGGCTTTCTGTGAGTCCATGGCAGTGCCAAATCTTCCGGTATTAAACTTTCTTTTATTATACAAAATGTTCTCTTGATTACTTAACTTTTGTTTCGATAACAGAGGAAAGTGAAAGATCTGCTTGTTGCTATATCTGAAGGAACGTTTTGGAAAAATGTTGGCACTAGTAGAATATATATAGTGTGATACTATGGGAGGTAGTATTTACGCGGAAGAGCATATATTCCTATGCACCGAATTCTTTAGCCTTCTCTTCATGATGATAGTTGTCTTGTTGTTTCTTTTATAACGTGTGTAGTGTTTCGTGTGTTGTTTATGTGTTTTATTTGTTTTCCGCAGCTATCTAATTGTCTATCTAATAAAAAATAATGTTTTCCGGTCTTTCGTTTAATGCTTGATTCGGTATAGGTAGAGTTGTACGTTGCCTTATGATCGTATTAAAGGCATTGAGTCATGGTAAATAGGCCTTCTCTATAGGGGGTCATTTAGTTTCGGCGTGATCTCTGCTGTTTCATGTGATATTGGCATCCGTTGTTAACAACTTGCTATTGATGAAAATTGTTTTGTCAATCAGTACGAGGTGAGTTCATGTGACCAGTTCCAGGTCAACCAATGGCATCGCAGTCATGAAAACCATGACTCAGCTGATTTTGGCACTTAGGGTATACCCAATCCATTTTATCATGACTCAATGCCTTTAAGCGTGAAACTCGGAGTAGCAACTTAGACTCCGTTCACAATACAGAAAGAAGAACAAAACACTTTGGTTCCGTTCTTGTTTCGGCACGATTTTCTTTGCGTCTACACTGTAGCAAAAAGGAACGGAACCAAATCTTACCCATTTACACTTGAGTAAAAAAACGGAACTTTCACGCGACGCATGCGCAGTGACTCGGCAATGACATCTGACATTATAAGAAAGCCTCGCCCGAACCCTAAATTAAGCCCCGTTTTCAATCAAAACCAAAAAGTTCCGTTCCTGACCGTTTGCACTAGAGAAAACAAGCACGATTTGGGAACAGAACCAAAGAGTTTCACATTTTAGCGAAACAAAGAAGGACGGAACCGTCCCCAAACTTGCACGGAACCAAGATGCCTAGTGTAAACGCAAGGCCTATCGTCGCCTTTTCAGGCACAGAACCAAAGAGTTCCAATTTTTTGTAGAGTAAACGGGGTCTTAGAACTATCCTGTTCTATAATTGAAAAGTGCACTTGTCTATCTAGTTTATTTCGTAAAATCTTTATGTTCAGCTACAAGTTTTATACCTTTGCAATCATTTCTTATTTACTAATATTCTAATTGAAATTTTAAACATATATTTATACCACTGGGTTCATACCATATTATATTATCTTATTTTGCAATAATGTAAATATGATCGTACATAAAGATATTAATTCTTTTTTCAGGTACATGAAAAAAGGAATTTGTTTGTTAAAGCAGCGAAAGATCATACAAAGTACACCCTTGAGGTAAGTTTTGTTAGCCATCTTGACTTTGGTTTACTCGAAACAAGACACATTGCTTTATGAATATTTAAAAAGTTTTGTTTTGCCCTTTACTTTCTCTTTACAACTTCCTGGTTTATGACTGTGCAACCCCAAACTGAAACTCAGATATTGAATCGTATTTGTTGCTAGGCAATGAGCGGACAAGGCGTGGATCGCCATCTTCTTGGCCTCAAATGTTTGTGCATTGAAGAGGGTTACCGTCTGCCCGAGCTGTTTCTCGACAAAGGCTACCAATACAGCATGTACCACGAGTTAGCGACTAGTCAAGTAGGTCAAGTTTAATCTCGATCCAAACGGTCATCAAAGGTTGAATTCCTCTATTCATTCTTATCATTTATTCATTCTTTATAATTAATTCTTTATCAAAGTAAATTCTCTACGTTTACTGAGGAAATATTTTTGGTCGGTAGATGCGAAATTTTCAAACAAAATTCTGAATAATTTTGATGCATTAATTCTTTGCAAAAAGAGTCTGATAATGTAAGAGTATATACAGGCTTTGCTTTTGTATGAACGACATTTTGTTACAGAACCAATTATAGCCTGAAAAGTATAAGGTTTTATTATGAATGAGTTGTCCTTTAGACAGCATGGAAGAAACGTGCCCTTATACAATGAGAACCAGAACATTTGTGGTGCCATGTTAACATGTTTGTCCCCTGTCTTTTTCTTGTGCCTGCAGGCATCTCTGTCCTTGAGCCATCTATCGTTATGAGACACCCCCATTAAAAGTGCACCTTTTAGATAAAAACAGAACGTAAGAATCGTTAGCCCTGATATTTCCAAGAATGGCTTAAAACAACATCCAAGAATAATCTTTTGGAAAAGCCCAGTCTTTTTGATTAGCTGTTCAAGCCAACCCTGATTGGAATAATCCTTGTCATTGTTCCACTTCAAATCATTACTTTGATCAAAATAAGTTTGGGTGCTTTTCCACTGAATGTGAACCTTGGTTATAATACCTAAGTTATTTGTTTTAAGGTGCCATCGCAATTTGATTGTGTGACTTGTTATGGACCGTCAGTTCCAGATGGCTATGGAGTTTGATACAATCCGTTAGAGAGTCACATCAGCTTTGCAGTGAGCACCTTAAGGTCACAATCGGCCACCAGCACCGCACGTTTTGCAGAGGCTCTAAAGACGAGTTTTGATGATATTGGAAACATTCTTTTAAGTCCGAGATTTTGAGAGAGTGGGTTTAATTGAACAATTCTCGGGTAATTATTTAAGTTAAGATAAAACCTTGTTTTAAATCGTAATAACATTCACACTGACAAGAGGCAGGCTTTTGTCGTTTCGTTTCAGCAAGTAGAACAATGTTATTAATTTTTCCTTCTCAACATTGATGTCATTACCATCATAAAATATTTATCATTTCTTTAATGCACTATCAAATGTTAACTCTACTTTTGAACTGGTCCTTCGTTAATAAATTTCGTTTCTAGAAATGTAAAAAAGGGAAAAAACAACTTGACTAAATTCAAAAACAGTGGATATGGACCGATCGGCTTGATTTGTTTTATATTTGATATCATCGACGTAATGGTATCAATCTATACGAGAATATTCAAAGTTTCTAACTTATCTCTCTGATATAACATGGCCATTTCAGAGTAAGCAAAGCTCTTTGATAATCAAACCTACAAGCTTACAGCTTTCACATAATCGACCAGCCTAAAGGTCTGTTCATATGAGAAGAGTTGTCCCACTGAGATGGGAAAGCCCACTGAGGTGAGACCCAATCGATAAACTGACTTGTATGAAGAAATAACATTACGTTCATATGAGAGGTTAACTATCCAACTTGAGTGAGATCTAGCTGTCGTGCCAGTGGGATCTCACTGAGGTGGGATAAAGATCTCCCATATGAACACGTTCCTAGGTTAGGTGGGATGAATCTGTCAGTATTGCGCAAGCGCGAATTAGCAGGATTTCCAATTCAACATGGCTGCTAGCATATCTGGACACGAAGAACCAAAGAAAAAGAATTTTCGATGGTCAACCGCCATGTTTGAAAATCTAATTACATGCTTTATAAAACGAAGATGGAGTACCAACATTTAGATTTTGATGCTGATATGCCTACCCAAATTAAGGCCGTGAGGGAGGAAATGGCGAGACTACAAAACAAACGAGAGTTTGGTCCAGTTGGGCTATCTGATTCCACGAAACCCATCGCAGAGATGTCTGTCGAAGAAAAAACACACATTTTCACAACGAGACTGGCTCACCTCGGCGGGATAAAATGCCCATATGAACGTAACCTGATAATCAGCTCGCTTCGGTGGGATATCCCTCTTCAGTGGGATAACTCACCTCATTTGAACAGGCCCTAAAGTGCTATTTTTGCAATACAGTCCAACAATTGGCATTCTGTTAATTGCCTGACTGCCATATTGTACTTCGTTTTTGCTGTTGTTGCTCATCTTTGGCTAAGTCATGAAAAAAGCAAAGAGTTTGTGACGAAAATCGGAGGCATATAGTTACGTGTTTGTTCAATGAGTAGGATAACATAGTTGAAGCTGGCCGATATTTCAACAAAATGAGATCTATTTTGCCTAGGTTCAAAAATCCTCGTCATGAAATATGGAACCACGCACTCTTTTGCTGCTTCACTTTTGTTTCCGGCCTTTCTTGTTACTCTCATGTGTGACTCTATCTAAATAAGTTATTCTTATTCTGTGAGCTGAGCAGCGCAACAGCGGCATCTTCTTACCTTACTGGGGCATGCTTTGTCCTCCTTTGAGCAGATTTCAAGCCTTTTTACAGCAGATTAAGTTTCCACCATTGGAATTGATTTAGTCAACCGAAATTTGCCAACGTTAAAGCTAGCTTGAAGAAAATTATGGTCTGATTTTATACGAATTCCATTAAAAAAAATGATCACAAAGAATGAAAAGATAAGAAATGAAAAAAATTAAATCAAGGTATTTGAAGTATGCTTAAGGAAAAAATAGTATTTTCTCTCTCGCAACTGTTAGATTTTGGTTAAATAAAATTTTATGGGTTTTTCTTCTACCGATTCAAAAAACCTTTTCGCCTTGCCTTAACAATTTTGTGCAATAAATGCAAGTTACACGTACTCGAATGAAAAAAGACAGTTTTGGAAATAAAGGATTTGTAAAGCATTAACCTTTGTTGTACAAGCTTGACAATTGAAGATGGGTGGATAGGCCGTTTTAGAACTGCTAACTGAGGGGCAAATCACTTCCGAAAATTTTTACGAGATTATTAATCAAAAGATATTATTTTGTGATTAAAGTCATTGTTTTGTGATTAATGTGATTTTTTGTTTTTTAATGGATTATTTTTTTTATTTTTGTGATTACTTTTTGATTATTTCATGATTATTTGATTATTTTGTGATTATATTGGGATTATTTTGTGATTATTTTGCAAGTTTTTGTAAATATTTTGCAATTAATTTCAATTTGTATCAATCTTTAAAAAATAAGAGATTTTTGCATGCTAGAAATAGAACATGAATACTGCTTTTCGGAAAAATCAATATTTCAAGTTTCCATGCCCTTGACCATGATGGCCATATTTAGACAAAGGATTTCGTGGCTTGACCTAGAAATGATATCTTAGGCCATCTCGCTTCGCTGCTTTCGTCAGCGCTCTTGCCCTATAATTTTAACCGGCATTCCTGCATAAGACAGGCTTTCTAGCGTGCAATCCCCCTAAACACAAACTGATACATTATGTTTTGACCATAGGCTTAGACTTGCATTTTTTTCAGGGGGGGGGGGCTAAAAAAATTAATGACAATTCCTAATGGCAGCTGCTGATGTCACAGGATAGAAAGTTTTTCCGTGCATTTTTCATTATCGAGGAAGAAAAAACACACAAATGAAATGATTGAAAGTTTATTTTTAAATCATAATCAGTTTTTTAAGGTTGAGATCATCAGATCTATTTAGGCACCCAAAATGTACTCTTTCTCGCGGCATTTCTTGATATGAAGGTGTCAACAAGTTCATCAATTGACAGATCTTATCACAAATTTGTCCATAGCTATTATCATGTCAGCAAAGATCGCACGTTGCTTTCCTCTGATGCTTCCAGCCTCTCTGAAGGATTGGCCTCGAGTTGGATCTGACCTTATGTTCACAATAATTTCATACTTTATTTTGTTGTAAATGCAATTATCTAATGCAACAAATCCTATACGTGAAACCAATAATATAACAAACTAATCTAAAAATTGGTAAAGCACTTACTTATTTTCCAGGGGGGGGGCTCAGCCCCCCTCGGTTTTCGTCAGGAGGGGCTGAAGCCCCAGAGCCCCCCCTTAGTTTACGCCTATGGTTTTGACAATTTAAAAGCCGAAAGGGAAGAGAGATGAATTTTCAATTTGTTTCTTTTAATTAAGAATGTTTATACATTACTTTCTTATAAGATAATTTCATATATGCATACTTTCTTTTAAGATTATTTCAATGAATTTCGAGACTGGCTAATATTCTTGATTTATTCTTAGATTTTACCAATTTTGAGTCTCAATAAACTTATGACAAGAATATCAAAATTTTAATATTGTTAGCATTGTCTAAAATTTCAAAAGGTTCAAGAATTGGTAATGTTTGTCATGTATGGCAATAATCGTTATATTTTTTGTCTTTGCTATGAAGTTTTTTTCCATGGAGCATTTTCTTTTCCATATTTCTAATCCTCCTGAAGTATGTCATTGGTCTTCCTCTCAACGACCAACGTTTTCTGTTGTGAAAGAAGTAAATAATGTTTTTAAATATATCTGAAATAACTTTACGTTGTAAATTTTTCCAGTTGGAAATTGGCAACCAGGGTCACTGTGAGTATTTGCTTCCCTTGTGATCATTTTCATGCACCTTTGGAACGAAATGGGGGTAAAGATCAAATTAGAATTGCTATGATGTTTTCTGAAATGCATTTGAAGCAAGTCTGTTTGGGTGTTATGGTTATGGTTATTTGATTTCTATTTTTCTTTTTCAAATTGTTATTTGTTATTTTTTTATTCTTACTATTATTATTCAAACAAAGCTAATATTAAATTATCGTCATTTCGCATCAAACTGGGCACATGGCTCTGATAGCTCCTTCGTGAGTTTTTTCCATGTGTCCATCAGCTGATCTTATATAATATCTTATGTTGTTCCCTGTAATGTAATCTTTATTGTTATTAATGATTGTATCTTAACAACTAGCATGACGTATCTTGTAATTAATTGATTTTTGTTGCTGAAAGAAAAAAAAGTTTTGATTTTGATTTTGTGTAGTTATGCCATACTTTAGGAAATATTCATATCACAGCATATTTCCAGAAGTAAGGGGTTAATTGGCGGGGCACTTAGAAAATTTGCTGACCACGTCCTTTATTTTTGCTATTAGTGTAAGCAAAGGTACAAAGGTACTGCTACAAAGGTACTAGAAGAAAATTGATTGGTGATTTTTAGTGGTATCGCAATAGAGTTGTCAAGTGAGGATATCACAAAAATCTATTTTTAGAATTGTTCAAATTTGTTTCCATAACCCGAAAGAGCATCATGAAATACATCTAAATTTACAAAATCCTCATCAAATCCCTGTAACTGAGCCAAAATAACAGTAATCCGTTAGCAAACTTTAAATCTTCTATTAGCCATAGCTCACCCGATTTTTGACAAATTTAACTGATTTTGCATAAACGGGAATTATTTTATGCTGTTCACTTGTGCTATGTGGTCATGTGGTCAAAATTCAAGAATAGTTTTTGTGACGTCACACTTGAGAACTTTGTGACGTCACACACGAGTTATTTAAAAATATCAACATGAAATTTCCTAAACTTGACAGGGGTTGTTCTAGCTATCTTGAAAACATGGAATGTAGAATGTTGGAATGTGAATAGAAGTAGTTTAGCCTTTGCATGGTAGTAGTACCTTTCTGTGAGATGAATCCATGTTTTGATGAACAACAAAATGTACTTGTTAGAATGCAGTTATAAAGGTTTTAGAAAATACATTCAAACATTCCAACATTCCATGTTTTCTAGATAGCCAAAAAAGTTTTTAACTCCTAAGATTCAAGTGCTGTTAATTTTTTTGTAAAGTGTTAGAATTCCACTGTTGACAAAAATCCGAAACAACGGGACGAGAACCACTGATCTCAAAAAATTCGTCTTTCGTTTGACTTCATTGTTGACATTGGTGTGAAGACTGAAAGTACTATTTACACGAGATTAGAGAGAGATATGATTTTATCCGATAAGGATGCAAACGTTAAAAAAGCAGTAAAGTTGGCTCAAAACAGAAAAAATGCATGAGAAAATATGCTAAGATCTGGAAATTACAGAACTGGCATTAGAGCATCAAGATGTGGTCAGTTCTACGAATGTCGTAATGACAAGTATGAAACTGTCAAGTTTGGTTACGCATCTCAACGTCAGTGTGTATCTGAATCCAGGGACGAAAACAAGTTGCTAATTTTGGGGGGGCGTGGAAGTATGAAAATTCCAACTTCAAGTGATAAATTTTTCATTCGACCAGTAGATCTGTTGTACCTACCAAATTGATATTTGTAAATAGCCCGAGCACCATAGTTCTATTTTCTTTATAATTACCAAATCTTTACTCAATAATTAGCCTAAAGCATAAAAGCCTAAAATCTCTGAATTTTGATTAACATGAAACAAACATTAAACATACTGTAAGAAGTAAAGCAACATTTAAGCAAAACCAGTATTAGATATACTTAATGATTAGTAGTATTCTTTCAGATCAATTGATCAATTTTATCTAAAATACATTTTTTCACGATATAGAAGCACCAAGAATTTGGGCCTTTTATTTTCGTTCTTGATCGAAGAAAACTACCTTTAAACTTTTCAGAGGGCCAAATGCCTTTTCATTCTTTACAATTGAAATGATGATTTGAGAACAAACTTGTGCATATGCCTGATTCGAAAGATGAAATACTCTTCTTTGATCAAATACTTCTACTGCAGTTTTTGCAATGTGTTCTTGCTCCACAGCAGTTTTGTCATATGAATTTATGATAAGGACTCAAGGACATTAACAAATAACAGGGGGAGTTTAGCATAAACTCGTTTTTTATAAGAAGCGTTGAGAATTTTTAGTACTGAAAGATTCTTAATCTTTTATTGAATTAACTACTCGTAGTTTTTAAAAAAATTCCCACTCTAATATTTTCTGATCAATGCGGGTATTATTATTCCAAACTGTAAGTTTCAAGTTTCTTATCCGTAAGTTCACCTTGCCTGTTCGTAATTTGATTCAACTCCCGTCAGAAAGAAAGAAAAAGAAAACGGGGCAAGTGTGCAATTTGGATCCAGTGGAGACGGGATTCACAATAGAAAACGATTGGATGGGTCAGCTTCAGCCTGTGAATTTTAATGTTTAGAATTTTTATATTTAAAATAAAAAAACTTCTTAAAATAAAAAATTCACAAGTTTGGTCTTAAGAAAAAAATTCCAAGTCAACCGTTACGTTTTCCAACTGTAACTGGATTTTCCAAACTTTGGGGGGGCGTTACGCCCCCCACGCCCCCCTATTATTTACGTGCCTGTCTGAATCTATATCTGTATTTCCAAAAAGTTTTTGCATGACATGTTTGTACTCGGTTAATTACCTGACAGTGCCGTCGGAACGAAATTCATATTGGGGGGGGGGGGGCTGCCCATTGTATTCCTTCACATTTAGTACACTGTTATAAAGGAAATATACTACAGTCTGACAATTATTGGGGGGGGGGCTTGAGGCCCCCAAGCCCCCCCGGTTCCGACGGGCCTGCCTGACAAAATTTCCACTGTTTCGTTGATACGAGAAAATAATGTTAAAAAAATTTTTTTTCTTACAATTGTCCATCTTTGGCTTAACAGGCACTTACGTTATTCTAATGTACGTTGTAAATATAACCTCAGTCCAATTCAGTAAAATTCAGTCCATGATATCTAGCTAACACATCTAACACTGCGTGACGGAAAGGTCTGCTAATTTATATGTAATTTAAATCAATTATACAATTAGCAAACAATTCTGAACCATGTATTGTTGGTTGCTTGTCAAGTACTGGCTAATAGTGCATCAGGTTTATTCAAGTTTTCAAATTTCTTTGTTTTGTGCCTAAATTGAGCTTTGTGGAAAATTGGTTTTATTTGCCCGTTATTTGCCCTATATATAGCCACACGTTGTCTTTCACATTGCCAACAAGGGCGGAGGATATCTTTCAAAAACTTTGCCCCCATTGCCTCAAAAGACTCTTACTTTTTGCCATTTATAGGGGATGGATAGCTCACCCGTGCCTCTAGCTCTACACTTCTGGTGACAAATATCGCAGGAAGGGAGTAAGCCTTTTTTGGAAAGAGAGGTGGCAATTTTCATGTTCGGAAGAGATTTCGACATACTAATGACGCAGGTGCTAGTATCACGCCGAACTTGAGACTGATCATCAGTATTGACACTGTTGCGTAGGCATTCCATTTGAATTTTTGTGGCTTTATGTAAACTGCTAAGTTAGGGACGAGGTCGGTCAACCAACCACCTGATCCCGTTTCTAGAACTGCTAGATTTACGCGTCCCCTTGATCAAATCTTTTTCAATTTCCCTCTAAACCCGCTTTCTTTCAAATCCACTAGCTTGTAATGTATGGGATGCACACACAAAACAGTTTAGAAAAAGGGCCAATCTTATGTTGCATTTTTGAAACCACTGCGTCGTCCTCTACTTGGTCATAGATTTTTTCTAAATTCAAGTTTTGCCAAGTGTTAATTTGTAATGGATCCTCCAATTTGGGAAATCATGCACCTTTGTGTTTAGAGGAAAGCTGAAATTCTCCTTGCGGAAATATTATGGTTGACTTGGCAGAGCATGCCAATTACACAGCCCCCGTCCCGGAACAGCGTCGTCAAAGCTTTTACGATTCTTTTGTAATTCAGTCGCATTCTAGCAGCATTCCTAAATCATAATGTATGTCAGATGAAGGTACCATCGCGCTGTATTTTTGTACCTTATAGGCTTACCAAGCTTGAATCAATAATTTTGCTGAAGTAAATAAGCGCAAGACGAGGAGCTACGCTGAACTGCAGGTAAACGTCGAGTTTTTATTAATTGTCAGCCATGTTTGTTTGTCTCCCATTTTATGTAGGCCTTTTACGAAGAGAAATGCATTTTAGTTTAAATCAAATTCGGTTTGTCAGTTTGTTGTCTTTAACGTATTCTTCAAAATTATTCTTATCGGGGTATATATTTTGGTTCAGCGAAAAAACTAAATCGTCCGGGGTCTGCTGATTTTGAACTCTTGTACTAAAAGCCGCATTACTTTCGGTCAGGCCGTAGTCTTCTTAATCGTATGCTGAAGGAAAGATTAGGTTCTTGCTCGGCTTAAGTCTTCAACTTTAGTCAGTTGACATAGAAAGGATCCTTTGGTTACGCCTAAAGCTGCAATGAGATCTTCCTTAAAGTATTTCTGTACTTAAACGATGAACTGTTTCACGGTTTGAAATCGAAATTGGGTAGCTTTTCCCGAAAATTTTGACGATTTTGTATAATCTGATGATAATAATCTCTGCCAAAATGTTAGTGCAGAAGTTATATCGTCAGTGCTGAGATATCATGGAAAAAACTTTCTTCCAACTTGAAAGGGGAAGTGCCTATGAGATGTAGTATTAATCTAAACTTTCACAGATTGTGAAACTAATTTTACTATCAGGAATTGAAAAACTGGACAATAAGACTAGAATGAGGCCATTATAAAGTGAAACGGTAGTTGGGTACAGAATTGCAGGCAATTCTCTTTGAAGTTATGTGCACTTTCAGTATTATTGAAAAGTGTTTCATATTGAAGTTTTTTTTTCTGTAAATTGAAAGTTATAGAGTATTGATCTTCTTTTCAGAGTGTCATCATTGTAGCAAACATCAAATATCAGTTGAAAATTCTGGGATACTTTTGCATTTGCTGATTATTAAGGCAATTAATTTGACCTTGAAAATTATCTATATTTTGTGGTGATGATCCCTCAAGATTACTAGCTTTTGCAAGGGGATCTTTGAGGTATACAGTAATGGGCTGTCTTGTACAAAGTGCCAAGAAATACTGTTGGTTTACTTTCTACTTTATATGCGATTAATTTTGGTTTTATATCAAACTTCCAGTTTTTTATATGTTTATGTGGAAGTTATTGCATCCTTATAATTGCATGTTTTTTTCAACAGAGAATAAATATCCTTAAAGATACAGGAAAAAGGGGTTGCAGTGTGCTTGGGTAGCACATCAGTTTTTGTTCTGTGACCTTGTAAAAGGGTCAAATTGTGTTTAGCACTATTATTAGGTTAATAATGGCATAACCTACATTTTTAGCCCTTTTTGTTAGCTTTTTTTTAGTTATATAAACTAAAGGCTTAGCTTAGAACAAAGAGGCTCCTTGTTTATGTATAGATAAGGGGTCTGGTATGTAAAACCAGTTAGCATCATTGGCCTAGAAAGATATTTAAAACTTAGAAGGGCATAATTGTTGGGAGGGCACCTTTCATGGTTACTTGGCACCAAAATGTGCTGGCAAAAAGAGCAATATAGCAAAGAAAATCAACTTCAGAAGGAGAATGGGTCTTTCTGGAAAATATTTCAGGCAGGTTGCATTGTAAAGTATTAAATAAGAGGTAGATATATGTTTTTTTCAAAATATTAAAATAAATATTGATTTAGGCGAGGATAAAATGAACTTAAAGTTTTTTGTAACTTCACATGGGTGACTTGTATTTAAATTGCAAAAGAGGTAATTGGGAAAGGAAATTGATAATACCAGATAGTGAAAATGCAACTGATATTCAACACAGAATCTGAAATATGCAAGAATCTGAATACAAAAATCTGAAATATGCAATCACACATCGCATAATCTAAAAGTTTCATCATTGCATACGTCCGTCTAGTTTCTAACTGAGGCTGCTGCAGGGTAACACAAATTCTAAGAACAACTTTTGATCATACATGTGTGTTTTTAATAATGGTTTATAAACACATTAAAGGTACCAAGTTACCTAAATATATATATAATTCATCAAGTCACTGTTCCATGGGTAAAGCCAATTGCATTCCAACTAATGATTTGTGAAGAGTTTAATGATGATTGTCAGGGTTAACAGGAAACTTTTTCAATAACTGAAAACTTCATAGAACAGAAGACTTTCATTCCAACAAAAGTCATTTCTTTGAAACTCTTGAAATTAGACAATTTCATCACTGCAACATTTCTTTTCTGTTTTTTCCAGTTTCTTGACTAGCCACATTTTATATGGGCACGCCACAAGTGTGCTTCTGGCAATGAAACAATTAGATTCGATGGAAGGAAGAGCAATGACACCAACTGGGAAAGTGAGTGTTTTAACCAATATATACTCCATTTGCTTTAGATAACAATACTGCCAGCAAACTTTACTGTTTTAACAGATATTTCTTTTAATATATACTTTTTCTATTTTTTAGCTTATTATCTATCTTTCTGTAGTATATTTTGTAATATTTTGTCACCAAGCTTTTATCAGATTATACAGAATAGTTTGCACTAATGACTTTCACAGAATCTAATGACAAAGATGAAGGTGACAAGGCAGAAAGTAAATTTTTTTTATAGATGATAGTGTCATTGAATATTGATTTCCACATCTCCACACCATATGAAATGAGAAAGTTATCAGATCCATAAGAGATATGGGTAAAAAAGAATTACCACTAACATAGGATTACACAGTCCTATCTTAGCTGCACTGCAAAGACAGCTCTTAGATCTTGGACCTTGACATTATATTTCTTAAATTGCGGATCGCATTCTATTTATGGTAATTGAGAGTATATCTTTAAGGTACTTTGGCCCATTAAAGGGTAGGTAAGCTGTCTTCCTTCTTTTCTGTTTTCTGCCACAATTTAGAAATAAGTTATCCCTAAACATGACCTCCTGGTAGACCAGTTTTTATATTTTCTTTGTTTTGTTTCGTATGTCAGTACTTTTTTTATATTTAGATACTACTTTTTGTTACTGAAGAAGTATCATGATAAAATGAAATATCATCTTGAGGGCCACAGAGATTCTCTTCACGAGCCACAGAGATTCTCTTCCCGGGCCACAGAGATTCTCATCCCGAGCCAGATGTGCTGCCAATTAAGATAATTCAGTACAACCCTTCCATTTGGGAGTAAAGAAACATTTTGCCAGATGATATTTTTCTATTATGGCTGGATAGTTTTGAAACTTCGAAACAGGTGCTCCAAATATCATATTTTGTCTATAAAATGACATTTTGCCTTCAAAAAGAAATGATGGGACAATCAATGTTACGATGTATAAGAGGCACCATCATACAAAGCCAATAATAATTTTAAAAAAAGTTGTGTACTAATAACATAATCACAGATTGGAACTTGTAACATCTGCCTAGATTGTATAGGTCAAGCAAATGAATATTTAGATGAACGCACAAGTTAAATCTATCATAGTGCCTTGAAATAAATTTTGGTAAGGAGCATTTGTGTCCAATTTAATTATTGTATAAATCAACAGCATTCTGTTATTGAAAAGCTAGCATTTTAGCAAAACTTGGGGCTGATTTTTAATCATTATCAAATGAATGCAGGATTGTTTTGCTTGTTATTTACTCAAAGTAGTGAATAGTTGTGGATGAAATTTTTTTGTTTGGAACTTACAAACCTGCCCATTTTGTATAACCTTTTAGGATACTGGTACTATGTTATCAGATATATGTTATGCTATCCTATGCTGTCTTTTGCTTTGCATGTAGAAAACTGCTGATTTTGTCTTTCTCAGTGCAGTCACTTTCTTGGAACTTATCAACGCACTGTTTTCAATCATTGTTGAGTATATTCAATTCTGACATACTGGCTTTAGTGTTATGGGTTTAGCAAAGACAAAGTGAATATAGCTTTATTAGCTAGGGGACGTATCATGTTTTATCCACAAGTTTTGTAATACCTTTATATTGAGTGATCTAGTGACAAACCAAACTTTTGTTCAGACAAAACCACTGTTGAATTATAATTGTATCAATGAATGAACTGCAGCTTTACACCAACTCTGATTTCTGCTACACTGATCATTTGACATTTGCAAAGATTTTTGCATTAATGCTCTAACAATCATATGCCTAGTGGTTTTCCTACCAAAGGAAAGCAACAACTTACTACCATATTGATATCCAATGTAGGCAAGTGAAAGTAACTGATCAGCATATTAATGTGTTTAACCTCAGTGGTTTCCTATCTGTCTGCTAAGAAAAGTTATATTCTATTTATGGTTTTGCAGATTGTTTTTGTTAGGCTCTTTTTTTAGTGAAATAGGAATGAATGGGCCCAGCAACATGTAGTATAAATTATTGGTCAACTTAGCCTTGGTAATCAAGTTTTTGTAGAAAATTAGATTCAACTAAAATTTTATCAGTGAAAGTCTACTTAGAAATTTTTTTTAGAATATAATCAAAATGGTGAAATGGTAACTTTCTTGAAATGCCCATAATATGATTTGAATGAAGCACCTTTTGGTTTAAGAATTGAATTGGCTGAATTATTTCAGTTTATCATTTTTATGTGCATCAATATATTTGGCACTTGATCTTACCTTTAAAAAGATTAGCTTCAGACATTAATTAAATATATTCAAGTTAAGTTTTCTACCGTAACTGGTACCATCATTGCTCTTGTCATCTTATCTGATATTACTTACTAAAATATCAATTATGAAAGGTAATTGTGGCTTCTGATAGAAAGCCGCTTTTGACCTTTTTCAGCAGATTTTGCAAGTCAACTTCTGTCACTTGTTAATAAAACTGTTTGCTCACATAAAAATTAACTTGCTTCCATTTCACAGTCTTTTATTACAAGCCCGCTTTGCCATTCCAAGTTTTCTCTTTGTATCTTCAGACGATCTTAGTAAACTGTTTATGTATAATTTTGGTGCAAGTAGCTGGAATATAAAACAATAATTGATACATAGATGTGATACATTTCAAGCAAGTGCTTCTTAAGGTGAATTTTACCCTGAGTTTTCAAATATGCTACAACTGGCTACTAATTTGAATTTCGCTGCAAACCAATAATAATAAATTTGGTACTTTAAATACAGGAAAACAGCTTTTTTGTAATAAGTAGTTTTTTATTTTTATAAACCCTTTTTGCTGATTCTATTCGGATTTCATCGTCATTTCTCCTAATATCGTGTTTATTTTCTTTGAAATAATCCATGTCCTCTTAAGTAAGCCTCACCAAGGCGTCTTGTACCAGTTTATTTATAGCACTGTATGCTGAACTCTCATTAAAACCAAAAAATTATTGCAAAACTTTGCTCGTTTGATGAGGTCAGGGACCAAAGCCAAAAATCTGGGCAAACGTTTCGATGAATTCATCTGCTTCCCACAGCAAATCATTCTTCGTTCAATGTCGGTTTCTTTCCTAAAAATATAAAACGGGGATTCCCTTGAAACCATGTCTATTCCCCTACTTTTGCGCGATTAATCCGCTTTGATCATTTCGACGTTGCTCGATTCGAAGATTCACTTCAATGGCGTTTTCAGCCAGCTGCTCGCTGTTCAGTGTCGCTTTGTGTTTTTCTCTTGTACAGCAGCTGGGTAAAAGCAGATGAGAGAAGCAGGGTGGAAGGCAATTCTTCCTTTAATACTTTAAACCCTTACTCGTAGCTGCAAGGTTGTGATGTCTGCATTGGAAAAAATTGCACTTGGATAGTGTGTGACATGCATTTGGAAGAAGGAATGACGATTCTGTTTTTATTGTTCATTGATCTTTTTTAACGGAATATCTTTCAGTATCTCCAGCTGCTTTGACTCGGTCTATTGTGACTGCAGCAAAGTTTTCGTATTTACTACCTAGGTTGTCAGTGTAACTGAAATGCTGAAAGAACTCCAATGGGACTCACTCGAAGCAAGGAGACGAAGGCAGCGACTAGTCATGTTTTACAAGATACATCATAACAAATTAGAAGTAATGAAAGATGCATATATCAAGCAGTCATCCAATTTAAGACCATCTAGATAATTTAATAGCCAAGCGTATGAGATACCAGGGACAGGCCCGCAATACTACATTTTTTCATTTTTCCACGAACAATTAGAAAATGGAATAGGCTCCCACAAAAAACAGTAAAGGCAAACTCATTAGTAGCCTTTAAGAACGCTCTTGCAGCATAACTTTGTTGTTTTTTCCCATCTTTACTTTGACTAATTTAGATAATTTCAAAGAATAGGACAACCGAGCAACCTTTCTTCAACTCAAATTATGATTTTTTTGGGGGGGGGAGGGTGTTTCACATACAGAGCTCTCTCTATGATATGTTGAGCTCTGATCTGTCATACGCCTCAAATTTTTCAAGCTCCAAATTTCATCTTGGCGTGTGCTGTTGTCCTATATGTTTCCCTTTTCCTTTTTTTCTTAATCTCTTTTTTTCTTTTTCATATATAACCTTCTTCTTGAAGTAGTCGATTAATCGTGTAGAAGTAGAAGAAGAAATAGACGTAGAAATAGAAGTAGAAGCAGAAGGTTATCGACAGTGAACCGACCTTTCCCTTAAACCTTGGTTTTCCATTGCTATCCTTGATTTTTTCATACGCACCTCATTGTTGATAATTTTATTTTCGCAGAAAACTGCCTGCATTTCTTATCGATATTTAACAGCGATGCTGCTTTTGTCGTAGGTCAATCCCCTGCAAACCCAGATGACGTTGCAACAGCTGCAAAAAATGGCGGAGAAGCAACGGCAGCAAATTCTAAGGAACAACCAGCAACTCATCGAGAAGCAACAACGTCTAAAAGAGATGCATTCTGGGAAGAAAATGTCACAGGGATCACCAAAGCCAAACCAAAATGACAAGTACGCTGCGAAATTAAGAGAGACTTACCAAAATCATATTTCAAGGCTGCGGATGGTGAAAATGGCGAAGGATGAAATCGACTCACAAAAATTTAACAACATTGAGCTAGGTTAGTGATTTATGATGCATATTGGTTACTACTTGACCCTCTGGTCGTTTTTGCTAAGCTTCACATGACATGTTCTGATTCTTTCACATGACTTCCTTCGAGCTGTTCTTATATGCGAATGCACAATTTTTCTAGATAGATAACGATCTAATTTTACCAAAATTAACAGAATTTTTTGTACGTTAAAGCAAAAGACAACCTGAGGACTAGTTCCACTTGCACTAGTTTAAAAATTTGGACAATCGCGGTAACATTATAACCAAACGCCTTGGTACATTAAAACTATATTTTTACAAATTTGAAAGTCTGAAATTTGAAATTTTTACAAATTAGTATGACTTACATATGTGCCCGGGGGTCACGTCAGCAGAGAAGAATATTCCTGCGTGGTCAATCAAAGAGCCTATCCACCATTGTGATTCAACAATTCAATTGTTGTGACACTTAATAGGCAGTCTTTAATTCACTTTGAACCTGTTCTCCCAGAGCCACTACGGTGAAGCATTTTTTCCTCAAATCGTATCTTGGGCACTGTAAATGATACGTAAAGTGCAAAATAGCTCTCATTGGTTGATGGGGAATTTTCCGTCATAATTTAAAGGCGCTGATACCAAAAGTTAGTTCAGTTCTACTTAATGACCGCCATTCTTTAAAAAATGGTTGCACATGTTCCATTTTATGTTAACTGAGACTGAATGCGATGACAGCCATGTTTCAGCTGTGCATAACTGATTGGTTAACCTTTCTATTTTATCAGCTCATGAATTAGAAAGAGTTCAAGAAATTTTCAAGGCAAAGCAGAAAGAGCTTGTTTTTGCTGCTGCAAAGGTAGACAATCTAACACAACAACTAGATGGTCGAAGAATGGGTTTGTCTAGCGCAAGAGCAACACCTGAGAAGCTGAACAGACGCCGGAAGATCAGAGCTGCCAAGGAAGAGCTGGACAAATTGAGGAAGGAGTTATCGGTGAATATAGCTTTTCCACTTTATACCTCTATTGATTGTTTTTGTGACTAACCACTGTTTATTCATGAACCTTTTTTATTTATACTATATGTATTTGTTAATTTATTTTGTGTCACATAAAAGTTAAGTATAAATTTAGTGAAATTAAAAAAATTCCTCTTAGCTGCGTCATCAGGCAATAAGTTTGATTTTAAATTTTGTTTTTAGTCAAGAAACGAAGTAAACAACGAACAAGAGCTGCAACTTCAGCTCCAAAGAGAATCTTTAACTGAGAAAAGAAAAGAACTCTCAGAATTGGACAAAAAGATTCATTTGTTGGGAAGCCAGCTACATCAGAAAGATGCATCAGATTGCGAGTCAGACACATCCACATCATCTGAGCTTTTAAATGGAGATGTCAACGGAAACAATAGATTCGGAGCAAATCAAATATTTGACACGCTTCAAAGGAAAAGAATTAACGATGGTATGTTACAGAGGCCTGAAGCCCAACCCTATACCAACGGGAAAGCAGCTGCAGTCGGTGCCACTGAACCAAATGTTGTACCATATACGAGGAGAGGCAAATTCTATGTTGCTCCAGATGGTAGAGAGTTTGACAGGCCTCCGACTGTTGAAGACTACCCGCAGTTTCTAACAGGCTCGTTAAACAATCTGGTTGCATCTCCAGCATCATCCACGCTGCCAGTTAGGTCAGCCTCAAGCGATTCTTTGCCGAATTTAAGGGGCAGTAGTCCGCATCTCCCACGGGCACGGACTGACGTGTTTCCGATGCTACAAGTCAACACGAGCAATGGTCAGCTGGCCGGGCTGCCAAGGAGTAACAGCGATGTAGCAACTACTTCTTTAGCTGCAAAACACAAATTCAACGTCCATTCCCCGTCCTCGTCAATTTCCTCATTATCGTCTGTAACATCGTTTGATGCAGAGACTTATAAGCAGCAAAGAAACGCAATAGTAAGCACGGAGGTCGCGAAGCCAAATGAGTCAGAAATCTGGAATGAGAAAACTGACTTCAGAACGTCTTCACCGATAATGTCTGGGAAGATGGAAGCAGCCGCATACAAAGATGCTGTCCTGAGTGCATGCCAGGATGCCTGGCTGGGCACTGCCTCGCGATATCTTGACTCGCCAAAGACTGACTGCACTGAATCAATGACATTCCAGAACAAAGTGTCTTCAAAGCAGGTAGTACCCTTTTTGGATGGACATAATTTTGAAACTGAAGAAATAGATATTACCAAACCTGCAGAGGACGAAAAACCACCCCCTCTCCCAAGGAAGTCATCAAAACCTCCAGAGCTCCCTAAAAAGCCACCAGTAGCGCCAAAGCCTGCCCTACCACCTAAAAAGAAAACCCTAATAGACCAGGCGGAAAACAAGCCTGCTGAAAGCAAACCAACGGAAAGCAAACCTGAGGAGAGCAAGCCAGCGGAAAATAGGCAGGAAAGCAATGTTGAAAGTGCAGAAGAATTCGTGCGAACATTTTCTCATTCAAAACAACCAAACATGAGCGAGCTCAGTGACCAGCTAAACAAATTGTCAGTTCACGAATTAGTCGATCAATTTAGAGAAACGATTCCAGCCGTGAAGCAGCCAGTTGTCAAGCAAATTGGCAAAGATCACTATCCTGGTGCCGGAGAACTTAAAGCAGATGTGGCTAAGGAAGCAATGCGAAACACTGATGCAGAAGGAGATGAAACTATGATGTCAGACTCATCCGGGCTGATGCAAGACTCTTATGAAATGCAATTTGCAGACATTGACATGATAAGTGCTACTCAAAATGATTTGCTGCCATATCTAAATCAGGTTATCAATGAGCAACCTTTTGATCAATCAGAAGACGAAACGAGTTCTCAGACGTCGGAAAGTGAGAGAGTCATTATGCCGGTGATCATCAACGTGCCACCAGAGAAGCTTCCACCAACAATTTTGAAAAAGCCTGGCAGGGATAATAAAAAGCGAGGCAGAATACAGCTGGACCCACATGCCCTGTTGCTCGACGCAGCTCTGGAAGGAGAAATGAAATTAGTTAAAGAAATGGTCAACCGGGTGCCGGATCCGAGCTTTGCTAATGCTGAAGGCATTACTGCCCTTCATAACGCCGTTTGTGGCAATCACAAAGATGTTGTGCGGTTTCTTGTTGAAATTGGCTGCGATATCAATTCTCCTGATAACAATGGATGGTATGTTCGATTCTCAATTTGTTAACTTTGTTTCAAAATGTCAAACTTTTTATTTGAACAATAATTCCAGCATTGACCAGGTCTCTTTATATTTGCCGCATTTTATTTTCGTTTACTTTCTATCTGAATTTTTGTCCTTATTTCAAAATCTGAAAATATCTTTTATGCAGAGATCTGTAAGAAAATGTCTTTCTTAATTTGCAGGACACCACTACATTGTGCAGCATTCTACAATGACGTTGATTTGTGCACGTTTTTAGTTGAGCATGGGGCGTCAGTTTTTGCCATGACATACTCCGACAGACAGACCGCAGCCGAGAAGTGCTCGCGTCTTGAAGAAAATTACGATCAATGCTTCGGCTATTTGCACGGTGAGTGGATCTTGAACAAATGTCTGTTTCTTAAAGTTGTCTCTTAGTTCTTTGGAAGAAAGTTTGTCTCTAGAAGGTCCAAAGGTCCCTCAAGCTGACATAAGGAGGTGATCCATTAAGTTACAGGAAAAACATCTTCCGTGATTTTCGAATAGATGCAACGATGCCATTTACGCATTTCTTTTTATTTCTTTGAATAATCTGGCAGTCGTGAAAACAAGAACGATTAATTGCTAATAACACTCAGTTGTATCAATTGATTTTTTCGAAACCTTTGTAGAATGCAAAGAACAAGTTGGGCGGGTGAACAGCGGCCAGGTATGCTCTTTGTATGACTACACAGCAGAGAGAGAGGACGAACTAAGCTTCCACTGTGGCGAACAACTGACAATAGTAAGGAGGGGTGACGCCAATGAAAGAGAATGGTGGTGGGCAGAAAACAGAAAGAGAGAATTTGGATATGTGCCATATAATTTGCTTGGGGTGAGTTGGCTATTCAAATGTATTCACTTGTAAGATTGTCTTCAAAGTTCAAGCATTCTATACTCATGGATGAGTTTAGTCTCTGTAGTACTGAAATGCAAAACGTGTTCAGCAACTAGCTAATGGCAATGGTATTAAGTACAGTTTGGCTGAAGATAATGTAAAATACAAAAGCTTCACTAAAGGATCTACAATTCAGTCATGTGGTTAAGCATTTGCCATCATGTGTCTATTTAAGCCTCCAAATTTGGTCCTTTTTTCATCCCAATACTTTTCTTTTTTCAGATTTACCCAAGAATCGCTGGTGAAGTGTAAATACACCGTAAGAAATGAATCAAAGCATTTGAAACCTGAATTCTACAAAGTACCATCAATAATTTTATTTACTGTTTTCGTATTTACCCAGAATATGTTAATAGAAATGGCAATTTTTCTAGTTTAGAAATGCTCCTATCGTGGCAAATTGACTGGGTTTGCGTGAAATAGTAATTGTAGCATTCATATGTTTGTAAATCTGGTCGACTCTGCATCGGGTCGACTCTGTGAAAGCAGTGTGAACCCTCCTCTCTAAAGAAGACTTCAACAGCAAACTTATTCCTTTTTATTCTGCCCATATTGATAGAAGTTCTCTCGAATTGATCTTTCTTCGCAGAACAATATTTCCTGCATTCCAACTACCCACTGATATCAATATTATAGAATTTATTCAAGAAACTTAGTGTTTCAGTTGCAAATTTCCACCCATCTAGAATTAAGTTGCAAATTCCCACCCAAAAAATGTTGTTTTTTCTTTCAAACCTATTGCATTTGCAAGTGTTTAAAGCCCGTTGCTTTATGTTGTCAATCCGACTCGAATGTATCCCTGCCCGTCTTACAAGAATCGGCTCACTTAGAATCAAGTATCAAGCATGTATGTGAGAACCCATCAGATCGATTATTTTTGTTACTTGGATAGCTAGTATTAATTTCCGTGCAGCTAATAATGTAGTCATATTTGATATGTATTTAAATTGTAAATAATGTGTCGTCGGTGTAATCATTCTTTAGGTATGGTATTACGAGGTATTCTTCTCCTTCTCTTTCACTATTATTCGCATTTTATTTCCAACTGCGTTAAATGCCAGATTTTTACCATTTTAGCTTTATTGTTTTCTGATTTTAGCTTGTATCCCATCTTTACCATCTAAAATTATGGTTTAATGAAACTGTAATAATTATTTTGAGAAAAATCTTGTATTCCGATGTAGTTTTGATGTTATCTTGGAAATTAAATACCTGCGATGAAACTTGCTATCGAACTAGAACGATACTTTATCGACCCAGTCTTTTTCTGAGCCAAATAGTACCCTCAAAAATAAGTTCTTAACTATAGCAAGTAAACAATGCGTGAAGTTGATGTGACTTCAGAAACTCGCATCACCCTTGAGATGTCGATTGTCTAGTTTAATATTGATTTTGTGCACCCGAATAAAGCAAGATTCTTTCCTGTTCGTTCGCCTTCGTTCCCACACTGGCCTTGATTTTGCATGTTTCGACAGACAGGATGGATGTTAGGGCACGTTAGTTCGATAACTAAAGGACCCCAAATCCAAAGGGACCCCAAATCCAAAGGGGCCCCAAAATATGTTTATAACCACGTTTTGAAACGTGAAACAATTGTAACATGTTAACTCAGCGGGCCCCTCAATAGTTCAAGCGAAAAACTAAAATGATCAAAATCGATAACAACAAAGTCCAATTGCGCGATAACAAAACAGCATGGACGTTTTTAATGACGCATACAATTGCACCAAACGTTTTCCTGGAGAAAGAAGTCAAGGTCACGTCTTGTGCCAGACATTTGGGGCCAAGGGGCTGGAACCCTTTCTCAAAGTCGAAGCAGTTAAGTGTTTTTCTGTAAACGTTGAGAATGATTTGAATTCTATCAGATTCCAGGCGTGATAATCTTTAATTTTCCAGCAGCAACATTAAAGAAAAATGGACAAAAATGGCAGACACAAAATTATTATTACCTTTTGCAAAATACATTCTAGAAGCTAGTATTTGCTCACAGGAGCATCCTAAGTGCAAGTATTACTTTGCCAGGCAAAAGAAATTTTATAACAGTTTGTATTTCTTCTCTTAATTTTACAAAATAAAAGCATTTAAAGCCCATGCTCGGGGTCACCATCATTTCATTTAGAAAAGATAACAATACTGGAATCACCTGGCCTGCATAGGACGTTGCAAATCAAAGTTAAATCTCTCTGAACGCCTGAAGCAATAATGAATTTGCAGTAATTTTGATTGGTTAAGATGTCTTCTCGTTAGCTGACTGGTTTCAACATTGAAAACAATTTGACTAATCCCATAAACATCAAGATATCAAGTACTTGCCATGCGTGGCCAAGTATTACATAGGCTCCGACGCAGGTTGGAAAGTGGGGGGGGGGGGCAAGGGAAGATTTAACAATGAAAAAAGCTCTATTGTTTTCCAAAAAAGTTGGGAGCCATGCCCCCCTCCCTTCGTCGGAGGCCCTGCATTAGCCAACTGACCCAAGATTCCATCAATCCAAAATTGAAAATTATATTCAACTTTCTCGTTCTAAGTAATCGATATGCAACGAACCATGTGGTCTGTGACAGGGATTGAATTAGAGTTAATCACAAAATAGCTGTTGCTTCTGGTTGGCGGCAATAGCTATATTTGTACGATTTGCTTTGGGATAAAATATAAACGAATAGTTGCAAAAGATAATAATCCTAATGACAATAAACATCACTTCGACAAATAACATTACATTACTAAAAGATACTGCGTGGGTAGCCTTACGCAAATTTTGATACATTTGCTAGGGCCAGTGGGCCTATGATCAGTGCCTATGATCAGTGCCCTTGATCAGTGCCTATAATCAGTGCCTATGATCAGTGTATACAAGTATACCTAGGGCAATTATTTGATACCTATTCATAGGACTGTGGTAAAAATTCATAACACAAGGAGTCTGTGAGTCCACTACGCGCGATGCGGTGTGTTAAAACAGCTTTGTCACTTCCTAGAAATAAAAAAAGCAAACATAAAGATCACACATAAGAAGTGGGGCTAGCCACGTTATGTCACGCAACATACTAATTTGTTCTTTTCCACTCAAAAAATTATTTACAAAAATTTTTCATTTGCAGAGTTATGACTGAAATATTGGGAAAACATCTCAGAGTTTCATTAATAAGATAGCATGGTCTACAACATGGTATAAGCATTGTTTGTGTATTATTGCTGTTTCTTACGGTCAAAGCAATGCACTTGTCGTCAAGGGATAACAGAACTAACCAGGGGCCTAATCGAACACTTAAAACAGCTCAAAAGACCATTGCAAATATATTTAGCCTTTGATTTCATTGAAAAGTTGTATAGGGAAATTTTATTAGGGAGTTTCATTTGACTTATTATGTTTAACAGGACACACGGTGATAACAACGATAATTCGCTGAAGTGTTTTATCCTGTATAAATATTCGTATTATTATTATTATCATATTTATTAGAGGGCTCTTATAGTTAGTTATCTCTAAGGACGGCTGCAGCAAAAACCGGATGGCGCATTGAGATCATATTCAGAAATTTAATGCTGTTTTTAACACTATTGAATAGCTGTAAATGCAATTACTACTTACCTTATCGATAATCAATTTAAATTCCTCATAGGCCGTGTCTAGATGATCATTTGCTAAAATATAATCGTATGAGCCAGGTATCTCCGCTACAACAAACAGAATATAAAAACACTTAAGCTAAAATTTGTAGAAAAGGGATGAAAGTACCGACTTTAAAAAATAGTGAGAATAAAAAGAAGAAAGCATCATTTGACGTTAAATCGGAGAGACGCAGCCAGAGGAGATCGACCTCAAATTAACAAAGATTCATTTATCGACTAAGATGCATGATTTTGCAGAACCGCGGGCAAACTGCACGTACCGTACGCGAATTCCTCTTTCGATGTGTTTAAACGCCGTTGTATCGAATCTTCGGTTTCTGTACCACGTCCACGAAGCCTTTTTTCCTATTTGAAAATTGTAAATTCTGATTTGAGTGACAATTCCTACCATATGTACAAGACAACATTCAAAGCTGAATTCAATTTTTGTTAAATGGCAGAAAAGATAAAAGTTTGAAAAAATACAAAGTTCCTTCAATTAACTTCTCAGAATACAGGGTTGGCTACAAATGTTGCAACTCTTACCAACTCTTCTAGACTTGGTGGTTTGACAAATACCAATACACAATCTAAATCAGTTTTCTTGACGCTGATAACACCCTGGAAAGGACAATATCACTTGACTTCATTACATGTGAATGAAAAAAATAATAAAGAAAGAACTTGTGACATTCAAAAAACAGAAAGTTCCTAGAGAATATCACCTTCTATAAAAAATATCAAACAAACGGGTAAATCATTCAGTGTTTTTCAAAAAGATATTAATGTGAACTGAAGTTACTCATAACTAAAATTGCTAAAATAATCTCTAAAATACTGAAATAGGGATAAAACTGAATTGTATTTATAACTAACTATTAATCTACTTATTATCTATCATTCTTACAAGGTAGGCTGTATACCTTATAACTAGTGATAAAAGTTTTAAAAATGGCACATAAAATCAAACTGAAATCAAAATACTGTAAAAGCTCTATTAAGCCCCACTATCACGAAAAAATTTAGCCCCCCTCTTTATTGAGCCCCTGCTCTTTAGCCCCTGATGTCAAACAAAGAAAACATGCACATCAAGTGGGTCTCTTGGTGGGTGTGATCATGATGGCCCATGTTAATATTTACTTGTGCGCCTGGAAGTCAGTCAAAATTTGCTTAGAAGATGTCCCAGCGCTATCAATTAGTGACTCTGATAAAGATGAGGACATTATAATTGCTTAATTTTAAGAAACTTTTGAAGCTGCTAGTGAAGTTTTCTGCGAACATCTGTTTGACATTTCAAAACAAAAACATGCATAAGGGCATTTTTATAAAATTTTTAAATTGAACAATAAGTAAACCCCCCTCTGGTACTGAAAAAATAAGTAAGCCCGCCATGGAGCTCAATAGAGCTTCTACAGTAAAACAAAGTATAAATAAAATTGCAAATCACAAACATATTCAGTTTTTTACCTGTCTGTCAATATCTAGGATGCAAACTCTCCCCTCTTTAAATACATCTTGAACTGCGCGTTTGCTAAAAATTATTTTCAATAGCTTAACCTGTGTCTAGGTAAATAATAATTCAAAGGCCAAGCCTTGTCATCATTGAATTGAAATGGTTGATAAGAAAGTCAAAGCAAAATTAGAAAAGGTTTTTGAAACATAAAAATAGCCAATGTTCCACAGACTTTAATCTTTTTAGCAATCTTTTTCCCCTAGTGAAATTCTTATACCAGACATAATCTGTGCAAATTGAAAATGATGTGAGACTCGAACTTGAAGTGCCAGTGCCAATAAGAAATGAGCCTAAGAGAATAGTTTTTGATAGTTTAAAACTACAATAAGTCACTTCCTCAGATAAAATCGGTTTGCCTCCTGAAATTAATTAGATAGATTTTTCTTTACTCAAAATCTACCAGAAATTGAAGCACGCAGTTATTCACAAATTCTAGTCAATTTAAATTGATCAAAAAGAGAATTCTTAGTAAGCTTAGAAAAGATAATATGAGTGGTAGTTAATGGCTCACCAAAAAAACTTATGTTCCTTACCTAGTTCCATAAAAATTATTATTAAAAACTGCATGTTCCAAAAATTCTCCACAATCAATTTCTTTCTGCATTGCCTCTCTAGTTGTAAAATGGTAATCTAAAGCAAAGAAGAAACACCATAAAAGCTATTTCCATTGATTCTATTCCAGCACAAAATGTGTGAGCGGTGCTTGCAGGCAAACCATGCTGGCCAGACTATGTCTGCAGGCACATCTTAAAAAGTAGTCTTTTCAAAGTTGGAAATTGCTGTTAAAGGTCTAAACATTAAAAAAGCTGAAAGTATCCTTAATTCGAGTATCAAAAAATATCAAACAATAAAACAAACAACCATTTGTTGCTCCAATGAAAATATTTCTCTGAAAATTTATTGAGCTTTGCATCATTAAACCTTACATTATGTCTCTTATTTTAAACAATTTTATTTCTTATTTATTACATATGAAAAAAATCTTGCAGGCACCTTTTTGCAAAACAGTTTGTGCTCACAGGCACAAAAGATTTTTAGGGAGGTCTGTAGTCCAGAGGAAGTTTACAAGGACACGCACAACTTATATACCTAAGGTGGAAACATTATTCTTGGAGCCTAAAGCAGGATTAAAAGTTTGAGCACCCTGCTAGAGCAAAAAAAATTGATAATATAACGTACCTTTCCCATGTACTTCTCCTGGTCTTGGCAGTCTTGTTGTATCTAGAAATCCAAAGAAAGGAATTAATAAAGACTTCTTTGCTCTGAATAAAGGCCACACTTGAAATACACTATAGTGCAAATACATTCAACCTTTTTAGCAATGGTTTGGTTGAGTTCATGCCAAAGAACTAACTAATGGTAAATGAAAATGTTTCTGCACTGCCTGTTTTTGTTTTTGTGCATTATATTTTGTGCACAGCAGAGTGTGCAGTGGGTCATGGCACCACAACCATTTTTTGCTGTGTTATGGAAAGAGTTGAGGGGAAAACGATTTAAAAAACCAAAGTCAAGATCTTTGGATTTCTTAAGACTTTCTGCTTATAGAAGGTATTAACAAAAAAAATTCCTTTATATATTTGTTATAATTGGGTGGATATAATTTGACTTGTGCTATAATTGGATGGATAAATTTTTCAGAAACAGCTCCATGAAATTAAGCCTTGGGTGCTAAGGATCAAGTTTAGTGATGTAGGAGGATCCACCATGGTTGGGTCCTACGGGAAAGACAATTTTTGAAATTGTACCTTCTAGAAAGGCTGAAAAAGCATCCCCCAGATTAAAATTCATAAAATATTAGTTAACTCAGGAAAAAAATGATGTTTTTCAGAAGAACACAGATAATTGATTATTGGGCAAACTTGTGGAGGCGAAGATTCATGCTTTAACTTTAGTGACAGACGTTGGGGAAAGAAGGGATGATGCTGTATTGATTGGTAGAATTTTACTTCCTGAGTCTTTTAAGTAAGCCAGGTTTACACTTCAAAAATCAATACATTGTAATGATACAGAAAGTGATTTACTAAATAAACATCCACATTTTTCCTTTGATTTGGAGAAAAATCTTTGATCTTCATATAGAGGGATGCTTGCCTTACTGTTTGATCATGCTACTTTTCATGACAATATGACAATTGTAAAATATGCAACTGCTTTGTGAAGCTTTATGGGAATCTCATTTGGAATACTTTGATACTCTCCCAACCAATAGAATTGTCTTTAAATATGGTGACTTTGACTTCCTGCCACTTTAGAAATCTTCGAAACATATTTTCAAACTTCAAGGTTGTCTAATACTTTTCTTAACTTTTCACGGGGATCTTTATTTGGCATGTGGATGTTTCGCTTACCTCATATTAGAAAGACTGGTTTAGCATTAAGCTAGATACTACTCACTGCCTATCCTAACATTATTCTGGTACCATACAAAAGGCTTTGACTTGATGGTGTAGAGTCTATAGAGTATTGATGGAATTAATGATTTGAAAGCATTTGAAAGCATTAATAACAAAAAAGAACACTTAAATTTCAAGATGGTAAATTGATATATCTTACGAGATACACTGAATCCAAACTTCTCAGGAAACTCTTTCATCAACCTTTTTATTATTGTTGACTTTCCACATCCACTTGGACCAGAAACAACAATTGATCTTGATTGAGGCATTTCTGCAAAAAAATGAACAAATCACTTTGATATAAGCAGCAACAGAACAAAAACAAAGTGGGAGAGCTAGCATTTATCTTATGTTTCTATGAAGAAAAAGAAAATGATGCTACATGCTAAGTTCAATTGAGTTCAAAAGTTTTCTATATAAAAAAGATCAAAATTAATCATTCTCTTAGGTGAAAATAAGTAGAAAAAGGGAAGGAATATGAGGCCATCAAAGGGAGAAGCTAATGGAAAAGGGCAGAATACTGAGAGACTTAGAAAAACAATATAAAAATAAAAGTTCCACTAATTTCTTGCAGGTGTGGTTTATGTACCATTACCATAACATAAGCACATCCGTAAGTTTACAATGTTATTTAGAAAATTAGTCATATGCAATTAAAACTTAGACTAGAAATAGCTCTTGCTAGTACTGCCCGCAAACAATTAGTTCCTTGATAATGATTGTTTTGAAAATGTAGGTCAGGATATTCGAAGAAGACACCATCTTGGGTTTTCACAATTCTATAAAAACAGCTGCTCTAGTTGATGCTAAACTATTCTTTTTATCAAGAATTTTTGGTGTTCAGTTTGCCTTTGATTTAAGTCCAACGCCCTTTTGAAAATCATGAAGTTTTTCGAGGGTTTGACATTTATTTTTCGATAATCAAGACAATCATAACTTTTGCTCGTACGGTCTCGAGTTTTTGGGAGAAAAGTGTGGCATTCGATTGGTTTTGATTCCCAAAACTTCGAATCAAAACTTCCATCCATTGCGGAGAACAGAGCTGTGATACAGCACCGTTTTCGTGCCAACAATCATAACTTTTGCTCGTACGGTCTCGAGTTTTTGGGAGAAAAGTGTGGCATTCGACTGGTTTTGATTCCCAAAACTTCGAATCAAAACTTCCATCCATTGCGGAGAACAGAGCTGTGATGCAGCACCGTTTTCGTGCCAAAAAACCGAAGGCCTTTAACAGAGTCTTGGCAGAGCAACGCTCCGAAGATAATTCCCTTCCGCACAAAGAGGTGGCGGTTAACGACCTCCTCGACAAAGCCGATTGATTGACAATGAAATTGATTGACAGTTGTCATGGCAGCAGAAAAGTGACAAAATCTGCTGAAAAAGTGCTGACAACATGAACTGAAGCTTCCATATGCTACTTATACGCGGGGCAGACTATAAGCCCTTCACTCGCGCGCTATCGCGCGCGAGTTGCGGGCAATTAAAACCTCTATGCTTGAAATCTGCAATGAGAAGTAGAATATTTATCTGCCTCACTTAATCACTCAGATGCATTGCTTGATGGTGTCTATCTCAATTAGACAGAGCTGTGAATGCTTTGATGCTTAAACAGAATTGTTATTCATTTAATTTTGGGTTTGATTGTAAGACAACTTTCTTGGTTTCTATATTTAGGCGTTGGTACCTTTGAAATGTGGAAAAGTTCTAACTGCCTGTACATGCTAATGATGGTAACCATGAAACAGAAATTGTTTATATGTCAGAATTCAGAGATATAAGTTTGCCAATTTATCTAAGGGCAGAAGGCTATAATTGTGTGCTTAGAGATTGAAGATTGTTCGAACAAGGTTCTTTAAAACAATTCTTAGTTGGTCAATGCATGATCTTTGCTCAGTTGATAAGCTGATCAATGTCACTTGATGTTTTCCATATCTCAGTCTTGCATATTATACTACATGCTTTGTTTTCTTCTTTCAAGGGACATTGACTCCTTTTACAAGGGACATTGACATTGACTCCTACAATTTCAGGAGTTTTATTTTCTTTCATTGTGGATGCTTTGTTGTTTTTCAAGTGTGCTTGCTAATTGGCATACAGCTATAACCTGCTTTATGATTACACTCAATGCTTTTATCTTAGAGCCTGGTGCTTTTATCTTATACAAACACAAACAAATTATGGAAGAGGCAAGTTATCTTATATAAACAAATTAAATACAAGGATTTTGGCTGATTGGAATCCACTGGAAACCAAACTGTGTTGAGAAGTGCTTTTGGCTACCTGATGCCTAATAATGCTTGAACATTTAATAATGACTTCAATTTTTTAACCTTGACAGGATATTTCTCTCTCTAGAATCTTTCTAGAACAATTCCTATTTTTTCAAAATAATAAAAGTGAAAAAATAAAGCAATAATTAATGAAAGAAAGCATTAATTCAAGAAAATTGCTGTTTGTAATTATTGAGCTATTGTTGTTTCTTTATACAATGAACAAAAAGATAACATTCAGTGATTATGAAATTCTGCAATTTAAAGAATAGGTTTCACTTTCATTTCAGTCCATCAGAGCAAGCTAATCTGCATATCGCAGCAAATAAATCGACGTGATGTGCAAGTCCATCTTACAGGTTTGGTTACAAAAATTCATTATGTGTTAATCGAGAGACATATTCTAAAGATTAACGTGCAAACTAAAAAATTTCGATAAAATCTCAAAATATAATAAACAAAAGCTTAACAAATAATTAACCATTTATCCACCGCCACAAATATTTAACTTTAGGATACAAAGTGAAAGTGGTACTGAAGGTTCTACTTCTATTTCTACATCGATACTGAGCAGGACCGAGTATCGGTATAATGCTCAAAGTGCAAGAAATAATAGATTAATGGATAGAAAGTGCTAGAAGATGTCATTGATCAATGATTAGGTTCAGCGTTATCGCCAGAACAAAATGGTCGGAGTTTCCGAATTGCAAGAAAAAAATAATAAACGGCCTGAAGATCTTTCTTAATTTGTTTTTTAAATCGAGGGATGTGATACTAGTACAAGAAAAACAAATCTTTGTTTTACAAGTAATAGCGGGACCGGTATGGTCCAATAACCGCGATTCCTTTCTGGAGAAACTTACTTCAATGCAATTCCATACAAAGATTTTATTTTAAAACCTAAAAACCTTACCTTTGGGTTGAATTCTATAATATCTAAGAAGACGTAAGCTGTTGCATGTTTTCATATAAGAAAATGGTGCCGGGCTCGGGGAACTCGATTGTGACTTTCTGAATAGAAAACGATTGAAGAATGTGGTTACGTGTCTTCCCAAAACAATAGACGTTTCCATGACCGACACACCTGCTATACTGCTGAGGCAAATTGCTGCCATGCGCATACCAGACACTAGGCAACTTCCTAATTCAATTCAACAACATTGTAATCACCACAAGAGCCGCGCGACGGATTTTGGAGACCCTGGGCAAAAGCGAGAGACGAGGCCCCCTGCGCGCGAAGCGAGTAGAATTTTTTTGCGACCACGCACTTTGGACTAGCTTCAATTCATTAAACCCTTTAAAATGGTTTACATTTAAGTTATAATTTTTGTTACTTTTAATTAATTCCAAGAGAGACCAGTGCTCAAAATCAATGTGTTTGTTTTTTTAACGATAATGCATCATTCCAGGTAAGGCTTTGTCAAACTTGAATTTAGTGCTCCAAAACAGGGCCTCTGTGGAAATATTTTTGCTTACCAAAAAAGTGGGGAATGGGAAGCATGGGTTCTGCTCGTAAAGGGGTACTATAAATGATTTGAAAATAAACAGGAGGCATTTTGAACATAAAAAAGTGGAGAAAGAGGGGCTAAGAAGTGACTCAATTTTAGTTGCAACCTAGCTAATTTTTTGTCCTGATTTGTAAAGCCGCATTTTGACCTATTTGTATATATAGAACCCCAGACTGATGGTTCGTGAGAAAGATTTAAGAACACGGTGGGCCCAAGAATTTTTCGAAAGTTTAATATAGTATCAAAGGGTTTCTCTTGCACGAGTTTCTTACCAGTGTGCATTTGCACAACCTCAACGTATGCAAGCTTCAAGAATTGATATTTCAAGGATGGTTCAAGGTCAAGGATGGTTCCATTTTATAAGCAGTGCCAAGGCACCCTATCTTCACAAAAGATAACAAGGATGCTCTTCACAACCTAATACACCTATCAAGTTATGTGAAATTATCAAATGTCTTTGCCAGAAACTATATACAATATACAACTTCTTACATTACCACTTATTTTATGAATGGAATTGAAAGAGCAGAGTTTTTGCAATCATGCTTTCCTGGAAGATCATTCTAGACTTAATATAAACAAACATAGTTTATACAAGGCTTCAAGTACTAAAAACAACACTTTGTTATAATAAAACATCAGAAAAATGCACGTTTTTGGAGACCTTTTTAATTATATTGCAAAAATTACCAAGATTTTATAGAAAAGGGCAAACAGAAAGAAAATATTTAAAATCTTTGGACCAGTTAGAGAGGATGGAATGGTCCAACCTGCAGACAGATAAAGCGAAAAAATGGATGATAACCATGATATGTTCGACAAAAACATTGAAACAGATTTTGAAATGTTCACCCAGAAAGCACAAAACGCTGAAGCACAAGAAACTACTGTACTTTACCTCCCTTACGGTTTTCGCTAGAAGCAATTTCAGCATTAATGTCAATGTACCTTGCCCAAAACGTGATGAAAATTCAGTTATTGGACTTCTTTTTCATTCACAACTCCAAGCCGTCCCAATAACTCTCCATGTCAGGACTTTGTCCCAACAACAGGATGTGAGAGATTTTGTCCCCATCTTAAGAAAACCCATCCAGTTATGTTGCATAGGCAAAATTGCTTTAAGGTTACGGTAAACGTTTTTGACACGATATTTGGTTTTCTCTTCCTAAAAGCAAAACTATTTAACGATTAAACTTCAATTAACGAATCAGATTAAACTTCTATTAACGAATCAGATTAAACTTTACATCATTCGATGCACAAGAATGTGGTGATTCCAATCATATCAAAATAATTGGCAAAGATTTAAAATGATACTTTCCAGGCAAATTCATTGTTCAAATGAGTGTACCACCTTCCAAAGCTATTTTGTACCCTTGCGTTTGAGGTAAAAAATCTGACTTACATCAGCAGAAAGCGCAGATCCTTAGCTACCAAAGAATGTCTCAGATTCTTCAAATTCCTCCTCCACTTGAAACTGAACCCTGTCAAAAATCGGCAAACAATTTTTTTCTCTCGAATAGCTGTATTTGGCTATAAAAGACGGACCAGAGCAAATACAACATTTTTGAGACATGCTTTGCTTACCCGACATCTGACCTGGCCGTGTGCAAAGTTTTGAGCCATTCGATTGGTTCCTTGGGTACAAAATAGCTTTTTCTTTCCTGTATGTAGAGGAATTGTAAGTTCGGAGAAAATGGGACTTTACTGGTCGCACTTGCAAGGTATACTCGTAAACCACAGTGTAATCCGGGTCAAGTCACTTGAAGCCTTAAGATCAATAAGCAATAAACACTGCCGAAAATTGGATACTTGGATGTGCCATGCGATATTGTAAATGAGATGTGCGACCACAACCGCGTGTAAATGAGATGTACGATAATCGGCTAAACAGGTCAAGAGATTTTCTGGCCTCAACTAAAAGTTCTGATAAAGTAGTTATGAAAACCTGCGTTTACATGTGATTTTTCCATTTTCAAAATTTCTGTTTGATTCAAATTTCGTATCATCGTGTGCCTTGAAGGTTCGGCTACTTGAATGTGAAAAATCGAAAAATGGATGATTTCATCCAGAAAACGTTTACCGTAACCTTAAAAAGTAAATTTTCCAGCGAACTGGAATCACTCATATTTGAAAATTTTCCCACCCTTCTGGGCATATAGTAACGCCTTAGGTTGTACAAAAATTGCGACTTTTTTATGATTAAAAACGCATACTTATTATAAAAATTGAGCAAAAAATTCTAATTTTTCATATGCATAGAAAAAATGTATCTGTTCGACTCGTTAAATGATTTCTTTAGTAGCTACAAAGGCAAAGCTATAAGCTTCCAAATAATTTTCCAATGACTCGTGAAATTTCTTTTATGTCAGTTTCTAAAAATAAAACGGTCGTACTTTCACTCTTGTTGATATGGAGGCCCCGGATATGCCTGGGCCGGGAGCCCTAAAATGTTAGTGCGGCTCTGCAGTGCTCTATAAACTCGTCAAGTTTCAACTGGGGTATGACTTTTTGCAATTCTCGAAGGGACATTTGTCACGTGCCCTTTCATTTAGTAGTTTTCAAACTGGCGTCGCGTGACCTTTCAGACTAGGGGGGGTGGACGGTCATCAAAAGACAAATTTACCAACGAAGAAATGGATGGAGAAGAATTTAGGTGCTATTTCACTTACTGATAGATGATTTTACCGACAAACTAAGGATTGTGTAGACAAACTGAAGATCTACCTACGGTCCGACGTATTCATAAAGTATTGAGGGTGCTACACCCCTCTACAGCCCCAGCTAGCTACGCCCCTGCCTACATCCATAGAAGAAATTGAGATGCTCCCTTCATCAGCTTGCATGTTAGGGCATGGTTTCTCGGTGTTGCTGGATCCCTGCAGTTCCTGTCAAATTTGCAGTTTAACTCACTTGCTCCACATTACTGTACTTCTCGGTTTTGCAAGAAGAGCACAATGGTCCACCGTAAACATTTCCTTTCTCTTGAAGCCATCCCCTTAACACCTGGCCACTTTCTTAATGTCATCAAAAATATCTTAAATAACTTCAACGATTTCAATGTCTTCTCATAATAAGGTTGTTCTTTAGCGCTTAGAACTTCTATGTACTATTTGTTTTATATGATATTAGAAAATCTCTGCCCTTGTAGTTCCTTTCATAAACTGATGAAAAAAAAGGGAGGTTGAATTTTATAGTAGGTTGGAAGAGGGATTTAGCAATTCATTTTGTTTAATGTATTGTTTGGTATTTGTTTCAGGCTGCGAAGAGTATCCCTCTCTTTCCTTTGTGAGGTCATGGGACTATATCAGTTTATATGAGATGAAAAATCCACCTCTGTTGGTTGAAGATTTACACGTTAAGATTGTGTATTTTCATAGTGCTAGGAAATGAAAGACATGGCTCTTGATTACGGTCCCGTTTAAATCTGCTCCGCAGGGGTGTTTTTAAGGAAAATTTAGAGTTGCACATTGTTGGGGGGGGGGGGTCGGAAATGTGAAAAATCTGAGAAATCCCGCGATAATTCTTTTTTGGGGTCAAAGGAGGAGATTTTCTTCTGAATAAAATCGATAGAAAAATGACAATTATCACCATGTAATAATGTATTGTTGTGTTACTAAAATGAGCAGGCTAATTATCATTGTGTACATCAGTCAGGCCTATGTAATTTTTTTAGGATGTCACTACTTTCCTATGTTAAAACTTTTGTACAGTGCAACCTCTTCATTTAAGAGAAACTTTACAGAAATTTCACACCTGCAAGATCAAAGGACAAGTGAAATAAGGGATAGGAATGACTGCATATGAAAATTAATTAAGCTCCGGGGGGGGGGTCAGAAAAAAATCAAAAAATTAATAAGCGTCCCCCCTTCTATTAAGGACCTTAGAGTATCAACCTACTCATGAAGAATTGGGGTGTCACTCCGCCCTCCCCCTGCACCCCCGCTAGCTACAATGGGAGTCTTTTTTAACAATGATGTACTGTTCGATAATGAGGTACCCCCACAGTGGACATCCCGTTTCATGTTCCTATGTGGCTGTTGCTGCTATACTAAAGATGGCTGCCAACTTATTTGCAAGGCATGCTAGAAGGAGCCAGATTCTGTCCCATGAAGTAAGAAACCTCCTTATTTGTGCCAGATGCACAGCTCTTATACCCGAAAGAGGAATAAAGAGAGTACCAAATAAACCTCGGAGGAAAGATGGACATGAGACCACTTCATACAACCTGTACTGGGAAGATAGACTCAAGAATGTTCCAAGGCCTCCCTTATGGATACAGCCAGACAAAGCTCATAGAAAATCACCTGCTAATAAAACTTCTCGTGCATTCTCTACTGCAGAAAAAAGGTTACCTTTTTCATTTTCAAATTATCTAGAACTAATCTTATTCGCACTTTAACTTCGTCGGAAATTTCATGATTATTTTTCTGTTTTTTTTGCTGCACTTTTCCGAGGCTCAGACCTCACGAGCATCAAAATACAATACCCTACCCCTTTCACTTTTCGCAGCAGATTCTCCAAATTCAAATTAAAAAAGATTTAGCAAATACACTCATTTTTATAAGAAATGATGATCGGCGTGGAGGTTGAGTTACTAAAGTTTCTTAACGCTTCGGGAAGTTTCAATAGTCATCGTTTCCTAAAAGTACCTCAATAATCATAACATCATTACTTTTAACATTCTTAGTCCTATACTTTAATTTTGTATGCTAGAACAAATTTAATTTCATTTTAGAAACTATTACAGGATGAACAAGACTTCTAAACTTTATTTGGAATTTTTCTAAAAAAAGAACAAAAAGATATTTCATCTAAATAGAGCATAACGCTAAGAAAATAATAGCTATCTTGATTAAGCTTAAATAGAAACATTTCACTCCCACCAAGGTCTTGCATGGTAATGTTAAGTGTCTGATTTCATCATCACCTTCATAATTGAATACCTAGAACCCTTTCGATTCCTTCTTGAACCATAATGTAGAGCACAAATAGAACCCATTTTCTTAGAAAGCTCCCAATTTTCTACCAAAAGGCTTTGAATGAAGTCATGGTCAGCTTCATAATTGACCATTTTTGTTTTATTGTAAAGCCACTGCCTGAGGTTCTTATGATTTCTTTGTTGTTAAGTTATTGTCACTTGCTGGTGCGTGTAAATCACAGGTTGGTACATCTGCTGGCCCAGTCCTTGGCAAAGGAGGTGGAACAGTGTAATTTGTTCAAAACACTTTGGATTCATGGATGGATCCAGCGCCAAATTGAAGGAGGGGCAGTTGGTAGTGAAGGTGCTAAAAAATTTTCAGGAATTGGTGACTAGAGTATGTCACTGCTAGTCACTGCTGTCAAGCTATGTCACTGCTAGTGTACATCCAAAATATTTTTTCCTTTGCACCAAGCAATTCCTCAGAGTTGCCTAACCCCAAATCCATGATCAGGCATCTTGCCCTGCCATTATAAGGGATTTTAGTAATCAATGCCACCCATACCAAACTGGCTGCCATATGTCAGTTGCACATTGAGGGCCATACTACACTCTGCTAATTTTAACATTTCTTATCTCCAACAGGCCTTGCTCTAAGCAAAATGAAGGTGCTCCACAAAACGAGCCCCTAGAAAACTCAAAGTGCTCTATTTCAAGCCTCTAAAAACAATTGCCTTTAAAGCATGTTTAGGGGGAGTGCAAAATGTTGCAAAAATATTAGCAAAAGTAGAAATTGGCTCTTTTTTGGTGCTATAATGGGGATTGAGCTGTCATAGAACTACACCACTGTGCCCTGGGTATAATATTGTGTGGTATTTATTTTTAAGCAGTATTGAGTGAACAGGTCTTAACCAATATCTACACACATATGTTTCAAAAAAGGCCAGCCAAAATTTTCATAAATAAGCCTAAATTATCTCTACCTATGGCAGAACAAAGCAACCTTCATATTTTCTGGCTCCTGGATAGCATTGATAGTTGCTTTGTTTTGCTATACCAAAGACATTTTATAACATACTGGGAGCAGCTTGTTGTCAATAAGTGCACAGTTTTGGGTTGCTGTTCAGATTTAGTTTTTACCAAGAAGTCGTTTCTCTAGCCTATGATCTTGGCTATTTCATTGTGTTTTATTCTTCCCAAAAAATGAGTTACTGAGAGCCTGATAACTCAAACATTTATTAACCTTGCCATTTTTGTTTCCTTTGGTGCTGAGCTATTATTATCATGACAGTATTTTCCTAAAATTGCATACTTCATCACAGGGAAGAATTAAGCAGCCTATTAGAAGATTGAAGAAAGTTAAACACAGGTTCAAATTTGATATGACTATCTGAAACATGCACTCATGTCAATTTCTGCATCTACACTGTCCATTTTCATTGAGACTTGCTGCTGCATGCATCTTAGCATCATCAATATTATCATTTCATTGTTAACATATTAAATCAATTTTGTCGGACAGAATTGCTGCTACTGCTGTAATCACTATGTTGGCTGCTGTAATCTCATTCAAGATTGTTTTTGGGAATAAAGGTTTGTTTTTAAGTTGACTCTTCATCTGCTACCTTTTTTTCAAATTTTTAAACAGTACTTAGTAATTCATATAAATTTGATAATGAAATGATATATGAAATCATCTAGCCTTTTAATTTAGGTTCAGGCGACTTTCATGAAGAATTGATTCATGAAACCTGAAAGCATTGGTGAAAGTATCAAATACTTTCTTTATCTGTTTGCATTTAACTAGTAGCTCATTAGAGGACTTTTTTAAATGTTGCTTTCCTTTAGTTCAATAATCAAATTACTAAATTCTTACAATAAATAAAATAATTCTTTTTGTATATATTTTCCCAGCATTGAGTGTATTTCAAATCCAGTAATTTTCTGTTGCTAAATTTATTTCTTAAATCTCTCCTCTCTCATCTATTAGTCAACCTATTAGAAGAGTTTGTTTTTTAAATTGTTTGTTGTTCTCGCCAGTTCTTAAACTTTTTACTGATGTAAAATTCACTGCATAACTTTATGATAGAATTTTGAATCCAAAGAAATTGAATCTCAAAAGCAGTTTCTTGCCAAAATGGTTGAATTCTTGCAATTTAGTTATGAATTTTGGGGAGATTTCTAATCTTTAGCAATATTTCATTTTTCTTTCCTTGCTATGTAGCTTTTAAATTTTTCTGTCAATATCAACAAGGTATCTGACTCATGGATTTTTGATATTGAAACTTGCTATCGATCTTTTTACAGAAAAAAAAGTGACAGCTGAATCTGATTCAAGTAAATTGCCTGCATAGCAAATGTGGATTTGAGAACATTTGCATCCACTGAGTCATCTGTATTTCCTCATTTATGGTGCTTCAATTGCCTCACATCAGATGTAACCTTTGTGTATTATTCTCATGATGTTTAGTTTCTATAAATAGTATTTGTAATTAAAATAATGATGAACTAGAATGTTTGATGTTGTCTGTATTTCTATTTCTATATTATTCTGTTTGACAAAGTCTTGTATCACTACACCCAGTATTTTTAAATCCATTCCCAGAGACACATGGCCATGCCCACACACATGCAATTGATTTTACACAGGAAAAAACCAAACAAGTGAACATCATTTTTACGTGATAAATAGCATGTGCTTGTGAAATTGGTTTTGGGTGTATTTCCATTTTTTCAGGAGACTCGGTTTCAGTTTTCTTTGCCAGGTTTGACAGGTTTCCTTTGCATTTTCCTAAAAAATGTTGATTAAGCCAAAATATTGCATAAAAGAAATGGAACTAAACTGAACGATGGAGTGCATGCGTAGACTATGGGTTAATGCTGGATGTCAAGCAAAGAAGACAACAAAGAAGGATTCACAACTTTGCGGCAAAAGCTACATTAACCTTTTGGTTTGTTTCGTCTTCTACTACAGTGGAATCCCGATATAACGAACCACGGGTATAACGAACTTCCCAGTATAACGAACTAAATATATGGTCCCTTGGATTCTGCCTAACAAACTCGTTATAACGAACCCTGGTTATAACGAACTCTCGATATAACGAACTTTCATCTGCTTTTTATGCTTAATTATTTTCAGTGTTCATTTATCACTTACTCTTGGGGGTGGGAAATCATTATTGTCACCAGCAAAACATGCTGATGATACATTTCAAGCACTGGCTCGCTGATAGATTATTAGATTAATGTTTGATCACCATGCTATGCATACTGTCCTTAAAATTAGATTCTTAACTTTTTGAATTTTTTGCTAAAGAAATGTTCTGAATCATTGTTATTTTGATGATATTATAGAACCGGATTCATTTTTCATCATATTGATGGATTCAAGCAGGGGCGTAACTTGGCCAATAGGTTTGGGGGGGGGGTGAAAAGGGTTTCTGCCCTGCGGAAATGAGTGGTGCCCTGCAGACCTCGTAGCAAGGGTTTGCCTATAGGTTACTAGTGAAAGCTTACCAGTGTAAATTTGTCTTTACCAAAAACAAACTTATAAGCAATAAAAACAAACTTGAAACTTCGTTGCCTATGAAATATCTTTTTTTACGTAAGCGTAAATTAAATGTCAAATTTGATTTTCCTTTGTAATAAAGCTTGTATTTCATGACATATCAAGTTTAGTGAGGTAGGAGGACCTACCATGGCTGGGTCCGACGTGAAGAAAATTTTTGAAATTATACCTTGTAAAAGAGCTAAAAAGCATCTCCCAGACTAAAATTTAGCAAAATACTGTACTGCTAAAAAACTGATTATTGTTTATTGGAAAAATAGGGAGGGGGGATGGTATGCTAAAACTCTAGTGATAGACGTTGTGGAAGGAAAGAAACGGTAACCTTTCGTTTCAGATTGCACGTAGTTGTGAATGACAGAGCAATGTTGTTTTGAATGGGAGAATTTTATTTCCTGAACAGAAACGTGCAGTTTCTTATCTCGAGAAGGCCATGTTTACACTTCCAAAATTAAAACATTGCAATGAGACAGAAAGTGATTTACTGAATTAATGCAAATAAAAGAAAAATAATAGAAATATACAAGTCATGAATAAGTTAGCAATTAGATCAAACAAAATCAGCATCTTAACAGTTTATTCTCTTTTTATTTCATACACTGTTAAAAAGTTATAGAAAAAATGATAAAAAATTCTTATCTTGACCAAAGTGGGGGCCTTTAGCCCTCTATTCCCCCCAGTGGCGCCGTACCTGTCATGAAAATAAGTTACAACTTAAATTGATTTGTGTGGACTCAACCTTGCCCTCATAAACTTATGCATCAATCATTGCATCCATTGGCTATGACTTTCGGTAAAGAATGCTTTTGCTCTGCTAATAACGGAGCTCTCCCTGACATACCTGTTCCGTTCTCTAAAATGCAATGTCAGGAAGGGAGGTTCATAAAAAAAATATAATATTTCCATTTCAAAATTCGTAAACAGCCCTTTGGCAATAAAGCTCTTCTTGGCGCCCTGCGAAATCTTCGATTGCCCTGCGAAATCGGCTATTTTTAAGATTGGGGGATGTCACAACACAACACAACAAATTCCTCGAATCCGAGAATTGTCTTAAATATCGAAGGAATTTCCAAGAGAAACATTTTTTAAAGAATCCAACCACCTTTAAGAGAGATCATTTGTACGTTCAGATAAATACTACATAAGAACATAAATATATACAAAATCAAATTGTCACTTCTTATTTACAAACTCTTTACATTCAAACAAGTAAAATATTTGCCCAACTTGACTCCTTTACACCCAATTAAAAGTTCCGCCTCACTGGAACTTTAATGCAGTGCTTTATTCGCCAGATGGTTGTTCCCCGTCCTCTTTTTTCAAATTCTCATCTTCTTTATTTTCCAGACCAACTCCGTTGCTACTATCATTGTTCGTATTTTCAGTACTTTCTTCTTGTGCACCTTCCTTTGCGTCATCACTCTTCTTTTCCTCGTTTGCATCCGGATTTTCAGCCTCGTTATCTTTCTCACCACCCTCACTTGCAGCCGCCTCTTGATTTCTTTCCCCTTCGTCACTACTTGGCTTTGTCTCACTTTCACTACCTCCTTCCTCTTTTCCAGTATCGTCTTTTCCAGCTTCATCTTTTCCATCTTCAGCTTTATTCTCTGTCGAAATTTCATTGACTTCCACCTGTTTTGGCTCTTCCGATTCATTACTTGCTTCTGAAATAATCCGGGATATGATATTTACTTCTCCAACTTTGAAAATTACACACATACATAGCGTATGTAACAAAGAAGTAAAAGGTTTCTTCCAAAAAAAGGAGAAATTCTAAATTGCAATTGTGAATAATTGTTTGTAATACCATTATTAAACTGGTATTAAAGACATAAATATGTTCTTTTGTTTGAAACATAAAATAAATTACGAGGCAAATGCGCATAGTAGCGCAGGGGTGTAAATCGAGTGATTTCAATCTTGAAATTCTATTGTGTTACTTCGTCGTGTTATTTAGGAACAATATTACAGAAAGTTAACTGCCATGACTTTATTGCAACTTATATTTGCACTTGCAATATTCATGTATTCTTCATGAGGCTTGATCTTGGAGAATTTTACTTTGCAGTCTCCAGGACTTGGGCAATTTCATTTGTGAGTCAAAAGATTCACTCTGTCCGATGATACACTGAGCTAGAGTAAGTTAGCTTGTATTGCGAATTCCATTTGCCTCAAAAAAACGTCTCTGTTAAATTCACTTAACATAGCTATGTCGTCGTCACATCTGATGATGCCTTGTGAATTCAAGGAGTCTCTACCGCGCTCGTAGATTTCCCACTGTTTTCAAGTCGTCTTAACCAATAGTACCTCATCAAATAAGGAACAGGCTTTTTATTCTAATCTCGCTTGACAAAACAAGAATCCACAGCCAAACTAATGTGCATCATCCGGGACTGCAGATGGCTAGAGACAGCCGACGTTGAGTTCCTGTTTTAAGGCTGTTTATTTCTAAGTCCGCTCGTTCATTTTGTTTTCTCAGAGTTCAACTTATTGGATATTGTCCGACGCGCTAGAGACGACTACTATTCCGTTGCAATGCCAAGATGCCTTAGAAAACAGAAGCAATGATCAACGAGTCTTTTAAGAGTTCTTCTTTTTCTGACAGTGCTTTCCCCAAATTTGCCAAGTGTTGACGTGACCTTGGCCTATTTGTAATCTTACCCGGGTCCGCAGTACAAGCAACCTTAAATGTTGAGCAAAAGATTGACCAAATCCAAGGAAGAAAGCTAAACGTTATGTTCATTTTGGAATGCCGTTTGAGCACTGTCTGTATCCAGTCTCTATTGGTGAGTATTTCTACTTTACCATTTCTTACCATTTCTTTGGTATTCTATCACTGCAATACTACCCTTTGGTATTCTATTTGCTGTACAAGCTGCAGGCGTGCAACCATCGTGCAAACATTTGCTGAACTTGTGAAACCACACAAAGATTCGTGTTGCAATAACAGGTAAGGCCATAACACTCTCTCTACAGCTACCCCTTAGAGGATGAAACCCCTTCTCGCATAGTACCTCACTCCTTTTTCAACCGAGTTTGAATAGACCTTCATATACCTAGCCGATTTATGTGATATTCAATTATTTCTAGGTACTAGAAGCTGTTTAGCTTGCAGAATTAGCTCGTTATCTGATTAAACATCTTTAGAGGATATCGTTGCTTATCCAACATCCTCTCACAAGGAACTTTTTTATTGTTATACGTTTCTCAACCGACTCTTTATTGAGGACTGCGAAAGAAAGCCTTCAGCTCTGCCTTAATTTGCAACACAGCTCTGCTAGCATATAAATTCACTTTGAAACTTTGCCTTCTGATCCATGTACGAATTTGACAATTCATTTGGCTTCTCTTAAATGCATCTTCCAACAGCAGCCAGAAATACAAAGATGCTTGCTTAACAATGAACAATTTTCTTCAAGCTTTTATAGGTAACACTCACGCGTAGATGTTCTTAACGCCCCTGACTCTGTTTTTTTTCGCAGTAGCAATCATGCGTTGGATTTAGTTTCGTTATGTTTGTTCGCCAATTAACTTATATTTTTTCGCCATATTTTGACGAATAACGAACTTGAAATAAACGCAATCATTTACGCCTATTTCCGATTTTGGAATTGATGCAAAGTGGCTCTTACGGTTCAAGTGTGATGGTTCTTCAGTAACTCGGGAAACCGCTCCATTTCAAGAGACTCCTTATCATTGGCATATCAACATTGCCGATCATTCAATGTTGGTAGGCGAATAACCTAGAGTGCAAGCTTTAAAAACTTACACTGCAGAAATGGAGACACATTTTTATTTTACGATGCTACTTTATCTTGGATTATGTTCAATGCGGAATGGTAAAGGGCAAACTTCCATCAATGCTGTTTTGTGGTAAAAACCAAACATAAAATGCTTACCTTGGTTATTTTCTCCATTTGCGTCCGAGAGTGTACTGTCCTCGCCAGTTTCTGCCTCTTTGTTTTCATCTTCACCTTTTGCCACTGACTCAGATTCGCCTTCTTTTGTCTCTCCTTCAGATTCACCTTTTGCATCCACTTCTGATTCATCTTTTCCGTCTATTTTCGATTCCTCGTTAGCTTCCAATCCCGATTCATCTGCACGACCTTGGTCCTGTGCTTCGTTAGCATCATCCGCAGTATGCTCTTCCTCCACGTTTGCTGTTTCTTCAGCGGTAGAGCCTGCCCCGTCCTCTGGCGGCTCTTCTTTCGATGGCTCTGTGAAAAACCAGACAAAGCACATGATTATAAAATTCGTATCCGCTCAAACACCGACTACCGTTAACCCATTCGGTAAAACTGCGATCTATTAACTTTCTGGTGGAAAGACTGTCTTCTTTAAGAAATCTGTTTTCAGACGAACTGCTTTGCCGTGTTAGCAATGCCAAAGCTTTAAATGACAACTTTAGATAGGGACTTTCTCACCAACAACTTGCTACAAAGATAATCTATTATTGATGCCAGTTCATTCGATCTAAGGTAATTTTTATTTGCTCGTAGAACTTTTTGCGCTATGAATAAAAATTCTTTGCCAGCCATTCTTAACTACCATGTTAAAAGCAGGAACAGCAAAATAGTCCCTTAAGGCTAAATGTTGGCATGCTGAACCAAGCGGCATAATTTTTCACCAAAAAATCTATGAGTAGTACGCCTGTAACAAGATGGAATGTTAGCGTTTTCTCGCAGTCATTTTTAATTTTAACCATACCTTTGACAGTTCCATCTTCATTGAGCTCGACTTCAGGGAAGAATTCGTGGATCACATGAACAGCTTTGTCGACGTTTGAACTGCTATGAAGTGCATTCTTCATTGGGTCCGTAGCAAACAAAGCTCGCAAACTGCAGAATAATGAACAACGGTTATTCAAAATGGAGTCAGTAAAGTATAAATGTCAACTACTTTGTTATGTTTACTGAGGCTGCGATTGGAAGCATAGCACAAAATATTCTTCAATTTGCATTCTGCAATAGTTAAATTAACAATATTTACTTTTCACTAGATGATTGAAAAATTTTAAAAATGAAATGGGTCTTTCACAACACATTACAATATCATTAGTACTCTCAAAGCAAAGGTAATCTAATTGAAAACAACGTTTAAAAAATTGCCAAATAAGTATGAGATGATTTGCATTTAGAAGAGGCAAACTTTCTATCCTCTTTTCTTTGACGCTGTTGCAATTTAAGGGGCAGGTGCTAGCATTCGTCACTCTTACCTATTGGGTGCTTGTTCCCTGGCGACCTCCGGCTCATTTGGACCAACTAATGCTCTAAACCCCGTAATAGCGTCTTCTCTTGACAGGATCATGAACAATGTTGGACCGCTGTAACATTAACAAGTGTAAATTAGCCTTCGATAAAGACGACAGCAAAGAAACGACATAAAAAGAAGACATTTTCTGAGTAATACAATTCAAATGAAAAATCAGCAAGCAAAAATTTATCAAGAAAAAACATGAAATGAAATGAAACACGAAATACCTGCTCATGTAATCAGTTAAGCCATCATAAAACTCTTTCCCTTCGTGTTCCTTGTAAAACTGGGCTGCAAGATCTTTAGTGAGGTGCACTTCCTTTTGTGCAGATATCTTGAAACCAGCTTCCTCAATCTTCTTTAAGATTTCCTCTTTTAGAAAAAGAAATTGACATTATAAAAACGACTTTTAAATATTTTTCAGACTGTCTTTCTTGAAGCAGTCTTTTCAAAGCAGTGCTAGAATTGGTTTTGTTTCTTAGCCCAATTTACATGCAAAAACTTATAGCTGCTACAAAAACAAAATACAAAAACACCTGAATTTCAGCAATATACAATAAATCTAGAGTTACCCCGTTGCTCAGGCTCGTTGTAGGCCTCTGGCTTGATGACACCGACTGTTGCTTGCGGCGGGAAAAATTTCCGCAACTCTTTCTCTGCAGTTTCAACAGAGTCAGGTCCATGAAGAGGATTAATGGTTGCATTTTCTTCTGAGAATACAGCCCGTAAACTAAGACAGAAGTTATTGAGAAAGCCAATATCAAAATTTTTATCATTAATTTGATTTTGATAATCCTTAAACGAAAACAAACATGTACAATCATTGTTTTACAATTCCCATTGCTATTATATTTTAAATTAAATAAGAATTCGTTTATCTGATACATTCATAACACAAAAACATAATAAGTAAATAAAGCAAGTGCCGTATGACTACCTTTCGGGGGCTTCCTCTCTTGCCTGTTGAACATCCTTCGGCCCTAATAGGTTTCGCCAAGCTTCAACCGCATCCTCTCGCGCCAAACAAAGTGCTAAAGATGGACCGCTGAAAAATCAAAGGAGCACGTTTGAATGGCAGACCATTTCCAAACTGGCAATCATTATGTACATTTCTATGCCACCTGTTCCAGACGTTAATTGCTTTTGATAAGCCGAGATGACCACCCGCCTACATCTGGAAATTCTACTTTTCAATTAAGTAATAACAGAAAGTACAGCGGACATCAACAAATGAAAGGAAAGCAAGTACCACATTAACAGTATAAATCGATAACAGTGTGAAATTCTATGGATTCAAATGTTTATTTCCTTGGTTGAGAACGTTTGTGACCAATTTTGTTTAAGTCCAATGTAAGCGAGGTTCACATAGCTCATCAACCAGGTAGCTACCAACGAATATTGCCCTATGAATCTCTGATAGTAACTTTTAGCTCAGGGGGATAGCTGTGCTAAAGACAAACTCACAGAGAAATACCGAGAAACGCAGCTTATGGGTAAAAATTTCTTGACACCAGACTTTAATAGCAGGTAAACAACGTAGAAGATTTGATGAGTTAAGGAGTAAAATAAAATGCTTAGCACACCTAGTCATGCTCGTAATTAGGGATTCGAAATAATCACTTTCTCGGTGTTGATCGTAAAACTCTTCTGCTTGCTCTCTTGTCAAGTACATCTCTTTTTCCATTGCAATACTAAATCCTGCTTCAGTAATCTTGTGTAAAATCGATTCTGCAAAAAAGTAATCGTTTTAAAACTCAATGACAATACAAGTAAAGCCATGTTTGCATAACTTAACACATGAAACGTCATCTACAATGAGTCCTGAGCATTAAAAGTCTCTTTTACAGGTAACACAAACTCTTATGAGACATAAAATCAAACAACTAATCAGTTCAGACTTGTGTGGAAAACGTTTTAATAAATATAAATATGATGGAAATTCTCCTTTGGACGCCAACTTGCAGATACCACAGGCTATAAAAGTTTAGCTGGTTTTAAGCAAAACTGTCTAACATTTATTCTTCTTTAAGGTAGAAATTTATTTAGAAGTAAGTTTTAATTGGTGTCGAGGTAAATAGAATAATTTTTAAGCATTTGTTATCAGCAATCTTTGTCAATGTGAAAAACAATGACAAAAAGCTCTGGGAAACTCAAATGGAAAAGCCTTTTATTTAGAAGATTACTTTAAGTGAAGCCTTCAAATTAAGTTCTTTCTAGGTGATATACCAATCGCGAAAATGACTAAAAAACGAAAATGATGTCAGCTACCTTTTCTCTGGGTATAAGCACCAGGCCGAATAAGAGCAAGGGTCCTCTGTATCCGTTTTTTCTTTCTCTTTTCCTGCACTTTTGGTACGTTGAATTCAGGAAAGAAAAACGCCAGTTCCCTTCAAAAAATGTTTTTAAACATGTATAAGTCTGTAAAAATCATATCTTGAAAGAGTTATGAGTTTCATTGAAAATAATACATTTCACTTTTACAAAATTCATCATGAAATTATACAAAAACTAAAATAGAAACAAAAAATTACTGAAAAGCCTCATTTATAAGTCTATAAAAATCAAAACTTGAAAGAGACAATTGATGAGATAAGAGTATTTTAAAAATCAATAGCGGTTTACCTTCTTACGCTTTTCCCTAGCATTTTATTCCCTTTTCTTCTAGGTTATTAAGAATATCGACATACTTTGATTTACAAGCTACAGCATAGTGTTCATGGATAAAGGGCGGGGTATTGATGAAACAGCAACAGCAGTATTTAATTCCCACAATATATTCAGATTTAAGTTTTTTCTGATAGAATTGATTTGAGCGAAAATTCCGGTTGCCTCTTTCTCCATTTGGTATAGCATTCAGAGCTTAACCCAAAACAAATTACGAAACGTCAAAATGAACATCAAATGCAACAGCAATAATTACAAATTCTGGCTCTCAAAATCCTTACTAAGAGATATGAAATTCAAGCACATTCTTACTTTTTCCGAATAAGATATCAAATATCATATCAGGCCTCCTACCTTGCAGCACTTTCTGAAGAGTCGCAGGAATGGACTGCATTCATGATGGCATCAGTGCCATACTGGGCACGAATACTGAAATACACAAATAGCAAAATTACTGATGGAAATTGCTTAAGTGTCATGGCTAGAGAGGTTGCAAGATGTCAAAACAATGCAATAATCACTATTATACCCAGCATACGTCGTTTTCATGCAAGTAATTATGGCTTATCAATGTTAACGTGTTTATTGTCTTTCGTCGAGTCCTGTCCTTTGCCTCCACAAAGACCTTTACCTAAATGTCACTGTCCTATATGGTGATGTCGAAATAGGTTACCAATCACTCTAAAACAATGTCTGAGATCAAATGATACCTTGCCGGTGCCTCTTCTTTGGCTTGATTGACATCTTTCGGACCAATAAGATCTCTCAATTCCGGGATCAAGCCGTATCCAGGATCTTCCCCCTTCTTGCTGAGAACCAATGTCAAAACTGGATCACTAGTGTGAGATAATTTTGAATATGAGTTAGATGACTTAAATGGTTGTAAATAACGGGTTAACATCAAGAAAGGCAGGAATTTGAAGACAGTTTGAAATGGTTTTTTTAACTTGCATCAACAGACAGACGCGAAGACAGATAACCTAGGTAAAGATAACGATAACACTCTACCTGCTCATAAACTCGATTAGCTGCTCAAAGTGCTCACTGCCCTCGTGTTGCTTGTAAAACTCTGCTGCCTCTTCTTTAGTAAGCACCCTTTCTTCCTTGTGAAGAATCTCAACGCCATTGTCCTCGATCTGAGTAAACACGCCAAAATAGTTAAGAAACTGCTGACATATACCTTTCTATGGAAGCTTAATCTTTATTTAGATTACGAATCTTATTACGTTGTCAGCACAGCCAAATCCTTATACTTTCAACAGCAAGAACATTGTAACTACACAGTATAGATTGATATTTTTATCTTGATACTACAAGTTGCATGCTCAAGATGCTAGCAAATGCATAACTTTCAAGACCGTGCAAGAGTCAGTTGAGAAGTTAAAACAACAATACTCCCAAAGAAAGAGCAAAAAAGTCTCAGTCACAATCTAAACACTGATCACTTCCCTTATTAGCCATTTTTTCAGGCTTTTAAAACAATTTCATGTGAAAAACGAACAGAATGCATTTTCCTGGGTACTTGAAAATAAGATATAAGTGTAGGTGTGGCGCTGAAAAACTTCATCACAGCGTTTAATGCTGCTCCTGATAAAACAAATGGCACATTTATTTCCTTCTCTGGGAATGATGAAAGTCAGTTAATGAAGTTTCAACTCACGTTTTGGATAATTTCATCCGCGTGACCATTTTTCAATGCATCTGGTTTTATAATGACAACAGATATTTCTTTTGGGACCTCAACCATTTCTACAAAGGAGATTTCCCCTTGCGGGTCATCAAAGCTTGTAATAATTATTCACAAGTATGTAAAAATCAACTTAAGAAGGCAACTATCTAGAAGTGAGCTACAAGACATTTAAAGACCTACAAACCAAAAATATGTTATTTTACTAAATACAATGACTGACTGCCACTGTGCTAATTGCAAACTTGCACATCTGCTATACTATGCTACTAGCTTGATGTGGTAAGAGAATTTAACTCAATCAAAGGAAGCCTGTTTTGCACAGAGAATAGAAGAATGTACAAGTTCCTTTGAGAAATGAATCATGGAAGTACAATGATACTACTGAAACTTTATCTACCACACAAACTACTCTACCTGCACCCTGAGCAAATTTTTCAAAAATTTCTCCTGTAAAAGTGCAAAAAACACTATCAGAAATGTAAATCAAAAAAAGTAAATTATTTCAAGGAAGAAAAGTACAATACTACAAAATTAACTTCATATTTGTCTCTTAGGTTGTACTTTCAACCAATCTACAACAATACTGAAAATTTCTACCAAATAAAAAAGAATTATACAACAAAATTGAAAACTTTAGGTCAGCTGGGTCTGTCAAATGAATAGCCAAATTGGTAAATCTTTTAACAATGGGGTTTTCAGTTAAGTTGACATTACTCTTGACATAGTGACTGAGGTATACATAGCCTTTAAATTAGCTTATTGGCTAGCTGAATGTTACTTCTTTCCAGACTACAAACGGCAGATCAACAAATGAACTGGCAATAAAACATAAACATAAGAGAATGAACAGAACAACTATATTATCAAAAATACGAGACTGAGTAGCATAGCAAAATTGAAGTATTATTTTGTAAAGTTTGATGATAAAATTCCCCATGGTAGCCTTATATCTGACCTCCATGTGGTCAAGAAAATGTCAATGCCACTGAAGCTAATTGAATGATTGCTTCAGCCTTAGAAGAAGTGCAAACAACTTCTACTTACCAATTTCTTCATCCTCTTCCACAGTTTCTTCTTTTTCTTGGTCCTGCTTCTCTTCTTCTAATTTCTGGTGCTGCTGCTGTATTTCCAAATCTATAAACTGTCAAATTCAAAATTTTCAGTCTCAAGGAACAAATTAAAGAGCAAGATATAAGGTTCTTCTCCATGTACATTAGTTAAATAAAAAAAAACAAGAAGATTCAATTAGGGAATTCAAAACCCTTCCATTTCTCAAAAGGTGGTTTGAGGAGTAGAACTGACAAATGATTTGGCTGATTACTCCTTATTTTTGCAAAAAAGAGTGATGTCAGTTTGTATTATTAGCCAATCAGAAATGATTTAAGAAGATATATTTTAAAGATTACATGTTGGATGTTCAAATTCAATAATGTCATAATCAATTTTTCCAATTATCAAATACAAGCCTAGAAACATGGTATTTTCCTCCTATTATTCAAAGATATGAAACACATGAAACATTGTTAAATTTTGTGATTTAATTATATGTAATGTGGAATTAGAACAGATTTACCACTTTTCGTTCTGCATCTCCACTCATTATTCTGTGCTCTTCTCTCAGAAAATGTGCAATCGATTGAATTAAAGATGGGGCATCACATCCACGAATGACATGAACCAACTGACCTCCCTGAGAAAAAACACATTAAAAACAAACTTTATTAAAATTTCAATCTCTACACTCTCTACAGTGAAAAATTATTTGACTGGTTCCATCAAAACAGAATGCAGATTGGAAAGGAGGGGGATGTTGTTCTACTGAAAGAACAGCCAGGTATCTGTTGCTTCCCATTTACTCTTTTTAAGGAAATATAGCATAGTTTGGCAAACTAATTAGGGGCTACAGCAGGCCTGGCCGTTTGAGGCGAGCGATAGCTCGCGCTCGCCTCCACGCTCCCCTCGCAACCTGAGGCGAGCTATGAATTGCTCTCCTAAACAGAACATGAAGGGAGAATCGCTCCCCTAAAATTTCCATTCATTTGCCCTTTTCCTATTCAGAGAACCCTGAAAACAGGTTAATTGGCTTATTTTTGTAACAGCGATTTCTCCCGTCACTGCATTTTTTGCAATTAACTTTTTGCTTGTTGGGGGGTTTTTGTTATGATATGCATAAACTTCGATCTATTTGGAAAAGGATAGTTAACCGAAAGGTGGTTTGTAGCGTTAACCGAAATAGTCAAACGTCGTTTGTAGCGATTAGAACCTTTCGATCCTAAGAAAACAGGAATATTTTTGGAAGGAAAGTCGAAGAAATGGGTAGGAATTGTAGATTGGAGATATAATAAGACAGCAGGTCCCTTCCAGCAATAGAAACAAAACTATCCCTCAAAGAGAACAGGGTACTCTGTCTTGCAGATCAAAAACGACAACCAAAATATGGAATTCCACTATCCAGCAGCATTTACTGAAAAACCCAGATTGGGTGAAAACTATAACGGCGACATGTTTCGCATTATTGGCAAAGCCTGATCATCGTTCCATCTATGTAGCAGTTTGTGAATCTATCTACTATATAAACATGGCCGACTGCTTTTGTGTAGACATAAGTGAGTTCGTTTTCACCTTAGGACTCCGTTGGTAACATTTTCAATAGGAAAGGGGCATTTATTTGAAAACCTCAACAGTCATGTCCTCGCGTTTTCTGATGGCCTATTTCGATCCAAAACTGGGTATTTTAGCGTAGAGTTTTCCTTCTATGTTCTGACGTTTTATTCTCTGAAGAGTGCTAGACGTATAATTAAGTTTGTTTCAAAATTTGTTTTTTAAAGCCATTTTCAAATTCTGTGCAACAAAAAGATTGTTTTGCAAGAGAATTGTTGTTTTTGTGTTGTGCCAGCTTTACATAAAAAGGAGAGAGTCTGTTCTTTCAAATACTTCAAGTAAAGGGGGATGCCTAAGTCACGGTTAAAGCAAATGCAAATTGAAAGAAGTAAAACAGCACACTCCTGACTGAGGCTATTACATTAAGGCAACCAACAGATACTAAAGGGGCTTATTAAGTCATCTGTCGATTGTCTTTAAAGTACATTCTATGTGTTACTGATTTAGCTCGCCTCAGCAAATGAGGGGAGCAATTCACAGCTCACCTATGAAAATACAAACGGCCAGGCCTGGCTACAGCCACCTCCTTCTCTACATTGATAACCGTTCTGTCCTACTTTAGAATAGTCCACATCAAATAAAGTCAAACATTCAGTTGCTACAAAATTATCAGCCTAACAACCAGGAATACATACCCCTGCCACACAAAGTTTTCAAATAAAACATCGTTGTTTGATATAGTACCCATTGTTCCAGCAAGTTATATGCTAACTTTTTTATTTATTTCATTACCATGCAATACTTCTTGAACTACTGAACAAATGGCTTATGTCTATCTTCTGATAATTACATGAAAAAAAGAATACATATAAAGAGATAAATAGCTAAAACTTTTCATTTCAAACAAATACAATTTAATCTGTGTGGAGGTGAGTAAGTCAGAATTAGAACAAATACTTAATCAACAATTTGCTATGATGCAAATTGAAGCAAAAAGGATTTTTAATAAACTTACCCCAAAGAACAAAAATGTTGGTTTACTTTTATCCCTATATGCCTCCAATGCTTCTATAGTGTCAGTTTCTGCCTGCAAATTGTTTGATCAAAAAAGTGTGATAAATTCTGTGTGAAAAAGTGTAAAATTGAGGAAGTGTGAAAAATGAGGCAGAAAGCTCAGCTTCACATGCAGGAAAACTGGCAAACAACTTTTGAAAAATGTCAGGTTATGTGTTCTGCAGCATCCACTCAAGCTACTTGTGAAAGTAAATTTTTTTAAAAAAAAACCTAACTTCAGCTGAAATTTAGTTAGACACTTTAACTTTCTACAAGAGGAAATCAGAGGGCTTCTTCTACTACTGGCTCTGATTACAGAGTGGGCCAAGACAAAAAAATGTTGCTGGATTTAAATTAGAAACCACCTACCATTGCAAAATGAAGTAAGTCATCACCAGATTCATTTCTTATTCGTCTGAATGTACTTTCAATGGCTTTACAAGGACCACACCATCCAGCATATGCATCTACAACTAAGAATTCTGACTGTTAATATTAGTATTTAAAAGTCTTTATTCAACAACTCAGTGTATTTGGCTACATTTAGGCTATTGTGGTTTTCTTAAGCTTGGTGAGAGCTGCTTGGGGGTACTCACATTGGACTCAATTTAGATTTAGAAATATGTGGCATGTAGCAAAGCATTAGCTCTTACCAATCAAACCTTCCTTTGAAATTAGCTCTTCCCATTGTTCTTGAGTTTTCACATCAACCTGAAGAAGAAGTGAATTTATTTATTACCACTAGTGATTCCAACTCAAGTTTCAAAGGGGAAAATGCAAATTTGAAACCTATAAAAAGTTATATTTTCTTGGCTGCTGCTGATGAAATCATATTGATTGATTGACCTGGAAAATATCATTTAAACATGCTGCAATTATGTGGAAGACAATGTGGTAAGAAGACAGCAGACATCACATAAGATATGAAAAGGCAAGGCAAGAGATTAAACACAAGAAATTAGATAATACTTCTTAAATTTTCTTTAAATAACATTAAAACTAAACAAAGGTACACTGAAAAGCTAATTGATCATTAACCTTTGGTCATTAATGATACCTGCAAACTTTAATAAAGAGATTGTGTCTGCCGAATTCGATGTATAATAGTTTCCTATAAAACTATCTGTAAAATGAATTTGTGAAGCCTCTAAGATATCCCTTATCATAAGCCTCATTCCGTTTACACCTGATATGGCACATCGAAAGATGAAAAAGGTTATGTTGCGCCAGCTACTTAGTGTCTGTTTAGGCCTGACACTCAAACACAATGCATCTGAAGAAATTTAATATCTTGCCCTTAGCTCTTTCATGGCTTCGGGATTCCTTTTCAATGCCATTTTGAAATGACAAGATCAGACCAGACCAATCGATCAAACGTTATCTTCGCTGCACTTCCTACTTTTGAGTTGTTACTGCCTGTTGCCAAGATACCATCCCACTGCCTCGCCTGTACTTGTAACATAAACAGGCTTCTGTGGATGCTAATGTAGGTGCATGAAACAAAAGCTTTTATCGGCTTAACACTTCATTAACCATTTAATGTCTTTTTGTAGCCTCTATTCCTTGCCTTTCAGAAATGACCGGAAGGTCACAAAGAAAAAGAAATTAAATTTCTCCGACGATAGGGGAGGGGGCATTTTTTCCACTTTCCATTCCATTGGGATTTTCCAATTCCAACTTGTGTCGGAGCCCCGAAGGTCACAAATGTTGCAAAAGCGTGAAAGACTTTTCCCCATATATAACGATTAGCTGGCCGATTTTGAATCAATAATGTTAAATTATAAAAATTGATCACTTGGACGATTATCATAAGTCTGCAGGTGAACAATTCGATTTGTAGAAAAGTCTTGCCTTTTTTCGGCGTAACTACCTGTCTGTCCGTGGTAACCCTAAATGCTTAGTTTCAAACGACCATGGCCATGGATTATACTCATATGATTAAAATATTATCGTAAATGTTAGCTGGCTCGTAAAAATCTTCAACAAGATTATTTGTACCATTTTGAGTTTGCACGATGTCCAGTAAGCTCAGTGGAAGAATTAAAACTTTCGTTTTGCAATGGTGGATGAAGTACTAGGTACTCTCTAAAATGCATGCAACGAATGACATATTTAGCCTAGTCCATGTTTGCCGCGTTTTCTAGAAGTTTGACCAGCAGAATGTTGAGATCTAGATTAGCTTCGACGTATAGTTGCTTTGGGACTTTGAATCATCGAGACAAATGTGTTTCTTTTGATGCTTTACCTGTTCTGTCCCTTAAAAAATGTGCCTTGGAACATACCTGGACATCAATCTTTTTCCCTTTAGCCGCCATAATCCAGTTCGCTCAATATTAATGATTGAACGTCCAAGAGTTTGATGTTTTGATAATAATAATCGTTTAAGGACAGCGTACATAAAAATTAGCAATGTTTCCCCTCGATTGCGGTTTACTTGTCGCGAGCGTTTCTATGGAAATGTATCGACATGCGCAAACACGTGCATAAGGACGAACTTGATTTTCAATGAATCTTTGTCACCTGTTCTTTTATGACGATTGCTGTTTGACAATGCCAGAAAACGCAAATTCTTAAGAATTGTCTAAGAAGTTTAAAATTTAAAGCGACCAGAGACACATACCGCTGCGAAGATTTGTTAAGCTTTGTGTCCTAGGTCCGGGCACCCAAACAACTGCGCTAGATTATTGAATGCAGATTTGTCTCTTTTGTTTTATCTGTTGCTTCGCCTTTTGAATAACCAATTACTGTGGCGTAGATACCGGGGCCCATACCCATTTCTAAGAATACAGTCACAATTGACTTCGAGGAAAAAAAGAGCTCTTTTTCTATAAATTTGTTTCACTGAGATAGTCTATTTCCATATTATTTCACAATGGACAATTTTTGACCCAACCGAAATGCCTCTCCGTTCCTTCTTAGCAAATGTGCATGGTCAATTGCCAATATGCCTAAAATATTCAAAACGCTACGTCTTTAGGTGTTTTTAAGACAATGAAATCATTATACCTCGCGGTCATGAAATATCAAGTATCCAGTATAAGAGAGTATGAAATGTCAGGGATTGTGGGGAATTAAGCAAAGCTGATTTCATTTTTTTTAATGACTTGACGCACGGAGAGGGTTTTACATCTCTTTCTCTTTCTGTGCAAATCAACGTGCTTTTGTGGAACATTGACATGCTGTCATTTGAAGTGTCTGATTTCCACAGAAAGGAAATTGTCCTAGACGCATTAGGTTACAAGAAATATTTTTGTAGCATTACTTAGATTGGTTATTATTATCATTACATACACTCCCCTCACGAAAGTACCCGGACAGTTCGAAAATCGATTGCGCTTCCAGACAAAAACAAATCTAGGCTGGCGAGAACGACTTTTTAACTTAGTGATAACAATTTTTTGAGAAACCCTTCCAAAAAAACCAGAACACAAAATTGCTGCAAAACTTTTGCGCTTTTTATCTGTTATCATTTTTTGTTAAAATGCGAAACCTTTACGCTACAAGCCTTACGCAAATCAACTGATGTCAAATAAGCGGAGAACAGCAAAGTCAGGTGACTTGGACTCAGTTAAAATGGGCCAATAAAACCTGGTAATTTTTTACAAGCTGGTTCTTGAGACACAAATATTGTTGAATAAAGAGAAATACAACATGTGTACTTTCAGTTGGGAAAAATGTTTGCATGGAGTTGCCACCGATCGATTATAAAACATGGATGACATTTGGTAACATTTTACCAGATCAGAAACTTCTTTGAAAGCAGACATATCACTCAGTCCACGGCCATAAAGCCATATTATTTCTTTTCCGCTGCAAGTCTTGCCGAAATCGGTCGGTACGAGGGTACAGTCACAATTCTTTATCATTTTCCTTGCAATATTTATCGACAGAAAAAATTCAAGGAAATTGATACAAACATTTCCATGAAAACTGACTTTGAAATTTGTAAACAAATTTCTCTAACAACAGATTCGCAACTGAATTCGAAACTGTCCGGATACTTTCGTGAGGGGAGTGTATATCATTAACTTGTTATAGCAGGTGAAGAAAAGGTACAAGGAAACTGAATAAAGTAAAATGAAAATAACTTAGTATATATATGAGTTGAAATTACCAATCTGTCATTTTATAAAAAATGAATGCTAAACTGTAGAAATGTGATGCAGATAAAGCTTAATAATATCTAAAGTTATCCAATTTTTCTTTTAATTGCTGCTGAGCCATTGAAGCGTGCTTCTTGTATTAATTGAGAATTTCTTGCAATAATTTTTTTTCAAGTTATCCTAGCTTTTGATAACCTTAACACAGAGGCACAGGTCTCTATCGAATTATCTACTTTTGCTTTTGCTCGTGGTACATGAATTTTTAGGCTATCTCTCATGTTCAGTTGATTTTTTTTCAATAATGTTGCTTATCTCTCCAGGACAGTTGTTGTAATATGCTTTGTATGTTAGAGATATAATCCTTCTTTTGTACATGTGTTGTATCGACTCCTAATTCGCTTTCTGCAGTGCATCTATGTTATCTATTGCCTTAGTTTTTTTGTGTATTACACTTGCAGCTCTAAACCAAGTGCATGTGGTTGATGACCACAAAAAGGTATTAATAGACTTCGAAACACTTTGGTGAAAAAATCTTGTAAAAGGGTTAAAGACCCGTAGCAAAAGTTGATGTCTACAGTTTCAAGTTATTTTACTTGTTTCCAGAAAAAAATCATTTGGATAACGCAAGAAATAGATGAGAGGAAAGGGTGCAATTACACGATAGTTGTACCTCCGAGTATGGCAAAAAGTGAGGAGATATGTACCACATAGCACCTATGCCAATATAAAGGGTTTCTTGGAATGGTTGAGCAAATTAAGAGTCATAACATATCGGCGCAGCAGTTATATTGAAGAGAAAGTTTAAATCTGTGGTATCTTTAGAAAATAGCTTATTTTTCACCCTTGTAATTTTCGCTCCGCGTGTTTTTCGTATTCTTTTTTATTTATAAGACCATGGGTACATCTTTCACAGAGTTGTAGCAAAATGAATGGACGGCGCTCACCTCGATTGGAAATCTTGGTCTGCTGCCTTTACCTGTTCCAGCACGTGATAGACCAGCCGAAGGTCGTGGACTGCTAATTACGAAACTGTTTCTAGTTGCAGATGACGATGGCACGGACAAATGCGACTCCCTTCCATTCTCAACCTCGTCCACATTCTCGGCTCCATGAAACCTTTTAAGAATTTCTGAGACTTGCATCGGGAAATGATACCTGAACGGGTCGTAGACAACAGACTCTCCCGCGCAGTCATTGGGTTGCCTTCTTCGAGGCCCGTACACGACCCGGTCAACCAAGTCGTCTTCACATTGATTACCAAAATTCATGTTTTGTGGTATTGCTGGATTTTCTTCTCAAAAAGAATTACTCACTTGTTAGTCGCTTGATGACCATGAGCTCATTTTTCAAGAGCAGGTTTGCGCTAGCAGCTGTCGAGAATTAATTATCCAGGATTTTCGTACCGCCATTAAATATTTATCGCAATGCAACCGACCGCAGAGTCCAGTTGAATAATATTCTATACATGTGACAGCATCCAAATTCTAATGTGCATAAATGAAAAGTTTTCGTTAAATGAAGATGTAAAATGGCATTAACAGGTATATTTTCGTCCTTTGACCGGTTATCTGAAAATGGGGTGAATGGGTAAAAGAAGGACTGAGCGGTGTGGCTATGAAACCGGACTACAGGGGGTAGTATAAACAGTGATTTGTTGGCCCATCAGAGTTTAACTGTCCTTACAATAACTCATCATACATGACATATTTTGTATTTCTCTTGTCTTTCTCTCAGATTTATAAACCTGCCTGCAAGCACAGTGTTTTTTGGATGCTGAAACACATTCGTAGCTATAAATGGCGATAACGCAAAATTTCGCGTCTCTTTGTGATTTCAAGTCTTCCAGTGGTACGTCTGCTCTTCAAAATTTGGCTTCAAAAAGTAGAAAAGTTCAATAACTATGTAGATAATACCAGAATGTGCTGACATTGCAAAACAGTTCAATTAATTCGAGTCCTTGCAATCATTGGCACAGAAAAGTCCCACCATACCAGCCTCGTGTTTCAAGAAATCTACCATAGAGCAGTTCAAAATCCAATTCGGAAAAAATCATGGACATGTAGAATGATGAGATGAATATATAAACTTGCTATTCGCTTATATATAAACACTGTTTAGCTTTTCTTTTTCTTCTGTTTGACAAATTCCAAATTTAGCTTTATGAATGGGTTGGAAGGTAGGTTTTTTATTTGCTTTTACTTGAGGAATTATCTTAAGGTAAACAAATATGATATCGGGCAGTAAATTAGCCAAATCTATTTTCAATCTTTGACCAGCATTATTTCCAGCATTTTCAGAAAGTGTTAGAGAAGAAACACGTAATTGGGGCAAAAACAGGCATTATGGTATTGGCATCGAGAGCATGTGGAATTGGCAAAGAAAAACGAAGAGAGAAAGACAGGATTTGCATATACATAATCGTCTTCATATAGCTACGGATACAAAGTAAGGACATAAATATCCTTCAATCTGGAGTAGAGAACACAAGTAAAAATTTATAGGAGTGGCGCGCTAGTGCGGTTATAACTGCACAAAATTTGTAAAACCAGAAAAGTTCTATTGACACACATTAACATACACGGTAGCGATTTGTTGGACCACTAAAGATGAAAATGTTCATACAAATTTCTGGGGACTGGTAGCATTGCAAGTAGACTGGTAGACTGGTCAGCCTTAAGAAATGTGTTTGTTGGAAGGTACACATGCAGAGGTGGCATTTCTCTAAGGTTAGTAACGAAGAAAAGACCTTGTGGTCTACGTTACGAATCATATCTAACCTAATAGATCTTATCAATGAGTTGTGAAATTGTGCTTTACAATCAACTGCTTATTTAGAATTTCTTGTAATTCCCGTTAAAAACCATAAACTATGTAAAATGAATAGACGTGTTTATACTCTAATTTACAAAACTACAACATATTTTCAGCTGTACTGAATCATTTCTATGCTTACATTCTCAAGATTCTCGAACAATGAATGGGCTAATAACGTGGGCGTGGCTGTTGACTATGGTTCCGGGGATTTTCTGCAAGTCTGCTATAACAAAGCAGTTTCCTTGATAAAAAATCATAAAAATGCGACAATGAAAGCTTATGATAGCGCTGGCAAGCGTCGTCTGATTCAAAAACATTGGTTTTGTCATATTTGTGTACACATAATCCCAAAAACCAATACATGAATCGACGTTCTTATACTAAGTTTTTTGGTAATTACTAGCTGGCTGACTGTTTATTAAGATAAACCCTACGAAGAAATTGTCGATTTGACATAACTGTAGCATTTGCCTGTTCATATTTTGATGAGTCAAACTTAGGTATTGCAGACTTACGGGGAGTGTTGGGGAGAAAATTGTAGACAACCGATTCCGCCGGGAAAAGGAAGATACAGGGGGGTTCTCTTCAGGGATAACTTGGTCTCCTTTTTTTGAGGTTAAAAAATGGTGCCTTTAATTAAAATTCTCTTGACCAACTGCGCAACAGTACCCATGGCTGTAGATTGCTATGAAAAAAAAATGGGAGTACGGTATATTACAATAAAGTTATTTAAAATTATATCTAGACTAAACTAGTAAGGTAACCTTGCATTTTTTACCCATACAACATACACATAATGCATTCACCAATAACTTAAAACAAATGTGAAATCCAACCAAGATAATCAACTTTCATCGAAATTCAAGCCATCTTTATGTGAAACGGAATCATAAAACCACGAGGTGAACTTGCGCAGCTGCGAAGCAGCACTTTTGGACTGCTCAAGCAATTGCTCTTTCTCAACTTTCGCAACCTCAAGTTCTTCCATAAGTTTCTCGTTTATAGATTTCTCCTAAAAAGGAACCATATTTTATAAAAATAACATTGACTGAAAAGATCGCATCTGCAAGTAACCAATTTCGTCTAAGACTTATGATTGCAAAACGCAACCGAATCTACAAAGGGTTATGGCTGGCTGGCTATAGCCACTGTCAGGCTAAACAAAGCAAAGTTAATGGCCCTTGTATTATAACAACGAGTTACAAAAGGGAAATACGATCATACCTGACTAAGTAATAAAACACCAGGAAAAAAACTAACTCCAAACTAAAAAACTTTACTATCATTTGGTTTTCTTTTTATTCCAGTGGGGTAAGCTACATCGTAACTGACAACTGAGCTACATCAACAACGTAATATGTTGGTAAGGTTCAAATGATTAAGCAAATTAATACTTTTATGTCATTGTTAGTGCTTTCTCGACCCTCTTCGACCAAATATTTTGCTGCTACGCCCTGCTTCTGATAAAGACAAACTCTAACATGCCAACAAAACACACACACATACACATACACACGGTACCAACACATCAACACGAAAGCGAACTTATTTAGCGAAACACTGACACACGCACAAACAAATAGACATTCATATGGGGATTTAGTAACAGCTGTTTCGGCCCAACTAACTTTGCAAATTGAGCTACTTCATTAACAGGACAATACTGCTGCAGCAATTAGGTCAACATACAGATATAAGGTAACCAAATGCCGATAAGAAATGACAGAAAACAAGCTGAAAAACCACAGAGCTAGGCCTAAAGGAAGTGATGCAGTGACAAGTTAATAGCAACACTCCAACCAAAACTGTGTTTACCTTGATTAGCTCCCCGGAAAGGACCGACAACATCAATCGAAGGTCTTCTTTGCTCGAAGTGCTTAACTCTTCTGCACGCTGAGGGGCTAGGTCCAGACCTCTAACACTAAGTGGTACATTAACGACTAGAAAAGACGAAGACAACAAATCTTAAACAATTTACTAGACAAGAGACAAATTGTAAAACGAAAAAGCCACGACCCTGCCACATAACATTATAATGATCAACAAAGTGGACACACAATGGACGTTGTTGGAGTAGAGGAACAGGATTCAAGACCAAGCAGATACAACCTCAAATCAGCTAGCTCACTACTTCACCCGAGTCCTTAACAAGAACTCCTTGGCACTTAAACATCGTTATTTGCACCCAGGACACACCATAAGAGACAAAAGTAGACGAAGCTTATGTTCAAACTCGTCCACTAGCAAATAAAAAGATCACCGAAAATTGTTCGTAAACAAAGATTTGAACAGGTCGAGAAACAAGCTACGAGAAACTTGACGAGTTGCTTAGCCTATTTGCGGATTACAAGAAGCGCTTGAAAACAACAGAATGCAAAGGCGAACTGATTTTACTGTTGCACAGCTTAAAGATTTAGCAGTCTGAGCAGTCATGCACATCTATTCTAAACATAACTTTAAAATCCTTTAGCAACAAGTTCATGGTCTTAATACAATATCAGTCGATACAAAGCATTCAACTACAAGAACCGCAACACCAGATTGTCCTCCTGAAATCCTTTCATCTCTCCTCGTAGAGGCTACTACGATTCGCAGAGGCTGCCCTTAAGTTATACAAAATGGCACTCAACACAAAATATGAACAAAAAACTGTTAGAAAAAGGAAAATGGTGAGTTTTTCTGAGGATATAATATGAGATCCTTCAATCCAAAAGATTGTTACCGGCCATTACACCCAATTGAAAAAAAAGAAAGGGGCAAGAAACCCGAAAATAAAGGTTTAAGAAACATTGCGAGTTAGATCCAGGTTAATGGTTAAAAACTCATGTCTGTATAACAACTAGAATAAGATCGCAAATTGCTACTGAACCAGAACACCGCCATCAAGACAATGGAGGTCATTTATCCAAAATTACTTGTGCCAAGTTTCACAAAGACACTTCTAAGCTAATTTCAGTTAAACTTTCAACAGCAATCCTGGCTTAGTTTCTTAATGCAGTTGATCACAAAACTAAGAAGAAATTTTCATCAAATCTGCCATTGTGTTGTGAATCAGACTGACTCCATTTTAGTAAAACAAAATTCAATGTCGTTGAAGCCTACCCATATTTGACAGCTCTGCTTCACTGGCTACAATGATTAAAACATCTTAAATTAGAAGTTAATGCAACTTAGAAGCAGATAAACATGGCTAATCCTACACAGAATTTTGCCTTAATGAATTAGCTAGATGTCTTGCGGAAATTTTGCACGAATGAGTGAAGCAGTCCGCGATCGTTGCTCAATAAATAAATATTGCAAATAAATATTGCTTCATTTCACGATTGTTACTGCAAGGGAAAACAAGATCTTCTAAAGAATTCTCATAAAAAGGCATTCCGCGATAGGAAAACGGAGCTCACTTGTGCTTAAGGCACTCCCGCTTATGTAAACATAAACAGACTGTTTATAAAGGAGTGTTGTTTGCAACCTTACAATCAATATGATTAAAGATAGCAAAAACACAAACAACATTTGGGGACTCACCACTGTTTTGAATGCTCTTTTTGAATTTCTTTCCTCGGCCTGGCAAAGTTGTCATGCCTCGTTCACAAGCATCCATCCACAATGGACTGTTTGGTGCGACTTCCAAACGCCCAAACTTTTCTTGCTCGTTTTCCATTTCAAGCTTCGGTCGTACTGTTACGCTTATTCGCTTCTTCACGGGGGTTTCCTCTGGTGTCGACGAGCCTTGTTTAACTTTCTCAGTGTGACTAGCCCTGTGTCTTTCAAAACGGTTCGCAATACTACCCCCTTCGGTATTTTTGCTCACGCTTTGGTAGGAGCTTCTTCGAACCCAAGGCGAAGATGAGCTTATCAACGATATCCTAGCCTCGCTTCGGGATCGCGTACGATCATTACCTCTGTTTGGTGTTGGAGAATCGAGTGAATCCTTTCTTTCAATATTTGAAAACTTTCCTACTAATTCTTGAACGCGCCCGCCACTTTCCCTAGAGCTGTGAGAAGGCGAGTCTATGCTAGACTGCCTGCTAGAAATCCTTGAATATCCTTTTCCTTTATTTTCAGAATAAGCAATAGTTTTTCTTGAAACTTGCACTGAACTTCTCTCTGATTTCTGTTTTCCAGCAGTAGAAATCACGCTGACAGTGCTCTGTTCCTTTGGCGTTCGCACGTTTTTACTTTGTTCAATAGACGAAGAACGGTACAGACTCGAACGCTGATCGGGCAGACTGGACAGAGTGGAATGGAATTCGGTAATAGCAGCCTCTAAACTCTCCTCTGCCTCACTTTTCTTTTTTTCCAGTGAATCTTGGGAAGGTGGTTTGAATTTTTCGAAGGATTTCAATCGAGTTCTTCCACTAGATGTTGATCTTTTTGAAGCAACCGAAGCCAACGAGCTAGCACCACTTTCTTCATCTGAGCTGTCAGTAAAATGCTTTGATGACCTAGATCTTTGACGATGCTTTGACTTCTTCTTTCTTTTTTCTTCTTTACTGGCTTCTTTACTGGCAGTTTGATCTGTACTCTGTTGATCGCCATAGGAGGTGAATCCGAAAGCCTGATCAATTTTCGCAAATGTGTCATTAATGCTTTCTTCAGTGTACAGAAAAGAATCAGTTGAAATTGATCCCACACTCGCTTGCCTGAATGGAGCGTGGTGCTTTCCTAGTGTCGGCTCGCTTTCAGCCGCAATATCCTCCTGACTTTTTATTCTGCGATTCAAATGGCTTGAGTAAGGAGTACCTTCCTCTGAATCACCGCCAACGCTACTCTTTCTACTTAACTTCCTCGGCATATTTCCCCGCAAAATACTCAACTGCTCTCTTCGTCCACCTTCCGGTGAGGGAGACTGGCTTTGTGATGGCAAGCGAGAGAACCCGACCAGCTGATCAGCTGAGCCCGATCGCACGTGTATCTTTTCTTTTATAACATCATTCACATCGCGAACTCTCGTTTGAACAATATCAAAATTTCGGTGTCGATCTTCGTTGTCAGAAACTAGCGATCTTTCACAAGATGCGTGAATGTTCGATTCTGAGCGGGCTATCATTAGTTTATTTCTATTTCCAATAAACTCGTATGGAAGAGTATTTGACTCGGTCTTTGGTGTCCCTTTCATGAAATTCTTTGAACCCAGAAGATCCTCTAAATTTTCGCTCTTCACTTGATAACGATGGCGTCTTGTTTCGCTACTAGTTTTTCTTAAGAGCACTCTTGGCTTTTCATCTAGACTCGAATCGTTTGAATGATGATTCGGCGACGATGCACCAGATGGTGCATTTTCCACCTTAATGTCTTTAGTTGCTTCCTTCTTGGTTTGATTCTTCTTTGCACGTTGCCTTTCGAGAGAGTTGATTGCGACTTCATACGGAGGCGGTGATCGCATTCTAGACAAACTTGCAGACGAACCATTTATTAGCTCGCTACTTTCGGACGGCTTTGATTGAACTCCATTAGGTGGAGCAGCTTTCCCCTGCATTGGAGTATCCTTGACTCTGTTTGGCAATACAGAAATGTCCTCTTCCAAGACGGGTTCATTCTCAATTGTAGTTTTGTTTGTTCTTCTACCATGCAAATCAATAATTGGATTCGTATGTTCTAAAATGTGCTTCATATCTTTTGAAGCGCCAGGTTTTGAAGGGATTGCGCCCCTACTTGCCTGGTCGTGATACTTACGGCTAGCCGAATTTTGTATCAATGACTTGTAAAACTTAGCGTCAATGCTTTTTCGCGTATCAGTAATATTTCTCTCTAGTTCAGTCAGTTCTGGGTCAACACTGCCTGCCGAAGAAGAGTTGGATACTGTATCTTTAAGCACGATGGGTGTTCTTTGTTTGTCATTTCCAGGAACGGGGTTCTCCTCCTTTCCATTCCCAATCCCATGTGCAACAACCTCCTTATTTTGCTTTAAGATTTTTTCTCGTTTCCCATCACTTAAGTGGGTGGGTGACGTAATTAAGTGTTCTGCGGAAGAAGCTTCAGTAAATTCTAGCGACTGATCGGAGTCAAGAATAAAGCCTTGTGGTCTGGAGGAGTGGTTGTTGTTCAGCCTGTGAAAATGTTAAGAATTAATAACCTAAAATGACCAAAATCGTACTTGACAGGGCAATGCATTTTTTAACTGAGTTCGGTTACGTGCAAAAGTTTCCCATTTACCCAATATCAACAAAATTCAAATAAATATAGATAAACAATTCTGGCAGGACAAAGAAAAACAAATCAAAATACTGTGCTGTGAAAAGCCTGCAGTAAAAGGCAGAATTTAAGTCGTATGCCACCTTTACGCCAATAAGAACGATTATCCCTTTTACGAGTATAAAGTTTCACCTTTGTCTGCAGTGAAACAATTTAGAAATATCGAAAAAATGATGATAGTAGACAACACCAAAACCGGAAGAACTGTAGGGCAGGGGGCAAGGCACCAAGAAAAGGGTAAAATGAAAGCAAAAGAAAAAAGAAAATTCTTCAATTTTGCAAATTCATGTAGGCCTTGTGCTCCGGCGCCCCTGAATTATGCTCACATGCTCCAAAATTGTATAAAACGTTTTTCGGTTTCATAGTAGAATGTTCGAGCGTTCAAAATAAATGTTGTATGAGAAAATGAGACCAATACCGAATTGCATTGTCATAGCTGTTCTGCAGTCCCTTCAATTTAAGACAATGGTTCGCCTTCTTACTTACGATCTCAACAGTAAAATAAGAGCAGTACAGGAACTCAAATTTCAAAAACACTTTTAGGGATATTTTAAGAAATTTGATAAACAACACAAAGGGGTATGGACGACACTCTTCTGAAATAGATATCTCCATTTTGAACATCAAGGGGGTTTTAAGCATTCTCGGGGTGTTCAAGAAGAAAGTAACTTAAGCAAAGCCCACCCAGACTTCATTGACAAATCTATTCAATGACAAAGACAAATCTATTCACTAACAAATCACAGTTTCCACAATTTCTTTGTTGAATAAATCGTAAAATTATCTTGTCGTCAATGCAACTGAACAAGCTAAGACAAAGAACGGAAATAAAAGCCAGAAGTTATCTCACTCACCGACTGATGGAATGGGGGGTGCTCTGCTTTATTATGGCCTCGATTGTCGTCATTTTTTGTCCACCAACGCGAATTGGAGTCACAGTTTCAAAGTCAAGTGGGATGTTTTCGCGGGAAGACGAGGAGCCCGATGTATCTGTGGAATCTTGGATTCTTTCCGAATAAACAGAGGTCATGCTCGAGTATCGCTTGAGATTGCGCGTCGATTTGTAACTGAAAGGATAAAAAAGGATGGCAAATGAGCGGACACGGTAGATTAAACGACTGACAGTCTAGTACAGGAATAACAATTTACTATGAAAATGCAAAATCAATGCTAAGCCATTTCGTCAAGCCAACGCACAAACATAAACTAAAGATGTACAATCAACTATTAAAAAAGTATTGTAATTAATCAAAACCCGTACTTTCTTGGTTGTCCATCGGGTAACGGGGGGAGCACAACAACTCTTATACTGCCTGGCTTACGCAGTGACTGGATCATACGATCATGTGACATTTTGCCAACCAGTCTTCCACTTATCTGCAAAATTAAACACAAAAACATCACACAAAGACGCACAATAAACAGATCGAGTGATGGACGTTATGGATATCACCTTTGCTCTTTGCTCATAACAAAGATTAAATCATTTCTAAATCAAACTTTAGATAAGCAGTATCTTTAGAAGAAAAATATTTTTTTCACCTAAACTTTTATCTTTTTGTCTATCGATCAACTAGTATTCCAATCAGGGGTTCCCCTTAAGGTGAAATAGTTTACTCAACGGGATCCGTGTGTATAACTGCTAACGTAATGACAAGCTGAGACCGTCTAGCTTCTGATTTCGATTTATAAGTCATTCATTCATTTGTTAGGATATTTAGAAGTCTCACTTCACAACCTGTTCTGCTCTTCACACTCTAATAATTTTGCTCTGGCGAAAGCATTTATTCCTATATCCACGACAACGTTATAGAGAAATGTTTAATCCCGTGTAAAAAATTCTTACAGCTTTATTTAGCTTCAAACAGCGCTAGATGTTCACAAATGCTAGGCCTACCTCTAGAAGGCGACTTCCTTTCCTTAAACCAGCTTGCCATGCCATTCCGTACGGCTCAACTTCTGCAACAAGCCCTTCATAAAAGACGTGAAAGCCAAGCTGTCCATTGCCACTGCGACGCAATGACATATCCTGTGTCTAAAAAGTACAAAGGGTGTCCATTATTGTTGTGACAAAAAAGATTATCGAATTTACCTCACATTGAAAATTCAACAATTTCAAGGCAGTTGGGTATCTAATGATCTCAAATATTTTGCTTTCATAGAGCTTAATTGTTTCGATGTTTGCTTTTCTTCTTCTTTCGTCACTTAACCAATATCATGACTTCAGCATCCATATATGCAATTTCTTTCATCACAGTATCACTGGTAAAGCTCGGTTCAGAAGCTGTATCTACGATACTGAACAGAGTGGTCTAAACCAAATTTTTGAAAGGTTTATCTTTGAGATAAAACTTGCTTGCAAATCTAAATGGGTATAAGAAAAATGAAGGAGCATTACCTGGCATCCTGGTGTGACTGCCTTCAAACGATTCACGATAAACGTCATTTCATTGCCATCGTCTTCGACCAGAGTGAGATTCAGCCCCTGCCCGTTGTTGTAATACAATCGCATGCTACAAAGCAAACGAGTCATGTAATGTGACGGACCTACCTTCAGAAAAGCTTTTAACGTAATGTAATTACTAAGAGATAATTCTTTATTGATAGTTCTTTAAGGTGGCAATTGATATAGAAAATCAGACTTGCATTTCAATGAATTTTTTCAATCTGCCAGAATAGCAAGAAGGTATAACAAAATATTAAGATTAAACAAAGATGAACTATAGACCAATACAGAAATGGACATATAATAAGATAGAAACAGTAGGTCTGAATGAAACTTTGTGAAAATCTCATTTAAAAGGCATTTCACTAGTACCTGTAACCAGAAATCCTCCACCCTATCACGGACTTGCATGTAATCGTCACAACATTCTCCTGTTTGAAACAAAACATTGATATAGGGCACATGATGAAGCAAACAGACACACAGCAACGCAAAAATGCAAAATGAAATGATGAGATATATAAGTCACCCGAAAATAAGTCGGCATCGAGTAAATGTCGGCCTCCAGATTCCTGGGAAAAATTTCTGAAAAATTGATTGGGCCTGAAAATGAGTCGATCCCGGCATTCCGATTAAGGAAAAAGATTAGCGACACTGATTAACTTAAACATCTTTAATCAAGGAAAATTTGATGCGGCAATGGTTTTAATACTCAGTTTCTGCAAATAGTTCTTCAAATAAATTACGCGTTTAACCAACAACTTATTTGCGAGCAGGAAGAGATAAGAGAAATGATTCTGCTGTTTTGGCACTTTTTTGTTCCGAGTAGAAGTCGACCCCAGATTTTGGATTCGCTTTTCGTTTTCATGAATGCGACAGATACTCGGGCGGATACGGTAGCTCTTAGGAATACAAAGGTAAAATTTCCACAAAAAAGTGCCGGAAAACTCTGCCAACGAATGAATTGAACATTAAACCGGGACAATGGTGTAGCCCTACTGCAAACTATTATCAAACTTACAAAATCAATGCAGTAAACATACCTTGGTGACTTTGTCCAGCAATACGATAAAACTGGTGGAGACAGCGATGAAGCAAAGCCTCGATGTCGCTGCATTTTCAGCATCTACCTATAAGGGATAGTTGCAATCGAGGTAACTTCAAAATGCCGTCAATTGTGTAAATATCATCCATAAAAATAATCATTATGTTGTCTGAGTGACAATAAATGACAACAAATTTATCTTGTTAAAAATACACCATACATTCTGAAAACGATTAAAACAAAGTGCTAAACCGACATTCAGTTTAGAATATAGAAGGCAATTTGTAGAACTTAAGATAACAGAAGATGACTGCTGAATCCCCAGCGTCGCAGTAATCTTACTGCTGAATCCTTAAAAGCGCTGCCAGCAGTAAACATTAGCAGAAAAATGAAATGCGAAATCGAATAATAAGGGCTGCTAAAACAGTCAGCCATAGAGGCCTAAATTGCATACGAATTTTCAAGAAATTACATAAATTGTTAGCAGTAAGTGAAGTAGTGTTAAGGAGAGAGCCAATAGCCTATCTGACTTACTTTGACGGACCAAACGAGGCTGCCTTGGCACCACACTTCAGGGTTACATGGTGGATGAATCTTCTCTCTTTTCTTCACACTTAGAGGATTGAATTTACCTATGATATGAAGGCATAATCCGTGATGCATTGCTGAAAAATTCATATCAACAACAACAAAAGACAACTCTATCTGATTTTAACTAGTATACGATAAAGAAGCAGAAAGAAAAAGACAAATGGAGAATAAGGAAAATGAATGAGGAATTTAGGATTGGGAGAATTTTTGTAAAATAACATTCCTTTATATCTAAATATATGCTGCGAAAAATCCGCGGGTAGGACAAATACTCACTGAACTTTGCGCCACCAGAGTCGACTGTCTGAGCGGTTACGAAATTCGTAGCGAGGTCTTTCAAATACTCGTACCGCGTGCGCACCGCCATGGCTGTGAATTTTTCTGATTTATGAGCAGCATTTTCAGCATTTATTACTGTAAACAAAAAAAGTTAGAGGAAAATTAAAGACTACTTGCACGCAGACAATTTTGTTTCACTTTCTAAATCTGATAAGGGTTGTCTTAAGATTGCTATTTCAAATTCTCATCTGTCTCAGTCGACAAAAACAAGCTGCATATTAGCAGAATCACGTGACCATAACCACCGATCTTCTACTTAAAGGCTTGAAGGGATATCAGCAATTGCAGGAATTCTCATAACCACTGGCTAATCGGTGCATCTCCAGACACATTTATTCACTCGATTGAAATCTGGATTAAAAAGCCACTTACTTTTTGATAACAAAAAGTCACGAAACGCCTTGTTTTTTCGAAATGTAGAATCGGGAGGAATGGGGGGACCAAATTCTGGTACATCTTGAGATCGGCTAACGGCGACCCTGGAAGGAAAAATGGTAATGAAACAGGATTATCGTTACGATGGCACAATGGATCTGATAATAAATTTACCAATAAATTATTAATGCGAGCTAAAACGGGAACAATAAAGATGGGAATTTTTCTGAAAGGATCAACTAGCTTAATCAACAACCTACTAATCCTTTTTAGCTCACCGTAAAGGTTTCATTTGCCGTTTTGAGCTATGGATTAACAAGAATCTGGGCTATACAGTGTTTTGCGTAATTCAAATAACCAACCTGTAGGCAGCGTTATTCGTATTTGGATTCTCAACCCGAACAACGATAAATACATGCTGAAAATGTGACCTAATGTTCTTTGGGGTGAACGGCTCCGCACCAGGCTCCTGAAATATCACCGTTACTATGTCGTTTCCAATGTGCCGTTTCCGCAAAAGCTGCAAAATTTTAATGAAATATGAAGTAAGATACAGTCATATTTTCAGACAACATAAAAATAGTTATTTAAACATTTTGAGGCAGGGGCACTTAGTCGAATATTGGGGGGGGGGCAAGCATACTGTTTTAATAAGATGACGTCATATATCCCTATTGTCCTCTAAAGTATTGGAGGCGACGGCTACCCTTTCGTCCCTCCCCTACGCCCCCGTCGCCCCCTTTTTCCTCCCCCTTCGCCCCCTTCGCCCCCCTTCGCTCACCAGGTTTCCGCCACTGTTTTCAAATCTGCAAACAGATTCTTTAAAACGATAAAGTCAGTTGGCCAGAAATGCTCCGGAAAAGGAAACTAATCGTCCTTGCTGAAATCCCTCCATTTGCTTGAGAGAATTCTTAAAGTCTATCTTACAGCGTCTAATTTCTATAATTTCAAAGGTTAACTCACCTGTTGCTTGTTGTTAGGGGTCCATGGCAACAACGTAGAAACGTGAAACATGATTTCCCGGTTTTGAAACTTGGTATACAATGAATATGTTCCAGTAGAATCGTCTGAAAGAAAACAATGAAGATAGTGAAACATTGTGAAGGCTCGGATACATCATTCTCCACGTCTCATTTTCCGTCTCATTTTTCGTTCTATCAATCTGTTTTTTAAGCAGACTCTACTACTGGACATAAAGGTAAAATCTCATAAAAGTCATCTTACTTTTGTTGTCAAGTTGTGCTCGATAGCCTTCAAATCCTTTTAAGAAGACCTTTTCACCAATGACATCCATGAACTCGTCAAAAGCTGGTCCATGATGTTCTAGAAAATAATTACAGATTGTCAGAATAAATTGTAACTAGTTTTTGATCCATTCAAGAACTCAGATCACTATGAACATGACATTCAAGTTTTGATTGCATCCATTTAGTCGATAGTTTTGAAGAAAATTCATGTAATAAATATGAACTTTGTCAAGCAATAAATATACTCATTGTTCGTTCACAAAAACCTTTCCCACGGAAAAAGAAAATTCAGAAATACCGTTATTGTACATGTCTTCTTCTGAGCTTTGACCTGCTTTGCAGTACAGCAAACCAACTTTGTACTGCAGTGATAACTAAAAGAAAGACATACAAAAATGTTTCTTGCCCGCATACAACAATATACTTTCGTAACAGATACAATTCTACCACTATCGAGAAAAAACTTGACCATTCTATATTTGTATGTATGCATGTTTGGCTAATAAAAGAGAGTGCGAAAATAAGAAAAAAGCCCTCAGATCTTATCAGCATGAATCAAGAGGATCAACCAACAAATGAAAAAAATAAAAAGTAACAATAACTATTTGAAATGTTAGTCTAAACAAAAAACGTTGAAACAAAAAAGTTTTGTTGTGTTGATTTCCTTCAAAAATCGCTTTTCATCACTGGGCTTCCAGGGGCCATTTTGACCACATTTTGTCAACGAGAATCGAGAATCGATAATATCAAGGACCGCTGCCATTTAAATCAAAACTTCTGCAATCGGCAGATAACAGACAAACGAGTTGTAAATAAATAAACAATTAAATTGTGATTTAATTATGGAAAACGAGGCATACCTGTTGCTCATCCAGTTTTTGAAGGTGTTCAGGAACCTTCGAAAGAAAATAGAAAGGAATTATTAAGGAAATTTACTTATCCTGATAATAACTGCACTTTAAAATTTGAACAACATTCTTTAAAAACAGAACATGATCTTGCCTTTACACAACTTTATACCTACAAAATTTACTTAATCCGAAAATTACTTCTACGTTTTTGGATTACCTTCTGAATGCCTTAAATCAAAAAGTTTTTCCAGCAATTATGGTGTTAGCTTTTCATTTTCTTTTTTAACTAACATTCCATTCTTTGCAATCCATATATCAAAAACAGCATAATAAGCAAACTCTGATGTACCATTTTTGTATCCATTGCTCGATTCATTTTTCATTTAAATCAATACGATAATAATTCACTCAAATTGGACTTGATAAATTTGGACAAAACAAGAATATGGACTTTATAAATTCCAATCAACATTCACCATTCAGTTCCATACCTTTGGCCCAGCCATTGCTAATTTCAGACAACTGATCTGAAGCTCAGGAAAACAAAACTCCAAAATGTCACGTGGTGGAAGGGCTCTAGATGCGCCATGTCTCGTTGTTGAAGGAATTGATTCTTCAAGCACAGCCCCTCTGAATGTTGACAACTAAATTGGAAGAGCTAGTTGTTAAATTATCTATAAAGCTTTATTGAATGAACTGTAACAATGCTTGATTAAAATTACATAACCTTTCGGAAGGTGTTCAAGGTGTTACACTTACAAAAACGCATTTATCTGATACCCCAACGCATATCTCACTGAATTTCCTCCAACCGACCATACATAATTCTCATTTGAATATAGGTACAAATATCACAAAATGTATGAAGGTTCATTATAAATCACGTTAAACATAAAAGATTACATTTTTGCTACCAAACACAAAACAACGCAGATGAGACAACTCAGGCAAACCTCTGTGGTCCTAAGTATGATCCTGTATTGGTATTTGTGTGAGCTGCTCTTTGTAAGCTCCTTCGGATGGCCTAAAACAGCCATTTTCTCGAGATTCTCGCGTGCAATTGTGATACAAATAGGCCCGTACTTCTCATCAATTCCTAAATAATTCTGATGATCTAAAAAGATTAATGAGAAAAAGTTGATGGTGAATAAAAGTTAAATAAACGAAGGATACAAAACAAAATATTTCAGCAAAATACACAGTAAAAAACAAAACAGAAGAAAGCAAGACATCATTAGACATCTAAGGCATCTCACAGTACCTTTTCCGATGAAAAATTCACGGTAGTACATGGCACCCAAGTCAATGTGCTGGAAATCAAATATCCGTTTATCAGAACGCTTTGGCCGATCCCAAAGTGAGATCTTTGAACCTTCGTTGATAGACTCCAATATCGTGACGTCATTTTTCTGATCGAGTTCGCTGGTAGACAGGCCACTACCGAATATAGAATCTAAGTCATTATCAGTTGAATTAAGCAGCTCGAGTGATGGCGTCCGATTCTTGCTCATTGACGTCCATACTCGGCTCGACATGTTACCACGAAACTTTCCAAACAGTTTATTCATCTTATCTTCTTCCTGATTCTCAACGGCTCCAATTTCGTTACAGAAAAACGGGCAGCTCTCTACCAAGTCATTGCTCGCGCCATCTCCGTCCTCAGTGAATGAATCTGTTCGGACTTTTTCTGTGCTCCCTGAATCACTGCCATCCGACTTTTTCTTCTGACTTCGCATAGATGCAGCTGATGCTCCGGTCGAGACATTTTTTGGCCTACTGCCACCATCAGCGTAAATGGCCTTAAGCACTGCTGCATTCTCCAATTCAAACAAAATACTCTGCACATCAAAATGTGCCAATGCCTTTTTCGCATTACGGTTTTCCGAACCCATGAAGGGAGCAATGCCGAGTTTTTGCAGAACCGACGCATTGCCACTGTTGTTGCTTTTCCCTCGTTTCCGGATCGACAGCTTGCGTTTCGAAGCATTTCTCTTCTGCTTGTCAGTTACGTCATATTCGGAATTGTCTTCGTATGATCCAAAGGCTGGCGTTAATAGGCGACTTGAATCAACACGCGAATTGCTGTCAGTTTTTGACTCAAAGCCCCGAATGAGGTGAGAAACGCTGTGAGAAGGGGTGCCTGGTTCTTCTTTTTCTGACATTTGGGAATCATACGATCCGGTCCTTTGCCCATTCACCATTGCCACATCTGCATTATAAACCGGTCTCCCGTCTATCTTGGTCGGGTACTTCAAACTGATATCAGTTTTGGTCCGGTATGTTACAGAATGATGCTCTTTGGTCGATCCTGTAGAATGACGTAGTTCATCCTCCCGCTTAAAAGGTTCCTTTGCAATCTCGAAAGGTTGGTTGCGAAATGAGTTCGAATAGTTAATCCTTTTCTTTCTAATTTGTTTATCACTGCCATTGACCGGCATTTTTAGTCAGGACCAAAGTCATTGAAAGCCCTACTTTGTGAGGAGACGTTTCAATTTGACCTTTGCGAGTGGGTTTCATACCTCACTCTACTTGAATTCCGTCTGCTCTTCTTCTTCCCACAGCCTGCAGAGATACAAAGACTAATTACGACAAAGGCTCAACGGCTTTTAACAAAATGTTTAACAAAATATAAAGAGAAATGAAATATAATGAAAGGTTCCTAATTTAAATAAACGTACAGATTTGCGAACTGACACCTAAAGGTATACAAGCAAAGGTTTATAACTAAACCACTTCAGCAGTGGAGAATGAATTTTAATCATTAAAAGTTGCCCCAATGAATAAAAACTATAGCAACAATTGTTTATTCTCTACAACTTCTGATTGTTAATGCTACCTAATAACATACACTTTCAGAGAGATTCTAGTGTAGCAAGTTGTTGCTATAATTACAAGCATTCTGGACACAACCTGAAGGTTTTTACCAACAACTGTAGTTTTCTAATGTTGTATGCTGGGCTTGCTTGTGTCTGCAATGTGTCAAATCAGGGCAGCCAACAGTCAAATCAACAGATTTAATATAATTATGTAATAACAAAAGGTTTTGCTTTAACATTTATAAGTATATCACACACTACAATACGACAAAATTTAAAATCTGCGTCTTCAACCGAACTTTTGCGAGCTTGAGTCTCAATTCGAATCTGGTTTGCAGTGAAGTAAGGAACATCATTAAAGCTTTTTTTGATATTGAATTACCGTGAATTGAGTTCATTAGCAAAAAGAACCGGGGATGCACATCGATGAACAAAGCCAGCTTTTTTCTTGCACATCCAGATGAAATTCGTGGTGCAAAATTATAAATTCAATTCAATGAGAACATTTCATAAAATGGTACATCCCTGTAATCATTGTGAATGTTGTAAATGAAATAGATGGTGGACAAGAATTTAATAGATTTTATAGACAAAATATTATAATATTTGGAGCACCTGTAAACGTTAATGATGACTTTGATCGTTTTATGGTGTGAAACTTTCTACATGATGATTTTAAACATAATATGTTAATGAACACAATATTTAAATCATTGCGGTTTGAACACATTTTCCTCTACAAAGTTAGTGTCTATAGCACTCTAGAGTTTACTTTTTCACGGAAAATATACATGCTTTACAAGGACTGAGAAAAGGGGGTGCATCTAATACAGGGTAAGACATGCTAAAAACTATTTTTTGCAGAATTCAAACATGGAATTTATAAAGAATGCGTCTTATACACAGCAAAATATGGTACTTCTTTAACATTTTCTGGTCTTATCCTCTAAAAGGGGCATTTATGTACCATACTTAACTGAAAAGGTTATATTTGCTAGTCATTATTTGCAGCACCCAATGTTAGAACAGAATTATGGTATTTTTTTGTAAACATTTGTAATTTTGAACTGGTTATCATTTGTAATTTTGAACTGGTTATCCTGTAAAACATTTGTAATAATAATAATAATAATAATGATGATATTCAGAACAATGGAAAAATCCCTTTATTAAGCTGTAGAATCTTTCCTCGCAAAATGTAGCACTTGGATAGAGATAGATAACCATCTATTTCTGAAAAGTTCATAAGTTTTCTGACAAAATAGCAGTTAAGCTTAATAGAGGGGTTTTCGCCCCCTCCTCCTATCTATGGCACTGTTTGTGTGTCAGCATAAGAATCTTTTTTAAGAAATTTTAAATTTTGATGACCACATAACCCAAAAAAGCACTGAGAAATACTTCTAAACAAGAAAAATCAGTTAAATATGTCAAATATTGGGTGAATATGGCCAATAAATAATAAAGTCATGAACAGAGACCAAATTACAGAAAAACCCAATAAAATATGTTAGTTGGGTGTGGTAATTTTTCCAAATAATGCCAATATAACAAGTTAATAAATTAAGTACCAAAATGAGTGTTAACAATGTATTGTTAAAAAAACAATGTTTTGGACATTAACTCGATTTCAAGAGACCAAACTTTTTGACTTGAAACTGTCAATTGATCTTTAAGATGTCAATTGACAAGTAAACTTATCCAACAGGATTTTTTGAACTTTTTTTATTTGCTGTATCATAGATAATTAAACAAATGCATTGCTTTTTGCTTTTCCTTGAAAGCTTTTCTGTAAAAAAAGATGTCAGGGAGGGGGGGGGTGGGCTGAGCCCCATTAAAAACTTCCCAGTGATTAATGTTGCTGGCAAGACTCCAAGCTTATTTTCCTTATTTCCTTCCCCGGGCCTGCAGGTGACCATAAAGGCATACCTGCAAACTTACTTGTTCCTGTCAAGATATTGTCCTTCAGTTTATCTTTTTCAAAAAAATTCAAGCAAGTGAAAATACATGAAATATGATTAAAATGTATTTGAATTAATGTCAGAAAGAGTGTTAGCAAATTGTTAAGGTTGAAATGTTAAAATTGCTTCTACCTCAAGGAGGTCAGTGCAGGCCTCAGATAGGGTTCCAGTAGTCAGGCATGTATGAAGTCAACAGTGAGAGAAATGCTTTTAAGGCCATCATGCAATAAAAAGGAGATTTCTATAGGCCATTTCAATTGAGGAATTAACGAAAGTATTAAGAGTTCCCTCAAATAGAGAAAACTGAAAGTTGTTGCATGGAAGATATTTTTCATTTCAGTTTCATTAAATCTTAGTTGAAACTATATGGGTAGTATCATTATTCTACTAAGTTTGTAGGATAAAACAGGTCAGGTCATCCTTGAAAAGGTGTCCGATCATACAAGCACACCACCATGGCACCCGCCTTGTTTCCCCAAGAAATGTGGTTTATAGCACGTCTCATCAAGGCTGAGTTACAACCTTAACAAGAAACATTCATAGGCCCTGTATTTAGTTTCCCAATCTGACAAGAAAGAAGTTAACACAAGAAAAGAGATGCATTGGAATGGCTTCATCCCCTATAACAGCATTTTCATTTTGAAAAGTGAAAAAAGTATTAACCATATCAGATTGGATAGTTTTGGTGTAAAAAGAAGGCCAATCCAGTATGAAACCAATTGATTTGAAAACAGTATTGCGTAAATAGGGCTCTTTTCACTGCACAACTTTCACTTTTATCTGTCTGCAAAGAGGAAAATGTATGTTTTGTGCGTTCATACTGCTCACATGAATGAAAAAAATGTCCCTTTTGTAGTTTTACCATTCAGACTGCTTTTGTTTTAAAGATTTGTTTGAAGTGTTTTCAGAAAACATCCAGGGGTGGTTACTTCAATAGGCAGTGGACGGTGATGTGCCATTTTGGAAATAAGAAAGTATACCATAAAATTTATAAATTTCCCAAATACCCTACCCCATAATTTAGATACCATATGAAATGCATACTCTTAAATTTAATTCAAACCGAGATTAATATTTAATGCAGGCCCATAACTGAGAAAAAATCCAACTCCATCAATGTAAATGAAACACCTTTAAAAAGTTATATATATACCTTAAAAATTTAAGGTCATGCTAAGAATCAAGCCCAAAATTTTATGACCATGATTGATTTTACCAAAATGGATACCCCAAAACTTATTTTCAACTTGGAAAAGGTACCCCCAAAAAAATGGCACATCCTGTAGCAGTGGATGTGGATTTTACCATTGACATTGCTTTCGTTTTTGTAAACGTTTTGGAGAGTTTTCAAAAATCTCAAATTTTGTGCACCCACATTGGTCCAGTGTGCTTTCAAAAAACTCTATCTTGGAGGATATCCACTTTTGAGAGCATTTTGAAAGCCCTTTGTGCTTGTGTTCTTTTTGTGCTTTATAATAGTTTGCAAATCATTTGAAGCGCTCTCGAACGGCACAAACAATGGCTCCCCCAACTGGGTATCGAAAGCCCGCAAATTGAAAACCAGATATGAAATCAGTCATAAGGATACCACTGCTGTGATAAAATCTAAGGTTAGAAGTCATTTTGCGAGTGAAATAATGAACAAGCTTAAAATGCACATTGTACTAAACAAGAAATTATGTACATATGCTCAAGTTAAAACGGTTTTCAAATTCGAATTCTCTCTTGACTTTGTCAAAGACTTTAACAAAACACGATGCCTTTCACGGTTAAGACTAAGCGCTCATAATCTAGAAGTAGAAACTGGCTGTTTTGGAAAAAACCCTATCCCTAGAGAAGAACGACATTGCAGTTTCTGCTTAGCGACAGGTTTAAGGGTTTTAGGAGATGAATTTCATTTACTTATGGTGTGTCCAGAATTCGCTGATAAAAGGTGCTATCTCTTAAATGCACTCCAACGAACAGCCCCTAATTTAAAGCAGCTAACAAGTTGGAATAAATTTATCTGGATATTAAGTCAAGAAGACTTAAAATGTCTCAATTTAGTTGCCACGTTTCTATATAAATGCTTTGAAACAAGATTGAAAGAACAGTAGAACAATACTGATGTTCAAACCCCGGATTCTAATTATTAGTTGATTATATAGATTTTTCGCTGTAAAATAGCTTTTTGATATTGCGTATATTTAATTGTTCGTGCTTTCGTAATTAAAAAATTGTACTATTCAAAATTGAGTTCGTATAAACGTTTGATAAGTTGTTGTAGAGGTAATTCTATTAACTTTTACTGTTATTTTTATGTTGTAATTAGATTAGAGGCCATCTTGGCCTAGATACCTTTTTAATAAAAAAATAATAATAAAATCTTAACATTCCATTTGCAAAATAGCTTGGAAAAAAGAAAATATATACCCTTGTGCAAAATAAATAATCTAAAAACGGGTGAAAATTTTCAAATTTTGTAGTTTTAATAAATGTTCATTAATACTTCACTATGCTAAAACAGGAATCACACCCTATTGCATCCCTTGATAAGAACAGCATGAAAGAAGTTAGCTAACTGAAAAAAATCTCTTAAGCTCCAGGAAAGTATGAAAATAGATAGCCAAATTCAACTTTTACTGGAAATGTTATTGAGGTTTGTTGAAAGGTGATAGGTTTAAAATATCAAATTTTTTGCCTTAGGACATGTAGAACTAAAGTAAATAAAGAAAGTTTAGATTTCTGAGAGTGACAGCACTGTTTCTTAGTATAAGTTATGATAGTGTTCCCAAGCAGGTTTTTTCCTTTATTAGCCTTGCCAGTTATACATTGCCTGAAAACTGTGGCGAAGATAATTTATAAAAACCTTATCTCTTTCACTACTGAAATTAAAACTAGGTAAAATCAGACAGCCATGAGTACCAACCTGCTTTTAATAACCCAAATTCATCATGAAATTGAATAACTTGCTTGGCACTTAGACCTATGCTGTTCGTAAATTCACACTGCAGTTTTACCGTCTGCTTACACGATTTACTGCATAACAGTTTCCGTAGTAAACAGAATTCTGAATAGTAAATTTTTTGGCATATGTCAGTTCCAATGAAGTTTTTTCATCTTTAACTGCATTCGTTCATCGCTTACCCCTAGTTGTCAATTAGATCTACCATTTGCAAATTTTTCAAATAAGCAGCTGTCAAGTTGCCATTGATTCGATGTTATGGTCTAGTTCACTTTCGAAGAAACTGCCAACTGAAAACTCGGTGACTGGCAAAAGATTTGAAAAAACATAAACTGATGCATCAAAATAGTGCGTGATTGACGATTGTACTGACATACCCGGTTTAAAATTGAAATGTTGGATATTGTTTATAAATCAAATTTAGGCCATGGGTCATTGAGCTGCATCACCAGCAAGGTTCACTAAATATCGTAGGTAGAATTTATTATCACATTTTATGCTCCAACAATTATTTTCACATGACTTAAAATTAAACTTTGGTTAAAAACAAGAAATGTCGGGCAAAAGCGAGTAAACATCCGTATAATGTGCAATGTTTGCCGGTCCTACTTGTCAAACAAGTAAGATAACTGCCTTGCTTTCCCAATTCCTATCTGGAACTGAAATTCCTTAAAGATGAATCTGGAAATAGGTTCAAATAAACTTCAATCAGGTAGCGATCCATGACTGGTCTTAATCCTATGACAGGACATTAGAAAATCAAACCACTCACACCCATCTTTGATATGCACTCCTTGCTGTGAAGCAATTCAGAAGAAAACGGACTAATTGCGATTTGATTTTGGTGGTCATATACGACAGTATTCCCACAAAATCTCATTCCAAAAGTTTCGAAATTTATCTGTAGAAATCATGTTTATGAAACGAAGCTAACTGAAACTCAAACGACATGTGTTTGTGGAAAACTTATGGCGAAGTGGTAATGCCATGGATAGCTCATCATCACCATAGTTGTAGGCCTAAAGGTTATAAATTTAACGTCAAGGTAAGGCACAACTCACCTGGGACTCACATTGAGCTGTATTTCCAATGCATCGAAGATCTTGTCTCACGTAACACAAACGCGGCAATACAGCTTTAATTACCCATTCGCTGTATCAAATTACAATAAAAAATAAACCTTAAAATCCAAGATAACCAAGGTAGTGTTCTCCCTTGCGGCATGCCAATCATTCCATGCTCCTCCGCATAACCACCTTCGAAAAACGGGCGAACGGAAATCGATCTCACTCACATGCAGGATTAACCAAATGACATCCCGTAAATCCTCGAATTGACCCCTTCCCCCCCTCAAAAAAAGCCCTCCTCGAATAAGCTTCCACCCTAAAACTACAAATTGTTAATAAGCCTCCCTCGAATAAGCCCCCATGCTACCGTAAATTCTCGAATTTGACCCCTCCATTTGACGATTTTTGCCACCTGAGGTGGCCTATGGCTTCTTTTATAATTACCACAACAAATTCATACTTTTGGTAGCAATTAGTTAAATGATCATAAATAAATTCCTACTAAAAAAACGAGGTCTTTTAATAATGTCTTCTTAATTTCTACAATAAGTTTATATGCCCCCCTCGTATTAGCCCCCCCCTCGAATAAGCCCCCGTCCAAAAATATCAAAAATGAATAAGCCCCCAGGAGGTTAATTCGAGGATTTACGGTACATGCATGCAGTCAACTTACGACCAATGATATAGCATTGTGTTATACAACTAGTTTTGTCTGTCGTGGATCATGTTTGTGGTTCGTTTTCGTTAATGAGGATGTCTTTCGATGTTTGCGTCAGTCCATTTTGTTTGTCATCGTGCCATCGTTATTTTAGTTGTTTTTAGTCATTCGCCGTTAATTTGTGTCATTAGGGTTTTGTGTGCGTAACTCATGTTGTTTAAAGCGTATGTTCTTTCAGTGCAAGTCCAGTCGAGTCGAAGTTGTCGTTGAACGAAGTCGTTATGTTGTAATCATTGATTGCTGCTAATTTATACTATTCCTGCTGAAGAATCTTGCTTTAAAAAACGTTATTGCGAATTGGAGTCTGGTTTATGATCTTTATCTGCCCTGTAAAACTTCATAGTTTTACAATTGTCTACGACGTTTTGGGATCAGTGGTTACGACTCGCTTCAGCTCCAGCTTCAAGAGTGGCTGGGGAGGGGGGAGAGGTTATGATCATAAAACTGTAACCTCTAGGGGCTTTGAGCTGAATATCGATCTTCAAAAGTTCCAATTTGGTGTTCTACTTAGCTTGGTCACCTCCACAGGGCCCACGTAACTGGGAGGGGACCAGAGGCGCCATCGCCCTCACATTTTTGTTAAGAAAAGATTTTTCCAAAAAGGCCCTGATTTGAAGCACTAAATTCAAGTTAGAAATTCGTGGCTTTGGCCCTACTCCAGTATTACCAATGCCATTTTGAGAATGTCCCTGTTAAGCCAATCTCCTAGTAAGCTGGACAAATAAATAAAATATGAGAGTTTCCCAATTAGAGAGAGACTGTACGATTTCATTATAGAAGGAAACACCTTATGTAGATTTTTTAAAAACCTTAGGGGATGAATTTTTGCAGATGTGGTTTTTTGCACATTTCGGGATAATTGATTTTCATGGATAAATCAAAGCGAAATATTTCACAGAAATCTAGCAGTGACTGTCACACACATAAGACAGCTAGAGGAGAATAATCTAGAAGGTAAAAAAGTGTACATTTTTAAAGGTTTAAAGGTGCATAAGGCGTTTCTTGACTGCCATAGGGGGTGGTGTTAGTACTGAAAGAAAAAGGTGTGGCAAAAAGAATACCGTGGTGAAGAACTAATAGTAAAGTAAAACTGTGATAAGAATGATCTGTGAAGATTCAGACGAGCTCAGAATCAATGTAGGGCTGCACAAAGGATTGCACTTTAAGTTGGCTTATTTTATTATTAAAAGACTTTAACATGAAAATGCTCAAATGGATTTCGATATCATCCTTTTCTATCGCATTGGTAAAATTCCTAGAGGAAAGGTTCGTATGCATCTAAACAAACTAAAGAGGACCTGGGGAGTCCTCACTCTGAGACTTTGGCTAGTATTTGATATCAAGCGATTTTCAGTATCATATCATATTTGAAATACCAGGAAAGGAACTGGTAATATTTCAGTCTATGTATGAAAGTTATGATTGTTTTTTCTTGTGAATAATCTTACCTGTCCTAAAAATTCTCACTTTTTCTCATTCACAGTATCCGCAAATGGTTCATCCCGTTTCCTATTGACAGTAACCTGGGACTCAAACGATCTCATTCATACTCTTGGTTAATTGATCTGCATATTTGTTTATTTAAGAAATCAACTTTTTTAAAAAATATTATGCTAATGTATTTGAACATTATCGATTTCTTGAACTTGAAGATGGCAAGAATCCAGGTATGGATCTAAATCTTACGATACTGCTTTCGATTCTTTCGTTACTTTCGATTCACACCTGAATATCAATTTTAGCTTACTTTCGGCCAAGTTTTTGTACTCTGAAGAATGTTGAGCGAAAAGTATTTCTTTCTTCAGTATGATATGATTTCACTATTTCGTGCCATCTTCAAATTTTACGGTACCAAAAACTTATTTGGTTATTTTTTAAATCTTTCAAGTTACAAATTGGCCACGAAGGGTTTTGAATGTTTCCTTTGCGATCACCATGCTATATTTAAATTAATCTCTGAACTGATTTTTTGGTCAACTAAAATTCAGAACACTCCGTAATTCCTGACTCTTCTAACTGAATGGGCGTACATTAGAAGCGTCCAAGATTCTTACCGTCTGACATTGTTTAAGGTCTGAAATTTACCGTTTAAAAGAAGTTGTTTTACTAAAGAAAAATTCACAGCGAAGTTTTTCGCTCGTTGAAACTGAATGTGTTGCTCACAAACATCTAGCATAGAAAGAGTGTTTGTTGAAAAAGCTAGCTAATAAGTGAAATAGTATCAAATCTTGTCAACAAAATTCACGTAACAATCACGAAACATTCTAATTATCCTCAACAACTATTTGTTCGTCCTCTGTCGTACTTTTATCGTAGTAAACATTCAAATCTTTGTTCATTCAACATTATCTTAATGAATATAAAGTTAGCAACATTAATACAAAGTAAAGTTAATGCATAAAAATAGATCTAAAAGAAATATTACGCCGTAGTTCTTTCACATTCTACAGTAACAATCTTCACCTTTCCATTGTCTATATGCTTCTTTAAAATTAAAAGTCTGTCTGTGTTTCTTTATCTCATGTCTGTGTTTTATTCCATAATCTACAACCCAGATATCTATAAACATTTTAACCATTTGTGGTTGTTCGTCTTCTTGTGAGATTTTCATTCCTGAGATAATGTTCGTCAAGAATTTTCATTCCTGGGATAATAATTTGACTTCCTTTCCATTGAAATGTTGTTCATTAAGCTTGGGTTAAAATCTTTTCATATTTTAAAGACCGCAGTGATTAACAGCTGTAAGGTTTTTACGTGAACCTTACGTGAACATTGGATTAATGTTTCATAAATATAAATCATATCTTAAGATGCGATTCGCAAGGCCTTCTCGTAAATGTGATTGATCTTATTATTCAATTTTCTATCACAGAACATCTAAACTGATGGGAAATTGTTCAATTTGTATAAGATAAAGACCCTCATCACAATTTGTAGTTTTTCAGAGACTAAGTAATTGCAAATACGCGACAGGACGTGAATTTTTGTCTTGCGTCTTGCTATCATCAAAGTGTGTTTCAAATGATAGAGCTTTATCTAGTTTTAAACCAAGTAACTTACTTTACTTTCTGCGATGGTTTCATTGTCAATTTCGATTGATATAAGTCACTTTCTGATTAGAAAATATCATTTTTTGACATTTATCCCCATTAAAATTCATGGGGCTTTCGAAACCAATTAATAATAATAGATGTATCAGTTTCTAACCTTTTAATAATGTTTTCGTGCCTGCAATCGCTTAAATAGATAGTGGTGTCATCCGCATAGTTCTGTATTATGCTGTTTGTCATAAACTTACACAGACGTTTAAATAGATACTGAACACAAAACACCATAGTGCTGGTCCTTATGGTACCTCATGGCTAGTCTCTCTCCAAGCTATAAGATCCATTTACTCGACTCTTTCTCTCTTAAAAGTAGCCGTGAATTAATTTCAGAGCATTTCTTGTGAAACCTCAAGTTTAGCAATTAAAAGGTCATGAATTAAAAAGCCTCAGAGAAATCTACAAACACGGCACATACTGTTTACGTTGTCAAAGGCTACCATCCAGTTTTCAATAAAGCGCATTGCGTAGTTCTCTCTAAAGCCGTATATTAAGGGATTTAGAAAGCAGTAGGTGAATCACTTCATTTTACTTTCTGTTAGCCTCTCATAATCTTTTGACATGGAAGGTAGGACTGTTATTGGTCTTAATTTTTGTTGTTTAGGTAGTGTCACTTCTCTTGAAAATTGATGTAATGTCCCTCTTCTTTTTCAGATTTTTGGGGAATTGTTTCTGTTCCACACTTGTATTGAAGCAATTTTGTAGAACAGGAGTGAAGATATAAGCATTTTCTTTCGAGACTTTTGCTGGGATACTGTCTACAGGAGTTGCTTTGTGGAAACGGTCCAGGTGATTCACCTCCTCTACGATAACTGCCTAAACTCAAGCATTGAGATGGCTTCAAGTGTTCTTTGATCATTTTCAAGCTGGGTGGTTTTGAAGCATCATTGATAAACACAGTTAATTGGACAGCATCAATTATTTAGTAGCATATTTTCTAACACAATCAATCTTTGGTCTTTTCGCTTTCTAATGACATCAAATTCCATCTTCACCAAACCATAGCCCTAAAGGTTACAGAGATTTGGCAATAACGGCAACCAAAAGCTTAGTCCTTGAGGAATTATAAAACTCTCTTATTCTTTATCTTGAATCCTAAGTACAAAAGAAATTTTGAATCAGGATTTCTATTTATTTTACCAAAGGTTCTTCACATGTAGTGCTAAAAATTACTTAAATAAGTCTTTTCTTTGTTTTGCCCTAGGAGATTCCCCCAGTTTTCTCCCACTTTCATGACTGGCTGTCAAGGAGTTCTGGAGCAAAAACCTCAGGAAGAAGGAAGGTAAACCGTAAGCAATGAACCAGGGACCACAAACAACTCTCAAAGCATAATAGAAAGATTGTGTGCAGATAAAAACGTCTCGTGAACACTGAATATCTTTTTAATCAATTCTGACAATACTCGCAAGACTACAAATTAGCAAATGCAAATGTAATATCCTATAATTTACAAAACTCTCAACAGGATAAAGAAAATTCAAACAAAAAATTGAAGCACTAAGAGCAACTATGCGTTACATCAATATATATATATTTATTTACAATGTAAAAATTATTTAAATATCCCTACAATCTTTTCTGTACTACTATGTACAGATGTCTGCATTCGCTAGTTTAATTTTAAATTCAAGCACCTGCTTCAGCTCTCTTCTATGGCTTTTGACAACTGGGTGGGTCTGTCGAGGTGGGGCAATATTTTCTGCTTACGTTAACACTTTGTGTCGATAAAAAAGTGTTTGACATACGAGATGTCTGGGGTATGTCTTGGTCAACAGAAACCTGATATCCTACATGGGTGTTTGATTCTCCACGGGTAGCAAGATTGAACTAGTTGTGGGTTAAAAGCGGTTCAACCGATGGCCTCAACACATCGATCAAGCTACTTGACTATTAGCAGCATCAGTAGTGAATGGTATCACTTAATAGTTGGAAAAGCCGAGCTGAAGTTGACTCACTCGAATTTACAAGGAACAGTAAGATAAGCTGCACTATTCTACAATCAAACAATGCCACTGTCACTTTTGATATCATGACAGGCTGTAGAACAGAAGATGTACAAAAAGTAATTTAGCCACTGTCGGTCGGCCAACGGCATTGTCGGGCGGCCTAATGCATTGTCGGGCGGCCTACTGCATTGTCGGGCGGCCTACTGCATTGTTGGGCGCACAACAGTATTGTCGGGCGGCCTACGGCGTTGAACCGATTTTTTCAAAAAACCACTCCCGGCTTCATATTGTTTGACATTTCGCTGAAAAAAAGACATCGGTATTCAAGACTCTTTTGTATCAATCTAATAGGCAAATGGGAAGAAAGAGAATATGGCCTCATAATTGCTATTCTCAGCTGAATGCAGAAATAGTGCATTTTAAAGGACCTGTGTCGTTAACATGATTGGCTTATGCAATACAATTATCTTACAAAGCATGTTTAGTACAAAGCATGGAATCGAGGGTGAACTTTTACGGCAGTAAAAATTCAAAAATTCCACTCCAAACACTTTTGTTTTATTAGCCAACTTTTGATGCGACATATGCCCTTTAAGACAAACAGTAAAGACAAATGAAACAAAAATAATGTTTGGGGGTTTGTTGAACAGGGGGGCAGGCAGTTTTAAGGTAACAAAGGAAGAGGAAAAAGAAGGTTATATGTTACCTTTTGCGTTGTGTATCGCTATGACGCCGACGTTCGCATTTTATGTGACCCCGTGCTGACGGATGTTGAGACAGACCCTTCACTTGAAATAGAACTGGTCACCATTTCATTCTAAAAATTAAATCTTACAAATTAACACTCTATTCAATCTCAATTCTAGAAAAAAATTGATCTATTTAAGCCTCAAGAGTTTTTTTCTTCCTCAGTCGTCATTCATTTCATTTCATTTAATCTTATTTAAACACGATATCTATTCAGTTATGACATATATAAGGAAAAAGTACATTACAAAAAAAATGTGTTAAGGTTATTTTTAAGTATTTAAAAATATTGCCTATTCTTCCATGGATTCGTGCCGAGCTGATCTCTGTTGGCTCAAAAATTTTACTTCTTTTCAAAATCGTTCGATGAGATTTCTTTTCTAAATCGTTTGATGATCTCCTAATGAATGGTGGGATATTATTCCAAACAACTTGGCCAGTGTTCAAAAAACCTTTTTTGGTGTGCTCTTATGTCAGTTTTTGCACATGGAGATCCTTCCTATTTCTTGCGTTGCAGTCTGGTATGGCAGACCCTTTGATGAACTTATTTTTAGCCCTTCAGGATAGAGCTGATTAACAGTTTTATAAGTCATAACTGCGCGTCAAAAAATTATCAATTGATGTATGTTCACGAGTCTCATCCTTTACCTTTGAAGAATCTATTAGACCGAGCGCTCTGCTCTGATATTTTTGCCGAGGGTTTAATTTGTTATCGGAGAGGGCTTCACGTTAGCACACCTCAAGTGGCGTTCAACAGGCTTATTACATTCGACAAAATGAAACGAAATGAAATGAGCTGGTGACAGAGTCTTGAAAAGTGATTCCTGTCTCTTTAATCAAACTCTGAAAATTTTAAGGGTCATATCATGACTTCTACAAGACTCATTTACATATCGAAGCTATTTGGCTGTTGTCTCTAGCCAACATTAGCGCTTGTGACAGAACTAACGAAACGGATTAAATAACCCAAAAACTGGTTGCAAGATCCGGTCGGGGGCAATGAGTTTCATTTGCGAGGAAGCCTTTACGTAAAAAAACTGCCCTTCTGCGATGAAATTAGAACAATTTTGGAAGAAATGATCTTTAACGCAACGAGCGAAACGGATTAAATAACCCAAAAACTGGTTGTAGGATCGGTAAAAACCATGAAATTCCGGTCGGGGGCATTGAGTTTCATTTATTTGGAGGTCTATTTAACCTATTCTTGGGTAAAGGACGTAGAAAGGAATCTTTAAGTGATTTGTCATTGTATCAAAAGTGGCAGAGAAAGGTGAATTTTTGCAAGAAAGAGCACTGTTCAAAGCAAAAGCATCCTCGTCGGTTTTCACAGAAAACAGAATCCAGAAAAATCATGCCGGGCTGAATTGCTTATTCTGCCACGAAGATTATAAAAGGGTCAATAGCTAGCTCTCTATACATTGGGCATGGGCCTAGACATGATCTCAACTGAGGTTTTAAATATTTCTATTCAAACGAGGCACGCTTTATTCAAACGAGACATGCTTTAGGAACAGCAAAGGGTAAAAACCTCTTCAAAATTTCCTTGGTCGTTAAGCAAGGCTAAATCAAACAAAATTTATACCTGGTATCGCCTTCTGGCATTAAATGCCGCTAATCTTGATAAACTGATTCTTTTGTTTAACGCTTGTGGTTTAAAACCAGGTTCTGTCATCTTGAAAGAATGAAATTAAAAAGAACTCAGTCCAATCAAAGAACAAAAGAAATGGAACTCCATTTTCACAAGATGGAAGCGAAATAGAAAGCGATGCGACGGTCAATGCAAGGTTGCCAATAAAGGAAAGTGTCAATCAAACAAAAGAGCTTACAGGACTAAAGGTTTACATTTAGAGAGAGGGGGATATAAGGCTGATATAGCGTAACAAGATGCACTGGCAGCGTAAATACTAACATAGAAAATAACTTAACATAGCAGTGATGAACAGAATGACTTGTTCGATCATTGGGGGAGGGGGGGAAGGGGTACTAAAAAGACAGTGCTGGGAATGAAACAAAGCTGTGGTAAAGCCCTACAAAGAGTTATGGGGTTCCAGTGAAAGTTACGAAAGTTCAAAACATGGAACAGTCTGGAAAAACCTAATAAAAAATCTTACCCTGATCCATGGCAGTCTAAGACACTCTTTGGCATCGGGACGATGGCTGTTAAAAAGAAAGCTTATTAGAAACAAGGAAAAACGGAAGAAAAAGACACGAAAGAAGTCGCATTACACATTATCAATGATTACAAAGTCTGCGTAATCCGAAAAACCTTCAGTATAACAGCCGTTCGGTATTTGAGAAGAAAGTTAATTCATTTCAATTTTATTTGTAATGCATTTAAATACATAAAGGTTTTATCCGTTACCGCTGAAAAGTATAGGAGGATTTTTGGTTAACCAACCTTTGATCGTGAATCAAGAGCTCTTCAATCAAATCCGTTGCTTCCGTGCTTACGCCCGAGAAGAATTCATGGGGAAATCGATATCTAATTTCTGTTATGTTCTGACACGATCGTTCGTAGTTATCGGAGTAAAATGGTGAGACACCGCTTAGAAGGACATAAATGATGACACCAACGCTCCAAAGATCAGTTCCTAGGCTGACTGGCTCACCATTGATCACTTCTGGGGCTGTGGATAAAGGCAAAACCTGTTCAGTACGCTGTTACTCTATGAATATCAGCAAAGGGCAGTAGTAAACACAAGAAAAGATTCGGAAAAGTAAGGTTTTTCATCTGACCGGTAACTTACCATTAAATTCAGGACTCCCATTTATTTCATGGATGTAAGGCGCTTCTGTTATTCGAACTGCGTCACCGAAGTCTATCAGTTTTAATCGTGGTGAAGTGCCACAACTAAGAATGAGGTTCTCAGGCTGAAAAGGAAAATTCACGGGATATACATAAAACGAAGTCTTTAGAAAATAAATTCAATAATTCAGCATGCATAATTAATAGTGAAATGCTAAACACAGCCAAGCGCAATAAGATAAAATACCTTGACATCTAGATGCGCGATCCCACATTCGTGAAGATATTGTAGAGCTTGCAACATTTGCTTGACAAAGCCAATGGCAATTCGTTCGGTGAGGTTGTCCATGATCACGATGTGGTCAAATAATCTTCCACCAGACAAACTACAATGTTTAACGTAGAAAACAGTCAGAAAATCTTAATTCAACCATGGCACAGGCAAACAGAACGATTACGATGTACACAACTCGTTCGGCTTTCCTGTTCTATCAATACAAACTAAAGCACGCCAGGAAGATTGTTAACTTTGCCACAGGCTTTGAAAGCGACTAAGAAAAAAGAACCATTAAAACATATAGCTTAAGTTGTTGAAATGCCTCCAATACGAGTTATGCAGCAAACGTACGTATCATTGGAACAAAGAAATTCTTTCAGATTCGATTTTCCAATAAAATATTGGCGAAGAATCAGTTACACAGAAAGCTTAAACGACCAAGTCGTTTTCTGGCAAATGTTATATAGAATTACGCTGAATCAATAAGAATTTGAAGAAGCAGAACACACAGGAACTGAGAAAAAGCAACATTATAGACGTTATATTGAGCCAACTTGCACGATGATGTAAAAAGAGATAAGCAGAACATATAGGAGCTGAGAAACGGCAACAATACTTACAGCTCGAGAACAAGGATAAGGTTCTTTGGAGTGTCATATGTTCCATGAATTTTGCAAAGAGATGGATGATTCAATACTTTAAGGATTGCTATTTCATTTTCAACCATTTCCTGGTCAAGGACTCGTTTCTTTACCAGCTTTGCGGCGTATTCCTTTCCAGTTGCTTTTTCAACGCACTTTTTGACGAGGGAAAACCGTCCCCTGAAAAATGAGGGCAAACAAATTTAACGATATTAAAAAATTTCGGATTCATACTGCTTCTGTTAACCAGGGTACTTTAAAAGTTTCATACTAGCTCGCATGTGTTGATTAAAATGAAGGATAAATGAAAGCGCAGCACTTAAGAACATAACAAAGCTTATTTCGGGACACAAACCTTCCAAGTTCCGATGATATGTTGTACTCCATCTGCATATTATCTTTCCAACTGACCGGTTGAAGAAGGACTTCAGACTCTAAAATGCAGACCATTTAACATAAGCAAACACGCAAAACTAAAGAAAATGGTAAATTTTGGGAGTAGGGGTTGATGCTAGTCCATGTGGAAATTGGTATTTGTAGCACACACATTCTATTGAACGTTCTAACTGGGGGCCTATAGCAACTAAAACATTAAAAGATAATAAACTCCTTTTCTCAAGATCAGAGGCTTGGTCCTTAGCTCACGTCCCTAAAAAGATTATGAGCACATAGCAATCAGTGGAGGATAAACCGCACCTTAGAAATACCATACTCGCCAGTTAAATCGTTGATATTGTTATTGATTTCATCAAACCTGAACTTGCTCCATTACTCAATCAAAAGTAAGGACTTACAATGCTAGAGGCATAACCCCTTACATCGGTGAAAGAAGTAAAAGAATGGGGAGCAGAAAACCAGATAAGGCGTTGGATTTGAAGTCCAGGGGATAAAATCATTTCCTCGAAAACCAATTTTTATCCTTACAAGCACTTGCAGTTTTCAGTTTACAAGCACTCATTCTAAGAAAACCGACCATAAAAAGGCTGGTCTTTAAAATTTTTTTGATGAAACTTAAATGAAAAGTCAACATTTCCATTGGCTCCTGTCGACTTCAAATAAATAGCTTTATTGCTGAAAAATCAGCTTTTAATGGCAATTTCATAAATTGATGATTCGACGTGTAAAGCAACCGACAACTTATGGTTTAGCTGATTAAATGTTACCATGTTAATTCTGGTCAATACCAATTTAGCAAATATTCTTGATTATTGAATTGTTATGTAAAGATATTTCAAAATACGTATTAAAGGATCTACTAATTATAGCTATAAATGAGCACAGAAGAAGAGTTGAGGAACTACATTGAAAGAAAAAATGTGAGATTAACACGAGCAGGACGGGACTTGAACCCTGCGACCAGTGACACTGTACACCTTGACCAATCAACTGAATTGCCATCAATCAACTAAATTACCAGGTCACGTTTTAGAATTCATGGTCAGAACCTTTTAACTGTTTTCCTGGACCCTGTCCAGTTGTAGGGGTCCTCGCTCATAACAGGTCGGGTGCACACTGCGGTGAATATTGCGATGATCGTTCCGCAGGAGGGCCATCGCAATATAAGCGAAACGGCTTTGGGCTTGGATTTGAAAACGTGGACAGGTACCAAAGTTGGAGCAACAACATTCATTGTCGCTAGTCGCGGGTTCGAGACTTGCCCGGGTCGATATCATTTGCTCACATTTTCTTCATGGAATAATAGGATAATTAAACTTATCATTATGACTTAAAAGTTATCAAAAAGTAGCTAGGAATAAACGAATAAACAGTATTCGGCGAAGAAGATTAGTGCTATCCAAGAAAAAATCAGATAAAACGGTTTATAGAATAGAAATCACTGAACCTTTTAAATGGAAATCAATGAATTTTTAGTCACGACTGATTAAGAATTAACTATTAGGGTTAAATTCAAAATATTGAAGAGAAGTTATTTTGATTCAGTTTAATACTTTTATGCTTTTACCTTCATTTGATTTCAACTTTAACTTTTGTCGAATGAGATTGAGAATCGTTTTCACACCTGGCATAAAATAACATCAGCACGAAGATAAAAACAAATTCTAATCTTGAAAGTCATTTATACAATTAAGTATAGAATAATTAAATAATTAATTTACTAAAAGAACATAAATAATTAATTTACATGGATTATACCAGCTGGCCCAAAATGATAGTTTTAATTCCTGTCAGACTACACGATGCACAAGGGAACACTAAGAGGAGAATTGAGCTCTTGCAGGGTCTGGCTCGAAGTTCGATGAAAGCAACCAAAAATTCGTCGGTAGAAGGGAGAGCTGTTCACCCAGATGGCAAACCAAATAGCCAAACAAAGGGGGTAGCCCCCCCCCCCTTCGCTCGCTAATTTCACTGGCGCATTCACTGGGTTTCAATCTAAACCCGTTTAATCCTAGAAAATTTCAATCCAACAAACCTGTCTGCACTTAAAGAATATTCCAATTTTACAAACCTGTCTGCAAATCCATTGTGATTGAGTCAGATGGCTCGCTTGGCTCACTGATGCCAATCTCATTGTTTGCACTCACTCTGAACTGGTATGTTTTGCTTGGAATAAGGTCGTCAATTATCGTCGTCGTATTTATAACAACTCCTGCAGCCACATGCCAGGATGCTACGATTGCCTCCTTGTACTCTATCGTGTATGCTGTTATTGGAATCTGGTCTAGCGTCTCGGGTGGATCCCACGCCAATACAACCGAAGTCGCTGTCATGGCAGTAATACAAGGCTTGGAAGGAGATCCTGGTCGGGCGAGCCCTAACGAAATAGAATATATTTCATTATCTTGTGCAAATTTGGTTGGCGAGCACGAAAAATACTCTGACGTTGCCTTTTTGAAGCGTCTCAACAAACTCATCTTGTCTAGGCTGTTCGACATGTAAATGCTCTCTCGAGCTTGTTTCAGCCTAATACAGATATCAATTAAAACATAAATAGTTATTTCCATGGGGAATGGGCTAATTACAACGAATAATTCCAGCTCGTGTACACAAAAAATAAGATGACAATAGGGCATGTATCAACCACGTTCTTCAGCTCGTTTAGCAGGATAAAGGAAATAGTTTCATCGCAACTCGAAAAAACTTTGATGCTATCCTTTTTCACTGTTTTGTGCTGTTCAACATGAATAGCTTCCCTTTACGTATTTACACGCACATGAAGTCAGAAGGAGCATGCTTATCATGAACAAAAGGATAATTGATGAAAACAAAGAACTCCAATTCCTTCTACTCTCCAGAGCCATCTAGAACTCAACAGTGAACTTCAAAACATCTTTTATTATACTGCAAAGTCAAGTTTCATGAGTAAACACCTATTGTGACGAAATCGTACTGCAAGGAACAGTTAGCCGGGCGTGTTGCCTAGAAGATTACCATGCAGTGCATCATTCTTGCTTAATAATCCTTCCTTCGCATTCACAGGCTGCACCTTAGACGTCAAGGATGGGGATGAGGAGGATGAGGGGGATGAGGATGAGGGGGATGAGGATGAGGGGGATGAGGGGGAGGAGAGGCGTGGTGTAACAATTAACGCCCTCGAAAAGGGGGACCGCCGCTTCGCCAATGGCGTATCTTGACCTTTCGTAGTAGTGGCGAGTAGAAGCAGATCTACTGTTGAAGATCACATGACACCCTGGGGCAATTTATCAACAACTTGGCCATTCTGCCAATCAACTAACAAAAAGTGAGTGGATCTCACATCCACACACCTCCCGTCGGATACTCCCCTAAGTTTGCAGCCTGCAGAAATAAAAAGACTCTAGCGAAGTGAAAATTCTCGCTTCAAGTACATGATAAAAACAACGATGAATCTTGTAAAATCAAGAACCGGCAGAGTGAGAATTGTGAAGGTTATTTCATATATTCCTCCTCACCTCTTACAGTGACTTTAACACAACAGGATGCTGATCCAAGTGAATTTGTCGCTGAAACTGAATAGGTGCCGCTGTCGCTTGGGTGTGACCGTATTATCTCGAGCATACAAACTGGTCCCTTTTTAAAGATACGATATCGTTCACCGGATTGCAACTCGACAGTGTCATTTTTTGTCCACAAAACTTCCGCATCAGGGTTTGCCATTAGGGTGCATGTAATTTTGATATTATTTGGTGCATCTGCAGTTACGTCACATGGTAAAACCTTAAATTCTGGCGCAATTTCAAACGATGTTTTGTTCTCGCGGCCATAAATTTTCGCAAGACTATCTGACTCCGAATCAGACGACGCGACATCTTCATCCGATGACTCGCCATTGGCAACCCACTTCGAATTCAATTGTTCCAAGGTATTTGCAGATGGAGAATCTGTACTCGTTCCTTTGTCTCTTTTACGTGAAAGTGCTGTGTCTCTTTTTCTTTTCGTCACTGACGTGCTAAAATTAAAAACTTATCATTAGCAGTTTTATGTGAAAGCAATTCTAATCAATCGAGCAGCAAGACAAAGCAGAATTTCCTGAATGTTTGTGACATAATGAGAATCCGAAACAAATATGAATATCAAATTTTGGCTCTAAAAAAATAGCGTCTTCACTACCTTAAGCTCTTCGTTCTTTTTGGTCTCTCGCGTCTTGTTTTTTCGTGTCTGAAAGAAGATCCATAATAAGAAAAAGGAGCAACGAATGGATTGCTAGATTGAAAAGGCAGACAGTATAATCACTGTCGTAAATGATAAGAAAAACATCGTAAATGACAAGCCGAGTAAGCCGACAATTGAAGTCACTATGGCAACAGCCTGGCAAATACATGATACTTGCGTGGCAAATGCGTTTTGCGCCACTCTCGGACTCGTGCACATGTTACGCGCAGTGTACACTGCATTTCTATTGCTTTGTTTTGTAGTGAATCTGTGTTCTTGAGAAATTCCGCCTTTTTGCAACTGCACAATTGAGCTTGATTTTAATAAAAGTCGTCAAATCGACCAACTTAAAATGAGCCAATTTCCACTCGGTGCCCAAGCCCGGTTCAAAATACAATTGTATCTGTTAAGCTTTCCACAAATCATATAACATAAATTCATATTTTCCACAATTGCTGTTGCAAATGGTCCTTGGGACATACTTTTAACAGAAAAACAAAAACAATGGTCTCCTTTATCAAACGAGATTGTAAAAACCAACAAATTTAGGGACCATTTTTCTGCCTAAAGTTGTTCAAAGCCTAGCAGCTAGCAATAAGTAGGAATATCGGATACTAAGTTATTTGATATTGTAAACTCGTATTCAATATGCTGTTATTTGCAATACATGCAACTACAGTGGCTCTCAAAAGTTGCAAAATGCAATATTTACAACGCACTCACCCAAAGCTGGCAGCTCTTCTCAGTCTGGAATCGCTAGCTAAATAAAACAAGCGAAAAACTTTTATAAATTTAACCTGCATCTTGAAACGATACGTAGCATATGTGAAGTTGGGAAAAGCTTAGCTAGCAGTGTGACGCTGTAAATGAAGGTGTGAGCCAGTTGCGGCTTTATTATTAAGCTGTCGCACACGCGTGTAAATGGGAAGAGCTGGCGCGAAAGAAATTCGCTTTTCCAAAGAGCGGAGGTGTCTATATTGCACCATTGCACTCAAACTCGAATATTTTTTTCAACATAAAATTGATTGATTACAATATACTGGTTAACATACTTATACTAAATATACAATATCCAAGTTAATTTGGCTAAATAACAATGGATTGTCAACCGCAATCTTTTATAGAACAGCAATGAAAACTAAACAATTTTAGGCTGATGGACACATGGAAAGAACTTTGGCAAGCTATCGAGCCATAAAAATAAGGTTCAGTGGTTGTGCGAAAGTTTTCACTTAGATGTTGGCGAAGATACCTTTGTATGGCAATGCTAAGCAATAACTGTTTTCTTAAGCAAACACACAGCTCTATTTTAATAAGAAACTTTGCAAAATCTCGGTGCGTGAGTTTTTAACTTTATACAGCCTCTTAGTAAAAACCTTATTACTACCCCCCAATTCGCTATGCAAAGCTCATTTACCATTCTTTGGGTCAACAGTTAAAGAAAACAACAACTTTTGTTGCAGGAACCAAAAATATAATAAAGCTAAATTATTAAACAATGCTTCCCGTTTGATGTGCGAGCATTGCAAATAATATTAGTAAAATCGGAAGAGAATTCAGTATTGGTGGCAGAAGTTAGAAGGCACAGAATTTACAGTTTGAAAAAAACAAATTAAACATTGAATGTTCGATAAGACAACGCAAAAAGTTGCTTAATTATATTTGAAACAGAGGAGATGTTATACCGCAATTTCTTAAATTATGAAAATATGCCGATCGACTTTCTTGTAGTGGTTTCTTAAATGAAAAGTGAGTGTAGATGGAAAAAGCTTTGGTAGCTTCGAAGCACGAAAATTTCTAAAAAACTGAAAACAATGATGTTTCAACTCGAAGTCATTATAGGTATTAACGACGACCAACCCAAAAACAAATGGAAGGAAAGCGAGCACAAATATAACCATGAAAAATAACTGTTATAATCTTTCCGGAAACACCAATGTTCTGGACTTAATACAAAGAGATATCCAAACCAAATGTGCGACATTGACTAACCAACAAAGAAATTAAAATGGTGCTTTGGCTCCAAGACAATCAGTTAGAAAAGAAAGGTGTTTGGCATAATTGAGATGTGTTGTGAAAATGTTTACGTGATATAAACAGCGACACAAAACAAGGGTGAAAAGAGTTAAGGTGGGTCTAACGATGCGCTTCAAAGCTTCTGACGATACAGCCGCTGCTTCCTCTCAGTGTACGCCACTAATGTTGTTATGAGCAGAAAACTGAAGCAAAAATTCTGATGTAGTTTTCACAAACTGCTATTGTAAGCGGCTTTCTAATAATAACAGCAATCATGATGATGTCATCACTGACCACATCTTTTTTCTACTCCAAGCCCTAGAATAGCTTTCTACTCACTGGGAAATTCCTCGTAGTCTCCTAACTTTTGCAGATACTATTTCGAATCAACTCCCCTTAAAAACAGTGCAAGTGCGCCACTTTAACGGAAAGGCACGAGAACCAGATTATTCTGCAAACGAGGCTTGCATCTTATAATAGTCTCACTTCAGATGCCACCTGTCATTTAAATACATTTGAATCTTCTTATGAGGACAAAGTTACGAGCTGGTAAAAACTTGATTAAAAACCCATATTCTTAAGCAAGGCATAATTACACCGCCAATTAAAGTTGGGTTTTTATGCAAAGAAAAAAGCACAGAAATTTCCCCGGTTAAAATGAACAAGAAAATTGATATAAGGAGACATTCTAGCCCTAGTTGGCGTTTTATGTTTTCGCAACATTTGAAATATCGGAGTGACAGCATCTTTTGCGTCTGTGTAAATGTAGTCCTGAGGCCAAAAATCAAAATAAAATCTAGCAAACATGAACGCTCAAACATACCTCCAAATTTGATTTTCTTTACTTCCTCCCCTTCCGACATTTTTTTAAGGATAGAAAGAGGCACGCAGCCAGATCTTTCACGGCTGAAACTCCTCACATTTACAAGCTGAGGGTTCTTCTTGTGTTTTGATACAAAAAATACGACGTCATTTTTGGTCACAGTCATTTCCTCCGACGACTGGGCTTGATAGTTTTCAAGCACAATAAACTTCTCTTGCTGTTTGGAGAGAAAACATTATTTAGTTTGTTTTCATGTGTAACGCCACAGGGCTTCACAACAACAAAATGGGCACGCGAATAACCACAACAGGGGCAGCCAAGAGCGTTTGGAGCGTAACAATATCAATATCAACAACTCATAAGGACATACTTTGTCCAGCTTTTCAGTCGAAAATCATTTGCTCTTGAAAAGACTGGCATGACTAAATAGACGAGGCTAGGAGGGAGACAGCTCCCCTCACCTCTAAGCAGGCAAAATTTATCCAACTGAGGCTCCATACGGGCAGCTCCATCTCAATGAAGCAATATAACATTGGAGCAAGACCCATGTTAAGCATCCCCCCCCCGCAAACCTGTAGCATCCAATATGCCAATGGGCTTGAGCATCATGCAGAAAAATTTCTGAAATACAACTTGAATTCCCGTTGCAAAAGATACCAATTATAAAACCTATTTTTTTAGAAATAAAAGAGTGTTTACAAATAGACATTATGGAAGTATCCAATGCAAACATTACAGCAATTCAACTTGCGCATTTATAACGAAGTCAACACTCACAAAACATAACACATACCATAGGAAAGGCCTTTGTCAAGTCTTCCAGCGACTTGGCAGTAGCTAACGGAATCAGCTTAACGTGCTTGAGGGTTGAAGTCGGCTTCATTGACAACTGGCTTCCCAAATTCACCTTCCCGAGCTAAAAATGCAAAAAAAATCCTGTTTACGTAGATCTAAAGCAAATAACTGGTGAAAGCAAGGCCACTACATTGCATGATACTGCTTGCGAAGCCTAGGGCCAGCCTACAGAATCGTTTGAGATCCCAGCAAAAACTAAATAAGAATCGCAAAATGAACATCCTTACATTGAAATCCGGTCTGTCACAGCGATAATTATCGCCACTAGATAGTATTTTAAAGATAGTAATCATTTTCCTTGTTGCAAAACGTCCATTTGATCTCAGTTAGAGAAGAGGGGCTAACCAAAGGTACCGCCGTGTATATTTGAAAAGTAAACATTCTGAAGTAAACAAAAATGGAAATGATCACTCTTGAAGAAATGCCGTTAAAGTAAACAAAATTCGGTTGATAAAGGCCATGGCTAATCCTCCAGCATTCTGTGCACACTGAAATGGCGACGAAAAAGTTCCTCTCCCGAACAAAAAGTGCTTATTTACTCATTTGCTTTTAACTACCTCTATGTATATAAACAGACCTAATGCAAATTATTTCAAATAGGGAATCCAAAGAACTCAACCTGCTAGCGAAATTTGTGCATTTCCTGAAGTCCGTTGAGCTAGCTTACGGAATTGACTTAACAAAGCATAGTACAAAATACATGAAAGTACAAAGTATACAAGGACACATCTGAAAATACACAGTATTTCTCTGAAGGTTTTAGCCTGTTGCTTACGGTGTTTGATTTGACTTCAGTTTGGTTTGAAGATTTGATCGAAATCCTGTCATCTTCCACAGAATGTTGTCTACCAGATGGCAACTTGGTAGGGGAACCAGATCTAGAAGGGATTGGAAACTCTAAAATAAGTAAACGAAAATCGCAGACAAAAGAGAAGCATTTAGTTTCTGGAATCTAATAACTGGTAAATTTAATATCATGTATCATAGAAAAAAAAACAACTGGAGAAGAAGGGTCAGGAAGATACAAAAGATACTTGGAAACTTGATGAAACTGCTAGGTTGACTAGATCTGTTTGTAACAACACAAACATTTCCTTCTTTATCCCATAACAGACAAAATAAAGATATCTGCTTACAGTGAATGTTGTTACAGAGGGCAAAAAGCAAATTTTTCAAATCTTATAAAAAATGACAAACTGAAGCTTGATTACTCTTACCGATTTATTCTTTCCAAAGATTCAGTCTTTTGTTGGTAGGCTATCGGTTGTTGCAACGCTGCGTAAAAAGATCATATTGATGATATGAGTACGATTAAGTGGTTTTTAAACACCACTTTGCCATTCACAGCGTTTATAAAAACCACGCAGCCTTGCAATATTTAATGGTAAGGCAGAAGGTCGTTTGTTTAATTGTAGACTTGCATACTTTATAGTAAGGAATCGTTATGTAAGAACACTTTAACTATATAGCGATTTACGTCGATCGTGGTAATTTGTTATGCAAACAGCAAATGATTGTGAAAGCGTAACACCAAGTCTTATGACATAGGTTCAAGAGATTGTAGGAGTTTGAAATCTAGAGGTTTTAGTTTTAAAAATTAAGACAATCAACATATAACGGTGAATGAAACCCTCTGTGACCAGGCATCTATACGTTTGTGATTACTGAAGTTTAAGATTTAAACGATATATGAATAGGAATGTGATATACCTCCGTTAAATGTATGCTCGTGCTTTATTAGCGTCATTGACGGTTCCATATTCGATTCTAAAATAGGACAAAGCTGTTTCTTCGCTTTAAGTTTACCAACACCCTTCTGTTTATAAAGGAATTTTTAGTGAACAGTTTATTTAATTTAGGTTATCTTTTTGTTACTAAATATTCCATTTAAAAAATTGTATTTCATTTAGTTTCACTCCATTCACGTTGCATCTTATAACTCTTGATTGTCAATTCTTTGAATCATTTTAAGTACAGTTTTTAATGTGCATTTGAAGTACGTTCATGAAAGGGGCTGAGCATTATAAGGGGCTGCATGACAAGTCACAAAGAATCGTCAACATTATATTCCACACATTATATACAGATGTACATATGTTAAAACAATGCAGTACCAACCTTTCACGAGATCAAGCTGAGTCTCCAAGATGCTCCTAATTGCCTCGACCCAGGCCTTTTTAATGTTCGGCGATTTTGCAGTCAGGAAGTAGAGCTCTGAGCCTCCAGCTGGGTTTTTGGTCCAAATTGCAAATTTGTTTGGGTCTTCATCGATGTTCTCGGTAAGGCCCAAAGTATTAAGCTACGAGATTTAGCGATCAATTAGGTCATCCTCGAAACTAAAATGGACGCGAATATCATTCTGTTGTTCATTTACCTAATTGTTAACATCAATTACCGCCATTGTACTTAACAATTACAGACCGAAGGAATCTTAAAAGCCTTACAGAAATTACAGACTGAAGGTGACCATTTAGGCCACAGCTAATAGAAAGAGTTGTGCTTCCTGTCGGTAATCGGAAAATCCAAGACGAGGCGATAACATATTTGATAAAAAGTCGTGGAAACAGAGACAACAAACTAAGAAAGGAATTGGAAGATCAACTGTTTAAAATGCGTACCTTGATCCCGTGTCTATAAATAAAAACGGTAAAGTCACTGTGCCTCTCGAACGGTTCTGAGAACACAAGAAACTGCTCAAAGAGAAAAAGGCGACGTTCCTGCGGCTTGGTTCGGGATTTTGCATTACACACAAACATGCTTTCCTGAAAGAAAAATGCAGAATTGTTATCCAAAAACTCAGTAATGCTTACAACTTACGACGAATGAAACTGGCAAAATGATAATTCTGAAGGTTCATAAATAAGTTAAATACCTGAATGATAAGCTTGCCTTGAGCATTCAAATCACCCTGAGTGAGCAAAAGAAATGTTGTGTTAGTTGCTATGCTAAAAAACTAACAAGGTGCAAAAACATGGAATAGCAAGATAGTTATAAGAGAATTAAGTACTTTAAGACAGTAACTCTTAGACAGATAGTAAGCTTGTGTTAGACTCCTAGAACAAAAGAGGTAAAACGTTTTGATTTGAAAGGGGTGTAAGAAGTTTCCAGCTTGTAGATATAATTAAAAACCAAAATAACGCAGCCTCGCGATCATACCCTTCGTTAAGAATCAACAAAGAGCTCACATTTGGTAGGGGTGACGTTGTGAGGTGTTATGGGCTGGCAGCTGCCTCTTTCAGCAGTTCAAATTACACTTGTATGAAAGTCGAAAAGTTTAGAAAGGAATGTAACAGGGATTGTCATTTCACTCATTTTAAAAAACATCCTCGAAAAGGGCCTCGAAAAGATCAGCCTATAAAGTGAAATATTGCGCAGGCATATACTTGTTATTTGCCCGCATTAATATTAGTAGCATTTCCATACAACTATCGGCACGTAATTTTCTCAGCTTTTGGCTATTTATTATTTTTCAGCTGGCGGTTTGTGATATGTCAATTACAAAGACTGCACCCGTAATTATCCCCGAAATCAATAAATTATCAAACGGTATACTCACCGAGAAGCCTTCCAGCATTCCAACATGCATGGTGTCGTTGGCTTGCTTAGGAACATTCTGCATGATGTCGAGGGCTCTCTGGATGAAAACATATTGCACACATGAGCAAATATTCGAATGTGAAAATAACATCAAAAGAAACTTTGCATTCATATGCCTAGAAATTGAACCGTTTTGATAGTTTTTCCAAAATATTAGGGCAGTGATCAATTCGATTTATTCTTGTTTTCAGCTATGTTTGGTCTTTGAAAAGAGAACGACAGAACGAAAAATCAAAGCGAATGTATTGCACACAAAAAAGGGAAATTGTTTACCTTGAGCTCTTTCGGATCAATGCCTGCTCGAACAGTATACTTTAAACAGTCCTAAAATGACAACAAGTTTCTTCATTTTCCAGGAATTAATTCAAGCAAAACAGGAAACTTTAATTAGCTTACTTTCATTGTGCAATATACAAATTTCATTTTGTGTCATACATGTACAAGCATAGAATAGCAGAAGACTCACCTTAATAAGTATTTGATACTTAGTAATTCTTTGCACTGGTTTGATGAGGTAATCATTCAGACTTAAACGATGGCCAAATTTGGTTTTCAGCTCCTGTGAAAAAACATTACAAGCAAACTTTTAATTTGACAAATATATTCAAAATACTGAACAAATTTTAAAAAGCAATGCAGTAAGTGATAAACGAAAGGGTAATCTCATAAAACCAATCTTTTATCCTGAAGGCTTTTCTTCTGCACCTATTGCGCCGAGTATGAGTACTTGACAATAGCCAAACATTAAGCATATAATGAAAAACTAAGATAGTTTACAATTTGAAATGATGAAATGAAGCCATAGATATACCTCAAAGTAAGAGTCAAGGTGATCGTGCAGCAGCCGCATTGACTTTGGCTTGTGCTGGCAATATGTTAAGTACATTGCCCATTTCTTTTCCTGGGGATGAATCGCGCAGGAAGTAAGCAACGACGTGAAAGAGAATAATTGGACGGGTAGGTTCGAAACAAATTCAAGAAAAATTATGACTAATAAACTGACAAACAAAAGGTTCTTCGTGTATAATTTCTTGGCATTCCAGCTGGTTCAAAAGTGGCAACACACAGAAAATACGTTGCGAATTACATCGTTAACCGTGGAGCAGGGAAGCAATGCAAATACAAAATGGCACTTACTGCCTTGCACACAATCACACCAATGTTCTCTGCTGTATCCCCAACTTTCTCCAATTCCGGAAGGAAATAACTGCGAAGAAAGTGTTGCTTTAAAAGAAGATCGGTTTTCGTTCGCATTTCCATTTAGGGCAAAAAGGTTTCACGTATTATAGACTTTGTAACAAATGAAATGCATTAAATCTTTCTAAAACAGGGTACGGTCTTTACAAAAGATTTAAGTTTCCTAACTTCATTTTAAAATTTTCTTTAAGTTTCCTAACTTCGTTTATCAATAACAGCAAAATGCATTAATACCTTTTGTGGAAGTCATAAATTTCTTGAATGTTTCCAAAAAGTAATCTTTCCTTGTTCCTGAGTTCTTTGGGTGTGGTTGCACTAGCAAAGCTGGGCATGTATTCCTGTGAATGAGACAACATATTTCCTGATTAAACATTGTTCCCATTCGAAACAAACTTGTACGGAAAAGAAGGACCATAGGCAGACTGTTTTGATAAGGGTTTAATGTAAGCACGCTACTGTCAACAATTATACGAAGTACGAAAAAGACAGAGCAAATAGCCATGGTTAACCATTCATAAGTTTCATTTTTATTTCGTTACCTTGACTACAGCCTCTAAATCATGAATGTAATCCTGCTCAGTCTGGATAAGCTCTTTCAGAACAAAACTGAAATAGAAAATGCTGATATATGAAGATTTGAGCAGAGGTAAAATTTATTAATAGCAAAATGTCATTATCAAGACCACTAAGAAACCTCATCAAACAAACCACTCGTATGCTGAACCTCGTTGTGTCGCATCACTGGTAACTCTTGACTTTCATTGAGTTGCGCTGATTTTCAATTCCTATCGTATTTTCCTACCTTATCAAAGTCAAAAGAAGTGCCAAAGATGGGTCGATTCACTTATGCCTTTGAAAGTCCGACTTAACGGGTTAAAACTGTAATCTTAGAGCGAAGGCAACATAAAGAACAAATGTGCTGAGGTCACTTTTTTGTAATATTCTTTTGGTAAAACAACTCACTCTCTCTTCTTCAAAGCGGATTTCTGGGCGTCAGTTCCGTTTAGTGCTGGTATTACCGATTCGTTACTGTCGCTGTCAGAGTCTCCTTCTGATAAATAATCGTCTTCTTGGAAACCAGCGTCCTCGACATCGAGGCTAATTCGCTTCTTCAGTGACTGGTTTCTTTTCTCTCTAGGGACCTGCAAAAAACAAAATAGTTTATAATTTTTTTTCTCGTATTAAAATGTAAAAGATATGAATTTCAAAGATGGAAGTATAAAATTAAACTGAAGTGGACGTACCCGGTCCAGAGTAGCGGATCGGTGAATTGTGTCTCCAGTTGGCCGAAGCAAAAGGTCGATATCGTTGCGAGGAGCTCCAAGCAATTGCTAAAATCCAAAACAAAGATAAAATGAGATGCAAACGATTTAAGGACAAATAAGCATATACGCAAGCAAAAATGTGTCACTTCGTATCATTTTGCTAAATGAAACTGGAAATGAAAAGGTGATGCGTGGCCAACCTGCAACTTCTTGGAGCCGCCTCCTGATGTTGTTGTCGTTCTGCTTGGAAGAGGCGGTAGGGGTGATTTGCTTGCTGCTGACATTAGCCGCCTTCCAGCACTCTTTGACCATGTTCGCATTCTGATGAACGAAATGGTCCATATTATACTTTTTTGAACAATTTAGGTTATCATTTTGTTAAAAATTTATTGTTATTAATTTGAAAGAAATTGTTTGTCAAATGCAGTAGAATGAAGAGTAGGTATTATTAGTGCATTGCCGCAATTTTGCTTGGACAAATACCACAATTTGAATAAGCACCAAGTTATCCTATGACAAGCACGAGATGAATTTTATTGCTAAAATGGTGCCTTTATAAATACACATTATCTTAATGAATAAATGGAAAAGGACATACTTCAAAGTGCCCAAATTAACAGATTTACTTCTCCGTCGTGACGAAGGCGATACGCGTCCTGAAGATGTGCTGTCGGATGACTGGTTCATTGACTCTAAAAAAGAAGGGGCTTTTAACGTGTCACGAAGCTCTCTCCAACGATGCACCAACAGGCTTTTCGCTGAATTGAAATCGTGAGATTGGAATGGGTTCTACGAGGGTATAGTATGATTCCAATTTCATATGAATTGCTATTAGGATGGAATTATTATGTGAAAAAAACTTAATAATTTCTAAAAATACAATTTAATAAAGCAACTCGACTAAACAATACCCTATCCGGGACTCTAGAAACGGTAATCAGAGATAATCTGCTCCTGCAGACCCTGGTGCTAATGGGTAGGTGGAGAACTAGTACATTCAAACCCTCCTAAATAACATCAGGCCACGGACAGTATATTTCAGAAATTGCAGAGACAAACAATTTGATGCTCCTAGAAACGCTAAATCGGCATTTGAAAACGAAGAAATGTCAAAACCAAGCCTAACGCACCTTCACTGCTGTGACTATTCAGCGTTTCCACCGAGCTGCGCTTTACTGGCTTGCCGTTCACAGTCCCATCTTCGTACTTCCTCAGCATGCTATACGGCACCAGGCCCTCCTGCAGGACATCGCCTTTCCGCCTGACCCTCCAGACCTTACTCCCTGCAGGTTTTGCGAGAACTTCCACAACCTGGCCTTGATCTAACGCCAGTTCACTGGGCCCATGTGGCTTATAATCTGCTGTTAGAACATAAAGGTCGAAAAGAACCTCCGTGCCTCCACTCTGTTGAACAGAAAGGAGGCAGTTAATACATACAAGAACTCACGGGATCTGTAGCAACTGCTTCCTACATAATTTCCATAAGATACTCGTCTAAAAATAGCTCGAAGTTAATTCGAAAATAACAAACTTTGGCCAAAAATAATCAAATTTGAAAACCGAAAAACGCAAACTCCAGCAAAGTTTCAATTTACTGGCAACATCAGTTTAGATATTTGAAAAGCTCTATAATAAACCCCAACGTATGGATCCCTAAATCTATTTTAACATATAACCAGCCTACATGCGGTCACAATTTCAAGACCCCATTTACACAATACCGTATACAATTGAAAAAGACGCACTTTAATTAGACTTTCCCAAGGCCTATTTTTGTTAAACCCGTAAGGCATTTGCACTACTGCGAGTGTCAATCTAAACTGCGAAGGAGATAATAAATTTGCCCTCGCAGTATTACCACTGTCTGGTGGAATTAACCAAAATAGACTTTGGGACTTTGGGAAAGTCTGCTTGTGAAAAGACTGAATCCATTTAGGGCCTCGTTATGAAAAAATACTGCAAACTCTTCGGTACTAAAAATTTGAATCCAGGTTCTTACTGTTGACCAGCATTTTGGTCCAATCTAAATGATTGTGGTGTGGACAAGTATCTTTCATATTGATAACAGTGCACACGTAATAAATGATTTGATGGCATTAAGGTAAAACTTTTACAAGAGACTTGACCGTGATTAGCATTCGAGGGTAAACACTTTTACCCTTGATAATTTTCGCGGTTAAATTCTTTAAAAGTTTTCCAACCTTGTATATCGTCAAAAATCTACAACCAAAACACAATACGAAGATTGTATCCTGACCAGGAGTTCGTTGCAATTACCAAAATGATGTCGAAATCTTAATTATTGAACAAATGTGTAAACGGCGAACATGTTATGATATCGTACGGTATTCAATAAAGCATGGCATCGTGCAAACTGGGTCTAACTTCAATTTGTGCGTGTAAATGTTTCTTTGTCACTGTTCCATTAAGTATCACGATTTCAAAACATATTTATGTACCGCAGTCTTAAAGAACTCAAGGTCTACTATTTATTTAGATAGATTAAGAGAGCATGTGATTCTAGGTATCGAAAATAACGATCCGTATCTACTCCGTTGATCCAGCTGGGAGGCGCAATTCATGGCGTTACACCTATTTCAAAGTAAATCATACTTTAGAGGGACCATTCAGCATTAAAATTAGCGTGATGACTCAAAATGGACGACATATAGTTCAAGTCATCACGTTCATTTTAAATCTGTTCGACAAAATGTAGGCGTAGGCCCATGACTTTGTCCTGCAGTGCGATTACAAGTTGCTTAATATTGAGAAAGTTCCTTACCGCTAAATCATAGGTACTCAAAGTGGAGGTCCCCGAGTCGACTCCTATCCAGGCACATTTGAGAATTGGCATTGTATTTCATAACAGTATTTTCATCAATCTTGGACATGAATCCTGCTTGAGCGAGCGACCCTTTTTGCTGTGCTCAAATCCTATCTTCTCCTGTACAAATGCCTTGTTTATCCGCAATTTTATAATCAGTCAACGGTTGCTAATCTTTTTGCCTCGACGTCATGGTATTAACGGATAAACTTATTCAAATAATTAAGAGGACAATGCCTTCATTTTCAAAAAGAAGAGATTCCGCGCATATCTCTTTAAAAATAAAAAACAAAAGACAACAAGAGTCTGTTGGGCGAAACGTTAAACTACACTTCCTGTGTACGTCACTTTGTTATCAAACAAAAACACACAACACAATTCATTGCTGCTTGTTTGGTTTTGGCAATGATAAGGCCAGTAACGCACCAGTAACGAAAAAGACACTCACTCGAATAAGCCCCACTGCTACAGTGAATCCTCGAATCGTTGATTTTTACCATCTGAAGTTGCTTTTGACGTTTATTGAATTACCACACAAATTCATATTTTTGGCAATAATTATTAAATGTTCATAAAGAAATTCCTACTAAAATATATGAAGTCTTTTAATAATGTCTTCTTCATTATGTACAGCGAGTTCCAGAAAATTTTGTTTTTCTAGCAGTTTTGTCACCAAAATCTGGGAATAAGCCCTCTCCCTCGTATAAGCCCCCCACGAATCACTCCCCATAAAAAATATCAGAAATAAATAAGCCCCCCCCCAGGGGGCTAATTCGAGGATTTACGTAACCGGCAACTTCATCTGGTATTTGGTATTTAGAACGGATCGAAGAGGCTTGCCTTAACACTAGCAAATCAATAGTTATGAAATTGGGGTCCTTACCTCTAAGCCTTGTTTACATTTTTTTCAAATGAAAAGTTTTCAAATTATTGCGGCCGCCAGGCCCCCTTCTGGCTACCCTTTGAAATGTTCAATGCTGCAAGATCAGGGCCGTCGCTAGCTATTGTTCTCAAGGGGTGGGGGGGGGGGGGGGGGGGGGGGGAGCGTCGCTAGCTATTTGCGGACAAAGTTGGTGAATTGTCTGAAAATTTGCCGACGAAGCACCCCTAGATGGCAAAAACTCGAAATTTTTCCAAGGGGGGTGTCACACCCCCACATCCCCGTAGCGACGGCCCAAAAAGATATTTCTTGCATTGGCAATCGTAAGTGTTGCATAAAGAGACGGATGGCCATGCACTGATTCTCGGCTAAAGCAATGCAACATTATGTTGCAAAAATGATTGTAATAAATAAGTCATACATGTACATCATTGGCCAGAAAAGATGCACAGTTAAACTGGGGTTTCTTCAAGGCAAATGGCTGTTTCTAGATAAAAAATTTGCTTTCACATAAAGCGGAGTATAGGAAATGGCTGTTTCTCTTGATGTTGATTGGGTTTGGGTTAAATTCTTGAGATTTTGTCTGTTTTTGCAAAGTTTCTTTCTTTCTTTTCGCAACTAAACTCAAGTGACAATTTTACAGTACTGACTGGATATTAACAGGATCTACAATCTACCATAAGTAACAAAATCTTAAGACTTATTTTTGCTCAACACAGTGCTCTCGATGATTGTCATATTTGAGATGTCTTGGACGGTGCAATTATAAAAGCATTAAATCTAACACAGAGTAACTCACGCTATTCACAATTTCAAGTACTAACTGGATATCGCATCATTAGTCAATACAACATTGAGTTTTCCCGTGATTTCCGAGGTGATTTCCTACGCTGAAGTACACAGGGCATTTCCTTTTACAGGAACAGCACGATTTTGAGCATGCAGAGAAAAAGAATGACCCTTGTCTAGAACAACGCCATTCAATCCAAAAAATATACAACGTTATTTTGGGTTGAAAAAAAAAACTTGGCAGAAAACAGTTGACGATTCAATACACAATGCAAGAGTAACGACACTGCCATATATGCAGTCATAAGCATCGTGCACGTTGAGAGACTGAAGCGAACATACCTTGCTGCTGATGGTGGAAGAGTCGAAATCAGCCGAATGTCTCACATCGCTCATCACAAGGCTACAAGGCAAAAATCACACAAAATAACGAACAGCAGAAAAACCTCTACGCGAAAAATTTCCTTTCGTCTATAGTTTCGCTTTGTTTGAAGATCATAAAGCAAATTTTGAAGATCATAAAGACACCAATATCCAATATGTGAGTAGCATCCAAAATATGCCATCACAATTAGTCATCAAATTTATTCACCTAGAGTGGAGCAAATGCTAGAACTGGCTCTAAAACAATTCGGCAAATGTTTTCTTCTAACAAAACGTGTTTTACAGCAAAAACGTATTTCCTGCTGTTGTCTAAGTTTGCACTCAAACCCAGTTACTCAGAAATGAACGCAAAAACTGCATACTGCTAAGCTGAAACAGTTGGTCACCTACTGTGAAAAACGTTTGTACAACGAACAGTGAAACATCCTCAACACTTGGCAGTTAGCAAATTAGTATTTGGCGATCAATCAAAGATCAGTGATAAGTCAATGATTAACCACAATGTCTGCATCATCAGCTGACGATAAGTAGATGATTTAAATAAAGTTTAGGTCTTAACATTCTACAAGCCGCCGCAAAAGCGACCTCTAGCTAAGCTATGCAGAAGTTGAAATTCAAATGGCAACGCTAAAACAAATCCCTGCGTTGATTTGTCCAATCTTTTCATAAATTTCTCTCCACGAATGCTGATTTCTAGCAGTAATTTAAAAATGTCATCAAAGCTCGTACGAAAGTGCCCTGTTTCTATTTGTTTTCTTTATTTTAGATTGGTACAATGTTTCGCTACACTAAAGCTTATTAAAACTAATAAAAAGAATAACATAAACATATGGTGTCTTCGCCTATCGAATGTTTCCCTTAATAAATGCCGCCTTTTCACAACACTGCTTTGTGGCTTGAGGAGAGTAGTAAACAATGTAGGAATGGTAATTCACTTCCCGGTAACTTTCCATTTAAAGCAAATTGTGTCATCTGCCTAATAAAGGTGGCATTAACCCAGACATTTAATGGGAACATCACTTAAAGGTCAGCGGTGCAGGTTTGTGAAACGAACAAAGAAGCCCTTTTGAAGAATTTCACAAATAAACAATAGCGAAATTTCACAAAAATAATGATTCTGGTTGCAAAGATGATTCGATTTTGCTACTGGAAGACAAACTTTAACAGTCAAAAGGCAACATCTGCGAAACATGCTTTCGGGAGATGACCTCCACCTAGAGGAATGTAGAGGAGGGGTTCAAGAGGCATCATGGCCCATTGTACCACCAAATTTAACCTGGCTGCTCCACTGTACCACCTCGACACTCAAGTTAATAGGACAGAACCATTTGGTTCCATTAATTCTTGGATAAAACTAAAGCCTGCACACTTGAGCAAAAAGGGTTGCTATTAACCGTAAGGCTGCATTACTGCGTGACAGGGGTTACTAGGACCCTTAACGATCTTCACAGATCAGAGAAATCAACTGACAGTTGCGGGTCGTTTCCTACTTACCCTCCTTTGTTTCCACAGTTAGCGTTCTCTTCTATTGCGAGTAAAACAATCTGCTGTGGACATGATCTCGAGCGTCCGAACCTCTTCATCTTTATTGACTGGACAGCTGTTGTGTTAGTATCGTATTTAGTTTCGAAGAAATTCAACTATTTTCATCCTCCACTCAGTCAAAAACGAATACAAAGCTCGAGACTTCGCTCCCGTTCACAACTACTTGTAGTAAATTTCTATTTTTTGTGGAAGGCTGTCCCGATAATAACCTTTGGCGACTTCCATCCGAAATTCTTTTGAGTCTATGAACAAAGGATAAGACTAGCCTCCCTTTCTTGTCGCTGTAATGTAATTGGTTCAGGGGCCTCTTACAGCTAAATCCTATTTGAAACTGTTAAAGTACCGTTCTAAATCCGACAATGTTAAACTTATTCAAGGGAAGTCTGAATCTTTGAGTCCTCAACAAATCGAAAGCTCATTCTTCCCATTTGCTGCAGCGTCGACGGTAGAAAATGTAAAGAAAAGCCACTTTCCAGAGCCCATAGAAAAGGCCACCTTTCCGCTGGACAATACTTCTAAGCGATGAAAACCTTTCCACAAAACCAACGAAAACTGGGCGGGGTTTGGCTGTGGTACTTCAGCTTCAATTGCTTTTACTGGATTCCTTCACGGTCGTTGACTGCCTGGCCACCATGTTTTCAGGGCTCTACAGTTTTCAAGGATGCCGGAACGACTAGGGAGCAGTCCGCAGTATGTTAAAGGGGCACAATCATCAATCTTCGTCTTTGTCCTCTCTGATGTTGGCAACGCCCTGCTAGGAAATTTCTTTTTAAATGCCATCATGAGGGGATCAATAAGATCATTTAGGTCCCTGCTTCACAATTTAGGAACAAGTGTCGTCCTGTGTACTCAGTTCTTTTCACCACAATAGCTTCATGAATAAGATTTTCTCCATCGCGTTTTTTCGTAGTTTCTTCTGATTCGTCAATTGAAACAAATTCTTCAACTGCTGGCAATTTCCAAATTATTAATAACAGTGCTTTCGAAATGGATGGTATGAAATACGGAAATAGTTTCTACCATTTGATTCAGGACATCTTTGAGTACAAATATAACCGGATACTTGATTGAACGGGACGGTGAAAAATAAGAAAGTGAAAAAGGACATAAACCGCGGAGGTGAAAATGGTTATTTTTATTGCGTCTGCAGAACTCAAAGTAACACTCGCAATAATCATTTTGATTTAAATTTTGATGTAAGAAAGCTCGCCACCAATCCATGGTTTTCCATTCTACCTTCACAGGTTTGTTTGATCATCTTAAAGGGAATTTTCATGACGATGACGACGATGATAATTATGATCATGATGATTATGATTACTTGAGCCAGCAATAACAAAGTTTAAAGCAGAAAAAACCCGGAGCGCCTATCAATTGCTATCAATCAAACATCGTTCCATATTTCCAAACTGCAATGATGAGCGTTTACCAGTTTCTTTTCGTTTCTTTGTCCTGGCATTTTTTTTGTAACCTTTTTAACTTCTTTCACAGTGAAACAATATAATATTTTCCCCCAAGTATTAAAGGTCCGTGCAAGCCCGTGCAAAACGGTACAGAACCAAGCATGACCGAGCTGGTCCGAGGCAATATTTTAAAGGAATGACAGTAGATTAGATTGAGAAACACTGCTGACAGCCTTTCTTCGTAAGCAAAGTTGAACCGCTCTTCAAGTCACTATAGTATCCTCTATGTCCTGTCTCATCCTAATGATGACATATATGGACTCCTGTCGAAACTGTGACGAGGTGGATACTATTTCAATGCTCAATCGAACTGTTTCTTTTCTACTCTGATTCTCTATTCTATTATAACTCTTAAACCTTGACCAGATGCTCTATTCTATTATAACTCTTAAACCTTGGCTTGTTATTCGACAATTCACCAGTTCTTTATTTAGAGATCTTTATTCATTTAGAAATATATTCTATATTTCTGCATCTTAATGTCTGGAGTAGCCGGCACTCACGTGGAGCTTCTGTGTTCATTAAGAAACTGCTCGTTGTTAAGGAAATAGAGCAAATAAAGTTCTGTTAAAATTATTCAGTACTTTTGTGTTTACACTTGTTCAAAAAAATGACTACATACCTGGTGGTATCAGTTGATGAAGAGCTGTTTTTCTTCTTTTTACGGGGCGATGTAGGATAAAAAGAAGCTGAAAATAAACAAATACAGTTAAAGTCCAGTGGCTTGAGAAGGGCAATGAAATCACAAATCGTGTTTTGTACTGCAAGCTAAGTGAAAAGAAGCAAAATAATTGATAAGATATGAAGCTGCATAAAAACCGGAGAATCGGGAATTGTAAGAAATAAAGTTTAAGAGATATTGATAGGCTACTTGAAATTTGAAGACAATGTAAAAAAGGTTGGGCCTAGCAGTTGACGGAAGAGACAATAGAAACGCCAAGAGATCAATTTCGTGTCAACAACAGAAATTACAGTTCGAAATATCTTACTTCTTGGTGGTAAAATTCCAAAACGAAACTGCTGTATCAGCTCTCGGAGTTCTTTTACCCAGGTTTGCTTAATGATGACAGACTCAGCCTGAAACATATAATTCTTCAAGTAAATCAAGGTTTGCGAAATCGTAGAGTTTCCTAGCAACTCTATAAAATGCTGAAATAAACCAATTCCATTGTTTCTTTTACCAGGAGCTGTTCATATGCAATCATATTGTTATCTAAAAACCTATCAAACATATTTAACGGCGATCACAGAAAGCACTTGTAATTACATTAGAGCAACCAATTTTACAGAGAGCGATCAACTTTTTAAGCGGCTATGGGAATGAAAGATGGCAGCAAAACAATAAAACGTAAAAGTACCTTAATAGTTCTCTTGTCCTCCGTAAAAGGTGGTTCTCCAGTCCACACTGCAAATTTGCATGGGTCTTCAGCCAAATGCTCTGTGATTCCCAGCTCACTTGTCTGTGAAAAAGTTCCTGGTCTTAAACAATGTACGAAGTTTCTAAAAACAAGATCTATTTCTTGTACTCATTCCAAAACCACAGACTGCAAGCGAGACTTCCTAGCTCGGGTAACTATGCACTGTCGTGGACAAAGGGTCAACCGGTGGTCATCTGAAGATTTAGAGTGCACGATCTCAAACGAAAACTTCAATAAACCGGATAAGGGTTTAAAATATTCTTCGAGGGTGCAGACTATTTCTTTTTGGACAAAATCCTAAGTAATATGTAAGGTATGTGAGTGTTGTCTATAGACGTGCAATAAAACGTGAGCTAGTTACCATGGACGTATGATAGTCCTTAAATTGAAAGTTGTACGGTAAAATTATTCTAAACTGCATTTTGAAAAGAGCAATAAAAATCGTCTAGATACGACGGTCTTAAATTTACTTATATTACTTAAATTTCCAAGTAGCATAATTTTCCAAATACGATCGTTATCGCCTTATGAACAACTCGCTCACCTTTAACTTGCTTTTATAAAAATATCTAACTTTCCCGTAGCTATCTTTCTGCTCCTTGCTGAAGAGCAGCGCTTGCTCAAACAAAAACACGTGTCGTTCTTTGCCCTTTCGTCGATTCTTTGTATCACTGACAACAAATGAATCTTGAAGAAGTATCTTTCCAAGTGTTTCTAAACTTCCTTCCTATAAAAAAATATGTTATGTAACTACCTTCAAATCTCACAAACAGTCATAACAGATTTAGGAAAGGATCGAATTTTTGCCTACCTAATTTTCCCACAAATGGCAAACGACCTACATTGTTAAAATTATGCATCCCTCTCCACCCAGTAGAAATGGCCACTAAACACGACTCACTAAACTAAACACCGATTTGACTCCTGCCGTTTTCGACGTGTCAGACTGTGTCAAACGTCTCATCTGTACAGGATTCCAGCTTATTTTCGCCATAGTTATGGCGTAGCTATGGTCGGTGCTATTTAAGTGACTTGGTTCCAGTACCCGCGCCAGTACCCAGTTTACACGATCACATTCTGTGATCACATAAAAAATGTGATGGAAATTGTACCGGAATATGATCGTGTAAACTGGCCTTTAAAAGAAGCATTCAAGGGCAGGATAGGGTTAGGGTCTGTTTCGTAAAATTTCCGGTGAATCAAACTACATAGCTCAAAAATAGCAAGAAGTTCCCAAAATAATAGCCCCCCCCTCCCCCGACGGATACAATTCGAGGATACAATTAGATACAAAAAATTTTCTTACATTAAATCCTTCAATCATGCACAAATACATGGTGTCATTTGCCTGTCGTGGAACACTCAACATCACATCAAGTCCCGCCTGCAAATTAAAAAAATTAACAATTTTAGGAAACTTCTTTAAACTGCCTATTACCCTGAAGTTGCCTAAAAATAGGGAGGGGTCAAAACAAGCAGGGGGCAGAAATTCCAAGAAAGACGTAACAAGGGAGGGGGGTCGAATAATAACAAAATTACACGGTAAAAATAAGACAAGAAAGAAAATCGATAAACAATAAACAAAACAGCAAAACATTTCACAACAAAAACCACTCTTTAACTTTATTCAAACTTTTAGAAAATAATCTTTTGTGAAATACTGGAAGATTTCCAACAAAAATATTTGTTCGGTCAACTCTCAAGGTCAATGCCCAACAAATTAATAAACGGGGGTGTCATGAAAAAGCGGGAAGAGGGGCGTTGGAAAATTAAACCTTGTGAAAAGTTCAATAAACGGAGGCCGTTTACTAGGCACCTATGAGTATGGATTACTCGTATTTGATACGTAAAAAGAAAAAAAAAGCCTAAATATGGAAAGTAGAATAAAAAAAATCAAGGAAGTTGATTTATATTTAGATTATATTTAGAGTGACAGCAAACCTGAAGTGTTGAATGTGGGTCATCACAACATGAGATCAACTCCTGCCAAAATGAATTGAACATTTTGAATAAAAACTTGAATTATCAAATTACGTAGAATTTACCAAATTACGCCCATTTCCATTGTTTATTTTCCAATTTATCAGTTAAACAATTGTCCTTTCTCGTGTTTGATCCTTTGTGAAACTGGCACGTTTGGAAACAGCGAGCAAATGCTCACAGCTTGGATTATCACAGCACGCTTACTGTTTCTCTTTCGTTCTTGACGAAATTTGCAAAGCAAGAAAACTTTTACTCACTACATATTTTCAAAGAACTCGAAACTGCTCCTTCTCTTTCCCATGGTCTGGTAAAAAGCTTGCGTTTTTTTAATGCAAGAACAAGGTACAAATGTTTTATCAATTTAGGGAGAAGGTTTGGTAGTGCCAGAATATGGTGCACGAGTCAAACAAAGTTGAATTCGAAAGAGCTCGAGTGAGTTGTGTATGACTGAATTTCTGAAAACTATTCACAGACCTTCATTTCTTTATGTAAAATCCTAAACAAACCATCAGACAACAAGTCAATAAACAAAAATGTAACAAGAGTGCAAAAGATGGCGTACAGGCATTTGACAAAAGTACTTCGGCAACAGTGTGAAAAAACTTACACACCTACTGCATCATTTGCAGAGATCAGGTAATGGAAATCAAATTGGAAAATCAAATAATACTGACCTTAAGCAATAACTGGTATTTTGTGATTCTCTGTACTGGTTTGATAAGATACGCAGCTATAGATAGCGCCAGGCCACGTTTTACTTGCAAATCCTGTCAGAATCAAAGTGAAAAGTTAAGACACGTGGACTCTCCAAAACATTGCCCAGTCAGATTACGGAATATCCAAGGTGAGCCATCCGGTCAGTGACGTGGGGAGCCTTGCAAATGCCCTAACGTACAAACCGTACCATACCCAACATAACAAGGGTTTTAGTAAGAATTTTGTCAATTCTTGTCAAATAAAATGCCTTATAATCTGCAGACGTATCGATAATGCACAAACAAAGATTTAATTTTCAGCACATTAGCAGTGAATATCAGTAAATAATAACGGCCAACGGAGGCTGGCGGCTGACGACTGGAGGCTCTAGCCGCCTAATAAATAAAAATTGGTGGTATTTCCTTTAAAACAAAAGTGAGTGAATTGAAAGTCTCAAAATAAATTGCGATTGCAATTCAAACCTTTCCTATATTACAAATGTATCACTGAACTTTTCAAAACCGTTTTTTAAAATGGTTTTGTTCCTTCTTCAAGCTTTAGATCAAATTGAGTTCTGAATTTTGTGTGCTAAAACGAACTACATATGTGTTTGTCAAAACTCATCTTGTCAACGTTATAGGCTTGACCCGCTGTTAAGTGATAAATTTTCATACAATTTTGAAATTAAAAGAAGGGTGTAAAAAGGTAAACAATTAGAAAAAGAAAAAATATTAGAAATAGTATGTGCAGTCATTTCAAAATCTTGATTTGGCGGGAAGGACTGTTGAATAGTTCTACTTAAATCGCTCACTTTTAACAAAGAAGATTTAACAAATAGCTCGATGTATCGCTGCCATTAGCAAAAAGCTCTAGGTTATGTACTATACTGCAAATGTTCTGAAGATGAGACATTTTGATAAACATGTGATGCCATCCACGTCCAAATAAGCTATGATCAGCCAAATGCAGAAAAGTTGTTTACGAAATAACATCAAAGAAAATAGCATTTCTTTAAAGCAAAGCATAGAAGGTTAAAGCAAAGCATAGAAGGTTAAAGCAAAGCATAGAAGGTTAAAGCAAAGGAAATCAAGTGTGCTCACCTCAAAAAAGTTATCTCCGTGTTCAATGAGAAGAGAATTTGAATCTGGCTTGTTTGCGCAGTAGTCGACATACATTTGGAATTTCTCCGCCTGACAAATGCAAACATGACAAATGGGTCAATTACCTCGCACCTGGGTCAAACCATCTTTAATTTCTCTCACCGTGCACTCGCTAAGTTTCTTGATAAATTCCCTTTAAAAGTCTTGTAATGCTTGGGATTACTTGATGATTTGTAAAACACATATTTACCACCCTACCCCTAACAAATTCATGATGATTGGGATCTTTTGTTTGATAAGCAGTTGGAACGAGGAAACCTTACGGTATATATTCAAATCATTTCGGCTATGTCCAGTCATATACTAATCAAAAACAAAGATAGACAAATTTCAAAAACCCACAAAACCAATAATTTTCTAGATCTTTGATTATTCTTTTTGATTGATTATACTTTTATAAATAAGCACGCGTGGGAGGTATTCGCTATTGGCAACCACCCACTGACAAAACTGAAAGTAATAACAGACAAGGAACTTGATATCAACCGATGGAGATTCAAAGTTCAACTCAGGATTCTACTTGTAAAATGAAATCGTTGTGAATGAACACTTAAACAGCGTTATTTGTGAACATAAGAATATTTTAACAGATCTGGGATTCAAAAAAAAATATTTTTCATGGGTTGATGTAAAATGAAGCACAATATGCAATCATTTCTTCTATGTTACAGGAAAGCAGTAAGTATGAAAGAAAAATTTTGAGAAAAAGAGACTTTCGGTCCTACAAAGAAAGCAATATGTTGACACTCACAACGATTTCACAGTACTTGTATTACTAGGATTAACTTTCAATTTCATCCAACTCTATTACTGAAAATAGCTGGGAAGAGCGGAAATAATCACACTAAAGGACTTTTCGTCCGATACTCTTAAGAGGATAAGCGTCGGATAATGTGCAAAAATAAGCAGAAAATCTATACCTAGATGCAGATATAAATTCTCTCTTCATGTGGATCCTTCTTCAATAAAAATTCGTTTTGATTCAAAGAAGCACGCCTTAAAAAACTACAGTTTCCGAGCAGGCCACAACATTAACCGACCCGGGAGAGACATGGCTCCAATGCCTATAAACAACGGCAACAGTTCGATAAAGCAAGTAACCTAATATGATAAACTCTAGTGGGAAAATTTCACCACTTCCTGTCTATAACCTCCACCAGGCACGATAAAAAGAAAATTTCTAATTCAGGAAATCAAGACGAACAACGGAAGTTGGTAATGGAAAAGGCAAACATTCTCGATAGTATAGTTGCCTTTTGTTTCCATTTGTTTAAACAAGTGTTTATTTGAAAAATAAGAGAATGATTAAAATTCATCATCTACACTTAAAAATTATTCAAATCTCACGGTGAGAGAAGCAACAAAAAAGTTTTTTTCATGAATACAAAAATAAAAATGATTAATCTAAAAAATTTGTCTAACGAAATGAGAAGTTGAGCCCTCCCATAAATAAAACATGGCCACCGAAAAGATGAAACTTCTTGTAAGAAACTTAGCTTAAGATTTATCAAGCAGTTTGTACCAAAACAGAGGGGATTTTATTAACTGAATGATCTCATTACAAAAATGTAAACTGAAACACTTTAGGGCGGTTCCTAATAATTTTCAAAGTTTTCCTCGGATCCTTATCGCCCATGAAACTGGCATGAAAGTAAAAAACAAATTTACAGATTCAACTCACCCAGTCACAAAAACAATCGCCTACATCCTCTGGCTTTGTTTCGTACTTCTCCAGCGCTTGTAAAAATACACTACGATAAGAAGAAAGTTTCCTTTTAAGGTTGCCTTTTACATTAGCGAAAAATTACTTCAATTTAACCACTTGAAAATCAAAGCCAACATTAAGTCCAAGATTTTCATCGCTTTCAGAAATATGCGAGTTCGGAGCCAGTGTTCAGAACCAATTGTTTTTCGAGCCAACCGTGATTGTAGCCAATCGCGTTTAGAGCTACATGTGGTTAGAGCCAATCACGTTCACAGCCAATTGTGTTTACAGCCAATCGTGTTAAGAGCCAATCATGTTCACAGCCAATTGTGTCTACAGTCCATCATGCTTAGCGCCACATGTGGTTACAGCTAATCATGTCTAGAGCCAATTGTGTTTACAGCCACATGTGTTTAGAGCCAAACATTCAACTTGCGAAACTTAATGCAATAAAAGAATGCAAATATTGAATCAGAAAACCAATTGCTGATTAAAGATCTTGGTTACATTTTCAAATTATATTAACATTTAGTCTGATACTCACGTGTTGTGAAATTCATAAATTTCTTCAATATTTCCAAAAATAATTTCATGTTTGCCAATAAGAGGGTCCGGAACATCCATACTATCAAGCATTGGATACAGAAAATTCTGAAAAATAAAAAAAGGATCTGAACTGAATACCGTTTGAGAGCAACTTTATAAAATGCCAATGAGTATGAAATCCGTATGGATGATGCATGATCGCCACTCAACTGCTTAAAGGTACAACCATGCGTTATGTCTTGCATAGACTGAGTACAGTCAAATATTTGTTTTAGCGATAGACTTGTCAACATTAATAGAAAGATTCTAGCCGAAAATGATACATACAATTTAAGAACACGGAAACCAGCATTAGTCAGGAGAAAGAATATAGATCATCTGGTTATGATAAAAAATATCATTAGACGAAAGGGCAAAGAAGGGCAAAGAAAAATCCTCCTAAAAACATAGCAGGCGAAAGGGGTTGAACAGAATGAAGAATGGATAATGCCATTGACAGCTGGATATTTTTTTATCACAATAAAAACAAATACAAAACTTAAGTTGATCATTGTTAAGATGGAGGCAAAAAACATGAGGTTATCGAGTTGCCTCCACATCCAAAATTACAAATATTCCAAAACTTTGCATTATACGCTATAAATACACATAAATAAACAACACAGTACAATACAGCACAATACAGCGCAATACAACACAATACAGTACAAATACAGTACAATACTGTACATAATGCAACTTGGTATAGGTCAGTTGGATATTGTGGACGACCGTGGCCAACAACGCCGTGGCCAACAACGCCGTTGAGAGTATGGCAAGATAAAGATAGACAAGGAGTGAATATATTACATGTTATCTCCCTACCTCGATGCAACATTTCAAGTCGCTGCAATAGGCTCTTTCCGTTTGAAGCAATTCATTCATAATGAACCTAAGTAGGCAAACAATTGAGATAGCATCAATAGACAATCAGAACTTGCAGCAAAATAATCAAGTAAATAACAAGAAGGTACTTAAACGTCCCTAAATTAAATGTTTAGAAAAATGAAAATTAAATGCTTATCGTTGAATGTTTAGAACAGAACCATAATAAAACAGAAACATTCTCGGAATCAGATTGTTGGTAGAATGCAACATATTTTGCCTCATATTTAAATTTTCAACCATGTATTCGGAAAATAATTATTAATTGGTTAGCCATCAATTAGCTAATCATCTGGTTATTTATCTAATCATCATCAACATCATAAAACCATAGCTATCAAAAAAATTCTCGTTGCAAATCTTTTTTCTTACTCTATTCTCTTCGCAGATCTGCGTTTTTCTTCGGTCAGTTCATGAATTCCACTGTCACTCGACGCCTCTCTTCGCGTAACGGAAGACAACTCGTTCGCCTTTGCTTGCAAACCAGATATATTTGGCCATTCAACATCATCCTGCTCGGAATTAGTCAGAAAATAGTTGTAAATATGTAAAATAATAAAATATGTCAATTTAGTTGTGTTCTTGTTCAGGTTTTTACACTTGAAAGTGTGGCATAACACAATTTTCAGACATTCCAAAAGTACATCTTCATTGTACGTATGTGTACGTCCATAAAGCTTTTACAAAGAAAGGAAACTTGGAACAATATATGGCATACTATTATGGGTAAGACCATCTATGACATAGTTCGTAAAGCCAATAATAACAGCAACAGGACGACATTTCATGAAGACGAAGCGAACACACTTTAGGTAAGAAGATGCAAACCTCTATTTCAGAAATTGAGCAGCCAAGCTTTAGCTCTATGGTTTGCCTGAATGCACATAATCGACAAATAAAATCACGGTAGCTTGTGTCAACAGAAACCGCACACTCTTTTACTCCTTCTGAGTGGAAAAACGTCTTTACGATTAGAGTTTGAGCTTGATTCAACAAAAGCTTGACTTTCTCTTTTATTTCCTGCACGAAAAGGAGAGGATTGAGATCAGGAACGACGATGAAATGAAAAGATGACAAATAGAAAGACTAGTAATTGTTAACAAAATAATTGATATCTGTTATAAGCCGTAAGGGCAAATGAAAAGAAAACAAACAAAAGAACTACCTCAAAAACCTCTTTAAAGTAGGTTTGTTTTGAAGAGTCAGATGGAGATCTCTTCGGACTTGAAGGTCCATTAGGGTCTTCTTCCTCTTGCCTCAACGAGATTACTTTCGATTCTAAATCGCTTCCATGATCTCGGATCCATTGAAGAGCCTAAAAAGTGACAAAAAATGCCATTATTGGGAATGGAGATACTCCAAATCAAAACCCCATTTTCAAGGATTTTACAAAAATATTGTTCATATTTCTACGAAACACACGAACCTCTTTTGCACTCTCTTCAAAGCGTGCGTATTCTAGGCATCCATGCAAAACGTTCTTCCTTAACTGCAGTTGCTTTAGGACGGGAATTTCTTGTGACGTTGCCTGTTCGACGAGGTCATTTACAAGGATCTCCAGACGTCCAAACTGTCCGTCAAGCACAGGCGTGTTGTCACCATCTCCTTTTGGTAAAACCAATTGTAGAAAGCACTCAGAAGATTCTCTAACTTCCCTGCAACTTTGTTCAACAGCAATTTTTTCTTTATCAAGCTGACTGAGTGCCAAGGCAATTTTTTCTTGCTTGTGTGACAAATTGTATTCGCTGAATTCTGAACAAGGATCTTCGTCCCGTCGACAGTCTTTGCTGAATTTTTCGAGAAGCTTACTTGCCTATAAGACAGTTAAGTTTCATGTTAGTACAAAGCTGATTTAATCTTTAAGAGAAACTGGAAACTTGTTGGAAAGAAACGCAGCTCAGTCAGTTTTAGGATACTGCAATCCAGATTTGTCAGTCAAAAGAAGAAAACGATCAAGAAAGATTATTTAAGAAAACTACAATTCATACACAATAAATAGTGATCATTTGTAACTAGTTAAAATAGATTTTCCTTTGTTTACATTTGAAAATCAAAACAGCAAAAGCTTGTTATTTTTTCTTACGGACAATAGCGCAGCTTCCCCCACTCCCAAAACCAATGGTTTCAGCGTTTCTATGTAACTATCTGGATTCCTAGGCCTCCTTAAAGTTCTTGGTCAAAATAAAAAAAGGAGAATGACAAAAACAATAAGCAAGTGGCAGCACCTACCTGTTCACTGGCTCGATAAAAGTTGTAGGAAGTAAAAACAACAGCTCTTCGCTGTTCGGCTAATTTCATTAGTCGCTCCCATTTCTTCTCCACAGTGCTAACACAGGTCGCGATGCTTTCATAGTCAAAATGACCGTCTCTCAAGTAACCATCTGCAGTCTCTCTCACTTCCATGACACCTAAGCGAGTTTTCTGAAAGCGAAAAAATACACCTCAGAACGGTCTGTGAGAATATACTGCGAGTGTGTCAACGAAAGACTTTACGAACTGACGTTTCTTTCATAACAATGATAAAGTTGCTAAAAGAGTTAGCTTCCTATTTGGTCATATTACAGTAAACCACATCGCCACAACCAAGGAAACAGTGGCAACGGAAAACTATTATATAGAGATCTGTGTCGTCGATTCCTGAAAATAAACGCCTCACATGAAATTGCTCTTAACCAGGCATAAACATTCCACAATAGGTATTCACGGCCATATCTTCCACACTTAAACTTTCATAGATAAGTATGAAAACACAATCAGTGACAATGTAATTCTACATCTGGAAAAATTAGCATTGCCTTGTATACTATAGACAGTAATACATAATTGTATACTATAGGCAGTAAAACAAAGTCTTTTGTTACATTTTTGTTTTTAAGAGAAAACATTTTCTAGGAAGTTTCTTGATTAATAACAAATTACTAACGAATTTCTTTCTAGAATGAAAAACAGCGTTTTTAAAGAAACCTAGCCTTCTTAAGAAGAGGCTGCGATCGCTTCTAAAGAAAAAAGAGAGGCTGTGAAAGTCCTGGTCGGAGCCATGAGCGCCAGACTTCGTAGGTAAGTCATCTCCTTTTCTTAGTTAAAAAACAACGCTTGGGGACGAGCCAATTTTCACAACTGGCTGCAACACAACTTCCTGGGCTTTTTTGGCTTAAATTACTAGATTCTCCGAAAATGCTTTTGATAAGAAACAATTCGACAACAGAGTCTTGTCAAGTGAGAGTAAGTCGCGATACGTATGTTTTCTAATCTCAAAATACTTAGGCTGCGACCAGCTTTTGGCCATAAAACATAATTAAACCAAGTTGCGAATTGGCATGGAGATTATAACTGTGAAATATTGTTTTCTTAAACAGCAATCTAGGAAAGACTTTGGTAGGCTTAATTAAAATGATCAACTTAAGAGAGCAGACAAAAGCTGTAGAGTCCGTTACGATTATGCAATCCTTTCACTAAATCCCATGCAGCCAAAAAATACGTGGCGAACTTGAGATGATTCCTAAACATCCATAACACATTATACGCACTCATTGGAAGGTGAGAAAAACAGATGATATTATCAAATGAAATATAAGTAAGGCATACCTCGATGGCGACCTGAAACTGCTCATATTCCCGCAGCAACGCTTCGGCCTCGACCAACGAGCTTCCTGCCGCTACGCTGGCTTGTAGGATATTTTCACCGTAACGTATCCACCCAGCAACGCGCTTCGCGTCTGCCTCTAATCGCCTAAGCTGGACGCACTCTTGTAATTTTTTGTGAAGTTTCTGTCTGGACGCAAGAAGCTCACTTTTTTGATCCCCTAGCGACTTCAGTGTGCTTTTCATGTAGGCTATCGAATCAACTTTGCCACCTTTATCGTCGGTTAGTGAAACTTCAACTCCGCATTCCTGCAACACATGTAGAACATGCTCCCCTCTTGAGTATACATTTTTCATCCCTCTTTCCATCTCGCTACTTTCTGAAGTAAACTTTCGCAATGTTATTTGAGCTTTCGTAAAATCAGATGCCAATTCCTTACTTTCCCAAAGTCGTAACCAGTCTAACTGATGTTTCAAAATCTGATTCAAATCACGTTCATAATTTTTCACCTGAATCCAATAATCAAGTTTTTGTTGTTTTCCAAGCCAAAGCTTTTCCAATTGAGTTTTACTCGCATTTAATTTTTCTAGAAACCCTTTAACAGCTTTTTCCGAATTCACCGGATTATTCGCATTTTCCTCGATCCAAGACGTCCTTTGTTGCAAGAAAGTCGATTCGCACAGTAATTTTTGCGACAATTCTTCTCCTTCGCGTACAGTATTTAACAACTGATCTAAAGTGCTCTCACACTGATGCCTGTGTTTTTCCAAAACGGCGTCAACATTCTCACAGTCAAGTGAGGTCCTCTCGTCGAGATTCAGCTCTTCTTTAAGTTTTTCGACCCAAGAGGATAACTGTGAAAAAGGGAAATCAAAAATGTTACATGCTGGCTGCTTAATTTTTGTTCAAAACTTCATGCAAACAGGACAGAATTGATTCGCAATTGTTACAACAATGCAGCTACAACAATGCAGCTAATAGACTGAATTATTCATAATGACTAACGCTAAGATGTTTAGCTCAATAAAAGCTGACAATGCTGAAAACAAAACGAATAAAACTCCATCAACCTTTTCTGTATTAGCTACAAATATCCCTTGGTGTTCTGGCTGAATTCGTTTTATCAACAACTAAGAATGATAACTTAAATAATATGTGTTTACGCTGCCAAAAACGTATGAATACAACTTTGTTAACAAAAGAAAGCGGATGCCCGTTAGGGACGGAGAAACCGCTAACGGTTTGTGGTCGCATTTCTGTTGACGGTTGTGTCCATCAGCTTGTTCTATAGAGACAACTGGGCTGTTAAGAAAGCTGCTCTTCAAGTGTACATGGCAGTTGCCTAAAAAGGTAACACTCTTTGAATATAGAATTACCATTTTCGCAGTGGACATCTAAGACGAACTTCAAAACACAAACAGATTAGTCCAGGTTTCATACGAAACAGCGTCTACATTTTTCATAATAAGCAAGCACTGCTGATAAGAAGCTAATTATTACCGCTAAAAAAACCCACCAAAGTCTGTTTTCTTAAAGTATTTCCTTGTATGTCTTGACACGAATCTCAGGAAAAACAAGTGACACAACTGGCCGTCGCTTTGAGAGTGAATGAGTCAATGGGTTGGAATTGAGCAACAACAGGCTTACAGTTTTCGAAACTAATAGAAAAGGTCAGGTGGATTGGCCGGATGGACGACCACAAGAACAAGCAAATTACAGCTAAGTTATCGAACATTTGACTGAAGAAATAAATGATGGAGGAGTTTTCAGTGGTTGTCTCACGCTGATATGGCACAGGAATTATAGAGCATACCAAAGCCAATTTAAGAAACACAAGGGCTTAAAATTTAGTAACTCGACAAATACAAAACATTATTGTTTCATTGGCAAAAAGTGGGAACTGTTAAGCCTAAAATGGTTGTTGCTGGAGCAACTCAAGAGATAGTCCCTAGAAAGGAGCTACTAGCTAAAACACATGTTAAAGCATTTGGTTTAATAGAATGTTTATATTTTGTGATTGTAAACTCAGACGAAACTCGATCGAATTTAATCCTTTCATCCCTTTCACATCATTTATAATTCATGTCCTCTCTTTTTGACTAATCAAGCCTACAAATGAAGACTTCCACCAACATGAAAATCCATATTTGTAAGAAAGATTCTCTCTCTCTAATGTCTCCCGTGTACGGCTGCGAAGGACTGATTCATTGTTAACTGTAGATATAAGTACGGTAGATGCACACCCAACGATTATCGTGTTTAGAATTTAATGCGCAGAAACCGGCGACAAGGAGCACTGCCAGAAGAGACCTTATCTATTTAGTTTGACTTGCTGTATTCAAGCCTTTACGAATCGAATTTTATTATAAGGGCAGCAATAATTGACAAACACAGCAAAATCCAAAATCGACATTTCCATTTTGGTAGCCATAAGGACTCACGACGTAAATGAAGCCCTGGCAACATCTTCGCAACCAATTTCAAAGAATTTAAGACGGGTCTTACGGAATTAGACGGAGCTAAGTGAGATTGAATTTGCTCAGCCTTTTGGTTCGGCTTGAACTCCATTCAATTGTTCACACAAAGTTGCATCCTCATGAAAGGATGAAAATTTCATCGAGACATTGTAAACACTGTATATACTTGAAACCTGTAGGCAATGCCAAACACCAAGTCAAACAATTCTTAGTAGAACTTTTGACCAGTAGTGTCATAAAAAATACTAGTCCGACAATTCTTGAAAAAAAATCAGCCAGCATCAAAAATAAGCCAGAATTCATTTTTACGATAAGATTCAATGTTCATCTTAAGTCAATGAATTTTGAAGCTTTTGTCGTCCATATCAAATATTGGCAAAAACCTCACATGTCCAAGCAGGTTACAGAAATTCCCTCCGGATGTACAGTCAGCCCTTGTTCTAGCAATACTCTAACATATGGGTTCTGAAGCAGAAAAAAGTACTTACTCAATGCAAATATCACCAGTAGTTAAGAAATTACTCCACCCAAACACCATTCATATTGCAGCATCTAAATTTGAACCTTCGCAAACGAAGCCAATTAAGACCTTAGACATATGTGAGGAGATATTGCTCGATATTTAATGCAGAATTTCATATCGATTTCTTTTCGACACCGAAATGAACTGCTCTGGTCTTAATAGTCCAACAAAGCAGCCGGCATTATGTCACGCCGAAAGATGTCATGAATAATTCAAAATAAGACAAAGATAATCCACCTTCTTTCATTTTATTCAGCAGTCTAAGTGTAAACACAGATATTATGATTGTGGATGAAGGCACAGCTGATTTTAAGCATAAGTTCCATTTAATGCAGCGTTAAGTCTTAGTCAGTCGGAGCGAAAACATAGGGCCTAAACCGCACACTCAGATCTGAGAAAGAATTCAGATTGTAAAGAAAATATATTTGTCCGTGGCCACCAAGCCTTGCCAAGTAGAAATGAAACTTTATGTTTATAAAATGACCACTAACTACACAAACTTATTTGATCTTCGTCAACAAAAAACTGAAGGGCATTTAAATAGTTCTTGTCAGTCAAGTGAGCTTCTCTTCGCTGTCTGAACCCACAATAAATGCTCATAGCCTCTTCTTACATCATAGAACACTATGATGCACAGGACTTCCTTCTGATAGGCAGAACTTTGGCAAGGACTTGTTTGGTGCTGATTCTAATAATGACCCGTTTTTATCATTGTTCGCCACAAAAAACAACACTTTTCATATCCAATGAATCTTAAAACCAACCAGCGCGCAAGTTCTATGTTCAAAGCAGAATTTCATAATATTTGAATGAACAGGCATTAATAATATATGAAGGATTATAAGCAAAAATCCAAGAATTTTCACCTTTATTGAACCATTGAGAAACCACACACAACAGAAAGTTGATTAAAATATGGATAGGCTTAAGAAATACCACTAGCAGGCCCGGTGTTCAACGTACTGCCTCAAAGGTGTCCCTGCCATAGTATTCTGTGTGGCTAAAGCAAGTTACATTCAACTACAGTCGCTGACATTCTACACTCAGTTACCATTAAACACGAGCTATACAGGTGTATTGAAACCTTACCCCATTGGTAGACGACGGGCACTTCTAATGTCGAGCCTCAATAGATGCACTCAGTTACACGGGGCACATATAAGACACCAATCATGTAATTCACTGTCCATTTTAAGGGAAAGTGGAGGAAATTCTGTTAGAATCAGTCTATTGGTCTTCATAAGCAAAGGAAGAGTTTTTTCTACTTTTTCTTCATTCGGGATAAAAAAATTGCTGAATAAATTGGTAACAGTTATTGAAGCGATGTTCACTTAGGATGTAGAAATCGAAACGGCATCAGTAACACCTATGTGAGCAGAGTTTGCTATCGTGTGTAAATAATATTGAATTTACACTGCTTTATGCTTCCTTCATCACATCGATTACAAGCTCTAGGAAGTTCGCACTGGACCACATTACTCCACTTATCTTTCAAAGGTCCTACAACAACAAGCATCATCAACCACAAGTCACGGGTCTTACCATAAAAACCCTACTTCTGCTTATGTTTATGATTAATGCCGGATTTATAATGATCTTGAATTAGCGGGCAGCAATTTTGATCTTGACTGATAAGCATCATTTGAGTTAGGAACGCGGTCGCTTGTTTCTGCTTCACCGCAACGTTGTGTCTTCTTCAAATTCACCCTGCAAACTGCCTTTAACTGCATCATTGGCAAACGGCCTTAAAAGGGCAGATTCTGCTGAATGGCGGGAAAGAGTGGAAACCCATTATAATCAGGGGATACCCGTGCCTATTTCGGATTTAGGTATATCAGCTAAAAAAGGCTTATGAAATAGTTTTGATCACGAATGAGCAGGGCTGGAAAATGTCCGGCAGCGGCGCTGTCAGGAAATTTTTAACACAGATTCATTGCAGGAAATTGTTGCTGTTTGCCAGGAAATTTTTAACGTGAAATCTCCATTGCTTCATTTTAACATGAACATTAAATTTTATGTTATTCTCTTTCTACGGACCGCTGTTTTCTTGTGATATACATACATACTGTATAATTTTTGTTCTGCACTACTAAAAAACGAAAATTAGCTTTCAAAATACAATCATCTGGAATTATCAGCGTCTATTATACCAAATTTCCGGCAATTAGGCCATGATTTTCAGCTACTAATTTAATTCAAGCAAGCTAAAACAAAGTTCATTTCTCTTTTTACTTTAGCCATTCCAGATAAGTAAACACACTTGAAGACAGCAAATCTTGTTACGTCAATTGTGAACATGCCCCAGTGTGACCATGTGAACACACTTGAAGGTCCATCATTATTCATACTTTCCACTGGCATTCCCATAAATTTATCATCGGTAGCTTAATAGAATGTGAGCGTTTTGGGCTCACAATTTGGCCTCTAGCACCAACCCTGAGTAAAACTGGATGGATGAGTAAAATGCTTACTATGATGGAATAAACTGGAAATTATCTAGCTAAAGAAGCATAATTTAACTGGCAGCAGAACTCTCTGAAAGCACATTAGTTTCAGATGCCTAGCCGAAGATGCTTCGTTAAGGGGCTGGAGCTGACTTGAGACAGCAGAAATGAGGAATCAAAACTTTCAATCTTTTCAACTGCTGACTCGCAATTAAGCATCATTCTTGCTTACATTTGGATAATATTCAATATCAAAGGATGCAGTATGGTTCAAAATTGTTCGCTTGTTCACATCATCACAATACACTGACGTTGCTATTAAAGAAGACCACAGTACTTGGCAATTCAAGGTCAGGCCCATCTGGATGAGATAGGATAAGATGAGATGAGATGGCTGCCACAGTTAGCAAAAACAACAAACCACACATCAAGAACAGACATCATCTTCGAGATGTATATGTTTGCTTATGAAAAAGTGGAATATTGACGTTCTTAAAGCCACTAGATGTTAGTCAATTACTGACATGGTCCAGCCAATTTTATGGTATGCTTCCCACCTCTCCATTTGCATCCTGACATAGTGCAACATCGAGGATCTACCTTTTTAACATTTCATTTCAATGAATTTTGTTTAAGCGATAGCACCATTCATAAATAAAAAATATATAGACCGTCCCTTTTATGACAGCTTCCAAGCAAGTCAAATTACAGTGATTCTTGGAAAGACCTTCTAAGAACCAAATTCAAATGAAATAGCTAAAACCCCTGTCCCTATATTTTATTGATAGAAGAGATGTAAGATGATGTGGTTTTTTTTATTTTAAAGGAAAACCAAAGAAAATCAATCGTTCATTAGTTCCGCCTAATCTTTATTTGCAATGTTTTTAATGCTGATTCTGATATCAGCTCGTGGGGAGGATGGGACATCAAATCAGAATCCTGAAAGTATCTAGGGCTAAAAATGTGTCGCTAGGACTAGAGTATTATCTATTCGGGTACGTCTTTAAATTGAAGTGGACTGGGCCTATAATCACTTCTTAATGATACAGTTTGTTTTCATTTTGGTTATAATACACGTTAGAGTTTTCTGCTTGTTATTTACGTCCCTTTCAGATAAATCTGCTTCGAGTTGCAAGTCATTCCTAGATGAAGCATCTATCATTTCTGACGTCACATTTACCAGAATCTCCGAAGCAAAAGAATTGTCGAGGATTAGTTTTGTTATAACCTTGTCAACATGCACACCTACCAATAAGGCGACATGAATTAAACTGACTTTTACTTAGATTGCATTCTGCTGCAAAAAGAGGATCCAACTTTCGTCTTCTATTTTACACTTTTTTACAAAGCTCTCAAGAAACATAAGATTTTATAGGATGATTACCTGGTCAGCGCATTTGAAAAAATTTTTTGCCATTTCCAAAACTTCTTTTCGTCCTGAAACTCTATTGGCAAAGTCATTCAATTCATTTTCAAAACTTGATGCTAGTGGATTGAGATCTTCAGGGTTGCACTCCTTCGCTTCCGACAACTGAAGAGCTGCGTCTGACAATTTCCTTCCTTTTTCGTTAATTACCTAATGAGAAGAAAGATAGGAAAACTGTAAGGTCATGGCTCATACAAAAAATTGAAGATATGCCACAGTGTTCTTCTTAGAAATAAAAATATTTCCACTGTGGCGGCACGCGACCTACTTAGGACACAATCTTAGTAACTTAAGAACACCAAATTTAACAACGGGAATAAACATAAAAAAGGAGAAGATAACGATAAAAACATTTTGGAGCGATTGCAATCATCAACAAAGCAAATTTAGATAGAATGATTAGCCATTTTCGGTTTAAAGTTAATGTCCAAATGAAACTCATGAATTATTATTCAGGGACTCGAGACCATCGCTGCAAAGTATTTTCTTATTATAGCAAAATTCTGTCTGTCAGCTTAAAAATTTTTTGGGGATCTCGTTCCCAGGTCTCTTCGCGGCACGATTTAAGTCTGTAAAAGCAACTTCAAATGTATAAAAGAAAATATTCGTGTGGTTCTAGTATATATGAAGTTTATTACAGCGTACTATGTTATCGTATAACATCTCGTTATCAAGCGAACTTGACAGATATATAATCAAGGTTTCAAAGATCAGCTTTCTCTGCCTATGTTATAACGCCCGCGTGACAGCTTGTTCTAAGAAACGGTGAATCGTATCTCCTGCATACAAGTTGTTTGCAGTTCACAATGTTAAATTCCTACAAAATTCCAAACAAGGCTTTTCCGTGATTTATCAAAAAAGGCACAAGTCTGCAATTTGGCACACTGAGCCGGGTACACTTTGCATTACAATTATCAAATCCAGTTTGTTGCAGATTAGCAAGAAATAAACAGCGATTAATCTACAATGAAAACAGCTTTAAGACGATTAAAGTCACGCATAAACGCACCAAAGGAGGTAATAAGAATATTCTTATTGGAAAAATCCTTTCATTTTCAGATCAATGCTTACTATGATGGAATAAACCGAACCTGCCAGCAAAATGGCATAACAGCAACACAAAAATGTTAACGCTGCTAGCTGTTTGTAATCTGTTCATATAAGAGAATCGTTGCAATCAGGGAGGTGAACCAGTTTTAGTTACCAACGATCAAAGATGGAATTGAATTTAGTTGCTCAAGCTAGACACGCATTTATTAAAAACAGCCTAGAACATTTTGCAGAAAAAATGGCAAGAAAAGCAAAGTCACTAACCTCAAATGAAACTAAAAATTCGTTATGTTTTGTGAACAAACTCTCTGCATCTTCATAGCACACACCCACACCTGTGTATTCCTTGAAGTGCTGTAATCCAACCGTTCTAATCCATTCCAATACCTTAGATAGTAATTAAAAATCGATAGGTAATTTACAGTTAATTCTTGGTCTCTTTCCTGACGTCTTCCATTTAATGACTCGATAACAAAAGAGCTCCGGATATTTTACAGCTCGACCTAGTTTCTTTTATTTTCCAGACGCAAATGACAAATTAATAATCCGAATGAAAACCGGGGGTTGCTTTTGTCACCAGTACAATTACATTTGTACAGAATCTTTACACAAGAGGATGGATAAACCAGCCACACATTTCTGAGCGTGGAAATGATTAAAGGTAATTACAGAAGAGAATAATTACACCATAATATTTGAAATACTCTTACATTTAAACCAAGGCAAATAAACTAAACAGCTAATAGCAAATAAAAGGTAATAAAATACGACTTTGTGGTCAACTGGGAAGCCCCCTGACTTGGATCATAGACCAAAGACACGTGAATAATTAAATGACTTGAGTTGAATAGCAATCTATTGACATGAAATGAAAGCAAACACCAAACAGCAATGAATAGAAAGATATTATGGCAACAAGACTGATTCTAAAATCGACCAGAAGACAACAGGAAGTTTTTTATTATCTGCCAAAGACAAAACTGATATAAACTTGCAATAAACTGAAAATAGGCCGTCGCGCTAAAATTTTGTACATGAAAAACTATTGTAAAAGTGGAAACATTTTATAAAATACAAACAAATTTTACTGCCAAAACTGGTCGTGAGAGTTTCGACCAAAAGGTGAATTTAAATTCATATCCAGTTGATGGTCGAGATAACATAAGAGAAATACAGTTTGATTGGTTCCTTGCTTCGACCAATCAGTGACTACTTATCCCTAGCATACAGTATTCAGTGTTAATTCTCTGCCTTATGACAAACACAAATTTAGCCGTTTCAATTTAATATAGACATTCCATAATCAAAAGAAATTATTTCGCAGTCTTGATTGTAAATTTAAAAAACCATTGAATTTAAAGCAAAAAGTTGCATTGCTGTATGCAGACTGACACTGTTAATGTTAAAACTATCATAAAAAAGCGTTGTTGAAAGCTCCATTTTTAAAAGCGTTTTTTAAACCTCCATTCATGAGATGTATTGGGTGATGCTAACACATTTATTCAAATACAGATTGATTTCTATTCACCTTTTCTACGAGAACAGCTATAGGATAAGGAGTCGTGTACCAGGTTGGTGACGATTCCACAAACTATTTTGTCAATCCATACATACATATACATACAAAGAACCACTAACAAATGCGAAATGCTACGTACCTCATTGCATTCATTTTGGAATTTGGAGAGCTCACACCTTTGACTGAGTCTAACTCGCTGCTTTTCCCATGAGATTGTCAGCTGCCTGTTCCGCTCATGCATTTCCAAAATCCTGTCCATCACGTGTGATACTGCCTCAGAATAGTCGGAGGCCCTTGAGCGCGCTTTCGCTGATCTGTCATCTGTGGTTGGCTTCTGAAGAGCACTTAGAAGATTCTTTCCTTCTTCACTTACGATGACGTGGGCTTCAGACATATCCCGCTTTAAACGCTCGTGGCTCTTTAGCAAGCCTTCTCCTTCTTCTATGGATCCAAATTCAGCTTTCTCCGTTTCTTTTAGTCGGTCCATCCAGGCGTCGCTCATTAGCATGTACTATAAAACAACATCGAAATAATTATTGTAAAGATTGACAACAAATAGCATGTTCATTGATAAAAGTAGTACATTGACACTGCAGAAGGGACAAATTACACTTTCCTTTACCAGCTCACCATTCACTTTCAAATGAACTCGAAATGTAAAAGTGAAAACACGAAAAATCATTGTTCGACCTCAAGCATTGCAAACACCATGCCAAAAGGATAAATAATTGGTACAAATTGTTAGTTTCGCTTTTTTTCACTTAACCAACCTTGTTTTGTAATGCATTCTCTTGGTCCAACATAAATTAATTCATGGTTGCCACGCGAGTAACCTCTGAGGTTTCTTAATTTGTGATCTGAAAAATGTTAGCAGATGTAGGCAACTTTACTCTTACCTTGTCAGCAATGACATGAAATGACCGTGATGACACTAAGAACCCGCTACGTCTTTCTACTGCCATCAACAACTTTCTCCATTCGTTGTCTAACTTCTGTACCAATGCGTCGATGACCTCAACATCACAAAAGGCAACATCCTGCAATCTTTGAGCCACCTGTCGAACTCTGTCGATATTTACTTGAACTTCCTAGATTTGACACAGGAAAAATTTGAATCAAAGATAGAGTGGGAGCTAAATTATCTTTTCGGGGGCAGAGCATTCTTAAGATAAAATATTACTTAAAATTCCAACAAAGTAGCAAAATTTTCGAAATTTTTCCACCAATCTGGAGCTGTAGAGGTGGGGATATAGCCCTCATGCCCCCAGCCAATGCCCCCTGAAACAAATCTGATTTTATACCACAAACACAATTTAAAATATACATTGCAGTAGTTGGAAACTTGATGTAGGTTACAATGAGCAGATATGCCAAAAAGAAATTCTTACAAGTGTTTCCTTCGTTACTTGCTTTAGTTCACGTCTAAGTAACATCGCGAAAATTCAGGGCATCAAAAATGATATCACATCACTAATTGATTCTGCTACTAATGCACGTGGAAGGAAGTTAACGAATAGCTTGAATAAAATCATGGTTTCAATAAAATCGCAGCGCGATCGGCGATAGTCTGCGATTGTCGTCGAGCCTGTTTTTTATCTTCCACCTGCAATACCAAACGTCGGCGACAGTCTGCGATTGTCATAATCCTATTCGGCTCCATAAAGCAGACCGATTCGTTAAGGCTGATCATCTGATTGGCCGATCAAACCCACGTGATAATAGCAAAACCAAAGAGTGTCTATAACCAGTCGTGGAGATCGGGAAATTTGTACTCAGTTAAACCAAGTTAAACTGCCTGGTCGGTCACGATCTACGACTGCCGACAGTCTTAAGCCTTGTGAGGAACTGTTCATAATGAATAGGAAACAGAACGCAAATGATCAAAAACCGTCGCCGATATTTTATGATAGCTCTACGATAGGTCTGCGATTTATAGGAGACCTGGCTGAGCAGTAAATCTGATGTCATTCCAAAGAAAAAGGGCGAAAAGGTGACAAATGCAGTGAAAGACGCACCGGAGGGGGGGGGGGATAAAATGGTATGCATCAACAAAGTGACACCGATGGAACTATAGGACGATAGAGAGAATAGAATAGAAGATGAAGACGAGCTGAATTCGAGTCATTTCTGAAAATCTAAGGAATTTGGAAGGAATGAAAAACAGGGCCAGAAAAAAACCAAAGCAGGCAAAATTCTACAAAACAAAAAATCAAATTAAAAATCGCTGGGATGATGCTTATGATGAAATTAAAAATAGTTGAAGGTATGATGACAACTGGCGCAACAAAATATCTGGCTTACCGCACAATTGGCCTCGAACAGCTTATGATCCTCCTCCAACTCTTTAACTGATTCTAAATCTTCGCCAATATCTGAATAACACTCTAAGTACTCAGCTCGGTTTTCTTGAATCCACGCAAGCATCTAAATGGTAAAAGTAAACCTGTTATGACTGGAACGTACTTGAGGAAGAGAAAATAAAACCAAGCACCTTTCAATGGCATTAATCATACTTGCATCCTTAAAATCTCCGTTGAATCTAGCAATAGTCACAAAGTCCTAAAAAAGGGCTATATAAAAGATAAACCTGCAGAAGCAAGCAAAGTTGAAGAAGTAAATTGCAAGAAGATATATCAACAAAGATAAAAAATATGACAGTCATTATATAGTAACTTAAGCTTCAGAAACTTGCGTTCAACCTTCAATATACATATATACAAACATTTGGCATACTTTCTGTCAATATGACTTTTACCTAATGCAAAATATAAGACTGTTAAGTTGCTTTCTGTCAAATTTTTAACAATTCAGTTACCATCAAACTAGCACCAGGAAAAAATGCATGCCATGCAGCTAATTTTTTGGCATTGACAAGCAAGCTTGTAATCAACAGCAGTCAACTAATTATAGGAGCTTTCGCATTGAAGCTCTTCCCCGTGCAGTTTTTTGCCTCTATGCGTCACCAATCTAATCACACCTGTGCTACTCAAATCCATTCTACCACCAAGATACTCTACCTACCCATCTACTCAAGCGTAAGCAGAAAGTCTATAGGAATTTTTGTATACGGGGAAGAAGGAACCAGGATTGGTCCCATGTAAAAACGTATCCGAAATGAAACATCTAAAATGATTTTGAATGCAAAGAAGGAATACTTTAAAAGAATTGGAAGAAAGCTCTCTGATCAAAATTAAGGTATAAAAAGTAATTGGTCTACTCTGAATAGGGCTTATTAGTTAAAAAAATCTATAAATATTCCTCCATTATTAGAAGATGGATTATTCATTATAAATGTACAAACTAAAGCTAATCTGTTAAATGAATTTATCGCTAAACAGTGTTGTAGCATACAAACAGGAAGCTCCCTCCCAGAATTTCGGCCCAGGTGCGACTCAGTTATTGAGAATGTAGAGATTGATAGGCAAAAAGTACTCAAATTGATACGATCACTTGACCCATCAAAGGCACACGGCTGTGATAACATCTCCATAGCTATGATTCCACGATCGTTGAACCCCTTAGCATGATTATTGAGAAAAGTCTTATAACAGGCTAATATCCTTCATTTTGGAAAAAGGCAAACATTACGAGACCTGTACATAAGAATATCTGTATATCTGTATCTGTATATCTCGTATGTCTGTACATAAGAAGGGGAACAGGCAGTGTAAAAATAACTATCGGCCAGTCTCTCTTCTTGTACAGCCACCTCTGTACCAACAGTCTCATATCTGCTCAACAATCGGGTTAATCAATTAATCTCCATAACCCATAAAATTTACACTGGTTTTTAAGAAACTCCTAGCAGGGAAACACGTGCTGACTTTCTCGATTTCTCTAAGGCATTCCACAAGGTATGGCACATGGGATTACTCTATAAACTTGAATGTAACGATATTTCTGGAAATCTTCTCAAATTGATTAAAGATTATCTCTCTTGTCATAAGCAGCGGGTCTTGCTGAATGGGAAAAATTCTGAATGAGAGGATATATTGGCGGGAGTGCACCAAGGATCGGTTCTGGGACCGCTCTTCTTTCTTGTATATATTAACGACATTGTTGAGAATGTAGGATGCGAAATTAAGCTATTTGCCGACGACACATCGCTTTTTCAGTTGTCTGTAATGAGACTAAAACTGCATAAGAACTAGATAGGGATTTAGAGAAAATACGACTATGGGCCTGGCAATGGAAAATGAAATTTAAAACTGAGAAAATGGAAGATATTTTCTCTGTCAAGGGGGTTAAACCAATCCATCCACCTTTGTCTTTTGGCAATGATGATGTAGCAAGAAAGAGCGAACATAAGCACCTTGGTATGAACTTAGATTCAAAGCTAGACTCTAAAAGCCACACAAAAGCTATACAAAAAGCGAGGCGCGGCATTGGGATAATAAGATACCTCTCCAAATATATCTCGTGAGATGTCTTGGAAAAAATATATAAGCTTTATGTAAGACCGCACCTTGATTATGGTGATATTATTTATCATAAATATGACCCCCAAATGCGCTTAAACTTTAAACAGCGACTTGAACAGACACAGTATTGTGCAGCCCTAGCAGTAACTGGTGCATGGAGAGGAACAAGCAGGGAACGTCTTTACAAGGAACTTGGGTGGGAGGACTTTTATCATAGGAGATGGTATAGACGACTGTGCCATTTCTATAATTTGGTAAAATCCCTTTCCCCTATTTGTTTTCTGAAATTCCCCTTGAGCGTCAATGTAAGCTACAGTCTTCGAAATGTGAAACAGTTTGACCAAAATGTTGGAAGAACTGCAAGATACTCAAACACTTATTTTCAAAATGCACCTTTTGAGTGGAATCTTTTGAATGATGGAACAAGAAATTCAACGTCAATTTCTGAATTTTAGTGTAAACTAATTGATATGATAAGACCCTAAAAGAATTCAATGTATGGTATAAATGATATTGTGGGTGCTAGACACTTGTCAAAATTGTGCCTGTCATTTAGTGTTCTAAATGAACACATATTCAGACATAATTTCAAATGTCTAAGTCCTGTTTGCGTGTGTGGTATTGCTAACGAAGATAATGAACATTTTCTCCTACACTGCCCCATCTTTGAAGAAGCTCGAAGTGATCTCCTTGGCAGCTTGTCGGATATTCCTGGGGTTGATTTGGCAGAACTGGTACACAATCCTGATGTCATTTTGGAAATCCAGGTCTGACCCTAATCGCAAATAGACTTATAATGGAAGCAACAATTAATTTTATCAAGGCAACCAAAAGATTTGGCTGAGGTGCGTGTTTGGGCTGCTGGGACCGGGTCTTCTGCTTGTGGCGTGGTGGCCTTGGGATGCCCTAATATTTTGGGGGTTCCCATGCCGGGGGCGCTTTAGGACTGGGCCTGTTCCCAGTGGCTTGGGGCGTGCTTCTGGTGTGAACAAAGCAGCACCCCTTTCTCTAAACACTGAACAATTATCTTTGAAGAATATTTCTGTCTCGCGCTGTGGGTGCATGGTATGGTGCCGTGTGCTTGCGTCCTTCCGACTGACAATTTCTTCTGCGGATGTTGTTCCCCGTCATCATGTGTGAGTCAGAATGTAACATTTTTCGTTATTGTTCATTCTCTTGTTTGTTTTTTCTTTCTTTAAATATCAAATTTAAATTTTAAGTGCCCATCCTTTGAGGGAACTCCGATGACCCAGTGTCTATTTCCACCAGGATGGGCACGGTAAATATATATTATTTGTGTTATGTATTATTGTATTATGTATTATATGTTATGTATTATTGTATTATGTATAGTATGTGTATTATGTATTATTTAGAGTTTTTTTAGTGATACAAAAAAATCTACTCAAGCTAAATGTCTACTTTGTTTTGATTTCCTAATAATACGTCATACAAACATCAAGAGTGAAAAACAAAAAAAGCAACAACAGAAACCATATAGATTTCATACCGTTTCTGCATCCTGTTTGAACACGTTAAACTGAAGGCATTGCTCCAATCGACCTTTTCTAACTTGCCATAGTTCTTTAAGGGTGGCACGTTGAAGAAATAGGGTCTCCATCATGCTACGGGCCTGATGCACAGCATTGCGACCCTCGTCAGAGAGTTCTTCTTCAGTAACACAATTGCAAGATTCTTTAATAATGGCTATCACCTTATTGGCCTCTTCTTCAAGTATCTCGATTGGGGCTTTCACAATCCACTTCTTAACGTGGTTGTTCTGTTGAATTTGCTCCCTTATACCGTTGGCATCTGGCGCAAAATCCTCTTGCAGCAGTCTCCTCCTAATATCATCAAGTTTCGTTGACAAAGCCATCGACTCAAAGAGGAATTTTTCGAAAGCCTAAAAAAGAATCTGCTTTAGAATTCAAGAAGGAGATTTTGCGTCATAACTGTCTGGTTTGCTAGTCACGGAGGTTACACTTATCTGATAATCAATACTAAATTAGCTTGATATAGATAGCTTAAAGAAGAAAATCAGAGGGTTACGGGCACCTGGCCAAGAAAAGGTTTGAATGAATTTCAAAACTCTTAGAAGATGGATTGCGACTACTGTTCTTCAGAAAATACAGCGTCAGTTAAATCAAGTACCAAAGGTGCTTATTCATCATAATTGTGTATAAAATCTAAGCGGAAGAGTCTCAGAAAATCAGCTATATGCATGTGTTCGAATTATTTTTATTGCATATCAAAATAGTGATGAAGAAGGACTTTTTCGAAGGCAATGCAAAATAACAAGATGCATGTAACAACAATGTAGATCATCCTCCATGCAGAAAGAATTCTATTTGCGCAAGTTTCCTTCAACTCTACTATTAAAATTCTGGTTTAATATGTAACCATTACACGAGTTGAAATAGTCTCGAAACTTACAACAAGTTTCCTAGAAAACCTGCCTTAAGCATTATCATTCTGTGCTAATTCTGTTTCTGTGGAAACCTTATTGTGTCTATTTCTTATTCAAAGAAGTGATCACGTGAATCCGAAGGGCAGGTGATAGCCTTAATAAGCTTGGCTCACTGTCCTAAATGTTTATAAAAATTCGAATGAATCGGCCAACATTTTCATATCACTAGGAATTCATTTCAATCACAAAAATGTATATTGACGTAAAACGAAATGTTCTCTGGAAATAAATCAGTTTATGAATCAAAATTTTAAACCAATTGACTAAACTTGAAGTTTTAGATGTACAGCCTTAGCACTGCGATGTGAGGATTTTGTAAGTTCCGATAGACGATTACAAGAAAATTCCCTGCTTACTGTGTTTCTCGGCATAGTAGCATGAGTGTAATCATACTACCTTTATACGGGAATGTAATCACACTTCCTTGGAATAACTCAATCCTTGAAATTAGCCCTTTCATAATATCATATCATCTAACGACAAAGAAATGACTACGACAAAGATTCAAACATCTACAACTTAACTTGATAAACAGGAAACTTCCATTTCACAAGTAAAAAAATTTACAATCAGAACTCAAGCAAACCTGTACGAGAGATTTCGGCCCAACAAATAAAGGTACACTCACGTTCGAATAGCCATCCTGTGAGTTTTCCCAGCAAGGTTCGTTCATTCTCAACGTTAACGATACAAGTTCAACGTAAGGAACTCTTAGGATTCTGATGCGAACAACCTTCGAAAAAACTGCCACACAAAATTCTACATTCCAAAATGTGGTCAGGGAGCCGATTCCGCAACAGCGAATAAGTCCGCAGGTAGTGTTTCTCAGCGCAGATGGTCATTTCATCAAGACGACCGAGAAACTTTTCAAGGTATTCGAATCAACAGGGCTTTGTCCTCTCTCAAAATTATGGAAGCAGCCTGAGGTCCGTTTCTGAGCCCAAAACAAGTTTATTTCTGGCCCCTCATAACGCTTTCGACCGTATCTCACTGAAGTTTTTCAAAAACAGTCTGTATGCGGAATTAACTTTTGAAATGCAATTTCTTATAATGCTCTATGATGTCCTACAACATTTCTCAAATTCTATTCATCAAAAACAATGAGGATCAGTTGAGTTATAGGCCCACCAGATGTGAAGAAGGCTTTTCTGACTTTACAAAGAAGACCCAACCAAATTCTTTATTTCGGTTAACTAAGCTGTATTTACGATTCACAAACAATCGCCTCCTAGCCCGTTCTATTGAGCGTAGACAATGTGGGTCGCGGCTGATCTGACCTGCCAAGATTTTTGAAATATAAAGGAATCAAACATTGTTTAAAGATTTAAACAGGAAATTACGAGGATGCGGCTTTCACTGATGGGTCGCTAGGACAGCAGTCGGCAAACGATAAAACAAGAAAAAAAACAAGTAAAAGAAACTGTTTTGTTGCATAGCAGGAATAATGCAGGCTTTATTGCTAAATTAATAAAGAACAAATCGACAGCGACCGCAGCTAAGCAGCCTTGACATCACATTTCTTAGGACTGTTTTTCTAGAGAGACATAAGCATGATACAGAATTCTCCCCCTCCTCAGAAACCGATCGTCACAAACATCCAAGTAAAAATTCGGACACTAGCAAATATTCAGGAGAGGTTAACCAACAGTTTCATACTAATACATTTTTCTAACAAGTAGACGTCCGAAATGAAATTTTCCTTGTCTCGCATTTAGACGCAAATACTAATTATTTTGTACAAGTCAAAGGAACTCTACTACAAGGCCAGTCTGATGTGCAATACTGAGTCGGTTCTCTTGAAACTTTTCTTGTTCTTTTCACACAGTAAAATCTACATTTTCTTCTTTATTAGTAGGTTCCCTTCTTTCTAAAACAATCAACCCTCCGTAAATAAACACCTCCCAAAAACGGAGAACTCCAAACAGCAATCTGATAATTTTGACCAAAAGGAAGCAGTCAAAGCCTCTAAGTGACCAGAAGACAAGACACCTTCCTACAACGGACAGCAGCTTTCACAGCCCAGGCTTCACAGATATTGAAGTTTTACAGCTATGATTCTAAGGAATGTCTAACTTTCTGCCATTCAGTTTAGTGACAATGCCCATTCAATATTCGAGCTCTGTGAAACTATGTACGTGCCCAGATGTACGTACCCAGATGGTACCCAGGGCTATTCCGCGTGTTGGTGGATATAATAAAACTTTAGCTATTTAGATTCTGTCTCAAAAAGTACTATGAAGCATTCAAGATGAAGTGAAATCCAAGGATAGTTATACGGACCAAAGCATTTGCTTTGCTTTGAAAAAGAAAAAAAATGTTCTGCTTGGTAATAAAGTCAAATAGTAAGGAAAGACAGGTTTAGCTCTTTAAGAAGCTTTTTCCTGGCGGACATCTTGTTTGCTATAGCTATACTAAATGGCTTGTTATAGTTTATGTTCAGGCCAACTTACATTCACTTCTTTTTACTACTCTCTCAAGAACCCTTTTTAGGTGGTTTAAAAAACTCACAGAATGGTTTATAGAAACCGCGATAAAGTATAATAAAAAGCATACACCAATAAACCTGAATGCTCGTCATTAGGTACAGGTCGCTGCGTTTGTCAATCATAGATATCCTTATATTACGTCATACAAATGTTTGGAAGTATACTTCAAGAGCATGTGTCATAAACCACTGGATTGATCCTGCACCTTAATGACAGGGACGAGGCCACTGGTCGTGATCGTAAAATTAAGTCTCATCTCGTTATGAAAACTTTCTCAGGATTCCTCCCCTTTAAGCATCCTGTCTCCGTCCCTTTTTGGCAATAAGGTAAAAATCTGCTAATTTTGCATTCATGCGCATATTCAATCGTTTTGACCATATTACCTAATAGTGGTAATTTATTGATGGGGTTGAAGTTAATATATTTCAGGCGATATCATAACTGAAAGACTAAATTGTTAAATGCTTCAAGTGAATGGTAACAAATTACCTCATCACGAAATAAGCAGAAAATAGCGTTACATTTATCGTTTTTTAATAGCTAAATAACGTTAGCATACAGATTATGTGGTATGTCACGAAATTATGTCTATTTACAACATAAAGCACTATTTCTCTCCTTTATTCTCTCCTTGGTACAATTTGGTACTATTTCGTTTTGTTGCAAATACACCTGCATTTCAAAGCGCGCCTATATATTCAAATCAGGGCCAATCCAAAGCCAGGAACGGAGCCAAAACCATTGATGGCCTATTGATAGCCATAACAAATATATGTAAAAATCAAGCGAATAAGATGTTAAAAGAAACTAACCATTCGCATTCTGAGCCACATTACATGGTCGTAATGAAGTGAACCAGAAAAATCTTGCGTCAGATCTCCTGGTGCAATGTACTTGTTTAAGCCATCAGAAGATGTCAAGATGATCTGTGCAAAAAAAACAGCCACTCTTGAGAACCCTGATGTCACAAGAACTACTGTCCCACAAACATAATCTACATTTAATTACCAGGACTGTCAATCATATTATTTTGCATACTCTTGGTAGAAGACGCTACAGTTACACCATAATCCCTTGACGAAAGACAAATGCAACTTATGAAAATTTAACGAACAAACAGCCCAAAATTGCAAGAAAAACCTTGAAATAATGAGGCCCGATAAAAGTTGCTTGTTAAGTCAGTTCTAATTGAAAAACGGTATATATATTAGAAGAGATACCTTACAAAGGAAAATACTTAAAATTACAAGCAGAGTAGACATAAAATGTTACTGATGTTGTAGAGGGTGCGATCTCGAATGTTTTCTGCCTTCCTCTTCTATTTTCAAAATAATAAACACCATTTAGAAAACATTCAATTTAAAAACAATTCGTATTGCAGATAAAAATTCTCCGAACGTTTCACCATACGAATTTTTCATAGTAAGTCGCGGCTAAACGTATGCATCTTAATTTACCCTACTACAAAGAAGATTTTTATATCTATTGTCATGTAAAACTTTCAAAATCTTTTGGAATGAAATATACAGGAAAAAAAGACAAAGTTGCATAAGTAAGATGATCTTTAAGATAAGTCCAGTAAGGAGAATGGAATTTACATATAAAGATGATTTTAGAGAACGCTTCTGGCTCATGTTTTGTGATTAGGCTTTGCTATCAGATAAATCTGCAAACACTTATCTCAACAACAGATAAAAATGCAAATCTGAGTTGCATACATTGCTCAAGAACCGATAAGAAATGCAAAGCAGCAAGGACACTGTGTGAATTGCCAACCTACTTTGTTGCTCATCTCACGAGGGACCTTCGTATTCAAGTTCTTACTATGAATTATTAACGAAGACATTTGATAAAAGGGGGTGAAAAACCAAAAAGAATTGAATTCGCGCATGAATTTTAACAGAGTTTGCTAGTTGTTAAAATTTAATGGGCACCAATGCAAACAAAGGATAGAGCGAATGAAACTAGCTGCGGTACACGCACGCATTTCCCAATGCTTCTAAGCTTCAATCAAACATGCAAATACAAATACTGTAATTCGTTTGTTCTGTTACCTCAGGTTCTTGATGGGGATCAAGTGCTAATATCACACCTTGTAAAACTAATGACGGATTGTGAAACAGTAAAAGGTGAAGCAAAATACTGCGAAAATAGCTACGAGTGATGCCCACACGCGTATGAATAATATTCAACGTTAATAACAACTAACCTCGAATGTAAACTTGGTTGTGCTAAACGAGGCTCTGTGGAGACCTCCAAATCCATCTGGCTTGAGAACATATGCGTTGATGACTTTGAACGCGAAGATGTCCTAACAATAACAAAAGCGCTTTATAACATGTGTTTTGGCATCTTTAGGATCTAAATCAGCCCACAGTAGCAACAACAACTATTAGAAGATAAAAAACTTGGCTGATATCTAAAAAAACAATTCCCTCTTTTTCTTTTAACACACTTTTCTTTTTATAAGAATAAATTTGATAAGTATTTCAAGGCTCAAAATTGGCAATAATAAAGATGGAATTAAGAATAATTGCCACCGTGAGCCTGACTTTTCCTTTTCTGGGTATTCGAGCAAACAAGACAAGCGTGACTTTTACACAAAAAGGTTGAGGTACACTCATGATCATCAAGCTTGAATGTACTAGTAACCAGCGACTTATTTAGAATAAAGATCCCATTTTCAGACAAATTTGCGTTAGGTTGCATGTCATCCGAGGCAGAAACCCCACTGCCTGAAAATCTTGTGAAATGCCCATGCCTTTGTAACACAAATCAGATGAACAGCCAGCTTTTGCCTTCATTTTTTTCTACTGGGTCTCCAGAACCATTGTAGAAAATCCGGCAACTTGTTGCGACGATTTGCAACAAGGCCCCGCAGGAGGCTGCATCTAGTTATGTTGAGACAAGTTGCGACATACTGCAACTGGTCTTAAAGAATAACTTAAGAATAATTCTGGGCTCAGAATCACAAACTTGTAAGAAACATGAGGCTCAAAAAAATAAAGGTATTTTATAAGAAAGGAAGTGTGTGTATGTGTGAAGATGGCAGATGGAATTCACGGCGTATACAAAACTAGCCGGCAATCTGAAGCCTTGATTACCTGGTCTTAGCCAGCAATCATGTGACGATGAAAATCAATTGAAAGCCTTGGGATTACAACAAAATAATTGAATTTGGGGACCTGGTCCTCGGTTCCAGTAACACTGAAATGATTCTCAAGGTATGTCGCATCCGCTTAGGCCTTTGCTAAGTGTGTCCACAAATTCAACTATTTGTATGCCTAATTTGTATGCCTAACCCAAAGAGAACGACGTAGAGACCAACGATTTCATAGTAGCTTTGATATTCTAGTGTAACATCTACGCCAACCAACTCTCTACTTCAATCTTAGCTCTCTACCCTGGCTTTAAATATTAAATGATTTCCCGAATGGGTGTGTGATTTCGGTGCGAGAGATGGTGTGAGTGTGCGAGTGTTCCGTAACACAGGAACAAGATTTGCTCGTTTATACCGACAACAATCACCAAAGACGTTTCTTTTACTTCCACCTCTACCTTTACAAGTCAAAGAAAAGAAACGAAGGCAACCGATTAAAAAAGCCGGGGCAACAAGCCCCCGAGAACTGCCAGTAGACGTCAAACCCTTTGTTTCCGCGCAGCAGACCAGAAAGGAAGTAGGATATAAAAAATGTATGTCCCAATTTTCAATGTCTCGAAACTTCACTCCAAAGCGAGTACAGACAAACGAAAGATATTTTCGGGAGCTATGAACCCCCAACCTGTGGCTCAGAAATTATCGTTGAAATCTGTAGATGCAAAAATTTGCGTCAGTGTCTCTTTAGAAATGTTCTAGATGAATGTGGAGAATGTTAAAGATAACTAAGCATTACTTAATGGGCGAAAATAAACATTACAAAGGTTCTTGTTTCAGCATTACAAATGTGGCATTGGATTCTGGGAACATCAATGTGGCATTGGAATCTTTACAATTTTACCATTCTCAAATAAATGTTTAAAACATTTTCAGTCCGTGAAAGTGCTTTTAAGATTACTGGTCGAATAGAAAAGAGAAAAAGCACATAAAAACTCTGAGGTAAGAAAGTAGGAGAGTTGCTGGATCGACAGAACAGAAATTGGAGTACCAATTCCGATAAAATGAAAAAAAAGAATTAGGAAGCAAAAGCATCTGTCATGCAAATTCAACTTAAAATTGCAAAAATTACAAATGACTGACGCAGAGAAATTGAACAAAAGTTTTAAAATAGCTTTACCAATTTCATGTAGAGGTTTAACTATAAGCCGAAAAGTGCAGTACAAAAATTTTTCACACCTGGATTACTTTGACAACCGGCTTCATATCAGCCCATGTTGACAATCGAAGATCAACCAGGAAACTGAAACCATGAGCCTTTTCCTCCGTGCTACAATAAGAAAAAATATAATGCTTACTGTCAGACATAAAAAAGCTGACAGTTAGTCAAACCGCTTTCTTCTGTTAACAACACTACAGAAAACACGTGATAAATTGTAAGCAGCGTGAGTAGACAATAAAGGTCTAAGCACAGTTTCAATTAAAACGATATATGGAAGTGGGAGGCTTTGCTTTCGTGGGAGGACTATCGAAAATATTTGTAAAACTACAATAGCGAGAAATAACGATTACTAAACACTCATGTGAGTATATTTCTACTGTCTAGAAAGATTATCAATAATAACTTGCCAATGAAAATTCATTACCTTTACCCTCGCAAGTTCGTTTTCAACAGATAACAACATTTAAACTAGAAAACAATGTGGTAACTAAATACCACAAAAAATGCGGTAACTAAATTACATGCTGTTATTTACATTGCAAAGACTTCCTTGTGTTGCAAAGTTTGAAATATGATAAGTTTTCATAAATAGCTTATCTAGCCTTTCTTAAAAACGAAAATCTTCTTTAATCTGAAATCTGAAAGCACAGTTTCCATAAAATTGAAACCAAAAGTATGACAGATGAAACAGATCTGAAGCGACGGAAGTGGAAGGCAAAAACCCAAAAAAGCATGGCATATAATCTATATGTGATTATTACAATGAAAAATTACTTTAATCTGGAAAATGAATTAGGTTATCTAAATTATGCAACATAAATTTGACAGACTTCAATGCAACTGATGCACCATGAATGAGACATTTTCGAAAAGCCTTGACTTGTATTCAATTCAAATATACTATTTCATAGATACTGTTTCCTGACAAAACTATCAAATCCTTTCCATACTTTCAATGTTGGAGTGAATGAAAATGAGAATGAACCAAAAATGATGATGCTGGTGCTTTTGGTATCTCTGCGCCTAGGTTTTGTAATTTCCATTTCTAATAACCAAGTGCCTGTAATTGCCATTTCTAAGATTTTTTAAATCACGAATCTTGATTGGCTTCCACATCATGCTGATGGTTGAACTAAGCAAAACCAGTTGTTTCACCTGACTGATCTGCTCGCTCATCTATATCTCTGTTTTGTCTGGTATCAGTTGCCATAATCCTGGAAGCGGTGTTGGTGTACTTCCCCGTCAACTTCATCAAAGTGGTCACTTACTTTCTTTAACTATTGATCAAAATCAGACAGACCCATATGATTTGGCAACTTATTTCATTACATCCTATGTCACAGCATTAAAAGTATGTATGTAGATTAAATGTATGAGGTAGCCTGGAGCCACGGAGAATCCACCTCTGTGCTTTAAGAACTGTCACTTTTGTTTTGTAGCCTGATGTAGTTATCTAGCTTTCGTATGTCTTTTTAGT